AGATAGATAAATAAATGGTATTTTTTTGTGGTAATTTATAAAACACCTACATGTATGTATCCCCATATATGTACTATTTAATTATAGTAATCCCTTATAACATATCCCAAATTTGTAACTATGTTGTAGTGGGCGATGGTTCTCACTTGTAAAGGAGTTGCCATATTGATTAATATTAGAGATCGATTGTTTTTAAATGTAGATTATTTTGTTCTTTTGCATAGTTAATCAAAAATAGTGTAATATTTTAGATCTATTAAAAATTTTGATACGTAAAACTATTCAGCGGTTACATGTATTAAGTACCCAAACCGAATATATATCAATGAGGTAGAATTAAGTGACTTTTGAACCTCTTTTTCTAAATTTCGTATAAATTTTTAATCTTGATTATGTTAGATATATTGACATCGTTGATTAATCATGATTCATGCCAAAAATATCGCATTCTTGTCATCATTCATGCACATTATCTTTTGACGACTAAATTGGTCCTACTCCACCTACATAATTAATTATATAAATTTATAATACACCCAACTTAAACATAAATTTGTACGAAGGACTGTCGTCAGTCAGTGGCTACACAAAATGGTCCTGAACCTAAGCTTCATCTTCATTCTTAAATACCCAATTGCACTCCCAACAATTAAGGAGAAAAAGAGACATAAATTAAAATTTCAGAAAAATGACTATGATAATGTTTTGTGACCTACAACTTGCTTCTGGCTAATATACTTTTTGTGTACAAAAAATAAGGAACCTTTCAATAATGCACTTTTTTCTCATACAGTTAGAGTAACATCAATCAAATCATTTTCGTTTGGATTTTAATGATATAGCGGACATGAACTAATCTACTGGCCGACTTAACGTTCTAGAAAAGGCCGACTCTAATTTGTTGTAAAGTAATTTTTGTCTTGCAATCAAAACAGTTGTTTTTCTTCTATTTCTTTTTTTTTTCTCAGAAGTAGAGCTGTCAAAATGGGCGGGCCGCCCATGGTCTGTCCGTGTCCAACACCTAATGGACCGGTCATGGACAAGCCCGTTATGAAATGGGCGTTAATGGACATGGTTCTTAATGGACATGGGCGTTATTGGACTGGACGTAATGGACATGGGCGGCCCAATAGACATCTAATGTTATGTCAAAATTGAAATCGATTTGGGGAAAACTCATTTTCTCAATTTCTCATTTTCACATTTGTGTGTTTGCTTTGGATTTGAATACTTTATTGCTATGATTTGCTTTTGGATGTGATATTTTGTTGTTTATTTGGACATTTTTCTTAGATTTTAGGATTGAATTGATATTTTTGCAAATGTTTGCGTTTTCATAATTTGTTCTTGTGGTGACCAATGGACGCCAATGGACAACCCATTTAGACATGGGCGTTAATGGGCATGGGCTATAATGGACATGGGCTATAATGGACACGGACGTTATTTGTCCATAATTAAAATGGTCAAATATTGGACCGGGCTAATGGACGTGGACAGCCCATTTTGACAGCTCTACTCAGAAGTCATCAGCACTATATATTGCTATGAAACTTTACTTTAGTCGTGTTACAACAAATTTTCTATAATGACACAATTAATGCACTAGCGAAGAACGGTTTTTATCCGCAATAGAATTAAATTGTCATATCCGCTAGCTATGAAATATTACTTTTGGTCGTACTAAATTTTGACACTAGTACAAATTTTGATTTTGAAAAATAGGCAATCCAAAAATTAAAATTTAAGTTCCTTACTTTGTCATTCGGTGTTATAATATATATATATATATATATATATATATATATATATATATATATATATATATATTGGTTAAACGGTTTTTATTAGTGTTGTGAAACATATACTAAGGTCTAGGATAATGAAAAATTTAATATCAATTATATAAAGACAAAAAAATAGATTTTGATCGCAATCACATTTAAAGATGCAAATATTTATTTGCAATACCAAAAAACTAGGTGACATATGAAGCTGTGCTTAAGAACTTGTCTACGTAGTTATGCTCAGCCATTTCCTCAATGAAATTATGAAACCACCTAACTCAGTCCAGCCCTTTTTATTGACACGAGCGAAATATACCATTTTCATAATAAATATCAATCAATGAAACTAATAAATACTAATTATATCGACAGTAGACGCTCTTCCATCTTCCACCAAGTGAATTGATCTTTCGATTCTCATTAACTTTTAAATTGAGGAGTTGTCATATATCTAATCTCTTCCTATTCGTTTTTGAATAACTCTTTACAACAAAATTTAATAATCTTACCAAGAATACTGATCGGTCAAAGTTTCACACAACACAACAATGACATAGAAAAATTGTATTCTTCTTTTATAATCTTTATCATCATCTTGATTTAATGTTACATAGAGAAATAAATTTTGGCCGGCTATAATCTCGACTGTTGAGACTTTTTGATACGATCTTGAGCTCGGTTTGATCCATTACCATGTTATTCGATTAAGGAACTAGAATCGCAATACGAAATTGAAAGAACACACAATAGTTTATGAGTTCATGCACCTCAGAATAATGATACTCTACGTCTCAACCAAGCTTTTTTTTTTTAAAATAAAAACTTACCATTAATTCTAAGCCAAGAAATCTTGGAATCTTGGACAGAAACATAGTGCCTCCGATGAGAGTAACACCTACAACATAATAAAAAGGATAAAACAAGAGCACATTACAACTGAAAGGTCCCAAACCAAGCAGCAAGGATGGTGACGTTTGGAGGAGTAACTCTTTGTTCCCTTGACAGCGGGTTTCTCAACCAAGCTTACTGTCGGCAAATTCACTATCAAATCATCACTGGATGGCACAGAAACTCGAGTCATGTAGAGATCGTCGAGCCCATTACATTTACAACATAGTAGTAAAGACGAAGAATAATAAACTAGCTAACTCTTTAGACCTTCCGTTTTATAAACGAAATCTCCTACTTAATCAAACCGAGGAGATAACCGCTCAACACTCCTCCAATTCAGTCCAATTCCGGTTAATTAGTCTTAGTAAACCAAACCCATACGATTTCTTCAGCGACAAGTACAGCTGGAAATCATGAAAATTCCGAAGAAAAATAAAAAATATTAATAGATACTATCTACAAGATATATGAAAAAGGAACATAAATAATTACAAAGTTATCACTCTTTCTGCTATTAGCTCAAAAGGCCGTCGTCCCCCATGTCAGTCGTTAGGTGAGCCATTTATTTTCATGAAAATTATAGAAAGAAGAAAGTTATATTTATTTTCAAGAAAATTGTATTGGAGAAGAAAATTATCATTATTATTATTATTGTTATTACTTTAGCAGAAATTTTGGTTTATGAAGTGAAAGAAGAACATATGATAATATATAAAGTTTGAGTTAGAAAATATTAGTAAAAAGTACTATATATTAATAATAAATTGTAACGAAGAGGATATGAAGATGGAACGGTGATCGAGAAGATACAAAACAAGATGACGGTGGTTTTGATATACTACTAGAACTAACATTCACATGCCTCCGCCAAACTTTTTTTTTTTTCATCATCTCCTCCGCCAAACTTACAATTACAAAATCCATCTTTTTTTGTTGGATACATCTCATATTGCCATTTAATACCTCTTTTTTTTCTTTTTGTTCCAATACTTAGACGATAACAAATGTAAGTTATAACTCTAGCCAAAAGTTAGATGGATGAGTCATAACTCATAAGTGTCATCCTCTTTTCGTCTTAAAATATAAGATGTTTTAGAGATTTTTTTTATGTTTCAAAATATAAGATGTTTTACAAATTTTTTTGCAATTTTAAATACACTTAATATTTATGACCATTTGTATTGTGCAGTTTTTTTTTTATCACTGGTTGAATTTTTTAAACTAAATATTAAATGATAGTTTAAAATAAAATAAAATATGTACTTAGCTTTTGACTAAAACATCCTATATTTTGAAACATAAGGTAGTAAATAAACAAAAATACAATTAAACTAAATATCTCAATATATGAAGTATATCACAAAATAAAAGTAGTAGTAGTTTAAAAACAAAAACAAGAAAGTTAATGCAAGGATTTGTAGTAGTATTATAGAACATTAAAATAAAACAAAACAGATGGAAGTATCCAGTAAGAACGTGGACTGGTAGGAATGAATTGACAGAATTAAATCGTAACGTATAGCTAGTATGGGTCCCCGTCGTGTCCTCCTATCGAGTCGTCGAAGGTGTCTGTCTTTAAAACATCGCCCTATAGACTATAGTTATGACTCTGAGTTTCTTCTGAGGAAACCGGACGTTGTTTGTAACTTTGAAATTGAATTACTAACCACGAATACATAAAAGAAGCTAAAACTTTTTTTTTTATCATATCTATAGTAGAGTAGTATTTTCTATTTCTCGGTTAAAAAACGACACTTGAAAATCCAAAGTTTGATTTGTTTGATGATGCATGGATGTGTGTGTGAGAAAGAGAGAGAGAATTCCATGTCTTTTGATGCTCATTTACTCAAAAGTTCAAAGTTTGATTTATATGAGAATGCATTGCATGGATTAAATGATTATTTTTGGCACGTGGAATCGTGGACAACAACACCTCCACACTTCACCCTCTATTGGCTGGCTTTTCTCTCTCTCGCTCCAAGTGTTTATGTTAATAGTTAATACCTCTCACCCTTATTTTTATTTTTTTTGGGCAAATCCTCTCTCACCCTAATGTTTATTTTTTGTTACTAGAGAATTAATCAGAAGTAACACTTGATTTTTTTTAAATTGCACGTTGTTAATTTCCTTAAACAAACAAAACGACGCATTTCCTTTCTAAAATGTTTCCACATATGAGTGTATATATACACTTTTACATTACGTTGTCCCTCTATACACGTTTAGACCTACTTAACCCTTTTTCTCTTTCTCTCTTTTTTCTCTTTCTCTATCTCTCTTTCTCTCAGTATATATAGCCAAAAGCTTTGTAGTTTAAGTCTACCACATTTCCGAGAGAGAGAGAAAATATCTCTTGCCCTCTCCTCTTTTTTCTTCTGAATATTCTGGGTAATATTTTTTTGGTTCTCGGTTTCTCCGACTCTTTCCACTTGAACCTAGCTTAAGAGGTAACTAAATCACTCCATACTTCAAGAAAACTTCTTTAAGAAAATATGTACATGCATATTATTTGTTGAAGATTTTTTCCAAGAGAAATCTAGCTTTTTGGTAGGATATACTTAGCTTCTCTAATCAATGACGCGTGCGGGTATTCCCGTTTAATTTACATAGTAGTCTTGACCCTTTGTTTTTCTTAAACCTGAATGAAAGAAGCTTTGAATTCAGCTTAAGTTATCTTTGTGGCATGTCTATTACAGAAGTAATTAGTTAAAATTCAACATATATTTCTCAGAGAAAATCAAAGAGGGAGAAAAAATGAGTAGAGGTGGAGAAATGGAAGAGAGACTGCTAAATGGGTCAGAGACAGAACAAAGGAGAGAGAGTCTCTACCTGAGAAAAAAGATTTGGAGTGAAGTTAGGAAGATGTGGAGAATTGCTTTACCATCAACTTTGTTTAGAGTGATGTCGTTTGGATGCGTAGTGATGGCTCAAGCCTTCATTGGCCACTCAAGTGAAACGGGTCTCGCTGCTTATGCTCTCCTTCAAAGTACTTTCATTCGCTTCATCTACGGTATTATGGTATGATCCATTAAAATACTATAATTTTCGTCAAAAAAATTTCATTACAAAAAATATACTTTTTCGTACTAATAGTAAATTGTTGTGGTTTCACACTGTTTTTAACATTTAAGGAGATAGCCATATGAAAAAGTAATGAATTATTTTTTCTTTTTTTTTTTCTTTCTGATATAATGTAATGAATGATTGTTATATTGTTTATTGATTTTCCACTCAAAAGCAAGTAAATAGTTATTGATAACATATTATATGATAGAGGATTATATAATTGAATCGCATGGTAATATTATTACAGGCAGGTATGTCAAGTGCGACAGAGACGTTATGTGGACAAGCATACGGAGCACAACAATACCACATGATGGGGATATACTTACAACGTTCTTGGATAGTAGACACCTTTATAGCCACTCTCTTCGTCCCTTTCATCGTCTTCGCGGGTCCCATTCTTCGGTTATTAGGCCAAAACGTTGTGATCACCGAGACAGTAGACGAGATCTACCCATGGGTCATCCCTTATCTCTACAGCCTCGTGTTCACCATGACAATGCAAATGTACCTCCAAGCGCAGATGAGAAACGCCATCATTGGCATTGTCTCGACCCTAGCCTTGGTCTTGGACATTGCGGCCACGTGGTGGTGCGTGAGCGTGATGGGGATGGGGATCCATGGTGCGCTTCTAGGGCTTAATATAAGCTCATGGTCCGTGGTGATAGCCGAGTTTGTATATGTGTTTGGAGGGTGGTGCCCGCATACTTGGACCGGCTTTAGCACTGCTGCTTTTGTTGATCTTATTCCCATGCTCAAGTTATCCATTTCCTCCGGCTTCATGCTCTGGTAATTTGCTTTTTATTTCGCGGGATCAAAACATGATGATGGGCCTCTAGTAGGCTCATAGAAATTTCTAATGACTCTTCTTTTGCTTCTCTTTTTTTGTTGCGTCAAACAGCTTAGAGTACTGGTATATGAGCATCATCGTCTTGATGTCTGGATATGCAAAAGATGCGAATATCGCAATTTCAGCTTTCTCCATATGGTATTACTTAAATCCATTATGCAAAAAGTATAATATTTGAATAAGCATTTTTTAATACATATGAAAACTAAATACTCAATTGAAATTCGCAGCCAATATATCTACACGTGGGAGATGAACATTTGCTTTGGCTTGTTGGGTGCAGCATGGTTTGTAACTATATATGTACACTCATTCACAGTATTTTGTTTTTGATTTATACATATATTATTTGTTTAATACTATAGTGAATGGTTCTCTATCTATGAATCCGAAAATGCAGTGTACGAGTGGCGAATGAATTGGGAAAAGGCGATGCGGATGCTGTGAGATTCTCGATAAAAGTGGTGCTTGTGGTCTCAGCGGTGATCGGTGTGATATGTTCCGCTCTTTGCCTAGCGTTTGGCGGTCAGATTTCGTATTTGTTCTCCGATAGCCCTGCAGTTTCGGATGCAGTCTCTGATCTCTCCCTCGTCCTTAGCATATCTATACTCTTCAACATCATCCAGCCCATTCTCTCTGGTTAGAAAACTAAGCCCTTATATAAGGAATATATAAATTATAACATAAACTTTTAGATTTCACTAATTTGTAACCACAAAAACTAGTTCACTAATTTGTAACAAAGAAAAAAAGTTTAATATTTGTTGAACATAAACAGGGGTAGCAATTGGAGCAGGGATGCAGAGTATGGTAGCATTTGTGAACTTAGCATCATATTATGCAATTGGTGTTCCTTTGGGTGTCCTCCTTATATACGTTTTCAATTTTGGTATTAAGGTACATAAATATGAAAATTGATACACAGTACTTAATCATCAATCATTAGAACTAATCATGACTTAGATAAATTATATTGTATGCTTTTGAATTTTGATTATACAGGGACTCTGGTCTGGAATGTTGGCTGGAGTTGGTGTACAAACGTTGATATTGTGTTATGTTATTTACAAAACTGACTGGGAATTGGAGGTAATTTACTTTTAACATTCACTCTTATATAACTCGAAATTTGTTTATTAGAAAATTCATTATATTAAATGTATAATTTTATCTAATTACAGGTTAAGAAGACAAACGAGCGAATGAAAACGTGGACTCTAAATTTACCTGCTTTACAATCGACTACTAGAGATGAAGAGAGGAAGTGAGAATATACAAATAAATCAATTTAAAGAATTTTTTTTAAGAAATTTTTCAAAACTTCTTTTTTCAAATTTATGTTATATTGTGGGTTTTTAAGTATCAGTGTTGAGATTGCATTATTAGGTTAATGCAACTCTGATAACTTTGAAAAAAAGCTTAAGAATGATGAACCTTTTCTTTTAGTCGGAGAAAAAGGTCGTTTTTCAGAAAAGATTGTTATTAGGATTTAAAAAAAAAAAAAAACTATTATGGGAGGTTGGAAATTTTATTTTATTTTCTTGAATTTTTATTGGATGTGTATTTTGTTTGTGGGCAAAAAAATTCAATTTTTTTGCGTGCTTGTAATCGTGATTTTTTAAAATAATTTTTTTCATATGTATATATATATCAAAGAACTGCTATATATAATCCCTTGCTCATGATCAAGACTAAAGAGAACTGCAAGAATCTAAACCTCAGTGAAGTGTATCTTGGAGAAGGACTTTCTTTGTGTTGATTTGATTGTGAATGTTATTGAGGATGTTAGAAGATATTTCCGAGTTGTCTGCCTTTTCATTGCAGTTGGACTGAGTTTTTTAGATATGAGAATTATTTTCTATCTATTTCAACACAATATAAAAATTTAATGTTCTGTCATTCCAAAATACTATTTTTTAAGAATCCAGCATACAGTAGTTTGTTTGTTTTTTTTTTTTTTTTTTTTACAGCAAAACAAGATCATCCATTTAAACTAGAAACGAACGATTTTCTACGGGAGAAAACCAGTTCGGTGATGAATACAGTAGTTTGTTTAATTGTTAAGTTAATTACATTTTTTTATTTGATAATTCGGCAGTTCCATTTATCATACTGATTCCATCACTTTTTTTGGTCAGGAACCGCAACTTAATGATTCTCATTGAGTATTCTCTACACACTCTCAAATTGAACAATTCCTAGAAGAGTTTGTTGCTTACACCTTTTGTATAAATAAATACATGCCATTTGGGATTCTCACAAACATGAACCCTATAACTTCTTGATCATCAATGTTTTGCCTAATAATGTGGCGGTCCACTTTCACATGTTTGGTCCAACCATGTTGAACCGGATTGTGAGCAATGTAAATGGTTTGCCTTATTACAAGTTTGATGGCTTCATTTGGTGGAAAACCAATCTCGATTAAGTGGTTCTTCATTCTTAATGACTACCTTTTTTCCCCCATTGTCGATAATATTATAGTTCTGATATTTGAATGTATCCAAGCTAAGCTGATTTTAGCCTATGGTTTAATGTTTTAAGCCAAACCATGTTGAATGTTCATGCATTTTTCATTTTTTATCAATTCTATCATTATTCGTAAACATTGACAAAATGTTATTCTAGTTAGTTTTCTTTATTCTAACTTCCTTTTTGTTTGCATTTCCATAATTTCTACATCGACAAAATGTTATTCTAAGACACTAAAGTTTTCATTTTGTCGACATTTATTTGTGAGAAAAACAAAAGTTTTCATTTTCGTCTCTTGATATTGTACATGTATATAATTTTTTTTTATTTTCTATTTTCGAATTAATTTACTTTCACATATGTTATTCAATATTACTTTTCGTATTAGTAATTAGAAATAATCTCTTCTAATTAAATTATAAACGTTAAGAATTTGCTGTATTCAACTTTTCCTATTTGTGATGTTAAAAAAAAAAAGGACAATCCAAAAAAGTGAAAAACTGGTCTTTCAGGTCAGGTCAGGTCTTCTTCCTGCAAAAACAAAAACCTCAGAAATAGAGAAAGTTTCAATCTTTCTTCATCTTCTTCCTCCTAAATCGTTGATTTCTAAAACGGAGAAGAAGAGAAGATAACGCGATTCACTTGATTCAGCCTTCCTTCAGGTTTGGTGGGCTCGAATACTCAGGAAATGAAAGGGGCAAGTAGTGTTAAGAAGAAAACCCAGTTGTTGAACGAAGCTGGTGAGGCGGATACGGTAATGGAAACTGTCGGAGAAAGCCGGAAAATTAGTGGAGACGGTGGGTTTTTCGGTGACGACGGCGAAGGAGGAGGTGGAGAGTTGATTCTTCGCGAGATGGGTGATGATAGGCGTACGGAGGATGAAGAAGAAGAAGAGGATGAGGATGAAGACGATGGAGGAGATGAGGAAGATGAAGAAGGAGAAGGAGAAGGAAAAGGAGGGCAAGAGGAAAGGCCAAAGCTTGATGAAGGGTTTTACGAAATTGAAGCTATTCGTCGTAAGAGAGTTCGAAAAGTAAGCTCCTTTTTTTCTTCTTCTTTCAGCAAATGTGGCTTTTTTGTTAACCATAACTAGTTGATTGGCTGCTTTAGTCAATAGTAGTCATCTTAATAGAGCTGAGAATTGGCGTCTTTGCTCTAGAGGAGAGGAAGAACATAGCAGAGTAGTTTTATAAGGAAGCAAAGTTTTGATTCTGTTGTTGTTATGTGATCTTTAATGTTTGATATCTTCTGGGATTGATTGAATGATTCTGCCTTTTGGTTACTGGTTCTCTTCCGCTATATATAAATTTGATGGTGTTTTTTGATTTGTAGGGCAAGGTTCAGTATCTAATTAAATGGTGAGTTTTTCTAATCTTACTTGGTTTCATTTTTAAGTTTGTGTTCTTGATTAAACATATGCTTTTCCATTGACATAAGTTATAAACTCGGTTGTGAAAGGCGCGGGTGGCCCGAAACTGCCAACACATGGGAGCCTTTAGAGAATCTCCAGTCTATTGCTGATGTTATTGATGCATTTGAAGGAAGGTAAATAAATGCAATCTAATTTAGGAGTTTTGTGATACTTTTGAATTGATTGTTTCATGGATTTTCTTGGTTTTAATGTATGGATTTGCTTTCTTGTTTCAAAGTTTGAAGCCGGGAAAGCCTGGTAGGAAACGGAAGCGCAAATATGCAGGTCCTCATTCTCAGATGAAGAAGAAGCAACGTTTAACATCTACATCACATGATGCTGCTGAGAAATCTGACTCTTCTATGTCTCTCAACAACTCAAGCCTTCCTGACATTCCTGATCCACTAGACCTTAGCGGTTCGAGTCTACTAAAAGGAGATGGGGAAGCTAAGAATGCTTACGTATCCAACCAAGTTGAAGCTAACAGCGGGAGTGTTGGGATGGTTCGACAACTTCGTTTAATTGAAGATGAGAAAGAATATGATCCAACACTTAACGAGCTAAGGGGACCAGTCAATAATGGTAACGGTGCAGGATGTTCTCAAAGAGGAGGCATTGGTTCTGAAGGTGATAATGTAAGACCCAATGGCCTTCTCAAGGTTTATCCTAAGGAGCTTGATAAGAACAGTCGTTTCATAGGTGCTAAGCGGAGGAAGTCTGGTTCTGTGAAAAGATTCAAACAAGATGGATCCACAAGTAACAACCACACAGCACCTACAGATCAGAATTTGACACCAGATTTGACTACATTAGACTCTTTTGGTAGGATTGCAAGGATGGGGAATGAATATCCTGGTGTGATGGAAAATAATAATTTGTCTCAGAAAACCAAGATTGAGGAGTTGGACATCACAAAGATACTTAAACCGATGAGCTTTTCAGCATCTGTATCAGACAATGTCCAGGATGTGTTGGTGACCTTTTTAGCGCTGAGGTTTGTCTCTTTAGCTCTTTGGTCATTTCTCGCAATTTGAGTTCGTATTTGTACAATTTTACTTATTTGGCTACTCTCATAGGTCTGATGGGAAGGAAGTGATGGTGGACAACAGATTTCTCAAGGCTCACAATCCCCATCTGGTAAGATTATCTTTATAGCTTTTTTCTTTTCTGCACTTACTTATTTTGAAGTTTCTTATTAGCTTTTCTAATTTGTTTTTTCGACACCAGCTGATTGAATTCTATGAGCAACATCTCAAGTACAATCGCACGCCTTAAATCATCCCGGAAGGTAAGAATTTGTTTGTACACAGCACTTGTAGGTAGAAAAAGATTAGATGGCTTCTTTATTCTAGCAGCGCAACATGTAGAGTCGAGGTAGCGGCAAGTGTTTTTTTTGTATCGCGTCTGCGGGAGGTTTCAGATTGTAATTTATCTCCTCGGGTTCGTTATGTTCTCTCTATCATAGTAAATCTTGTCACTTGGACCTTTGCTTCTTATTGCGGAAGTTTTCTTGTACTTGCTTCTTCAAAGATCAAGTTCATGATATGTTGTTGATGCTATCAAAATATATGAATCAATCAATATATAATTATGTATACAAGCCAACAAGTGATTTTTTTTTTTTAACTTTCGTATGACATTTCGCTGATGTAATTTGGAATGTCGTTCTCAAGCCAAATGAACTGGAAGAAACTTGATCCTCTTGGATCTTGGTTGCTCCTTATGCAAGAACTCAGTTTCATATGCGCTTCTTTTCAAAACTCTTGCGTCATCAAATGCCTTTGAAAGATCCAAATCAGAATTCTGAATTTTCTCAGAGTCATTAGAGAACTCTTGCATCATGTCTTTAAACGATATAAGGTGCACCGCACATTTTTTTACCTCTCCAAGCGGGCTAAAAGAATCTCCTTCTGTGTTTTCGATTGAGAATTCAAACAGGGCTTCGTTGTAAGCTTCCATGGACATGCAGGTTCTGCTGAATAAGAGAAGGTGATCTGATCCAAAAGACATGTTTGTGAAAGCTGTTGGATCAGGATACCACACCTCATCCATAACAACCAGCTCACAATCATCAGCATCTTTTAAAATACAAGAGCAGTGTATCTTCAGATTGTTCATCGGGTACAGTCCATCAACTCCAATCATGATGCAGGCAGAAAATCCCAGAATGTCAGACGATGATTCATTATGAGGTAAGTGTATATTCAGCGAAGGACCCATGACTTGGTGATTGAAGCAAGTGGGTACATCACTTCCAGGAAAATAAGAGTGTTCTGGTTTTGCTGACTCTAGCTTCATGTTACGGTGAATGAGAATCCGCGCTGCTTGATCCAATTTGTAACAATTGCTAGCTACAAACTGGCGCAGACAATATTGGTTGAAGCAACCTGAGATACTCACTAGGGATGTGCAGCTATGGATGTAGAGATACAAGAGTCCTCGTGGAAGCTCATCGGGCAATGCTTGAAGTCTCTGACAATTGTTTAAATTCAGTCTGTTCAACCTGGTGAGCCGTTTGATACTTGCGGGGATGAATTCAAAATTGTTCCCACTCAAATCTAGTTCTAGTAGATTCCATAAGTTACCAATACTGTTAGGGATCTCTATCATGTTCATGTTGCTTAGGCTCAGAGCTCTCAAGTCATCAAACCTTGATAAGGGAGGACAAAAAGAATGCAATAAACCTTCTGGAGTGTAGAAACTATTCCCAATCGCTAAAACTTGAAGACGGGTAAGACGTGCAATAGACCATGGTGCTCGCCTTATCGCTGTTCTACTAGCTTGAAGCACCTCAATAGCTACTAAATTCCCAATGTTTTCAGGTAGTTCTTTAATGCTAGTCCTATCTAAAGCAAACCACCTCAAGCAGGTCATTGTCTGACAAATTTCTGGTGGAAAACTCTCGAGTACAGAACATCCAGAAAGCTTAAGCTTTTCAAGTGATCTTAGCTCAGAAATGCTTACCGGAAGTGATGTAAGTCTTTTATTTTCTGAAATATCCAAGGACCTAAGCTGAGAGAGATTACAGATCCTTGCAGGAATTTCTTCAATTGATGTCTCAGATATACGCAGAACTTCTATATTCGTGGCAACATGAGGGAACTTGTTGACATTAAGGCAACCCGACACTTCAAGCGTTTCAAGAGATGTTAGGTTCTGTAATGTGTCTGGGAGGTTCTCAAGATGTTTGCAACCGTCCAAATTCATGGATTTAAGTGAGATCAAGTGCCCTAGATAGCTTGGAAGTGTCCTGAGTCTCTGGCAATCTGACATATCCAATTCAACCAGACAAGAGAGATGGCTGATTGATGATGGAAGTTCCTCTATCTTTGTACTGCTCAGATAGAGTCTTCTAGTATTCCAAGAAAATTCTGGAAAATGCATTAGACTTGAGCATCCACTCATTCCCACTGTTTCAAGCGACTTCAAAGCTATTCCAATCGGAATGTTCTTGAGTTGGATGCAATTAGTTAAGTAGAAGCAAGAAAGTCCCTTAAGGTTCTTGATAGATGGAGTAACCTCAACCAAGCTTTGGCAATAGGAAATGTTTAGTTCCTCCAGATTTGTGGCTTTTGAGAGATCAGGAATTTCGACAAGGTATTTACAGCGAGAAAGATCCATCTTCTTCAAGTTCCTAAGAGGCTGAAATTTTTTACATCAGATGTTAGTCTTCTCATCCAATAGCAAATAGCAAAAAGAAAAATTATCTGGAGTTTATATTTAGAAATTACCTGGATCCCATCCCAAAGTTTTTCAAGATCGCTATTACTCATACAAAGTTCAACAAGAAACTCAGGACAAAATCTTGAAGGCATAGTCTTTAAAGGGTATCCATCCCAACGGAGATAACGAAGCTTGCGTGGGAGATAACTGAGGCCATTAGGTAGATGCACTCTAGTCTCTCCATCAAACGAAAGATCATAGAAGTTGAGAAGCTTGAGATTAGACAATCCCTCGAAAGCTCGATCACTAGCAAATACCTCAGAAATCTCAGAGAGGTTCAGAGAAATTCCTTCAACAAGTTGTGTTCCCTAAAGAAATGGAGAAGAGGCTATCAAAAGTCAAAATCATTTACATGAAACTTCTGAAAAGATAGAACGAGAAGAGAAAGAAGCACATGCACTCTAACTTACAGAATTTTCTGACAGCAAATCACAGATGTCTTCAGGATCCCATACAAGTAACCGTTGGGCTGGGTTGTTAACTGCTTGTTGACGAACAATCTCTCTACCCATCTGTTCAAGCAAATCATGCATCTTTACGCATCCATTTGATACAACTATCAAAGACTTCTCGGTAAGAATCGTGATACCGATTTCAGCAGCATAGCCACAAATATCCAGAAGTTTTGTGACATAATCAACATGCTTCATGTTATAGAAACATGATATATAGAGAAAAATAGCCTTCTCTTGCTCATCCAATCCGTCGTAGCTAACTCTCAGAACTTCCATGATATCACTGTGAGGGTAAGTTTTAAGCCTAGCAAGAGTGCTTTCCCATTCTCTTTGGCTTCTTCGATAAAGCAAGGAGCCTAAAACTCTTAGAGCCAGTGGAAGACCAGAAGCATAGTTAATAGCTTGAACCGATAATTCCTGAAACCCATGTGGAATTCTAATCTCCTCTCTGAAAGCATAGTTACAAAAGAGCTGGAGAGCTTCTCTTTTGGGTAAACACTTCACTTTATATACCAAACTTATTCCATGAGAAACTAGCAAATGTCTATCCCGTGTTGTCACGATAATTCTGCTTCCCGGACCAAACCAATCAATCTCCTTCACCAATTCATTCAATTGCTCAGATCTATCTACATCGTCTAGCACAATCAAGACCCTTTTGTGCCTGAACCTTTCCTTTATCATGCTGCAACAAGACACCGAGCTCCACGCTTCTTTATCTCTCTCTGGAAACATTCTGCATAAAAACTCCCCTTGTAAACGCCTAACTCCATATCTGTTACAGACTTCCTTCACATTCTCCATGAAGCAATGAGCTTGAAATCGATCTGAGAGTTGATTGTATAAGTACTTAGCCATCGTAGTTTTCCCAACTCCACCCATTCCCCAAATCCCCACCATCCGAACATCCTTGTCTTCTATAGACATCATAGACTGAAGAAAGTCCATATGAGAATTCATTCCAATCAAACCTTCTGAATCATCCCATGAAGTCGAAACCAATTTATCAGAAATGTCTTTAACAATCTTCTTAATCAGCTTTGACTCATCCCTCCTACCATATAAAAGTCATCACTTTAATAACTTTGAATACAACACCAACTAAGACTGTCTTAGAAACTTACCAATTTCGAGAGTCTTCACCAGAAATAGCAGCTAATTTCTTCAAAGCTTCTTTCCATTTCCTCACTTTCTCCTTGTCACTGTGACTCTCAACACCTTCACCGAAACTTCCTCTCTGTCTTCTCACGTCCGAAGGATCAACCTCGTAGAAAATGGGCAAGATTGTTTGACTAATCGTATCTTTACATTCCATGATCTTCAAGAGCTCGTCTAAGCACCAGCTTGAAGCTGCGTAGTTCCTAGAGACCACGACGATGGCGAATCTGGAGCCTTTGATCGCATCTATAAGCTCTGGGGAGATGGCTTTTCCTCTCTGTAGATCCAAATCGTCTCTGAAAGCGTTAATCCCCACCCGATCAAGCTCGCAGAATAGATGGCTCACGAATGTTTTACGCACATCTTCTCCTCTAAAACTCACGAAAACGTCCGTTTTCCACACTGAAGAAGAAGAAGATTGCATCATCTTACAAGATAAAGTCGACAATTGTTGCCCTCCTTGCTATTTTAGCATAAACAGGTTTCTGTTCAAAACCTGGAAACCATGAAAATGATACTCAGATCTCAGAAGTCAAAGGTTCCAACTTTACAACAACGCGTGGCAGACAGAGTCAAAATCAAAATCAAAATCAAACCTTTTTGTCCTTGTTTACTATTTAGCAGTGTAAACGCTTAAAACGGTAAATATCACTTAGTGATTCTCCGAAATCTAGAATCTTTATACTCAAATCTCTTCTTGATGGCATTTGATAGAATTGGATCATTCAAAAGTGAAAGAAATATAAAAATACATTATGTGATTAGAGTTTGAATTGTGGGTGCAGAGATAGAAACAATGAAACATAAGTTCTAATCAATGTTGTAAAAATCACTCAAGAAGGTGGTGAATCCAGTCCTTTACAATAGCCGGTGAACCATACCAAGGTCTGATTTCATCGTCTGAGCCAACAGGCGAGTGGTAAACACCGTCGAAGCTAACATTAAGTGCACCTTCAAGATGAGCTGAGACCTCAGGAACTACTCCATCACCCCACACATCAGCTCTTCCACAGACTTGCTTGTATCCTTGCCCTACAAAACGAGCACGGAAACTAGGCCCTGAAGAACCGGTCTTCTTGTTGGTTGCTATAGCAAGTTCGGAAATCGCTTCTCCATTGTCGATTCCAACAGTCACATCAGAATCAACATTCGCATCTGCATTGTCTACCAAACGAGCTCCACGAATGTATCTACACATGAAGTACCAAATTCAGATTCCAAGTTTGGACAGAGGTTCCTCACATATATGGTTTCTAGAAGAAGCATTACCTCCCGGCAATACAGACATATCTCAGCTCAGGAGTGTAAACGGCTTTTGCACAATTCTCTTCGACATAATAGAGAAGACCTCTTGTTTGATCAATAACCCCAGGTTGTCCTCTCGGTGGTGGTCTAAACAGGATACAAAACCATAAGTGGTTAAAACATTGAAGCAACATCTCTTGAAAGGTCTAAAAAATGTAATCCACATTATGTTACCTACAAGTGAGGCGTACCAAGTGTCAACAACAAGGAAATATCAGAGTTTCCGTATTCTTCCATGTAAACTCGAGCAAGCCATCCTCCAGCTGAGTGTCCAATCAAAGACAATCCTTGACCTATAAGTGACGTGTTTTATGGTTACCGCGATTCACAACTGACACAAGTAGCTAAGTCTGATTCATGAACACAAAGCACCAATTTTTTCGCTATCGTATCTGCATCCAAATTCAAATGTGAGATTTACCTTGAGCTAATTCATTGGCTTCACGGACTGCATCATCAATTCTATTCAAGTACCTGATCATCCATATAAAAGACTCATCATTTGAAACCAGTCACAAAATTCCAAACACAAAACAAGTGATACATTTATAGAGCAATCAATACCAATCAAGAACAGGACGAGGGCGAAGCGTGCCGCGCCAGTAGGCTGGATCAACCAAACCGGCTGCATTTCTAAACCAATCAAGCCTTGATACAGCTGCAACCACCGCAGGAACACCGTACTCACCTAATGTTACCTCCAACTTCTTGTAGTCTTCTGAATTGTTCCCTAAACCCTAGAACCCAATTCCACAAAGGAAGTATAAACTAACATGCAACCCAACATCGAATCATATAACACAGAAACCAAGTTTTGGACTTTATCGACGTTACCAAAGAAAAATGCAAAAACACTGAAATTATAAGAAACAGAGAATTCAATTGAAAGTGTGAAAATATCGGTGGAACCACACATTTTCCGTCATAGTTGTCTGATTGTCTCAATCAGAGGAATAAGATTATTTACCGGGAGAATTACGACGGGACGGGGTTTGACGTTGCCGGCGGAAGAAGAGGATGAGGAAGGTGACGTGGCGGCGGAGAAGCTTGGCCTCAGCCTAAGCGATGGAAGAATCGCCGAGGCCATTTTTTGGTTAGTGGTTATAAGAGCTCAAGCGGAGAAAGCTGGAGTTTTTAAAATCCACAAGCTCTTGGGGTGAGCATTTTAATGTATTTACAAAAACGCCCCATTTATTTCGATTCTTATCACATTAAGTACAAAACTCTTGAAACTATTATAGATTGAGAACAAAGCTTTCTCTTCCTCATTTGGTTTAAAGGCGAGGCAAAATAACTCTGAAAAGAGACCATTTTTATGGTCTAATTCCTTTTATTCTCTAACCAAAATGGCTTCTCTGTGTCAAACTTGCGCTTCGTCTTCTACTACACCATTGCTTCTGGCGAAAAGGGTGTTTTCCTTCAATTCGTCGCCGTATATCTTCACAAGCGGACACAAAATCTCTCGCCATTGTAGCAGCTTCAGAGCATCCACCTTCGCGTCTGCGTCTACCTCAGTTTGTGTCGATTTAAAGGATCTGAGAAGCAATGAATTGGTGGAATTGGAGTATGCAGAACTAAACCTCAATCATAAGATATCTGAAGTATCCTCCTCTCTTCTCTCTCTCTCTGTTAATTTCATTTGTTTTCTGGGTGTTACTCTTATTTATATACGTATATACTATAGTGTTTCCAAGTAGAGATCTTTTAAGCTTCATAGTCTCGCTGGTCTATATCTAATTAGTGGATAGGATAGAGTTTCATTTGTGTTACCTTGTTCCTTTATTCTGCTTACAGTTTTTTTGTTTCTCTGTAATTTGTTTGCAGGAAGTGGGTCATGTAAGAATCAGACAGCATGTTAATCCTCTCAGTTCCTCTTTCTCTGTAAGTTGATGATGTTGCAAAGTTTGTGACAGCTTATTATAGCTTGATATGTGGAACAGCATACTGATTTACAATGGTCTTTCTTTCTGATAGAAACCAGCTGCAGTTCCTGTTTGGGATGAAGTTTATAAGGATCCATCACTTCCTCTTATGGTGGATATTGGCAGTGGTAACTTGTGAGCTTACTTAGACTTGTGGGACATTTTTTTTTCTCAACTCAACTCTGTTTATTCTTTATATTCTTCTGAGAGTTGAAATATGCTTGCTTCTTCAAGTTATTCTTTATAGTCACAACCAATCCTTTTCTCTTGGAGACTTTTGGTTGCAAAGTTGGCATCTTTCCGTGGAATCTGATTTTGAGCATTCAAATCGCCATCCTTTATATTATTCCTTGTGTTGCTCCTGTTTTATGCTTGAAATGTGTCTTAACTTTTAAAAACCAGTTTCCTATTTGATTTGCGTTCTTGCTTCTCTGCTTTGTAAATGGATTTGGATTCTCTTACTAATACTGTGGTTACTTCCTTATATTTTAGGTAGTGGCAGATTTCTCCTATGGCTAGCCAATAAAAATGCTGAATCAAGCAATTACTTGGGGTTGGAAATACGTCAGAAAGTAAGGATCATTCATCTACTTTAGAATATATATTTCGTTAACGTCGTTGGCCTAAAGAAGTTTAATTTGTCACATTTCTTTGCAGCTGGTCAAGCGCGCCAACTTTTGGGTGAATGAACTCGGACTCTCAAACGTGTAATCTCTGCATTCCAAAACCTTAGGAAAGATCTTTAGAATACACTTATGTTATACTCTGTTGATAACTTCTTTGATGGATGGGTTTCAGACACTTCATATTTGCAAACGCCATGGTTTCCTTTGAACAACTTATATCGAGTTATCCTGGACCACTGGAGATTGTCTCAATCTTGGTAAGTGACTAAAATTATGATCGTCCAAGAAAAGCGATATTTTCAGGCTCTGTCTTGATATTATGATCCAACTTCTTGTTTTGGCGTGTTAAATTCAGTGTCCGGATCCTCATTTCAAGAAACGTCATCAAAAGAGACGTGTTGTTCAAAAGCCTTTGGTGAATTCCATTCTTCAAAACCTAAAACCCGGCGGAAAAGTAAGTGTTTTGCTTAATTCTGAAAGCTTAACTTGCCTTCCAATGGCTACCAACATTACTACTGGTTGTACACAGATCTTTGTGCAATCCGATGTGCTGGATGTGGCTCAAGACATGAGAGATCAGTTCGATGAGGAATCAAGTGTTCTTCAACACATGGAAACAGTCGACACAGAAGATGGTTGGTTAATGGAAAACCCGATGGGTATAAGAACAGAACGAGAGATCCACGCTGAATTCGAAGGTGCAAGAATCTACAGAAGACTTTACCAGAAACGTTAGCTTACATGTTTCAGTTTCAAACAAGTAGTCTCCAATTTGGTCGTTGAGTTGAAGATTTTATTTAAACCAGTTTGGTTTGGTTTAATTCGGTTTTGATTTCTAGTATAATGCTTATCAGTTATCATTATATAGAACTTATTCGAATCTTTCTTTCTTTAAAGCTTTTGGATAATTTTGATTGGTTGAGAAAAACAATAAAAAGACCTATGTTTTCAAGACATCAATTCCTCATCAATTAAAATATATTATCTTGCAATTTTTTTGTGGAAATGAATAAAAGGAAACGCGTAGCGTGGAAACTACGGCTCGATAAGCAGCGTCTCAGGCGTTTCCTCTGCTTCGACAAAGGCGGAACTATAAATATTCAGACGACGTTGTGATCTTTTCTTTCGAATTACGAAATCAAATCAAGTCTCGTTCTTTGTACTGGGCAATCGCTTTAAGACCATCGCATAGTCGAATCTCGTGATAATCAGAAAAACCCTCAAGCTTGGTACGGACATCTCTAATCCTATGCTTAGATTTATATTTTTTTCTGGGATTTGAGTGTTAAAATAGTATTGTGATATGTGAATTCGTTATTGTTGTGTCCATGTATGTTGTTTCGAGTCAGAAACTACGCATCAGATGTTGAAGATTTACTTACGCGTTTTTGAAACCCTAGTAATCACTACTATAAACCTCGAATGTTTCGATAACAAAAAAGTTAGAGAAGGATTTGTATGTGTGGTAACGAGAAATTGGATTTGAATGTTGGTCAAGTTTCTTAACTATCTATAGTCAGAGGCATCTTCTGTGAACCAAATGTGTCTATACTGTATGTTTTTGCTCTTCTTTTCTTTAACATGTTTTGTCGAATTCTCCATCGTTTTAGATTTGTCTGATTGTCTCTTGATTCTTTCTCTCTTGAGTTTGAGTGTTTGCTGACATTAGCTTTGGAATTGGAGTTAGACGCCAATAGTCACTTAGCTCCTTAGTACTCACACAACATTAATCTGATCGTTGTTGCACGGATTTGATGTAACAAAGTATCTGTTTTGCTTCATAATCTAATGCCAAGGTGTTTTCTTCTTTACAGTTTTAGTCACCGATTATACTTTGAAACTGAAGTGTGAAAAAAATGGGAAAGGATCAACATAATCACAGTGACAGAGGATTCTTCCACCACTTAGCAGGGTTTGCAGGCGGACATTACCGGCCTCACAGTCATGGTTATGGTCATCACGGTCACGGTTATGGAGCTCCTTATCCATACCCGCCTCCTCCTCCTCCTCATCATGGCTATCCACCAGTTGCTTATCCTCCACACGGTGGTTATCCTCCAGCTGGTTATCCTCCAGCCGGTTATCCTCCTCACGGTTATCCATCTCATGGCTATCCCGGTCCATCTCACTCAGGTAATTTCAATCTCAACATTTACATTCTTCCTCTTACAAATATCTTTACATGTCACCACATTTAGGCTTTAGATTGTTTGTTTCGATATGTTTTTTTAGGTTGGTCTGTATTTGTTTTTGCCAAATGATCCTATAACCTTTAGCATCTTCAAACAAAATTCATTTGTAACCACACAGAAAATGGCGTTTTAAACAATAGACACTACAAGAAAACAACCGATTTGCTAGGGACGAATATGTAGCTAATCCCTCGCAAATCGACTTTAGCGAGCGATTTGCGAGGAACACCAGTTCCTCGCAAATCGTGTCTCGCAAATCGGTAAACGTAGCAATTCCCTCGCAATATTTGCTAGGAAATATATGCCCTCGCAAAACACGCGCAAATTGCGAGGCACGTATGCCCTCGCAAAACACGCGCAAATTGCGATGGATTTGCGAGGGACAATTAAAAAAAAATAAAAAAAATCCGTATTAAATTTTGCGATGGATTTGCGAGGGACAATTAAAAAAAAAATAAAAAAAAAAGAAAATAATAAAATGCATTTAAATTTTATCAATATATAGATATATATTGATAAATTTTAAATGCATAATATTATTTTCTATAATGCATAATAATATTCAAAATACAATAAGAAAGGTTTAAGTCAAATTTTAGAAAATCCTTAAAAGGTTTCTAAAATTAATAATCTTTAAAAATAATAACAATTTAAATTTGAAAATTAGTTATTAATATATAATCTAAAATTCCATACTAAAAAAATTCTAAAAATTAACAATTCAATTTCTAAATGAAACCTAAAATAATTTAAAATTCCAATCCTAATATAAAACTAAATTTCTAAATCCAAAACTAACAAATCTAATACCTTTCACAATAATCTAAATCTAGAAATCCTAATTTTCTAATTTTAAAACTAGCAAACTCCTAAATCTAAAACTATAATAATACAAATCTATACATAAATCTAACAATGAAATTAAAAAACATACCTTTGAAGAGATGTGAATGATAGGAATGAAGACTTTTTAAGTAAGAGGAAATGAGATGTGAATGAGTGAGAGAAGAGTTTTTAAGTAAGAGGAAATGAGAGATGTTTGAGCATAGCTCAAACATGCAATCACTTATATATATATTTATACCGTCGCAATTCCCTAGCAAATCCCTCGCAAAAGTTTTGAAAATTTTCGGTAAAATTTTTGAAATTTCAGCCAAAACGTTGAAGCGCGAAAAACTGAAAATGTTTGCGAGGGAATTGCTATGGTCCCTCGCAATTCCCTCGCAAAACTCTTGATTTAGGGTTTAGTTTTGCGAGGGAATTACTAGTATCCCTCGCAAATCCCTCGCAATGTTTTGAAATATTTGCCAAAAATTTTAAAATTTCCGCCAAAAAATTGAACCGCGAAAAAACTGAAAATATTTGCGAGAGAATTGCGAGGCATCATAGCAAATCCCTCGCAAATGGTTTAGGGTATAGGGTTTAGGGATTCATAAGTGGTTTCCACTTTTGCGAGGGAATTGCTATGGTCCCTCGCAATTCCCTCGCAAAACTCTTGATTTAGGGTTTAGTTTGCGAGGGAATTACTAGTATCCCTCGCAAATCCCTCGCAAAATAGAATCAATTTGAAAAAAAAACAACAAAACACTACTAAAAATCATTCGGATTCATTTTTTGAATCATTAGGAAGTTAATTATCTACATTAGAATCTACTTTCTTATCATATACTTCGAATTCGTCCGAATGTGCATTTTCCTCAAATACATCAATGATGATCTTATGTTTTTATATAATATGAATCAATGTTTATGACATTTTCAAAATAAAATGTTAATATTGAAACCTATACAACATTTTTTTATGCATCACCATATATTCAACTTGTCTGATTATATGGTCTCTTAGATTCATATTTATAAATAAAAATCAAAGATCGCAAAACACTTTTATGTATTTTAGGGTTTAGGGTAAAGATTTGCGAGGTATGTGCGGGAGATTTGCGACAGAGTATATTGTTCCTCGCAAAGTACTCGTAAGTCGCTCGCAATTTTGCGAGGAAACTTTTCCTCGCAAAATTTGCGACGGAAGTGCGACGCGCGTCCTTTTCGTAGCAAATTACTTGCAATTCCCTCGCAAATTTGCGAGGAAATGTTCCCTCGCAAAATTTGCGACGGAAGTGCGACGCGCGTCCTTTTCGTAGCAAATTACTTGCAATTCCCTCGCAAATTTGCGAGGGATGGTTTCCCTCGCAAAGTTGCCTCGCAAAACGACTGTTTTCTTGTAGTGAGAGACCTTTAGACTTAATGTTGATATGAGAAAACCAAATTAATGATACAGGACATCACCATGGAGGCATAGGAGCAATTATAGCGGGTGGAGTGGCTGCAGCAGCTGGTGCTCACCATATGTCTCACCATGGACACTATGGTCATCACCACGGTCACGGCTATGGCTACGGGTATCACGGTCACGGAAAGTTCAAACACGGCAAGTTCAAGCACGGAAAACGCTGGAAGCACGGCATGTTTGGGAAGCATAAGGGGAAATTCTTCAAGAAATGGAAGTGATTGTTTTCCAAAAGATTGATCCAATTCAAAGACCATACATTATCATTACATAAGAATAAAAACTAAGTCTTTTAAATTGCATTGTCAAATTCCTAGCCTAGAGGCTAGAAAGTTGTAATATTTCTTACTGTGTTTGGTTGTATGAAGCTTGTATAAAGTTTGTTCCTTTTGGTAGTTAGAAACTGAGATCCACTTGTTTGAAAACGATCATCTTTAATACTTTTGTTGATGTGGAATCTTCACACTAAACTTCTTTCCTTTTTATTTGGAGTTGGAGTTAAAGTTTGATTAAGATTGGTTTTGTTGATACTTATCCATTTTTGTCTATTGGAAAATTGTTTCTTGGTTTTGGTTTAAGGAATATATGAACCATAAATGAAAAAGTAATTTGGATTTTGTATATAAAGAGAGTATAAGATGCTTTTGAGTTTTCTGCCAACCTAGGAAATTACAAAGTGGAAAGACAAAAATGCCAAAAGAGTTGTAAAAAGTTGGCAAAAGACAACTTTATCTCTCCAACCTGCCACTAGTTTTTTATTTTACTTTTATCTACTAACTTTATACAAAACTTCTCAATAATTTATCAATGTATTGATCTGTGATATTTGATGATTATATAACTAATCATATGATAATTGGATGTATACGACTATGAAAAATAAAATAAAGGATTAGGCTGGTACATAAACTTAGATTTGAACTAAGTTTGTGATATATTTGTTTAGTTGACTGAGGTCTTAATATGATGATAACATGTCTCAGCGTTTAGTGTTGTTTTGATTTGAGTTTTTCGATAATAACAAAATATTTCAAATTATAATATGTGTTAATTAAACATCAAAAGTAGAACATGACAAAAGATTAGTTTAACCATAATTTTGACCTTGTTCATTTATCTAAACTTTCATGGATGTTTACTAAATATATAAATGACAAGTTTTTGATTATTAAGATTTTTGGATCTGTAATGAATTATATAAAAACAAACTACTTTTTTAAAATATCCGGGGGAGATAGAGAAGATGAATAAAACTTGTATTTATAAACTCAGCTATCAATTTTGTTCGTCTTGATACCAAAAGAAAACTCCAAAGTGGTTCAAGAACGGTCAGTAATAACTTAAAAAATAATCAAGACAAACAAACGGTAATAGATATAGAGAACTAAGAAAGTAAAAAGTCACTAATTGATTCTCATAATCAAGTGTTCTAATATTCTAAAATTGCAAGAGGATGGATGCAATCAAACTCTCTTTTCTCTAAAGGAAAAAAAAAGAATGAGAGAAAGAACATTTTAATTTTTTTTGCATAAAATGCATTTATAGAGAAAAGAAGGGTGCAAAAATAAAGAGAAGCATTAAAAGATAATTGACAATTTAGAAGACACAATAAAATTTATGTAGTGATAGTAATCTTGTGTATATCATCCTATTAATCAAACTCAAAATTGATTATATAGGATGTGTTATCTTTTTAGCCGCCGTATAATCGATATATGAACTATTGGTTTTGGTTTTAACGATTCTTAAGACTTTGGCAATAGTCTTTTAATTTAGTTTTGACTATAAGAAGAAGAAAAAATGGTGAAAACACTAGCATACGAAATTTGGTTCTTTAAAACCACATTTTCGAGACCACGTCCAAGAAAAAATCTTCCAAAACATGAAAGGAAATAACACCACCATTTAAAACATACACCACTTTGTTTTACTACATCTGTTTTTTTTTCATAACCAACCAGCTCTGAGCTGAACTCCACCGAATCTAGACTTCAACTACGCATAACCGGCAATGCTAACGTACCACCGTCTAACACTTACAATGTCAACAAACACGAACCACAATCCACATAAAAGATAGATATTCTAATAAACTACAAAACATCATCGCATATAATATGTGTTTCTTCTTTTGTGCGCATACTCTTCAGCAATGACCACTAGCTACTCTTTATGATATCCACAAAATAACAAAAAAAAAAAAAAGAAAAAAAAAATCTTTGAGAATGTACATGAGTAGAGAAAAACGATATTTTCAAATTTCCAAGGCTTTTTTATTTATTTATTTTTGCTTAGTAGACAAGTCCACAAGTCTCTACATTTTTTCCCTCTTTTTCTGCTTGTATCCAAAACTTCCATGTTGCTTAAACGTTCCTTTTTTCTTAAAATCCGTAAGTAATTTGACTCAAAACAGTTTAAACATCATTAATTCAGGGAATCTAGACATGGCATTTTTTCTTAGAAAATAGTAATAGTAATATAAAAGAGAAAGAGGGCAAAAGAAGTCTGAGATTGATGAAGTAAATGACAGTAAGAGGCACATGTCGAACATGTCAGCTCCTCGAAAACCCATCTCTATCCCTTTCCTCCTTTGCGGCTCTTTTTTTTTTTTTTTTTTTCATTTTTAACTAAACTTAATTATAAAAAAAAACTAAAATATAATCAACAAATAATTTTAATTATCAAGTATTTATTAAAATAATTTACAAGTTTGGATGACCAAGACTAGTAGACTACTAGTGCATTATTTCATCAAATACATGTAATTTACAAGAAACAAATAATTGTAGCTAGGTTGCATTCTTAGAAAAACCTAATAAAATAAAGTGGACAGTTGGGATATGAAGTCAGGCTTATGTGTCTGAAAGTGATTAGATTTTTTTGTAGCTTTTCGTTATTTTTCTATTTGTATGTAAAATATTGAATGGGAAAAAAGAAGAGGAGAAACATGGCTCCAGCTGTATTCACGTACCCATCCATCTATTTTTGTCTTTAAATTTTTTGTTTATTCCATATTCTTAAGAGTTAAGATAATGAATAAACGTTTGTATTTTGTTATTATACTGTTTCATTTGTTATTGACTTCGATTGCATTATTAGTAGTATCTTTATTTCCACCAAACACTATTAACCTACCTCTAGTTCAATAATTCGACTGCGTGAATTTATTGTTGATAATATAATTGACAACCATTTATTAGTAGATCATTATTCTTCCTCAACATGCTTCGAGGATGGGACTATTATTTTACTAAAAAGTAGGTATAAATATTGAATCATGTTGAACTTAAACAACAAATATCACTCTGATATATTGATTATTCTCAATACATATAACTTAAATTCATATTTTTTGCGAAATTTTGTTAACATTTATAAAACTATTTATGAATAGTTTGTTTAAAAATCCATAAATAAAAACTACAGAAGAAAATATGTATAATAGTATAAGAAAAACTAAAAAATATGATGTGATAAGATTTGAGTGGACAATTCTTTAAGCATGATTTTCCATAACATGTTTTGTTAGTATACATTTTGAGAAACCATTTTATTTTTAAATAGATATAATAAAAATTACAATTCTACAGAAAATGGTCGACTTAAAACACATTATATTTATTTATTTTGAGCAATGAGGAAAGAAAAAAATATATTTGTAAAGTACGTTGACGTTAAAAGGATAATAAAAGAGGAGAGAAATTGCATTTTTAGGAACAAAAATAGAAACCCTTTATTTGTGTCTATATTCTCCCCGTCAATTTCGTTAGCGAATATCACAATTTTTCTTCGGGTTTAGAATATTTTTACTCACACAGCAAAAACGAGAGAGAGAGAGAGAAGAAAAGTTTCTCTCTTTGGGGTTCTGTGAAAACCAAAATCGAAATCGCATCATAATCTTAAATCTCTCTTCTTTCTACGAATTTTCATGTTTATGTTCCCTCTCTCTTGATTCCACCATTTCACTTATTTACATTTTTTTTTGATAAATTCTTCTCCTTTTTCTTTAGTTTTTTGGTTTTCACGAGAGGATTTTTCAAAGGTCTAAACTTTCTTGGGATCTATCAGATTGTCTTGAAAATAATGCTTATGAGTTTAAACAGGTTTGTAGCTGAATTCTTATTTGTTTCTTTCTTCTTTTGACTCATTTTGGTAAAATCCTAATTCCATAAAGTTTGTTACTTTTTCATTCTCTCTGCTTCTCTGTTTTTCCCTTGGCTTCAATTGGTTCTGGCTTGTTCTTTGATGAAAGTAGCAGCTTATTTTCAGCTTTAATGTTTGTTAAATGTAATTAAGTTTGTCGTATGCTGTTTGTTTATTCTAAGTAATTTAATTCCTTAGAGCTTGTAGCTTAAGTTTACTAATGGTAGAAGTCATGTGATCTTTGTTCTTTATAGATTAGAGCTATGGAAGAAAAAAAAAGACATTAAATACTCTAGCTTAGTGGTTTTGTAATAGAGAAGGCAGTAATAAAGAAAAAGAGGGGAAGTTCAATTTAAGTAGAAGTTTATTAAGAATCGTTTGAGCATTATCTATTAGCTCAAGACTGTTTTTTTTTTTTGTCATATTTCAGTTTCTGTTGATATGGGTTTAAGATGAAACTAACTTTGGTTTTGATCTCTTTCGTCTTTGGTTTTGGCTTGTTAGGTTGATTGATCATACCACCATGATGGATATGCATCATCTCTGATCCAATGGGGAAACGTTTCTGACCTTTAATGGATCCCCAAGCTTTTATTCGCCTTTCCGTTGGCTCTCTTGCTTTGAGAATTCCCAAGATCCTTTTGAACTCTACTTCAAAATCTGATGAGAAGAAGAACTTTTCTTCTCAATGCTCTTGTGAAATAAAACTCCGAGGCTTTCCTGTTCAAACAACATCTATCCCCTTGATGCCGTCCCTAGATGCAGCTCCTGACCATCACAGCATTTCCACAAGTTTTTATCTTGAAGAATCTGATTTAAGAGCTCTCCTGACCCCTGGATGCTTCTATAGTCCTCATGCTCACTTGGAAATCTCAGTTTTTTCGGGTAAAAAGAGTTTGAATTGCGGGGTTGGTGCTAAAAGACAGCAGATTGGGATATTTAAGTTGGAGGTAGGTCCTGAATGGGGAGCAGGAAAACCAATGATTCTATTCAATGGCTGGATCAGTATTGGAAAGAACAAGCGGGATGGTGCTGCAGAGCTTCATTTGAAAGTGAAGCTTGATCCTGATCCTCGATATGTTTTCCAGTTTGAGGATGTTACTACCTTGAGCCCTCAGATAGTTCAGCTCCGTGGCTCGGTCAAGCAACCTATCTTCAGTTGCAAATTTAGCCGAGACAGGTGACATTTGATTTTTTTTTCGTATATGCACAAATCTATCTCTATGTGCTCTCTGTTTCGTTACTGATGGCGGTATTGATTCTTCAGGGTGTCTCAAGTGGATCCGTTGAACGGGTACTGGTCAAGTTCAGGCGATGGAACTGAGCTTGAGAGTGAGAGACGAGAGAGAAAAGGCTGGAAGGTGAAGATACATGATCTCTCTGGCTCTGCAGTTGCTGCTGCTTTCATAACAACTCCCTTTGTCCCATCCACTGGCTGTGATTGGGTCGCCAAGTCCAATCCGGGTGCTTGGCTTGTGGTCCGGCCTGACCCATCTCGGCCCAACAGCTGGCAGCCTTGGGGAAAGCTCGAAGCTTGGCGGGAACGTGGGATCAGAGACTCCGTGTGTTGTAGATTCCACCTTCTATCAAACGGGCTAGAAGTTGGAGATGTTTTAATGTCTGAAATTCTCATCAGCGCTGAGAAAGGTGGGGAATTTTTAATCGACACGGATAAACAGATGCTAACGGTTGCAGCTACCCCAATTCCAAGCCCGCAGAGTAGCGGAGACTTCTCAGGGTTGGGACAATGTGTCTCTGGAGGCGGGTTTGTAATGAGCTCGAGAGTGCAAGGGGAAGGGAAAAGCAGCAAGCCTGTGGTACAATTAGCTATGCGGCATGTAACTTGTGTGGAAGATGCAGCCATTTTCATGGCACTTGCTGCAGCTGTTGATCTTAGCATTCTGGCTTGTAAACCTTTCAGGAGAACGAGTCGGAGAAGGTTCCGGCATTACTCCTGGTGAAGAAAGAAACTCTCTTTTGTGTTTTTAGTGTACAGTTTTTGAATTGGACTCAAAAGTCTCATTGTATTAGGAAGAAACTGGCTTAAGATTAAGAAATTTAGCTCTTCTCTGAATCAGACCAACTTCATATCAGTGAAACAATATCCACTAGACGAGGTCAAGAACTAAGTAGATCAAAGTCTTTGAAGCAACTAAACCAGTCAACAGAAATGATAATTCTAGTCTCATAATAAGATCAAAAACAGCAAAAAAAAACTTGGAAAAATGGAAAAGTAAACAAAGGATTTGCCCTTAAAACCTTCAGTTCTTCTTATCACCTCCCACTTCAATTTTCTTCTTCTTTGCGGTGGCCTGAGAATACAAGAAGGTACCGAAAATCGCAATGGCTGATCCAAGAGCATTCAGTGGTCTAACAGGATTCCTAAACACCAAAACCGTGGAGACAATCACCACGACTCGCTTCATCGTGTTCCCTACAGAGAAAGTCAATGGACTGATCTCGTCGAGTGCCTGGTAAGAAGATTGGTTGTACAGATGGTAGAAGACACCAGAGAGCAAAACCCAAAAGTAGAACGTTGATGGTGTCCCAACAGATGCAATGGCTTTATGGTAACCTTGAACCCAATGTGATCCTTCAACGAAAATCGCCACGGGAAACAGATAAAGCAGAGAGAGTATACTGATGCAACCGTATAGGTTCAATCCATCAATCTCTTTAAAGCTCTGTAGACTTCTTTTAGAGTAAATGTTTCTTAAGACGAAACCAACGTTACTAATCATAGCTCCTGATAATCCACCTAAATTGAATGAGACTTCAGTGACTGCAGCTAAAGAACAACCCATAACAATCGGAAGAATCGATAACCAGACAGCTAACGGATACGAATCACCGAGTAAAGACGAGAAGATAACAGAGAAGACAGGCTCTGCTGATTTGATAACATGAGTGAAAGAAACAGCGACTTTGGAGAACGAGACACAAGCTGAGATGTGTCCAATAGTGTGAAACAATGCAGGACCAAGGAGAGCAATGATGAAAGGCTTGGAGATTTTAGGGCAAGGATAAAGCTTAAAGGACCATAAGATAAGCATCCAAATAGAACCTGCAAAGAGCTGAAACGAAGCTAGAAGCCATGGATAAGGGAAGACATTGAGTGCCTTTTTGTTGAAGATGTTGAAGACGATGTTCTGGAAATACCAAAGACCAAACACAATCCCTAGCTGAAGAGTCTTAGCTTTCTTCTCTTTTTTCTCCGCTTCGCCAAGATCGGATTTTTCGTCTGGATTTGAATCCGATGAGCCAACGGCGGCGATGGATCTGGGTTTTCTCGAGAACCCAGATGAGGATTCAGGGTTGGAGAGTGAAAGTAAGGGTTTTGCGGCGGCATCACGAATCTGGAGATTGGGAATCGGTGAAAGCCCTAGTGGGTATCTGTGATTGAAGGGTTTAGGGTTGGTGACGAGAAGAGCAGAGAGACGGGTCGGTTGTTGACGGGTCCGGGTCTTGTGGAGGAGACCCGGACTAAGGGAAGGAGATAGATTCAGGGAGATCATTGCTTAAGCACGAACAGTAAGCACGAACACAGGAAGAAGAGAGAGGGAGAGAGAAGAAAAAGAGATAGCTTTTGGGTTCGGTTGTGGGTCGTCGTCGGCTCTGGACCAAACGTCAGAGATCCGTTGGGAAGTACAAAATTTTTTGAAAGCTCTGTTCTTGGACTTTGATCCTCCTTCGAATATAGTACTATCTTTTTTAATTATTCCAATTTTGGTAAAATGGCCCATCCTATTTGAAAAAACATTATGCAAAATGTCTCAAGATTCGAAAAAATGGGACTCACATTTGAAAGTTTGGAATTTTTAATTTGTAAATTTTATAATTTTAAATAAATTTTATAAGATTAAAAAAAACTTCACGATAAATTTTACTATATCGTTTTGATTGTTAGCAATTACAAAATCAGAAAAGATTAGTGATATTCTAAAACCGATACAACCATTTGTCTCTTGTCGTTATTTTTGCATATCGTATATTGATTTTGTTATCGCTTATCGTTTTTTTTTTCTTAATCCAAACATTTTGGTTTTGAATGCATGTTGTGGACAAAGCGGACTAAACCACTATATTTTTACGGCGAACAACAATCTGCCGCGGACCAAATTTGTTTTTGTGTAAAAGTAGTTCATAGTTGATCCGTAGTGGATTTCTTCGATCCGCACTTCTATAAACTATAATTTATGAATGGTAAATAAAAAACAGCTCAATCCGCAAACGGATTTGTCCGTTCCAACTGCCGCAACCACTCGAAGTTTCAAACCCTTTACCTTTTTGTGTCACCCAAATCATTTAGGTTCATTGATGTTAAACTACTGAAGTTTGTTTTTTTTTTGGAATTTTTTTTCTCTCACTTTTTACACGCTGGAGATGAGAAAAAGGCCAATGTGGTAAATTAGGCTTTTAAAAGTTTTGAAAGAAGAAACCAACGACACGAAGCTAGTGTCAGATCTCGAGATTTGAATCGGTGTTGAAGCCGTCGCCGGAATTGGTGGAGAGAAAAATGGCGGCGAAGCAAATGGAGGAGATACAGAAGAAGCTAGGGCTTCTAAGTTACCCTAGGGCAAATGCTCCAGCTCAGTCTCTCCTCTTCGCTGGGATGGAACGTTATGCTCTTCTCGAATGGCTCTTTTTCAAGTAACTCTCTTCCTCTCCTTCTTTTAGCTTATTCGATCCTCTTCTACCAGAAAAATGCTGGGAAATTCTCTGAATTTTGAAGATCAATTTGAATTCACAACATTTTGAAATTTTCGAGCTCTAATCAAAAATTCCATGGGGTTGAAATTGACAACAGTGTATGAAGGTCTTAATGTAGAATTGGGTCTGTTTGAATTGCTTGATTAACCTGGAAATTTTGGTTTTTTTCCTTCTTCTTTTGCATTCACAGTGAAAGTAATGATGTAGATTTATTTGGGGTTTACTTAGTGTTTCTTGTTTGGTTACTTGAAGGTTATTAGGTGATAAATCACCTTTCTCACAGCAAAATCTCCAAGGAGATGCTGGAGTTCGTGATGAAGAAACTGTTCGTATTCAATGTAAGTGTTTCTTTAATTGTGTTGGCCTTTGAACAAAGCAATAATGCGTAGCTATTATCTTAGACTATAGTGTTTGCTTCCATTGATATGGTGTTAGTGCTGGGAAGAGTTTTGATGTGTAAGTGACTTCTCGTTTTCAGATTTGGCAGAGATCGCAAAGTTTTTGGGGATTACACCAACTGTAGACATAGAAGCCATTCAAGTAAGCTTGTTTTAGTTTGTTTGATCATCTTTTTTTAATCTAGCCTTCACTGTATATTTGCATTTACCTATATTTGCTCAAGTTCCGTGATTTGTCAAAGTGCAAGCATGGTTCCACGATTGAATTTTCTTTTTTGTAGATTTCCAAATTTTTAAGATGCAATAATAGTATCATTGTTTTAGGGACATGGAACCTATGAAGATCGGATGGAAATGCTTCGCAATATTGTTGATCTAGTGGAGGCAAGCCTCTTCTCAGATAATCAAGAATGGAGGTAGACATGTCACTTGTATCTGATATTTTCCACCAGTTTGTATCATTAGTGTGGCATTTTTGTAGTCTTTCATCTCCCTAATTCCCGTCAACGTTATTGTTTGTTTTGTTCTTTAGTATTGATGAGCAAGTTGCCAAAGATATCCAGCTCATAGATGCTATTGCAGAGAGACAGTCTCTTATATTTTCGGAGGAATGCAAACTGTTCCCCGCTGATGTGCAGATCCAGTCGATATATCCATTGTAAGAACCATTTTCTCCTGTTATCTCCAAGTTATTGCACATTTTCTCGTTATTTAGTCATTGTGGGTAATGGACTTTTTCAGATGTATTGTAAATGTAAACTTAGTTTTCCAAATTAACATATGAAACTTTGCTACTATGAGTCACTAGGGTTAGCAATGTGTTTTTGGTGCCAGTTAGTTATATCCTTTTTTTCACTTATGCTTATAGATCTATCTGGTCTCAGAGGTTTCCGTTTTAAATCAAGCTTTAGGTTATACTACTATTGTACGTGCAAACCTTAGTCCTTAGATTGTTGCTTCATGTTTCAGCAGATGTAGTGACCTTATGTTCCTTAATCGAAGTTAATTTGCAGACCAGATGTTTCAGAACTGGAGACAAAACTTTCAGAACAGGCCAAGATTCTCTCTAATCTTCAACAGAAAGTCGATGACTTGGCAGCAAAGGTGTGTTTTGGTTTCTCCATATTGAAGAGTTATGTTTTGACTCTAAACTACAGAACTCATTGGACCAATTTGCTGTTTCATCAGACTTGAAATATTTCACTCAACTTATTACGTATCGCTGGTTTACTTGTAAACTACATATACCAATTGCTTAACATATAGCTCTTAAATTATAAGTACATATGTATATATGCATCTCAATTCCTACTACTTATTGACTTGTTGATAAAAGGAAACAGTCTTGTTTTTTAGCAGCTAGGTCTAATTATGTCTTTTTCTCCTTTCAGCATGCTTACAACCCAGATGAAGAATATACTGAAGTGGAATCTCAACTAAGGGCTCGTTTAGAATCGTTTCTTGAAACTGCTAGGGCATTCAATACAATCTACACAAAGGTATTTCTTTTTCATACTAACTCAGAATTCTCTCTCCCTATCAACCTAGATTAGCTGGAGCAAAATGTTTAAGCTCAGCATTTTTCTTGTAGACATGAAATCTGCTATTTCTCTCTATCATGCTGCTTCCATGTCGCAAAAAAATGCCTCTTAATATCTTTTGATCTGACTATCTTTTCCTGAACCTGAAAAATAATTGTATCTTTATCACTATGTTGGATTTTTTCAGGAAATTCGTCCATGGACGCATATGATGGAAGTGCCTCAGCTTCATGGTTTTGGTCCTGCTGCAAACCGTTTACTAGAAGCATATAATATGCTTTTAAAGGTACCCCATTGTCTCCTTCTATCTTTATACTTGGTTGTATCGACTAAATTGAGTAGCTCTCGGCGGATTTAACTTAGTTGACGAGGCGGATCGAGTCCATATCAGTTATGCTTTGATTCTGATAACACGATGAAATGAAATGAATTGTTCACTGTTTGGCAACAGTTCCTAGGGAACTTGAAGAACCTAAGAGACTCACATGCAGCACTTTCAATTGGATCATCGGGGACAGTTGCTGGAGAGCCGTCTTCTGTAACCAGAATCGTATCTGACTGTGAAGCTGCATTAACTGTTCTCAATCGAGATCTTGGAATCCTCTCGGCTTCTATTGCTCGTGAGCAAGGTGAGCGTCTATAACCGTCTCGAGTTGACCACACTTGAAAAAGAGCTGCGTTTATTATTGCATCATTCAGTTCTACTCCATGAATGTGATGATTTGTATTTGGTAGAAATCATTTTAGGGGTGTATTTTGATCTCAAGAATTGTATAACTCTTTTCAGCACTTTTTGCTTCTGTTATTTAACCAAATCTAATCTAAAGGTAAAAAAATTCTCATCGTTTTTTCATATAAAATTTATCGTACCGAGATGTAAAAGAGCTTAAACATGAGTATCACATATTAAAAAGACGTTTCAAGATTAACAGAGACGAAACATTGACTCAGAACTTTGAAAGTCAATTTTAAACATTTACTTAAAAAAAAGAGTTCAAAGAGACTGAAGAGCATTTCCCCTGCAGCAGCCACAAGCGTCGTTCTCAGAAAGACAGTGTTAGTAATGGTCCTGCTGTTGTCTTCTGGAACAGGTGCTGACTCGTCAAACTTTTGTTTCTTTGGCTCTGATTCCTCAGCTAGTTGTCCAGGAACTTTTTAAGTAAAAGAAATAGAGATCTCAGTGGAAGCTATACTTCTGTTAACAGCTAGTTGTCCAGGAACTTTAAGTAAAAGAAACAGAGATCTCATATTCCTGATTTCGACAAGATTTGGTGGATCTCCATTGTAGCAGATGTATGTCTTTCACTTAGTATGCCATTGGTCTAAGCTCTTGGAATCGTTCAAGTTGCAGGTGAAGAAAAACTACAAAAGACTCCCATAGTCTTGACATGGGTTCTCTCAGCAAACAGAGTTTTCAAAGCAAGTCCTCTTTGGAATAACCATCGGAACAGTGACTCAAACACACAAGATATAGAAAACCTTGCAAACATATACATACATATATATATATATATATATATTCATCAAATTTGTTATCAAGATCCAGATTTATGTGGCTTCCCTTAACGTGTAATTATGCTGTGTGCATGTATGTGAAGGTCGAATTGAATTGTGAAGACTCAAATAATAATATGGACTCCTATGCATGACAAGAGAACTCCAATAATAATATGGACTCCTATGCATGACAAGAGAACTCCAATAATAATATGGACTTTGATTTGTACAATGGTTTTTGCCAATCATAAACGTAAACGTTTCATATAAACAACCATTAACGCAAAAATTGAGGTTTATAACAAAAGAAGCCTTACATGGCTTCAAGAGCTTAGCTCAGCTTTTGGCAAATGTCTTCATTGAGAAACTTTTCTTTGTAGCATCAAAAGCTGCCTCGAACACCGTCTAAGCTTTCCCCGAGTGATGACCTGCAAAAAACAGATGGATATATAGATGATTCATGTCGAATCAAGGGAACTTTGCACAACCAGTCATTCATATTGTTTTATAACTACTGAGAAGTACAAGTATTGTCAAGTTCCAAAAAAGTGGTAGTAAAACCTAAGAGAGAATTTTCCTTTAAAACCTTACTTGTACATACAATACTTGTACTCTTGGCTCCTAATCAAATCTTTTTCACCTTCTTCAAGCTGCTCAACAAAACAAGACAATGCATAAAAAAGAAGAAGACAGAATTTACAGAAAACTCATCATCATAACCATCGCTTTACAAGACTCACCGGATCACTCTCATAAATGAGTTGATAGCAAACCGGAGAAAGGCATCGCAGCGCACAATTCTCTTTCGCTATTGCAGAAGATTTGCATTGCCAACCCCATAACCCACTGTTTTATTTTCCACAGCACATAACACAAAAGTGAGTAAAAAAAAGATAGATCCAAGAATTTTCTAAATATAACAAGTTTAGCCAACTAATCCTACAATATGATTCACAATATCTTCCAAGTATAACCAAGAATCAAGTTACAAAAGTTTCCCAATTTGTAAGGATAAAAACCAATAATGAAAATTTCTCAATACAAGTATCAAAGAAAACCAATTCCGTGATCATCTCTTACGTCTATACCCTAATGGTTGAAATCAAATCACCAAGAGCAAGAGAGACTATGCGAACCAAATCGCAAGTACCCCGTGGACTCACCTCTCTATATCAGCGTAGCATTCGCTCTTCTTCTGCCTGATTTCCACATCCTACGAAATCGATTATTCCGGAAAAATCAGCAAAGCATAATCCAACGGAGCTTAGATTGAGATTCAAACACAGAGATGAAGGCGAGACTTACGGAGATGGGACGAGGAGATTTGGAAAAGACGCAGGGAACGAAACAAATAGAGAGTAACAGAAGAAGACAAACGAAGCTTGAACGAGCTCGGGAAATTTCCATGGCGTCTCTCGAGACTCGAGCTGTTTCTTCTCCGATCGCAGTGGCTAGTTCCAGCTTCGATATAGAAGAACGGTTTGACTAATAATAATAAGCAACTGTGGAATTTTCGAGATAACCGAACCGGTCTATTCCGGTCTTAGATTCTGGGCCTATACGAATATCTCTGTTTAAATCGAAAGCCAACCAAAAAAGGTTTACGCAGTGAATCTCAGAGACTCAGACCAATGACGTCATATTAGTTCAATTTAATGTCATTTTTAGAATTAGTCTCCGAAATTTCTAAAATAGCTGATCAATGCCGACTTCAAATGATACGTTTCACTATTGAACCCTCTTTCAAAAAAACTATTGAATCATTCATCCATGATGTGCTCATGTTCACACTGACTTATGCAGTGATTCCTCTTTGTTTGTGGACGAATCTTTTTTTATGGATGGATGATGAAATGTCGACAGACATACACAGCATAAGAAGACAAGTTTAATGCCGTAATAAATCAACCACTTCCTCGATGTGAGTATCATCAGATTATATTCTTCAGCCTCCTAAATCCACATCTTTTCTTTTAGTATCAAAATTCAAATTATACTATTAAACTCTCCTTTTTTTATTTAAAAAATAAACGAATTTATAAAGACAGGTTTTCAGTTGTTAAAAGAAAAAAAAAGACAGGTTTCATATGGGTCGTTTTCTTTTTTAAGTAATAGAATGGTGAAAGACAGTAACTTTGGACTCAAGCTTAAGCATCAGAATCTTTTTTTCCTTACCTCCTTGGAGGTCGCATCCTGACTAATTATTATAGATTGATTATCTACGCACTTACAAGATTCCCTGCTAAGTTACCGATTCCTATTGACCTTGCAAAGTTATCTTGTTATTTACATCACTTTAATTATTTGGTGTTCATGTCCACTAGAAGATTCAAGATTATGTAACACATCTATCTTCAAGATTGTGTAACTTGTGTTACATAATAGTAGTATAGTAGTAGTAGTAGTAGTATATATGACATGAAAGTTAGCATTAGTATACTTAATGAATGATGCACGAAGAAATGAAAAATTATTCGCAAAAGAAGAAGAAGGAAAATGTGAAATTAATTTGAGATCATTAGCATTATTTATTTATTATATAGCATGCATATGCTCGCAAATCTTTTTTTTGTCAAAGAAATCTTTTCTTCTTGTTCTTTCATTAATCGATATTTCATATATCCAAAGATCAAAACTACATTAAAATCTACAACATTAGATTTCAAAATGCTCTAAGAATATACAAGGATATTACTCTCTTTCTTGTACTCTGATTCGTTATTTAATTTTCATCTTTTTAATTTGTTGTCGTTCCATCTGTTTTCTTTGAATACAAAATGTTGGTTAACAATCCTTCCCAACGTATAAAAGAAGTCAATTTCGAAACTATGATAGAGACACTCATGCTTACTTATCATTGAATACTTAGATTTGGTTAGAAATCAAATAAAAGATGTCTGTTTACTTGTTTAGCTATATCCCATCTTTAGCATATCATTGAATTATTTGCCAGTTCCACATGGCGTATGTTCAAGACTCCTTTAGGTAGTCGTCTTCACCAACAATTTACCAACAAATGTTATACTTTAAATGAAAGGTACTTAACCTCCATTATATGAGTCATATCTACGTAACTATCCCATTAATTACCAAACAACAAATATGATAAGTATCACATACCTATCATATCATATTATCATTCTCAAAAAACCTTCGACCTTGCTTAAAGATATATACCACACACGACAAATGTATTATCTACTCTAATTTCTTTTTTCCAAATACTCACATTGTCTATTAACTTATCTGGAAGACTTATACTTAAAAAGAAACGAAACGAATAAAGCTAAAGCATAAAACAGCTATCTTTGAACCTTTTAGTGCCATGTATATATTTTCTTGTTTCTTTGGTTAAATTTTTAGTTCCCATATTCTCCACAAAAGATTATTGTATTTTTGTACATACAAAAGGCCAACATGTTACGCCCAAATCATTCCCCTTCACAAAAAGTGAGAGACCATCTAAATACCTAAACATACTATAATCAAGTTTTTAATTTTATTTAAAGAAAGTTAGTTGTAAAATGATGTTAAAACATGTACAACAATATTAATAAAAAAAATACATATCTTAAAGAATTAATCCCTTATTATAGAAGTCCAAAGATAATAAAACTCTTTGATCACAAAGAGCCCAAAGATAAGGAGAGAAAGAGAGAGTGACACTTCACCACACCACCTCCTCTCTTTCTTCTTCTTCTTCTTCTTCTTCTTTCTCTGCTTCTTTAACACAAAAACAACATTGAGAATCAATCAAAATGGGATCAATGCCAAACCCTAATCCATGGTCACCATACGATTCTTCCTACAACGATTGCTCTCAAGGAATCTGCAACATCTACTGTCCTCAATGGTGTTACCTAATCTTCCCTCCACCTCCTCCTTCTTTCTTCCTCGACGACTCCTCCTCCTCCTCCTCCTCCAGTTTCTCTCCTCTCCTCATCGCTCTCATCGGAATCTTAACCAGCGCCTTCATCCTCGTCAGCTACTACACTCTCATCTCAAAATACTGTCATCGCCACCACCAAACCTCCTCTTCAGAGACTCTTAACCATAACAGTGACGGTTTCTTCTCCTCCACGCAAAGAATCTCTGCGACTGGAGATGGACTCAACGACTCTATGATTAAATCAATCACAGTTTATAAATACAAGAAAGGAGATGGATTCGTCGATGGTTCTGATTGCTCTGTTTGTTTGAGTGAATTTGAAGAAAACGAGAGTTTGAGAATGTTGCCAAAATGTAATCACGCGTTTCATCTTCCTTGTATTGATACTTGGTTAAAATCTCACTCTAATTGTCCACTTTGCCGCGCTTTTGTCACCGGAGTTAATAATCCCACCGCTGTCGGCGAGGCTGGTTCAGTTGTTGTAGCTAACCAATCGAGTTCTGTTCATCAAACCGGTTCGGTATCTGAAATCAATTTGAATTTGGCCGGTTACCAACACCAAACCGGTAATTCAGTCGTTGTAATTGAAGATCTGGAGATTGGATCTCGGAATAGTGATGGAAGATCGGAATTACAACCACCGGAGGAGCGGCGGGACACTAAGGATGAAGATTCTCTGCCGATTCGAAGATCTGTATCGTTGAACTCAAGTGTAGTGGTTTCGATTGCTGATGTATTGCGAGAGATCGAAGACGAAGAAGAAGAAGAATCCGGCGGTGCTGGAACTTCGCAGCGGCGAGAGGAAGAGGAAGATGGCGATGGGAAGACGCTTCCACCGACGGAGGCGAATCAGAGAAGCGGCGGAGTATCGAATTTTCTGGTACGGAGTTTATCGACGGGAAGATTTATTTTCTCGAGGTATGATCGAGGGCGAAATTACCGTTTACCCAATTAGATAATTACGTTAATTTGTTTTAATTAATGTATGTTACTAACTTACTATGAAACAAAATTTCACATTAACTGTTTTTTTTTACTGTATTTACTGATAAATTAAACAGTTCACTAATAGTGAATTAGTGATTTCTTTTTGAAGGCTGAGAAAAAGTGATGATTATTTTAAGTAGAGTAATTGGTTCCCTCCTGAAATTATGGAACATCCATCACAAAAGCAATGTGATTTTATTGAGGAAATATATAATTGGTAAATACTAAATACTATCAGAGGCGAAATTTGCTCGTGGTGGCCATTTTTGTCGCGGGTTAGCTAGCGAGTAAAACCTCTTTGGAAAGAAAAGCATTGTGAAACTTGGCTTGGTTTTTTTTTCTTCCAATAGCTAGCTTAATGTCATGGTCGAAGATCAAGGGATAAATGTGAACATGTTGACCGAATTCACATATAATCCAAAAAGAACATGGTGACAGAAGAAAAGTTTGGAGCTAGATCAGAGAAGTATCTTTTATGCATGCTAAGAAAAGTCTAAGATTTTAGCATCCCTCTAAATAATGATCATTGAGTTTCGAATGGAGCAGAAGAAAGAACGAAGACCATTGTGTACGGGTATGGACCCAATTCAGATCAAAATTAACCACTCGTAACAAGCTTTTTCTTTTAAAAATCTTAACGATCTTTTTTGGATTATGAATATGTCTGAAATAATCTCTCTCGCATAAACAAAGATAATTTATCACACAACGTTTAAAAACGAAAATCACACAAGAAAAAAAAAAATCATGAATCTGATGATTTTGTGACCTTGTAATCTACTCCTCGAGTCCTAGTTGTAGAATTTTGTTGCGTTTTGAGTGTTTAACGTTATTGTGAGCGTACTCAAGATTTTTGTTGTGTGTGAACCGCATTTGTTTGTGTTTCTCTGACTTTGTCAAAAAATCTGATGCAATGTGGAAAGCGAGACCAATGTCTACATTAAACAGACAAAACAACAAAATGCGACAGGACAAAAAGCCTATACCCACAAACAAGGTCTCTAACAATATCTATATATGTTCCAAACTTGACTTGAGGCAGAAATTTGATACTCGGCCAGAGACGTATGCCCCATCGCCATCTCGGAAGAATCAGTGGGAGACTCTGAATTTTCAAAACAATTTAAGCTCCTTGATGCTAAAACATATAAAGCCATTTTTCTATAGACTTTACGTTAATTTTACATTGTGAGAACTGTTTGTCCATTAGGTCATTGATTTTTTTTTTCAATTGTTTGTTACCAAATCTGTGTAACACACACACACACAAAAAAAAAACTAATAATATTTTTTAAAAAAGTGGAGCTCATGTATTAGACATCGTGAACATTCGTCGCATCTTCGTTGATCGCACGATAAGGATATATGTACCATGTAGTCTTATTCTATATTTTTTACGCGGTCTCATGATAAATTGCCACCACTAAAAGTTGTTCTACATGAAAAAAAACAAAATGACTGATGAGATTAATCAAACCGCAAATATCATACTAAAATTTCCTTCCAATGTTGAATAAATTTGTTAGTATCTCACCATAAAAGTGTTACATTTCCTATTTTCACTCTTAGAGCGTAAAAATCTAGAACAACTTCACAACGACTCACTAATAAAACTCTTCGCAGTAATTTAGCGACCAAAAGAGGAAAAAAACAAGAAAATAAAATACATATTAAAACCGAGCCCGCGTTTAGCGCTCTTTTCAGTTTTCTGTTACACCAAACTTTTCCTTCTCACAAATTTCCCGAGAAAAAAGAAAGAAAAGAAACGAAAAGAAAAGAAAAAGAAAAAGAGAAAGCAAATTCTGATTCAAAGACACATTCTCTGAATTTTCATTGTGTTACAACAGTGGTCGGAAATCGAATGGATCAGAGAAAAGGTGATCCAAGAATATACATTGTCACTTTTCTCTTCCTTTCATGTATCCTCATAGGAGGAGTCCTTTTAGGACTTTACCTGGTCCGTTCTGATCCGAACCCTCTGTTTTTACAAGCGGGTATGGTCTTTGTTGGTGTCCCTTGGCTCTTTTGGTTCTTGGCTTACGTTTACTCCTGCGTCCTCAAACCTTGCATCATCTTTGTTAGCAAGAGCAGCATCTTTGTTAGCAAGAGCGTTACCAGTTTCGATCCGGAGAAAGGCGATCCGGAGAAGAACGTCAACAACAAGGTTCCCGAAAACGTCACGTCAACTTCGGATCCTGCGCCGAGGAATTCACCGAGGGAAGGTGAGAAGCATGTGCAATTCGGGAATGTGGTCGTTCTTGGGGATGAAGAAGGAAAAGAGGAAGATCAAAACGAGAGTAGTTCTAATAATCTTATTCAGGATCATATGCGAATCCAAGAAGAAGAAGATCAAGAAAATCAAGAAAATGTTAGATCGAATTCAAGAAGCGATGATGATGAGAGTAGTGTCGATAAGGACTGCGATAGGACGCCATTGAGATTATCGATCGGAAACAAATGATCTGAGACCGGATGATCGATGTTTAGTGCGCGGATCACGACCTGATCTTTTTTTTCAGGTTGTAAACAAGATTGAACAAAGAGAGAGGCTGTGAGAAAGCTACTTCTCTCGTTGACGTGTGAGACAAGGAATGTTGTTCTTTGAGTAAGAACTAGTTACCATGTAAAAGACCCATAGAAGAATTTGTTTTGTTGTAGCTTTAACTTTGTTATGCTTATGGATTTTTGATGAATTATAAGAGATCAGTAACCACACACACCCCAAAAAACAGAACCTGATAAAAGTTTTCTCCAATGTCAGAAACAGAGCATGAACAAGAAGAGGACCATGGACCCAATGTAATAAACAAAAAACAGAGACAGAGTAGTTTTATTTTAGTTATATGTAGTGATGATGAATCTTCTTCTTCTTCTTCTTGACATCACAGGTGCAAGCATCAACTGAATAAGAAGAAGAAGTCAAGCAACCAAACTTCCTCTTCACTTGTCCCCACACACTTGTCTTCTTCTTCTTCTTCTTCCAACGATGAACAACACATTCATCATTCTCAATCTCATCTTCATCGCTCGAAACGCCAATTTCTTCTTCTTCTTCTTCATCTACTTTCTTTTCCATACCCTTAATCTCTTTAGCCACTGTATCACGTATCTGAAGCTGAGAAACAAACAAAACTTGAACAACGATTCTAAGAGGAAGCTTCTGGTTTTTGGCGGCTCGCTCGCATCCTTCTTGAGAGAGTTTACTACATTCAAGAACTTTACAAACTTCCATCTTCTCTGATTCAGTTAAGTATCTGTGGCTCTCCAAGAATACATCAATAGCTCTGTAAATCCCATCTGAGTAGCTCAAAATACCTTGCGAAATAGCCACAGTCATCTCCGCTAACTCCACAAACGCCTCGAGCTTCAGAGAAGCCTCACTCGCAGCCAAGAACAGAAATTCTTCTGACAGTTTTGCTACTTTCACGAAATGTGAAACATTTTCAGAGTCTTCATTGGCGTAGTAAGTGTAAAAGCTCTTTACCACGGTTTTAACGAGCTCGATATTTTCGAAACCCTCAGCTTTTTCTCCGTATCCTCGGGATAGAATCTTGAGATCTGTTGATTTAGCCATGTCGAGCTGCTTGCAGATTCTGATCATGAATCCATTTCGACATTCGGAGTTGGCTTCTAACCAGATCGAATGCTTTAGCGATTCGAATAAGAGTTCACAAGATATTAGCCCCCTTTGATGTGGCAGAAGCCTCTCAACCGCTTCAATTGCTTCTTTTTTTTGCCCTGAAAGGCTTTCTTCCGCATCGAAAACCCATTTCTTCGCGTATTTACAGACCGATAAAACGATGTATTCCACGGGAATGCTGCGGGATTTAATTGCTCGGATCATCAAAGGTTCATATAACCGAAGCGGAATTGTGATCAAATCTTCCGATTTCCAATCTATAACAAACAATCGTCTCCTAGGGTTAGGTCTATAATCATCGGTTTCCACTCTGTTCTTGATCAGTTCACCAAGGAGTCTGGGATCGTAGGAAGCTTTTTCAATAAGGGAATCAAAGAAGAGATCAACGAGTCCAACATCAGTTAGCTTGTCGAAACTCTTGTCCCCTGAACGAAGAGCATTTACTGTCTCACTCCAGCTCGGAAAAACTCGTTGCTCTAAGAACTCAGATGCCTTGCCCAACAAGTTATTAGAGCTTTGTTCTTCATTCATCCCTAAGTAATACGCGATGCAGAGAACAGAGACGATGGTATCAGACGTAAACTTGAATTCACAGCCATTACAGAATCTTTCAACGAGCTCAAAGGTTTCTGGATCGACTTCTAAATCTCGTAGGATCAAACGCAGCTCATCGATCTCGTTTCGCTCGAGTAATGAGCTCACTTTCGACGATCTCTTTGCTAACATTTCCTGCAAAAACAAACTCGGAGAAATTAAGAAACAAAAGTCTCGATCCTATTCGATGAATATCTGGAGAATCAAATGAAACTTACTTTGCAAAGATGAAATGGAACACCCTTTACGTTTATATGAAGATCTGATACATATGATGCTGACATTGAATTTCTTCAAGCAGTGAATATACAATTAGAAGAGAGATCATGGATTAAATCGGAATGAGGATAAATAATCTGAAATAAAAGAGATTAAGAAATCTTACCGGTTCTCATTGTTGTTCTTCTTATCTAAATCTGACATTTTTTGTAGCAGTTTTGGATTAGCCTGAAGGATAGTAGATTTCTGAGTTGGTCTGTATCTTAGGCTCCAAGAAACAGAGTACTCAGTTTCATGTGTTCTGCAACAATGGAAGAAAACAGAACCAAAGGCAACAAAACAAAATATATCTTAAAAATCAAATCGGTAACTTCAAATGAAAAAAAAAAAAGCTTATCAAGAAAAGAATGACTCTTCCAGAGATATAGGATTAAGTTGAGATATAGCAGGATTCTCCGGGGGAAAAGTATTAGTTCGTTTATATTACAGTGTAAGCAAACTTGGAACAATTTTAACTATTTCTTAATAAGGAACTAACTGTACGTAAAAGACTCTAATCACATCATTATCTGATATTTATTTGTCACACAAAGCCATCATAAATAGGCTTTGTCTTCTTCAAAATCACACAAAATCAAAAAAAATTAATAACCTTTGTAAAAAGAAAAGTGTGACTGTCTATAACACACTGGTACAATGAGTCCAAATTTAAAGCCTCGTAACAGAGTGATGAGAAACACTACGATGTCTTAAGAACTCATGATACATGTGTTGTTGAATGGTTTTGATTGTGACCAGAGACATCACCAGTACCTAAAGACACAAATCCATTCTATGTTTTATCAAAAAGCTTGTTTCAGGACCAAAAAAGAGATGTGAAGAGACAAACTACAAGAAATCATTTACCTCTCTCAAGAAGCATCTTCGAACCTTCGTAAGAGAATAACCGAACAGCATTCTGGTAGCTTAGTTCTGCGAGTTCTTCATTCTTCATGTCCAACAACCGCGCTACATACCCGAGTACCTGTAACCGTGATTGATTAGGGTCATAATTTTCCATGGTTTTATGAAAAAGAAGATCGGTTAAGCAGCCGCAAAGCAACAACATACCATATGAATATTAGCCGGATGATTAAGTGTTTCCTTTGGCAACTTCGTCGAGTCACTAGACACATTAGACTTATCATTTGAGGCAGAATCAAGATCCTGAGCTGAATTTCCTTCTTCGGGTAGAGAAGGATCTCCGTCTACGAAGTAGAGAGAACCTAACTCTGCCTTTGGTAGTGCATCTGGTGAATCAGTTTCCAATAAGATCCTATCAGATGGAACCTACCAAGAACTGAAATCAAGGTTCCATTCCACCTAAAGCTGTAATATGGTATAGAAAAATTTGGAAATCTTACTGCTTTCAACATCTTCTTGGCTTTTTTCTCACTCATGGACATAAGGAAACCGGAGAAGGAGAAATATGCACCGACCTTAGCAAATTCAGGAACCATCTCAGCAGAACCTAGATACGAGTGAAGCATGACACCAGAAGGAAAAGGCCCCACAGATCTGCATATTACAATATCACATCATACTACATAAGAACACACTATAAAGAGACAATGACATAATTTTAGCAACATTTGAGAATATAAAGCCAACAAATTTCACTTTTGCTTCTGTACACACGACAAGAAGCAAAAAATCATACTTTAATATCTCCAGTAGATCCCCGAATGCACGGACACAATGAACTGACGCGGGTTTATTCAATTCCTTTGCAAGTTCGAGCTGTTGACGAAACACTGTAACCTGAAATTAAAAATGCTGTCTTTAGCATCAAAACCCATCACTATGAACACAAACAATTTAAGCATAAGGTCAGTTTTTTAATTCTAGAACCTGTTCTGAGAAATCAATCTCCCTTCCCTTAGACCCTTTATCCAGACCAATCTGTTAAAAAAAAAACAAAGTAGTTTCAATCAACACATATCATGGAGGGTTTCAATGATAACAATGTGATCAAAGGAGACAAGAGATAGACTTCTCCAACAGCAGCAGTAGGAGTAGTCTCAAACAAACTCTTCAATGTCTCAAACCATCGAGGACTCCTCTCTGCTACATACCTAAACTCAAAACATAAACAAAAGATCTTAAATTTTGAATTACCAGTAATTTGTAATGTTATATAATCCCCTACCATGGATGGATCCCAAAGCAAGGAACAACAGAAGGGTATTTAGCTCCCATCTCTTTGACCAAATTCCAATCTTTCTAGACCAAACCAAACCACAGATTCAATTAAAAACCTAGCCAAATTCGTAAATTTTGAAACCTATCAATCTGACGAAATCAAAACCTCGGAGACTCCATTGACGGCGAAGGCAGAGACGCCGGAAGCAACGGCGGAGGAGATTATCTGAGGAGCTTTGGTGATAATCCTCGGGTCTTGAAGGTGACAGTGCGCGTCGAATAGTTTCATCTTCTTCCAACCGCTTCGTTATGTATCTTCTCGGAGAGGAGAGTTCTTCTTCCAAATACGTTTCTCTGCTGAACAATTTAGTATAAATTATAATCACCCCAGAACTTTTTATGTTTCAAGTAAATACCCAGAAACTTTTATATGTACGTAATAGACCCTACATTACTAATGTTAGTTTGTTACCAATAAGAAAATTGAAATTTTGCTTAAAAGGGTATATATTTAATATTCAGGCAGTGTCAAATTTAAATTAATTATATCAAATTGACATGAATCAAATCATAGCAAAAGGAGTGGATCCATAAAAACTAAAGTGAATTTTTGAGAAAAAACATGATATTTAATTATCGGATTTTAGAATCGTCTGATAGAGTTAAAAAAAAATAATTGAAGATATGATAAAGCGGATAAAGCAACTATGGTAAAAAAAATCAAAACCAGGATGCTCGTGTGAACACATCAGCATGCCAGGGGGCAAGGGGATATCGCTTCTTTTGGGGTGTGGTACAAATGAGATGATTGGATCGAGATAGATCACTCGAGACCATTCAAGCACTTTTGTAACGGCATCAATTTCAAAGTTAGACAAAACATCAATGAGAACGATTCAACTTCCCACACGTAGTACATAAATTATGGATCCGAGGTTTCAGACAAATGATTATGGAAGGAGATTCTAAACGATCCCTAATTTGTGGACTTAAAAACGTTTGAAGTAAAGGCACACAATATATAAATCTTAATATTTGATTTCAGTCGTTGACTTATACTATTTTCCAATGTTATTGCATCGCCGACAAAGGACAATAATCGTATCACCGACAACATACTTCAGATACGACAAATTTTAAGTTTTTCTATCCGAATCCTCGGATCTATAAAACTTCGGACCAATAACTTTTTCAAAACGTCAATCATTCTAGGCCTAATAAGAATAAGATATTTTAAAATAAAATATGAGTTTTTAAATAAAAAATGTAGAGAATGAATTAGTTTATAAAAAATCTAAATTTAAAATAGACTAACTCTAAGAAAATTGACTCTTTTACTAAAAAAAATAGGGTTATGACTACATTAATATGGGTTTAAAGATTTAGCTTTTTAGAGCATTTCCAACCAGTTACTCTAATTTTTTACACTAAACTGGATTTTCTTCTCCAACGTATTGCTCATTCTTTATTTTTTACTCCAAAAAAATATTGTTTAAATTACGAGATAACTAATAACTATTGTTTAATTCTACATAAAAAACATCTCAAATTTAAGGAACTATTTTACAAATAAAGAAAATCAACTCCATAATAGAGTGATACTTAGAATAATATTGTTCATAATTTGACTTATATTGACTATTTGCGATTGAAACTATATGGAAAAATAACTCTGCCATAAATTTTCAAAATAATATTCTATTTTGGAGTTTAAGTTGAAAAGGATTTTACTTTAAATAAGAGTTTGAAATAAGATTTGTCTCAGATGCTCTTACATTTTCTAATATAGTTTTCTAATTTGGTACTGTATTATTATTCTTATAATCTTACTGCATACGGAGAGCTAAACCGTATTTAACTTATCCGTACGATACTGATCATTCGATTCATACTATATTTAATTATAACTAGATAAAAAAAAAATTGAAAACCAAAAATTCAAAATCTAGAAACTTGAACTAAAAACCGAGATTCCTTGCAATGATTATAATAATATTTATATTGCAGTTATGAATAAGAAGTCAAAAAAGGGATTCGATTCGAGAATGAAAAAGCAATGTAACTTAAGTCACTTTCATTAACTAGAGTTGCTTTTTTAGTTACACAAACACCTGTACACATCAAAAACTCTGCCCAAAGTTATAAGCGTTACAAAAACAAATTAAATAAATAAATTTCACAAAAAAATATCGTAATCATTTATATACACTACTCCAGTGAGCAACAAGAGAGTTATATTCTTCACAAGTTTCTCTCTACCTAGTAATTATGTCTCTCTCTCAACTATTTCTAACGTTGCTTTTTCTTCTTGCCCTTCTTTCGGCGATAACCGCCGGAGCAACACTCCGGTTCCTCAACTGTCATCATCATCATCATCATCATCATCATAATGCAACTACCGGCAAGAAATCCCACCCGCCGGGTCATAGAGTATATCTAGTTCCACCTTCAGGTCCATCAAGAAGACATAACTTGCCAAGGATAGCTCAACTTTCCTATGAAAAACCGCCGGGACATTATCGCCGCCATTGCCGCCAGAACTAATACCAAGGTGAAACCAAGCTGCTTAAGAATATTCATGTAGTGATTTTCTACACGAATATACATAAATATGTATATGTTCATAGTGAAATGAAGGAATGAACATAGTTTGTTTTCGCACACTGTTCATTTTTTCATTTTCTTTTCACTTCAAGACCTTGTAAAATATCAATCATTATGTGAAAAAACATGTGATGGGTTGTGGTAGTATCTATAACAACTATGTTTAGTAAAATACCAGTCATAATGTGAAAAAACATGTGATGGGTTTGTGTGTATAGTTTCTATAAAACTTATGTTTGTCTACTTGTAATAATTGGAGTTAAATGAACTTATGTTCCAAGTTGTAACATTATATTAGTGTTTTTTTTTTTACAAAATAAACAACATTACGACGTTCAACTAGTCTAATGATGATATAATAACCGATAACAAAAAAAAAAACTGTTTGTCCATGTAGCTACGGATGTGGGAATTTGACCAGATGGACTGGTTGTAACCATTATCAAGTGTTGCTAATACTGATATAATGATCTTTGTCTAGTTGATGGCTAATACGGTTCCCAAATCAAACATAGTAGCTCAATATTCACTACAAATGTATATAAAAAAATTAACAACAATCATATTATTATTCTTGTTATCATAAATCTTACAACCTTCATTGCAAATAAACTTTTCAGTTTCTTGATTCATTTCTTCATGCATACATTTTTTTATGACTACAAATATTTTTATCGAGTATAATTTTTTGTTTGAAATGATAGATAAAAGCAAATAAAGTTTTGTTGAAGAGAATCCGCCACCACAAACGCTAATTTTGTTCTTATTCATTTAGAGCGATTTAAAACGCCAACCACGTGTAACCGCAAACGCTCCAACAGATAACATGTGTTGGCGGGTCGCAAGAGAACCAATCAAGTACTTAAAAATAACCACAAAACAAAGAAAGAAAAGCTGTATATCAGTTCTTTTCTTCTTTTTGATAAAACAAACAGCAATGTCAGCTAATCAAATAATATAAGATATTGAAGACTTTTAGCGTTTGGAAAATTTAACGCTTCAAACTTCAGAAGGAGTCTTTGTTGTCATTTGATCAACGGCATGAACAACGTTCTGAAGCTCTTCCCAAATGGCTTTGTAGACCATCCGTTGTCTGTTCACTGCAGATTGTCCCTCAAAAGCCGATGATACAACATTGATGCTGACATATATTAAGCAAAACTGGTGTTAAGTAATAGAACCATCTTATATGACAAGTTAACGTAAGATTCTACTATTACTGGATTACATCAAGAGCAGAATTCGGATAAGTACTACCTTATACCCTAACTTTAATGATTTCTACAAAGTTAAAATGAATGCTTCTTGTTGAATTTGTGATTATAATGAAAGAAAAGGAATATCAAAATATCTCACAAACTTCAATAAACACTATCCTTAACACACATCTGCAACTTCAGTTATGTGTAATAAAGAATCATCATCAGAAGATGAAATGAGTAATTACCAGACATGACGTCCATCTCCAGACATATCCGTTACAGTAACCGACTCTGCATTCAATTGTTCTTTGATCTGTACATGAAGCCAAAACCTCATAAGTAGAGAGACATGTGTTGATAAACAGAAAAAAAGAATCGAGCTTTAATCATACAAGAGACATGATTCCTCATTAATGATCTTAGCTTAGTGATCTTGATCATTTGGAGCTACTGAGAGCAATCAATCGTGTTACATTTTCCCTCCATTAACTAAATATGACAGATGTTGCCAATACCAAGTATGAAGTATCCAATCAATTCCTTCAAAAATTCACTAATATTATAACCTATGAATTGACACTGCAACACACATAATGATTGAATTCCAGTGAGAAAAAACTTGAAATTAGTTTTTATGAGATATAAAAATCTAACCTTTTGCTCCATGGATTGCATAAGGGTTTGATCAATAGAACCAGCATCATTGATTTGAGAGGATTTGGTACTGAAATTACGGCTGTGAATGTCCAAAACGCCAAACCTAGAAACCCTAGAAACTCTATTGCCGTAAATAGACGACGGCGCAGTCTCTTTACGAGACAAAACGGCGCTTACGCATCTCGAGTTGGTGATTCTTACGAGAGGAGCTGAGAATGAAGCGAAGGGTCTCTTTGAAGATTGAAAAAGGAGATAAAGACTCGCTCTTGTGGAAGAGAGAAGAACGTATGGACGAGTTGTCGCCATTAAGGTCTGCGCCATTGCTTGAGAGACTTGAGAGCAAAAAAAAAAAGAAAAAAAAAAAAAAGTTTTGTGGCAAAGTCGTTGTTGAGACAATGGGCTTACGACACAACACAGCTAATCTTAATGGGCTTACGACACAACACAGTTAAAAACTTAAAATTAATGGGCGGTTTCAAGTAAGATTTTTTTTTATATTCCAAAAAAAAAAGAAAAAGGTGTCACCAATTTTTTTAATAAATAATCTCAGCCGTTGGATCGAATCCTGAACTTGATCAATTGAACAACACCGCCCTTGGGAATTGGTTTCTCTCTTGTTTGCGATAATTCTTCTCTCTTCCTCTTTCAATTTTCTGAGTTTCTTCGACAATTGTGAGGAAGAGAGACGACTCGAGAATATGGCCAACGACACTCACACCGATGACTTAGACGAGCTTCTCGATAGTAATAATTCCACTCAAACGATTCTAATTTGATTTGATAACATGTTCACCAATTCTAGGTGATTGGTGAAAAACGTTTTTTTTCTTGTGATTTATCTTTGTATGTTCGTTTTCTATAATTTAGAATTCTGGGTCTTTCTCAGGTGCCTTGGATGATTTCAAGGATCTCAATCTTACTCAAAGGTTACTCCTTTTTTCTTGTAATCTCAGTCTCTCTCTGTAATTGTTATTGTGCCATGTGGTTAGCTACTTAGCTCTAGATTTGAGATTGTGGTTACATCAATACTAAATTAGAGGTTTATGTCATGTTTTTGGTGGGAATTGTGGTGTTGATTAGCTTTGGAGTTTTGTAGAAATGGAGGGGTTAAGAAAGAAGAGAGTGGTAAAACGGAGACAGAGTCATTGCCGAGTGGGGTTCAAGGTCTTGGAATGGGTTTACCAGATATGAGGAGTAAGAAGAAAGGAAAGCAAAAGATTGCAAAAGAGGACCATGTTACCGAGGCTCTTGATAAACTCAGGGAACAAACCAGAGAAACTGTGAAGGGACTTGAGTCCTTGTCATCGAAACAGCAGCCGACAGGTTCTGATGATGCTATGGTTGAAGATTGGATTAAGCAATTCGAAGATCTTGCTGGGTCTAACGTAAGTATACACAAACTGAGTTGTTTACTTCTTGCATTCACTATCTTGATATACTTATCTAGTTTAATACTCTCTTTAACTTCTAGTACTCTGATTAGATTTTATATGATATTCTTTCATGGAATAAAGATAAATTTGATCTCTACTAACGACGTCTGCTGTGGATTTGGTTTTCTTAGTGTAGATCATATCTCTGGTAATCCTTTTCTTGTGTGTGGTTTATTAGGTTCCTGCTTCTGTTCATTTTTCTTCGTTTCAGCTTAACGTTTGGTTCTGCTTGCCATTACTGATGGCAGTTTTGGTTCTCTGAAGCCAAGATGCCTTTGAGCTTAGTTGAGATGTAAAGTTTTTTATTGCTAAAGTTTCATCTAGTTAAGCTTATTTCAGAGTAGCTTTAAAGGGTGTGTTCATAGGAGAGATAGTGATACTAATTTCGTAAAACCACACTTGAAGATGAGAATTAGTTTGCAGAACCATTTGAAAGTAGTCTTGATCACAAGAAGTTTTGTTTCTATGATTTTTAATTTCATATTTTCCATGTTTGGGTTTAGGACTTGGAGTCAATTGTGGACACGATGATGCAACAGCTATTATCGAAGGATATTCTTCACGAACCAATGAAAGAGATCGGTGCAAGATACCCGAAATGGCTAGAAGAGCATGAATCCAGTCTAAACAAGGAAGAATTCGAACGTTACTCGCGCCAGTATGAACTAATCAAAGAACTCAACTTGGTGTATGAAAACGAACCAAACAATTCGACCAAAATAATGGAGATAATGCAGAAGATGCAAGAGTGTGGACAACCACCGAGTGATATAGTGCAAGAGATGGATCCTGGGTTTGATTTTGCGAGTTTGGGCCAAATGTAAGTCTTCTTCCTCATTGGAATCTCTGTGATCTTTAAATACCAATGGACTGAGTTTTGTGTATACTTGTTCACAGGTCTCCGGACATGCTTGAGTCTTCACCAAATTGTTGTGTAATGTGAGGGAAGAGTTAGAACTGTTTGGCCTTGTCCAGCCATTGGAGAATGGAAACCATGTTTTGTTTCTCTTGTGCATTGTACAATGCAAAATCTTGTTTTAGTTCTTTTTTTAACTTGAATACCAAAGTTATTCTCTATTGGGTTTCGGTTCAGGTTCTTTTGGTTAGTTCAGTTTGAAAATAATTTTGAATCTATACACACGAATTCATAAATTCACTGAAACGTTTCGCGTGCACAATAATTGAAGTGTCATATGTAAGGTTTGTAACGTCAAATCATAAGAGGATAGAGCCAAAGAGGCATCATAGAGCTGAGCTAATAACTTGTATGGTTTTATGTTTGTTACTTGTTATAATCATAGTACGACCACACATGGTGGTCCAAAAATAATCGTATTGTGTTTGTGTACCTTATTTTTGCTAGACTCCTAGCTAGTGGGGTTTTACACGTGTTTAGTCTGAAATGGATGGGTCCGAACTGTTTCTAACTAAACCGAAACAAATGTTATTTCAAAGCTTACATAAACCAGAAACAAGATTGTAATCCATCGACGAAAAAAAAAAAAAAAAAGATTGTAATCCATTTCAATTTCAAAATAGTGTAAAAATTTAAAAAGCCAAAAACTCCAACGGAAAAGTGGATTATACATTCTCAAAATCTTGTATAACGTACACTTTCCAAAGCCACCTTTGAAATTTCTCTGAATCAATGAGAAGCATGCAGACGACAAAATATGTCACCTTGTTCTTTTTTATTATCGGAAGATAGATTCATCATTCATACGCCACCGCAGAAAAGTGAACGTAATAATTTAATCTACACAAGATATTGTATATTCAAACATCCTGGATTTATTCAATGACAAGATAGGAAAGTTGAGCAATAATCTCTAAATTTTAATCTAAAGCTAGTGGAAGAAGTAAACGAATGTGTGGTGACGCTGGTCTAATGCATGTATATCTGAAGTCACGTCAAACTTGAGACTTCGCTCACTCTTTATATATAATAAGATCATTATAAATTTGTAACCATAAAATCTATATCACCAAAGGAGCAGCAAATCCCTCCACCCGTAATGTCCGGGTTGCTCACGTTTACGGTTCACCGGAAGAAGCCGGAGTTAGTTTCTCCGGCAAAACCAACACCGAGAGAGCTCAAACTCCTCTCTGACATCGATGACCAAGAAGGATTAAGATTCCACATTCCCACTATCTTCTTCTATAGACATAACCCTACTGCTTATTCTGATCCGGTCGCAGTTATTCGGAGAGCCCTCGCGGAGACGCTGGTTTACTACTACCCGTTTGCCGGTAGGCTCCAGGAAGGACAGAACCGGAAACTTGCCGTGGACTGCACCGGTGAAGGCGTTTTGTTCATTGAGGCTGATGCTGACGTGACACTTGTTGAGTTTGAAGAGAAGGATGCTCTTAAGCCTCCTTTCCCTTGCTTTGAAGAGCTTCTCTTTGACGTTGAAGGTTCTAGTGAAATGCTCAACACTCCTTTGATGCTCATGCAGGTCAGTTTCACCTAATATCCATTTATAAAGTACACAAATAGAAATAAAGTTCGGTTTACGTTTCTTCGAATGTTATTAATGAGTTTTATGTATTCCAAAGAATGTTTTTTGAAAATAATATGATAGACTTCACTTTATTACGTGAAATATAATAGAGAGCGATGTAGCAACACTAATTTTGGGGACGGTCACATTATTTCGTGCAGGTCACGCGCTTGAAATGCGGCGGTTTTATCTTCGCCGTCCGTATCAACCACGTAATGTCGGACGCCGCCGGTCTCAAGCTCTTTCTAAAAACGATGTGCGAGTTCGTGCGTGGTTATCATGCGCCTACGGTTGCTCCGGTGTGGGAACGTCACCTGCTGAACGCCAGAGTCCCGGTGCGTGTGACACACATGCACCGGGAATACGATGAAATGCCGGCAATTGGTACGGAAAGCGGGGGTAGCTGGGACAATCTGGTAGGCCGGTCATTCTTCTTTGGCCATGACGAGATGTTCGCAATACGGAGGCTCCTCGCACCGAATCTTGTCAACAGCAGCACCAATATGGAAATGCTGACGTCGTTCTTATGGCGTTATCGCACTGTTGCTCTACAACCCGACCCGGACAAGGAGATGCGACTCATATTCATTGTCAATGCGCGTTCTAAGCTTAAAAACTCACCACTACCTCTAGGATATTACGGAAACGCGTTTGCGTTCCCAGTCGCAATCGCAACCACTAGGGAACTAACTAAAAAACCGTTAGAGTTTGCTCTGAGACTAGTAAAAGAGGCGAAATCGAGCGTGACAGAGGAGTACATGTGATCGCTTGCGGATCTTATGGTGATAAAGGGAAGACCAAGCTTCTCGTCGGACAGAGCTTACTTGGTATCGGATGTGAGAATTTTCGCAGACATCGATTTCGGAATTTGGGGGAAACCGGTTTACGGAGGAATTGGTACAGCCGGAGTTCAGGATTTTCCAGGGGCTAGCTTCTACGTTTCGACTGAGAAGAGAAATGGTGAGATAGGGATCATTGTACCGGTTTGTTTGCCAGAGAAGGCGATGCAAATGTTTGTGGAAGAGCTTGAGGGTGTGTTTAATGGTCAATAGAGGAAGCAAAAAGCTCTAATAAATTGATCATGTCTTTCTGTAAAAACTACCTTATTGATAATTTCAATGCAATGATTGTCTTAGTAAAGAAACTCGAACTCTCTGTGTCTGTTTGCATTTGTTACCTGGAGATTTTTGAAGATTGAGAACTGATTAGATTTCTAAGATAAAGGGGCGTATATTCTTGTTATTATAAACAAGACTCTAATGGATTCTTGTATTTGGACCAGAAAACAACAACACGCACCAGGAAAATAATAGACAATGTAGAGAAACCAAGTACCTACATTGTTCCATGCCAATCTTAGGAGGAGTGAGTGAGGTTGGACAAGGCAGAGGTGTCCAAAGCATTGAACTCCTTCACTGCCGTAGCAACCACAAGGCCTAACTTCACAGCATCATCCTCACTCTGTGCCTGCGTCCAATTGAAGAATTTGAGTGAGAGTTTAGATACTGAAACTAAGTCAAGCTTATACATATGTTTACCTCGATGTTAAGGGGAAGAACAGGATCGTGGAGAGACAGTCTGAGAAGAAACCATCCACCAAAGCCCGAAACGCGGATCTAGTTTTGCAAAAGAGATGAAAGATTTATACTATGTAGTGGAGGCAGATTATAGGGAACTCATATATCTAACACTCACCCCTTCATAGTTAACTGGAGCTCTTTTAAGATTTGGATTTGTTTCTATTGAGTTTGAAACATGTTGCAGGACCTTCTCTCCATACTCCCGGAAATCACTACAATTTTCACTAATTAGTGAAATGCAATTAAAAAACTAGCCGAGAACTGAAGCAAGTCATCAATCATACCTTCCTTCAAGGTCAGAGTGATTCTTGTCGATTTTAAGCCTCAGTTCTAAAGCCACTTTGGGCTCCTCCAGACCTTCAACAAGATCTGTTAAAACTTTGCTGCCACTCCCTTCACCAGCAGCTCGGGCCGCAGCCAGTTTATTCAAGATTTTTACCTGCAAATGGCAAACTTCAGTTTCTTTTTTCTGTTCTTCAAACCACGAAAATCATGTAACTGAGAAAATAAGCTAACCATGAGATACGCCCCATCGTCAAGCCAATGGTTTTCTTTTAGAGCTCCATGACCACTGGTTTCTATAGCCAGATGTGATTCTTCTCCAACCGAGTTCTGCCATCACATCACAACTTATATTTCAGATAAGAAACATCAACTGTCCATAAGGCGGAGCAAACTTTTTCTGCCAGAATGTATGGTTTCTCTATCTAACCCAACTGCAACTTAATAATATACAATTTTCTATACACAACACTCTTAGACACTGTATCAATTCTAACACAACTTAAAATAGCTAACAACAATTGGCACCAAAGCATGAGTTCTCGAAAGATATTATCATTTATTACCAAGCGAATAGCTTCATCAATGACATTCTTGTAACCTCTTTTGAACCTGTGATGCTTTCCGCCTAAAACAAGTTTGGGTCAGTGAAAAACTCACAGAGAAATAAACAACATGGTGGTAAATTGTTGACATACCAAGCTTCTTTTCAATAAATGAGGTCAGACCGTCCGAAGTGACGCTGTCTGTAACAATAGTTGTGCCAGGGTGCTGGATGGACAAGGAAAGAACATCAGAACACAAAAAACTGTTAATATACAATAGATGTGATACCCAATGACGGTAGTGGTAAAATGGTTGGAGCATATCTCACTTCCTCTAGAACAATGGCTGAAAGCAAGGCAATAAGACGATTACGGTTGAACTCACGGCCAGTTGCATCCACAGCAGCAGACCTTCACAAAATTCTTTGTAAGAGGCAATCTAACAAACTCTTCTAAGAAACAGAGATAGCTGCAGTTGCTACCTATCAACATCAGTATCAAAGATGATACCCAAATCAGCCTTATTATCAAGAACAGCCTTGGTTATAGCTTCCATTGCCGACTTATCTTCCGGATTAGGGATGTGATTTGGAAACATACCTGATATCCAAAAGGTTTGATCAACTATCAATTAAAATAGGCCAAGATATACTCATACGCATAGATAATACCATCTGGTTCCAGAAATTGACTGCCAGAAGTAATTGCTCCTAAAGGCTCAAGCACCTTGGCCTGTCAAGTTTCAGATTACGAACAAATCAACTCCAGACAGGTCTAAAACAACAAACTGCCTGAACAGACAATTCAGTTTCAAGTCACTGAAATTAGAAACATGAGAATTGAACTTACAGCAAAAAATCCTCCAGCTCCATTTCCAGCATCAACAACTATATGAAATCCCTCTAGAGGCTTCTCTAAGAATCAGAAACGCCATAAATGAAGCTCGATATATTAGCAGCAGATATATGGAAATTCTGGTTATGCTAAGATTCGTGAAAAAACAAATATCTCAAAGGAGTAATACCTAAATCTCCTGCTGCTCTCCGAACTGCCTTTACAAGACCAGAGGTGTATACTGACATGTAGTCAACCTCTGTAATAGAAGAACTTTCTCTTTGTGATTTCCTCAAATTTTCATCAGAAAGGTTCTTGTAAATATCTGCAGCTCGTTCCAAAATGTTTTTGATATCAACCTTCCCAAGCCCTCCATCACTGGTAAAGAACTTGAAACCGTTCCTGTTGTAAGGAAGATGGCTTGCTGCTCAAAATAAAAGCATAGTACCACATGAAGTACAAAATAGAAAAGCATCACTAAGTGATGACTATTGACTACTATAGAGAGAAAGAAACTACTTGTTATGAAAATCGATATCAATGAATCACCTGTTATCATGATAGCTCCATCAGCTGGGCACAAGAATGACTCATCTTCAGTCAATGTGCTATTAAACATTGCTGGTGTTGATGCTAATCTGCAAAACAAACATAAACCAATATTCAAGAGATGTGCTTCAAAGCCTTCAATAAGTTATGTAAACATATGACCCATCAGCACTACACTCAACTACTCAAGAGAGTTATCAAAATTCTTGATTGTTGCAGTAACAAGTGAGAGAATATAATTTTGTAAAACATGTGGCTATTATAATACAATAAACTTTTCATTTACTTCTATTGAGGAATGAGCATAAATTGAATATTCTAAAACAACAAAGGCTAGTCATCACTCACCCGAACTGAACAACATCTAATCCAGAAACACCAAGACCTCGAGAAACCGCCTCCTACAAAATAAACAATGGAATTGCCAGTAGATAAATTACTTATCCATTCCCTAAAGAGACACTGTTTCCACAAGTGCAAAAACGTCTTGGGCTAAAATTGAGAGTAAAGAGAAATGTAGACCAATTGCTTAAGATGTTAAAACTTAATGTCTCCACTGTTGCCACATGGAAAACGTCCCATAAATCGAGGAATTAGATATATACCAGCAAGGTTTGTGCAGATATGCGAGAGTCATGGCCAACCGATACTCTCAAACGCCGGGATTCAGCCTTCTTCTTGTGTAACAACCATTGCCCAAAAGCAGCAGCTATGGCTTCAGTCACTGGTTCAGGAAGGCTTACAGGTTCCCCCTCAACCCCAGGGACCGCTACACCCCGAATGTCGCTGGGGAGTCAACAGCGAAACGTAGCGTGAGTCAACATGGAATTCGAAAATGTAATATTTATAGTACTTTCTAAATGTTAATGAACAGAGAGTTATTATTAGTAATGATTAGCTGGTAAGGTGATGTATGGTTCACCTGCCGTTTTGGAGCTTCAGAAAATCAGTTTTGTCAAGAGATGGCACAGTAACACTTGACGAAGCAGCTGCAAATGAAAGATCCAAAGTAAGGCATCCATTTCAACAAGAAAAAAAAAGATCTAAGAAACACCACATCTATTTGCCAAGCAACATAGGGAAACAATACACAAATGCAGGGCTATAAAAATGTTGATGCCGGCAAAAAAAAAAAAAACTAAAGAAGCCTAGAAACGGACCATTGCAGTAAAAAGTTCTTTGCTTTGAAAGAACAGTCTGGTATTTAGACAAAGAGTGGGCACGCATGGAAGAGTTGAGGTTCAATGCCAGCTTCCCTCTTGAACAGGGAAGTAAAGCGGACATGTATGGTTCAGGTTCTCTTTGGTATCTTGTCTTAAACTGCTTATTCTGTACGTAGCAGCTCTGTACTATATTAAAGTTTTGGAAAACCTTCCCTGAAAAGAAAAAAACCGCACTTTTTCTCAATTTCAAACTTAAAACTTCCCGGTAATTGATGGACAAAAAAGGTGAAATTGAGGAAGAAACTAGCAGGTTTGGTAATCCAAAAAGGAAAACTTGAAAATGAGACAGTAGAACAGAGTCGACCTTTCTACAGACAATTTCCCATTCTAGAATTATTCTGATTTGAGTTTTTATATCATCGAACTGAATCAAACTCCGACAACACCAAAACACTAGGAATTTTAAAGGATCCAACTTTGTAAGCGTGACTACACAGTCAAAGTTAAGAGATCGACTTATGAAGACTGAATAGTATAAAAGTAAATCATTTAAAGAAAGTCTACCTTCCATTGGAGAGACGATAAAGAGCTCACGAAATTCAGGCGACAGGAGCGATGATGTTAGTTTGTTTCTGTTTCTCTTTGGAGATGAACAAGATTGAATCCTGATGAGACTTCGATTCTGTGTAGTTGTTGGCAAAAATACGTTTTGGAGAAAATGGGCTTAACAAACATAATGGGCTTTTCTCGCGAAAGTTATTTGGGCCATTCAAAAGATTTTTTTTTTTTTTTTTGTTTTCCGTCTTTTTTTTTTGAGTTTTTACTCAATTTTAAATGGAAACTGTTCTCTGTAAGAAGCTTGAAGAAAACAAAATCTAGGATCAATACAAAGTAGCACAATTTACGATAATACCAACCGTCCACGTGGCATCTCTTCCGGTCCCAAGAACACTCTCACTCACTCACATGATTTCACTGATATACCCTTCTTCGTCCTCCTCTCTGTTCCAAAACAAGTACAATAATTCTTCTCTCACATTCCCATGGAAGCTAAATCCATCGCGACGTCTCTTTGTCGTGACCGTGTATTGATATTCCCGAGTTCTCCTCGCTCTTCTTTCGTTTCTACATCCCGGCTCTCTCGCTTGCCTCTCAAGCGTGCGTCTATCGGTGGTGCTGCCTCTTGTTCCGGCGTCAATGGCTTGACTCGGTGGAATTCCATTGTTTCGACTCGCCGACTCGTTCCTGTTCGTGCTATTGACTCGGAACCAGACTCCGACTTCCCTCACGAGAATCAGCAGGTGAGGTTTTGAATTTTTGAGCATATGAATCGCATTTGACGTGTGAAGAAGGTCTCTTATCGTTTTTATACTAAGGAAAATTTGTTATGAGTTCGTCGAATTGTTGCTTAGGTTAGTCGAATTGTTTTGTTAATTTTGGTTGTTGGATGTTTTTGATTTTGGGGTTTTCTTCTCAAAGGGAAATCCAGGTTTGGGGAAATTTAAGGAATACCAAGAATGGGATTCATGGACGGCCAAATTCTCCGGTGGAGCAAACATTCCATTTCTCATGCTGCAATTGCCACAGATCATCCTCAATTCCCAGAATCTTTTGGCGGGAAACAATACCGCTCTTTCCGCTGTCCCATGGCTGGTAATGAAGATGCTATATTACATAGATCACTTTGTTTTTAGGGAATTTGGTGGATATGTGACAGATAGAATTTGTTTTTGAATACAGGGAATGTTGACTGGTTTGTTAGGAAACCTTTCGTTGCTTTCTTATTTTGCTAAGAAGAGAGAAAAAGAAGCAGCTGTTGTGCAAACACTGGGAGTGGTCTCTACTCACATTGTGCTTGCACAGCTCACAATGGCTGAAGCAATGCCTATGCAGTATTTTGTTGCCACTTCAGCCGTTGTCACCATCGGTCTCATATTGAACTGTTTGTACTATTTTGGTAAGCTTAGCAAAACTGTGTGGCAACTGTGGGAAGACTTTATCACTATTGGTGGACTCTCTGTTCTTCCTCAAGTAATCTCTCTTTACTACTCTTTTCCCTTTTGAGTTTTGGGTTTGCTCCATTGACATGTATTCCAAAGGCATTAGAGCAGACACATGTTTAATTAGTTCGACACTTCCGCCTTTGAAATTGCAGATCATGTGGTCAACTTTTGTCCCTCTTGTACCAAACAGTATCTTGCCTGGGACAACTGCTTTTGGTATTGCTGTAGCAGCTATAATTATGGTACGCTTTCGAATACTTTTTACTTTCCCTCCATAATTTTAAATGTAAGTAATGTGTTGACATTGGTTAGTCATATCAGTCACTTTTAGCCTCTAGGAGATTATCTTGAAACCTTTTTAACAAGATGTCATATTATTAGCTTGGGTAATATTGTAACCATTACTTTACTGGAAACTAAGCTATTGACAGAATCGTTGCTGGGGGAACTGAATTGTTTTAGAGATGCTTACTGCATTCTTGAACTTTGTGGACCTCGATGTAGCATTGAGATATCTGCTAGATGCCGAATCTCGTGCATTGCAATTTCACTTCAGTTTGTTATTGGGCTTTATGAAGAAAAAATACCATGTCAGGAAATAGGAGATTTCAGTTATAGAAAGAGGGAAATGATGACCTTGATGCTTTTTCTATTCTGTATTAGGATTCTCTGACATCTAATTCCCGGTTTCGTATATCCTTCAAAACAACTGTTAAGATGTCTAGTTTTTTTATCTGGATCAAGTGTTGTTCTTTTCTCTTAACTATCTGCTGGTAAGAATGCAGGCTCGAACTGGGAAACTTTCAGAGAAAGGTGTTAGGTTTGTCGGGTCTTTATCTGGATGGACAGCAACTCTTATGTTCATGTGGATGCCAGTTTCCCAAATGGTATAACAACTCATTTTTTGCTCTCTTTCTTTGAACGTTCTCCTAAATGCTCTTTGCCTATTGGATATCGGATGTTCTTCCACATTTCAGTGGACAAATTTCCTAAACCCGGACAACATAAAAGGCTTATCGTCAATTACAATGTTGCTCTCGATGATGGGAAACGGGCTTATGATCCCACGAGCTCTATTTATCCGTGATTTGATGTGGTAAATCTAAGCTCTCTCAATTCGAAACCTTCCAGCTTAAACTATATTCACCCATAGTAACAAACCACTTGATATTCATTAAACCGTGACGCAGGCTCACTGGTTCGCTATGGGCAACTCTCTTTTATGGATATGGAAATATCCTTTGCTTATACATGTAAGAACCCTTGCACACCTCTCTTAAATGGTTTTTGTCGCAAGTAAATGAGTTTATCGATAATCCGGTATCCTCCACAGGGTAAATTGCACCAGCAAGTCATTCTTCGTGGCGGCTACAATTGGGTTGATCTCATGGATAGGTTGGTAACTTCACATATGCTCTCTAATATTGTCATCCTTCCAATTTATATTTTAGTTTTTTTTGCCATATATCCAAGTTTGAAATGTTCATAAATCACTGTCAGAAAACACTTTTTTTTGTTTTCTTTTCCCATTTGTGTGAAACAGGACTGGCTTTGTGGAGAGATGCAGTGGCTTATGGTCACAATTCGCCGTTTAGATCTTTGAAAGAACTCGTTTTTGGACCATAATGAATGAGTGTACACGCCATAAACTCCGTTGTTCGCAAGTCCATAGGTTTTTACATGTATTTTTATTCTTTTTCCTACGTTGTATAAAACGACTATTTTGTGTAATTTCATGTATTTTTTTTACTTGAATCATGTACAAGTACTAAAATAATTATTCATATCTACAAATTTTTTGATATTGAACGCAATGAACGGTTAAAAATCAGAATCGAAAAATATAGGGGAGACTCCGTCTCCCCGTTCCTTACCAAAAAAAAAAAAAAAAATCAGAATCGAAACATTCTCTCAACTTTGGTTATCGTTTTCCCGGTTTAGTCTGCGTAGTTGGGCTAAAATATCTGTGGTCTTTAATCACAAAAAGCCCAATTATATTGGCCCAGATATAATCACAAGCCTCTTTCTTCTCTCACCTCTAGAGAAGAAGACAACCATTATTCACGGCGAAGAACATTTCCCCGAAAAACCCTAGAATCCCAAAATAGAATCCCAAAAGGAGAAAGAAAGAGAAAATGGAGGACACGAAGCCACCACCATTGGGAGGAGGTAACAATCCTCAGCAGCAGCAGCAACAACAACTTCTCTATCAACACCAATTACAACAGCGACAACAACAAATGCTTCTCTTGCAACAATTGCAAAAACAACAACATCAACAACAGCAACAAGCAGCAATGTCTAGATTCCCATCGAACATCGATGTCCATCTCCGTCCACCGGGTTTGATTCAGAATCGACCCATTAATCCTCCGCCTCAGCAGAATCCTCCTAACCCTAACCCTAATTCTGTCTCTAATTTGGGACAACATACACCAAATTTTCAACAGCAGCAGCAGATTGCATCGAGCCAGCAGATGATGCAGCAGCAACAACAACAGCAGCAGCAGAAATTGATGCGGCCATTGAATCACATCGAGCTTCAATGCGCGTATCAGGACGCTTGGCGTGTTTGTCACCCGAATTTTAAACAACCTTTCTCTTCTCTTGAAGATGCTTGCGAGAGGTTTGTTGTATCAATTCAATTATCAAATTTCATATCATTTTTTTATAGAATTAGTATAGTTTTGTAGTCTCAATTAATGATATCAAACATTAATCTATCTATTAATGATTGGCTTTAATGATCTATCACATTTTTTGGGTTTGAGTTCTTTAACTCTTTAGGAATCGCCACGAGGCTTTGTGTTGTCGTGTTTGGTATTAGAATGATACTATGTGTTAGTCTTTTAGTTAACTATAGCTTGTGATTATAGATTAAAAACGGGATCTTTGTCTACTTGAAGCATGAGTTCTTGAATAGGTATCTTTCTGAAAATGGTAGATGCTGCATCTCGTATATTAGTTCTGTTATCGAGTCACGTTTGATCCATTTTCGCCGTCTATAAGTATAAGAGATCCTGTTCTTCTCTCTGAGAGTTTGATGTGGCATCTCTGCATGGTCCTCATTGTTTTGAGGTCAATGTGGAATTACGTCCTGCCTTTTCTCATCGAAGTTATAAATACTTCCTTTTGAGTTATGAGAAATATTACCGAGCTCCGTGGATATTACTTATTATTCTTGACATTGATTACCTGTCTTCTTCCATATCTGTTTAGATAGATCCATTGCCTTGTTTGAACATTCTGTATATGGGTTTACTGTGGTCATTACTCACATTCTCACATTTGTGTTCTCCTACAATCTATGCAGGTTATTACCTTATCATGTCGTAGCAGATTACGAAGCAGAAGAGGATGATAGAATCCTTGATTCAGACCCAACAGGCCAAGCCTTATCCCGCTCTCAACAATGGGATAATAACATTGCTGCTAAAGTTGCTGAATTCACAGCAACGTTTGAGAAGCAAGCCCTAGCTTTTAACATAATAACTCGAAAGCGAGCAATGGGTGAATTCAGATCTGAGGAAAGGTTGATGGTAGAACAAGCTTTGCTACAAGAAGAGAGGAAAGCGTTGTTTGAACTGAAAGCAGAAATGGATAGGGAGAAGGCTGGCCGGGAGGCTCAGGAGGCTAAGCTGCGGATGGCGGCTTTAGCTCAAGCTGGACAGTCTCAATCACATGCTGAGATAATGGCTCGTAACCCATTGAGGGCTAATGCGGTTGGGAATCAGGGCAGTAATATTCAGCTTAGCCACGAGATGGGAGAACAGGGACGTAACATGAACCCTGATGAGATGATGAATGGATGGGGAAACAACAGCCAGAGAGAGGACAAGGAACCTTCAGAAGATTTCTTGAATGATGAGGAGAATGAGAATGGAGAGACAGGGGAACAAGAAAACTGGCGTGAGGCAGGAGAATTTGATTTGAATAGCCGGTAAATGACCAAGGTGAAGGCTATTTGCAGTCTCATGTATTCGAAACTGGAAAGGAAATTACAGTTACTCTTGATATCACTCAAATAACTATATATGCCGGGTTCAGGTCAAGTATATGGGTATCTGATAGTCAGACTCGAAGCCTAATGCTCTTACTCTGCTGCTAGCTGAATTACCAGAGGATGGTTTCAAGCAAGCATTGATTGTATCTGTTTAATGTTTTGTAGCTTAAGTTAGATGTGTGCATTACATGTTGATGATTAGTGTCTTCTTGATACATGGAGATAGAGAGGCTGGTTATCTATAACCGAATCTTGTAAAAGGTGCAAGAGATCCAGATAATAAATAAAGCTTAGTAGCTACTAGCTAAGGTAGTTTATATATATGTAAGTTACTATTACAGAATTGTATTGGTTATGTATTGGCCATGTATGGAATGATTTGTTTTGTAATATGTGAAAAGATTGTAATAGTTGGACGGGTTTAAGGTTCAGGTGGAGGATTTTTGCATAATTTCTCATATTGGTCTAGTTTTGTTTATCTTATCATTTTTTTTTCCTTGGAAAATATGAAAATGAGGGTCATATTTATGCTTTAGGGTTTTCAACAAAAAGGTTGTATGTTGACTTTGTGAAGAAGTAATACAAAATCGTCATCGTTTCTTCTGCCCCCCCATGGAAACACAGAGGACGAAGCTTACGAAGGGAAACGTAGAATAACTAAACAATTCATTAATCCTAATTAGACATTTATTCTAACCATTTTTATTCTCTCTTAGCTTGAATCAATAAATATACCTCAGAAGATTTTGAACCATTGGCTTGCAGGTTCACAAGTAATATCTCCGGTCAAACACTTGCAAGAATTAGCAACAACGTTGTTATCTGAATCCACGTCTAAGCATACCAACGAACCATCATTAGTCTTCAACGACAAATGCATCTTTGTGGCCGATATTTGCTCAATCTTTGTGCATTTCTTGCCAAGTTTCACACTTCTTCCCACCACCGTTTCGCCTTCTAAGCAAGATTTGTGACCGCCTTTGATCTCAAGTATGCCTCCATGAGAATAGCTCCAAGGTTCGCCTTTTGTGCATGGACCTAACGTGAGCTCGGACTCATGGCATGGTGACTTTCTCACTAGGCAGAGTCCGGTTAACGGATGAAATATTTTCTTGTGATGATTGTGCTTTATACCGGGTCCTGTTCATTAATATACATCAAAGTTCTATCAATCGTGTATCACTATATATCTGATTAAATTACTAGCAAGATTTATTTACCTTTGTGCGGTGGTTGAATGACGGAGAGCCTTCGGAGATAAGTATAGTTATGAACATTGTGCCAATTCGCATCTAACATACCGTAAGCTTCAACGACACCGCGTTTGCCTTCGCGGAAATAATAAACTCCCGTAAGCGCCCAAACCGCCCAATCTATATCTTTCTCGGCCGCCCATGCCAACATACAACTCATGTACCTAATGGAACGGTTGATAAAAATAATGTAACCGTTGGTTGTTTAAACCGCAACTTATAAATTGCGTTTACATGACATAAACAAATAAAATGGTTAAAGCGTTAAATTGTTTGCAAACGTAAACACAAACTCAAACACATGATCAACGCTTTATTTTTTGATAACTCAAACAATTCTTCGCACTAATTAATGTGTATTCAACCAAAGATCTAAATGTAATTGTATACATACCTGTTTCCTTCCAAATCGCCACCTCTTTGATCGGTCCCAAACTCGCTCAAGAACAAAGGAAAGCCTTGTTCGAGAACAAAACCGCCGGTTCGACGCTCCTTAGAGAACATTTGGCTGCAAAAGTCGTTGACATTGTGTGACTTCCATTGACCAGTACCGTCGGTGAAAGAATACCAATGAAGCTCCAAGACAAGTTTTTTCTTGAAGCTAAGGTTCACTGGACGATCTTTTAAGAAACTTAGGTCAGCATCAAAATTAAGCCCTGAGAGTATGACAAGTACGTTAGGGTTTGATGTATGCACTGCTTCTGCTCCTTTTTGCATGTACCTACATGTGAAAAAATAAAAAAACATTTATTATATTTTTAAAAGGTTAGAATCACGTTAATTTATTATTTATATGCGTTGATTCTTGATTTTTTGTTAATTAAATTGATGAACATTGGATTCCTATATCAACCAATATACATATCAATTTTGTTTTAGATGTACTTGCACTTTACTATTATTGTGGATTTAATTATTTATAGCACAACGGAATATAATCTGTTAAGATCTATAACAGACAGATAATTAACGTGATAATTAGCGTGCATTAATTTCCTTGGCCTTCAAGCTTCACATGGGCATCATTATGATAAATAAATAAAAATGGAATTTATATACGTACTTGTACCAATCTTTTGCTGTATGATTGTAGCCTCTAAGTTCATTCCTCAGGCTCATACCAACAACGTTGTTCACGTTCATAAAGATTGTGGCCATCTTCTTAAGACCCAACATCCATAGATCCGGGTTGAATTTTGGGTCGCCAAAGAACGCGTCCGGGTCATCGTTGCTGCAACACCAACCCGGTACGGTCTTGTGGTTGTCAAGTATCACCATCACATCATGCCTCCCAAGACTATACACCACAGACTACACGACATGTTGCATTGCGTTAGAAGATAGCATATAGTTAAAACAAGAAGCATGCAACATATATCTTTGTCGCTACAACGATAATCAGATCTGAAAATAAATAGAACACTAATCACATAAATTTTTCAGTCACAAATCATCACTTAATTATAAAATATGGATTTTTTAACTGAAAATGAATGAAATAGTTCATGTTTTTTATATTTCACTTTGATTTTATCTCATCTCACAAACGATGGTTTTATTTAAGTAAGTTGTGGAAATTATATAAAATATGAAAAAATTAGAATCACGTGATTAATTATGTATTTATACCTGAAAGGCATTGATAAGAGGAATATTGACAATGGATGGATTGTGAGTGTAAATCCCTTGAAGCTCATGATCCAATCCATATCTCTCAAATGATTGTTTCACGGTAACATTAAAGGCTAAAGTGTCATTAATCATTAACTCAAGTGGCCAAGTGAGCCTAACACAATTGAAGCCCATGTCTTTTATCTTCTTCGATATCAAATCCATTGGCTGGCTGCTCAGCCCCTCGGCTACCACTGGCTTGAGGTGCGAAGGCCAATTTGCGCAAGCTAGCTTCACGCGGTGACCCTTCTTGTTTACGATCCATCGCGACTTTGTGAATAGTGGATAATCTGTTGCTAGGGTTAGAGATATTGATGACAAGAGAAAGAACAAAAAGAGAGTTAGAGGAGAGATTGTTTTTGCCATGCTAATTTCGTTGTGACTATGTTTGAGGAAAATTGTAAAGTATATATAGAGAGTGAAATCAAGGGTTTTGTCACAATGATAGGGGATTTGTTGAGTTTTATTATTAAAGATAATTGACTAAATATTCCAGTGTTAGTTTGATGATAGGTTTCAAAATGTAATTAAATGAGATTTTTACGGAACATTGTGGATATATATCTTCTTACCACACATTTTGGATAAATATACATGTTAAAACATGCGGATTGTTTACTGTGTAGTTTTTTTTGTATTGTTCGAATAATTAAGAGGATAAGTCAATGGATCATCCGCCTCAAATGTCGAGAAAGTAACTTGAGTAACATTTCAAAATGTATCCAGCCATTAGATAATCTCCTTGTTTATATGTTTTTCCCAAAAACTTTTCAATATATCAACGACCGAAAGGTAAATTATATGTAGCTCGTGTATTCATTCTCTAAGTAATATAAAATTTATCGAATCTTTAGTTTATAAAGGTTTATACATTTTTTTCATAAGACGACGGATATTAATAAGTGTGGGTCTACAGTCAATTTACGCCTAAAAATTAACTCAAGAGCGAAAGTACACCACTGCTTATATAGTAGTCTAGAAATTTATTTTTATGCTTTGTTCTACTCTATTATAAAATTTTCCGTGTGTGTGTTATCATGTTTAAAATGATGTTTTTGGCAAGGGGAATAAAATTCAATTTACACAAAGAAAGAAAGAAAGAAAAATAAAATAATAAGAAAGTAACGTAATGTTGTGGACGTCTCGTAGGCAATGTCGACTGCCGCCACATGTCGACCGTGAGGTTGGTCACGTTGTCTCCCTAACTGCAATACTTTGAGCTGTACTTCCTTCGGGACCTCTAATTTTTTCCCAATTTTTTTTTAATATTATTTTTATACCATTTCGGCAAACAAAATATATCATTTAAAAAATAAATATCAATAAATTATGTCAGTAAATTTATCTATTTCTGTCATTATTATTATTAGTTAAAATCTTGTTATTGAAACAAGATACTTGAAGAAAATGGCCAATTACTTTCGAAGTTAACAATTTGCTTTGCTCAAGTTATTTCAAGAAGAACTGTTTGGGTTATCAAAATAGGTCATATCTACTGCAACACTCATTTTAATAATTCTAGAAACTTTAAATTCAACATTTAGTGGGAATTAAAAAATGGTTTACTTAGACTATGACAGTCCTCCATTGGACCATTAAACAAAACTACACGCCCTTATCGAGCGACGAATTTTTTGTAACTTGGATCAGAAATTCAATAAAGTTATAATAATAAAGAGATTAATAACACAAAAAAGTTACTACTAAAAACGAAATACTAATAATAAAAGAAAGAGAAGAAGAATAGAGAAGAAAACACATGCGAAATTATAATGGCCTGCCTCTCTAGTCTCTTCCTTATCTCTTTACTTACACTCTCCAGGTCCCTCACTTCCCTCATTGGACCTCTCTAACTATCTCTCACCTTCTTCTTCTGTTTATATTCTTCTCCTTTCTTTCCACTATTTTTGCCTAACCAACACCAATTAATTTCAATCACCATACCAAAACAAAATTCAACATTTCTTGACGATGAAACGAAGCCATCAAGAAACCTCTGTAGAAGAAGAAGCTCCTTCAATAGAAGGTAGTGGTTGTGGTGGTGGAGACGATAACATGGACGAGCTTCTTGCTGTTTTGGGTTACAAGGTTCGATCTTCAGACATGGCTGATGTTGCACAGAAGCTTGAACAGCTTGAAATGGTCTTGTCCAATGATATTGGTTCTTCTAATAATGCCTTAAACGACACCGTTCATTACAATCCTTCTGATCTCTCCGGTTGGGCTCACAGCATGCTCTCCGAGCTTAACTACTACCCGGATCTCGACCCGACCCGGATTTGCGATCTGAGACCAATCCAAGACGACGACGAGTGTTGCAGTAGCAGTAACAGCAACAAGAGGATTCGACTCGGTGCTTGGTGCGACTCAGTGAGCAGCGACTCAACTCGTTCCGTCGTCCTTATCGAGGAGACAGGAGTCAGACTCGTCCAGGCGCTAGTGGCCTGCGCCGAGGCGGTCCAGCACGAGAATCTGAGCCTCGCGGATGCTCTCGTGAAGCGCGTGGGAACACTCGCGGCTTCTCAAGCAGGAGCGATGGGGAAAGTCGCCACCTACTTCGCCGAAGCCCTAGCTCGTCGGATTTACCGGATTCATCCTTCCTCCGCCGCCATTGACCCTTCCTTTGAAGAGATTCTTCAGATGAACTTCTACGACTCGTGCCCTTACCTGAAATTCGCTCATTTCACGGCCAATCAAGCGATTCTAGAAGCCGTAACGACGTCGCGTGGCGTACACGTAATCGATCTAGGGCTTAATCAAGGGATGCAATGGCCGGCGTTAATGCAAGCCTTAGCTCTCCGACCCGGCGGTCCACCGTCGTTTCGTCTCACCGGCGTTGGGACTCTGTCGAATCGGGACGGGATTCAAGAGTTAGGTTGGAAGCTAGCTCAGCTGGCTCACGCCATCGGCGTCGAATTCGAATTCAGTGGTCTAACGACGGAGAGATTATCTGATTTGGAACCGGATATGTTCGAGACCCGACCCGATTCGGAGACTTTAGTGGTTAATTCGGTTTTCGAGCTTCACCCGGTTTTATCGCAACCCGGTTCAATCGAAAAGCTGTTAGCGACGGTTAAGGCGGTTAAACCGAGCATCGTAACGGTGGTGGAACAAGAAGCGAACCATAACGGCGCCGTTTTCTTAGACCGGTTTAACGAAGCGCTTCACTATTACTCGAGCTTGTTTGACTCGCTCGAAGATGGAGTTGTCATACCGAGTCAAGACCGAGTCATGTCGGAGATTTACTTAGGTAGACAGATTTTGAACGTGGTAGCGGCGGAAGGAATCGATAGGATCGAGCGGCACGAGACGCTGTCTCAGTGGCGGAAACGGATGGGATCCGCCGGGTTTGATCCGGTTAATCTCGGATCAGACGCGTTTAAGCAAGCGAGTTTGCTATTGGCGTTATCTGGCGGCGGAGATGGATACAGAGTGGAGGAGAACGACGGAAGCCTTATGCTTGCGTGGCAGACGAAACCGCTCATCGCCGCATCGGCGTGGAAACTCGCGGCGGAGTTGCGGCGGTAGAGATTACGTCATACGTCGTCATAAAGAGGAGAAGAAAAAAATTTAGGGAACTTTTTTTTGTTTTAATATAGATAAAAAGAAATAAAATTTGCAAAAACGTGACCTTTATGTTTTTGCTTTACTTTGACTTACCCCACTAGTTTCGTTTTATGACAATTTCGTCCGAAATATTCCTTGCTTTTACTTTTGGGACCCAGTTGGTCGTCGAGATTCGAAAATGAGGAACATGTGTGTATGTAACAGCACGAGCTAGTGTTTTCAATGTTTGAATAAAAATGAAGAAGTGACGTTATTTTTATTTTATGTCAACGAATTGACGTTATTTAATTTCACCCAAAAGATACATACAAAATGACGCATGAGTGAATTTGGACCGACTCGATTATTACATAGAGGCTAACATTTTTGGGAGATGATGATGATGACGGAAGTAAAGAAGCTAAACCTCACTTGAGTCTTTTTTTCTGAAAAGCCGGAGTCCAAACTCTACTTTTTCGGTTTTTTGAGGTCTTCATTGTCAGCTTTTGATCAAGTGGGTGAAACCGTTTTGCTTAGGAATGTGTATAAGAAAACTAAAAATCAAATCTTGAATACATTGGGGAAAAGAAATGTTTAGCTATATAGTACTAATTTTATCACCACTTTTGAAAAATACATGTATTCACCGAAAGATATGTAAAGTTAAAACATGGCAATGTTTCAATATGTCTTGGACCATCTTCAGACTTATCATTTCTTGATTTTACCCGTAGCAACACTTCAATATCTGGATAGTCAAGACTAAAAATCCGGACAATCTCTAAGGCATAAACCCATTTCAACTTTGATTATATACACATACAAGTCTTCTTTACAAAGAGGAACATGAGTCCCAACTCTTTCTACTTAATGTATATGCATAATCAAATATCTATATTGTATTACTATTTATGGAACAATATCTTGTTTTATAGATAGGGGATCATTTCGTTGTATATATGTCACGTGACAAGGAGCCAGAGAGGAAGAGATCTTTTACTTGGAAGAGACAATAGGAAGCACGGTTCGCGATTAAGGCAAGTTCGGTTTTTTGGAACTGGAGACCAGAGCCGAACTTGAGCACATTAACATGAAACAATACAATGGGCCCCCACTTTTTTTGAAAAAAAATCTTTTACAAAAGGGCTCCACTTTAGAAAAAAATTTTATTATAGAAGAAAAAACCACTAATATTGTTATTTTGGAAAAATTATAATAGGCCCCAGAATTGGTTGGTCCGGCTCTTGCAAATGCTTCAAGGTCTTCTACATGTTCACTTGAACCATTTCAGCGAGCATCTTCTTCGCTTTACCGCATTGATCATATCCATTAATGTGAGAGATTATGTCTGACACTAATTTTTCTAATGCATCAAGCTGAAACTCTGATCTTGGACTCCTTGAGTCTCTTAACAAACAGAGAAATCTTTTAGCTTCTGTTCGAGATTTCGGTGTTCCTTTTACTGTGAGCTCTAATAAGCTCGGTATTACGCCTTCACTGAGAATTGGTTCTCTATATTTACTCATGTTGCTTTGACACAATGTCAATAACGAACCTACTGCGTATTCCCGACCTTGCAGCGTCCCATTCTCAAGAACTTCCACCAATGCAAAAAGTCCACAGTCATTGGAAGTCAAAGCCTTTCTTGATTCATCTGAACACACTAAAGATTCAATCAGAGAACAACATTTTTCAGCTGTATTAGACGATTCATTACTTGATTTCAAAAGGTTAAAAGTATTGAACGGACCGGTTTTGCCTCTGATATCATGTTTATGTTATTAGTGACTGATGAGAGGTTGGAGAGGGCCATTACTGCATCAGCCTTAGATTGTTGGCTTCTATGCTGAATGAGTTTGATAAGGTGAGGGATTGCGCCATAAGCACCGATGATAGGCTTGTTGGTTGGAGATGCGGAAAGCGTGAGCTAAGATGCAGCAGCATACTCTCGTAGTGTTGGTCTATGTGATTGTAAAAAGGTGATGATTGGCTTTAATGCACCTGCTTCAATGATCCCTTATTCCTGAAAAAATCAGTAGAAAGAAGGTCAGAATTCTCATAGGAGAAAGTTCTCTAATATCAAGCCTTGCTAGAATTTCTATATTGTGTGTATAGTAAGTCCAAAATATCAAGGTCATTATTGGATCCCTATCAACTGGTTAGGTGATCGTAAATTTAACATGTGTGAATATTGCAATAACCTAGATGATGAATAATAAATCATTTTTCCACGTTCTGAAAACGTAGTTCAGCTAAAAATATGTTCGACGTGTGTTAAGTTTTACGTTAGAGTCTTAGAGAGAATGTATCCTCAATATATTATTCTTTTTCAAGTAAATATAGATGAAATTATTTTATTTTATATTCATGAGTCAAAATATTTGTATATGCTAAAAGCCTAAACCAAATTATAAAATTTAAATAACAAAACAACTATATGACTGTTTTGGTTCTCTTCACCGTTAAAGCCAATTTTTATACCTTTTATAGACAAACCATTAGTTGTTGTGGTGTTCACAAACGAAACGAACTAGTTTCCTTTTCAAGAATAATGATCCATTGATCCATAACCTCACATCACATTACATGGAATTTAGGATATAAATTAAAATTCACCGATGTAAAAGTAACAAAAGAAAAGAATGACGATGCTCAGAACCAAATCTCTCAATATAAAAAATTCAAACATTTCAAAATAAAAGGATGGCAAATACATTTTAGAAAATTTTGGCAACATCCTTCATAAGTCCACGATTGGCACCTGCAAAATCAGTGAATTCTTGATACGATATGTTTCCATCACCATCAGTATCAATTTCAGCCATCATACGCTTGACGTCATCAGGCGTTACTGAGCCAAGTGTCTTAAGAGCTTCTTCAAGTTCGGCTGCTGAAATTTTTCCGTCCCCGTTAGCATCAAATTTCTTGAATATACGGTCGTGCTCGGCTTTCTCTGTCGCGTCAGCCATATTGTCTTGGTGAATATGTGGGGGTGTGTGCTTTTTTATAAGATGTAAATTTTTCTTTCTTTGAACTTTTTTTGGTCGAGGAATAAGGAAAAGATCAAATTATATAAATTTTAGAGTGGAAAGAACAGTTGAGGTTGTGCTTTTACTTAGGAACTTTTGGAGGAATGATTAAACAACAATTGAACGAAATTGGTCCAAGTTAAACCTAAACTTAGCAAAATTAGGATGTGACTTGGTCTTGAACAAAATTTAGATTCAAGTAGCTAATGGATTTAACTGAAAATTTGATTCGAATATCGAATTTAAATCTTAATTTATGTTCCATTTTTAAAAATATTTATTTCTTACCATGTCTAACTTCATTAAGATTGGTTGGCCACTGGACCATTTACCTCTCTATCTTTTATGTATAAAAAAATATCTAAATATATATTTATTATATATATTTTTAAAGTTAAATAAATTAAATGCACTTAGATATTTTAAGAAACAACAAGAAAATGAATTTACAAAGTAGTGGTATCATTATAATACTTTGATATATTCATTTTAATGTAGATAAAATCTGTAAACTATATAAAAGAAATTTGATAAGACAAGAAAAATATGAAAAGTCTTTTTGGATATTTAGATCAATATATATATAAAATGTACCTTTTTATAAATAACAAAATATCTTTTCAAGTTCTTGATAAAACTACTATACTAAATATTTATTATTATATCTACAGAATTTATTGTTGACAAAATAAGCACATCTACATCTACTTCAAGATAATATAAGTTACAAAATCTATTAATTAACCAATATCACTACAGTTCTTTAAATCATCCAGAGCAAAAGCTAAAGGAGAGTAACACAAGTCTTACACTGTTTCATAGTTATCTGAAACAAAACAAAGGACAAGTGTCTTGTGAGTTGTGGCCACCACCATTGTGAGAACTCAAAAGATTTTGTACATTGCCACATGCTATATATGTTTCTTTAAAAAAGGAAATATATGGATTTGATTAACTGGAGAAAAAAAAAATGGGAAAGTTGCTTTTGTTTTTTTGTTTTCCAAAACCTTAAAAGTTTAAGATTGTTCAAAAGGAAATAAAAGATTAAAAAAAATCCATTCATAAGGCAATTAGATCTCACGTGCCAAAACTAAACTTTTGTAGGAATCCAAACAACATTCGAGATTTTCTCTTATAAATATAGATTTAGTTGCTTGTCTTCTCACACAATATCTTCCATCGACTCTAGATCATCACCATCATATTACTCAAAACAAGAATGTCTGTCGCAGAGATCTTCGAGAGAGTTGACAAAAACAAAGATGGGAAAATCTCATGGGATGAATTTTCCGAAGCGATTCGCGCTTTTTCTCCTTCAATAACATCCGAAGAACTTGATAAGATGTTCAAAGAGCTTGACGTCGATGGTGATAATCAAATCGATGCTGCGGAATTTGCTTCGTGCTTGATGCTTGGCGGTGAAGGAGGAAAAGATGATGAAGACACTGTTATGAAAGAAGCTTTTGATTTGTATGATATTGATGGTGACGGAAAGATATCCGCGAGTGAGATTCATGTGGTATTGAAACGTCTTGGAGAGAAGCATACAATGCAAGAATGCGTTGTGATGGTTCGAGCCGTTGATGCAGATGGTGATGGCTTTGTGAGTTTTGAAGAGTTTAAGACTATGATGAGTTCTAACAACATCAAATCACTATGATCCTTCTTAGATTTTTAATAGTTTAATTTGTTTTTATTTTGCTTTTTTCTTTATGAAGCAAACAAAATGAAGCATTAAACATGGTTTGGATTTGTGGTGATCTATTTTATTTCGGAACTAAATATTTTCGATTAATTTAATTTAAAAAGGAACTAAATCTTTTATGAAAAAAAAAAAACAAACCAAATTAATTTAAAAATGGATTTTATTTTTGGTCTTCTTGGAAGCTATCAATCTCAAGATATTCGTAATCTGTTTTTCTCTGTTCCATATTGGCTAAATTAACCTATATGTTGATTTAGGTTCTATGTATTCAGTTCATTATCATTTATCAATGTTTCTTTTCGAGAAAAATAAAATAAAATAAACAGTTACGTTTCTATATATTAAATTGTATAGATTATTCGATCGAGAGAAATAATATATCATCTCGTAGATTGCTCCTTTTAGTCTTTTGGTTTTTAGTCTTTGTCTTAAATCTTTCGAAAATAGCTTCTGTATGGGAAAACAAAAAGCTCTGCAGTGTTTTATATCGAGTAATTCAAAAGCCCAACTTTCAAAAATCCGAAATTCAAAGCCCAAAACCTAACAGTTAATCCCAGTTTTTCAAAGTCCAGAATCCATGTAATTTATTTAATGGTCCAGTCCGGTCTCAAAACGGGACTCGTGAGTCGTGGTAGAAGTATCCCGCAGAATCCGTATACTTAAGGAGGTGATATAAGTATTAGATGTTATCGTGATGTTCCTGCTCTTCTTCGATTTCCAAATTAAGATTATACTATACTTTTATCTAAAAATTGTTACGAGTGCATTAGCATATATTATCTACAAATCTACTCATCTATGAAGAGGTAATAAAATAATCACCTCTTTTCATACAATCATACTTCGTCCGAATTAAATCTCTATCGATTGACCCAATCTGACTTACATAGAGACTCTTCATAAATTTAAACACGGTTAAATAAAATACCTCAATCACAGTCGTGCCACGCCGACATAGTCATAAATTGACCCTCCAAAAAAGCCTACGTAAGAGAATTTCACAAATGATTTCCAATTATCTTAAGCCACGTGTTTAGTGACCTTTGTGCTGGACCCGAAACGTGTCCATTTTATCGACCCCTCTTTAAACTCAACACTCAAGAAAATAATTAAATAGTAACAAGCCGACATAAAACCCAAAAATATCTATAACAATTAAAATAGTAACACACTGACCTTACGTGGAAAGAAGAAAGATATTAAAAAAACTCAAATGTTTCGTCTCTATAAAGATCCAACTCTCATAAATCATATCTTCAACAAATCACATTTCCACTCTTTCCTTGAATCTGATTCTTCCAAAAAAAATATAGTTAGCTCTCTGTGTGCTCATTGATCATCGATCGTACTCTTCATACTCAAATAAAGATGGTGTTTCCGGCGTGTATTCAATGCGGAACAAGGCAAAACCCGTGTCGGTGCAAATTTGTTGGACCAACTTTAGGGTTCGTAGCTTTTGTGATAACCGGACTCATCGAGTGGCCAGTTGGTGCGGTGGTTTATATCTTTAAACACGCCAAAGGTCGCCGTATAATGGGTCATCCGGCCAGAAAAGTTTATCCCAAAGTCTCTAGATCTATTCCCATTTGACTTTCTCGTCGGTAATTATAATCATGCTATTGTATTTGCTTGACAAATGATTTTACTTGTTTTATATATGTGATCACATAGGGGATCTAAGTCCAGAATTAGTATCCGTTATGTTATGACCACATAATGTTATGTTAAAATTGATACTTTTGTGTCTTGTCTTTCGACTTATTTGATGTATGCTTTCTTTTTTTGTAATATATACTTGTGCAAGCTAATAAATTGTTATACTGGACGCAAGAAAGATACTATTATGATCGAGAAAGGTATTAATTGCATCATAAAACCCTAAATCATTGAATCAAAGCTTTATAAAGAAGAAGAAAAATCCAATCCATTGTACAAACGAGAAACGGATGCAATTGATAAAATATACAAAACATGATGGAGTGACACTTTGTGCGGATATATTAGTAAAGATTAATTTGAATTTACGAGAAAATTATATGAATTTTGGCTCCTAATTGCGTAGTTAAGAAAAGAAATACACATCAAACATTTGTTGTAAATTTAAATGCAATTAGTTCAGATAAGGTATATAATTAATCAAATTCGATGTTTTCACCAAAAAAAAAAAAAAGATAAATATTACTCCATTGGACTGGAAAAGATATTTAGCTTCATAGGCGACGATTGGAAAAAGCCGTTAAAGAGAAAAGGATGTTGGCGCGAAGACTCTCCTCTCTGTTCTCTATCATAACCAAAAGGTTCGTTCATAAAAATCCATAGAGCAACACCATTCGTTCATATAAAATCCTAGTAATTTCAAAGCTGATGTAGTTCCTCTGTTTTAATTAATTGTAGACCACCAAGTCGCTTGCTTTCGTGTCCAGCAACAACTGCTCAAAATTGGGTATTTGCTGGGTTTCGTCAGAATTTACAAGGTTTCATTTTTCTCCAACATGTTTTGATCTTTAAGCTTTCTATGCTATCTCCGAGTCTGTTCGTATGTTGGTGTCTTTTTTAGCTTTGTGGTTCGGATTAGTCCAAGTAGTAGACCAGGTGTTTGTGAAAATGCCGCAGAGAATTTTTGTGTGTACGAATCTTTGAAAGTTTAGCTTTTTTTGGACTGGGTTATACAGTGGTAGGAAGTTTCAGAAGTTAATAGTACTAGATATGACTAAACATGAGAAAATTGTATATAAGCTATCTGAGGAATTGGATATTTGTGTAAGGCTCCATAAGTTCATGGAATGATCAATTCATAAACACAATCATCCCTAAAGAACAGTTGCAGCATATTTGTCTAATCTCATTGTGGTTTATCTGGGAACTACAAAAGTTCCTTTGAGATTAATTGAAGATCCACATTAGTTCGGCTTAGTTGTATGTTCATTCTTGATGTTAATATTAATGGATTGTTTAAAAAGTAGAGTGTCTATATTCGACTGCGTTCGGTTTATTAGTGATGTTCATGACTCTATATATGTGGTTTTTGGTTACACTTGAGTTGATTCAATGTCTTGCAGCAACTCGATCATATGCAAGTGGAAGAGGTAAAGACTACAATCTATTTGGTAATGTGAAACCAGGTGATGATGACTTTAGAAAAGCCTGGGAGAAAGAAATGGGGGATGATGATACTCTATGGTCAGGAAGTGAAGACGAAGGCGATGATAATACAAAACAAGAAAGTGGAAGAAACCGCCTTGAAAAAGAGATTAAGAAAGCTAGACAACAAGCTAAAGTTAGCTCCGATCAAATTGATGCTGATGATAGTGATGAATTATACAGCGTTTGGTCAGGAAGTGATGAGGAAAAAACGCTATGGACTGGCGATGAAGGTGATGATGACGACGATATTCCAACAGAGCCACGCCCGAACGAGGCATCTGATAAATACTTAGATAAGTTGTTTGAGTTTGAGGAGAAGCCAAAGTACAGGACAATCTCAGAGTTGTTGAAATCTGAGAATGAACCTGAGGAGCTTTCACCCGGTAAAAAGGCGAGGAAGCTTGCTGTTGAGAACGCGCTGAAGAAACTAAACAAAGGGCCTGACGGGCGTTACACAAACGTGTGGGAAGTAATGAGTGATGTCGACATTCTGATTGGAGCGTTCGAAAACATTATCTCAGGACCTGAGTATGAAGAGCTAAGAAAAGGTGGACCCAAGAGACTGAACATGCAATTCTTCAAAGATATACAAACTCGAATGAGAGATCCAAACTTCAAATTCACACCTGAAATAAAGTTGAAGCCAAAGAGTAAACTAGTGCCTAGGAAGAAATGGCAGAAGGCACAGTCCAGAATAAGGAAGGCGAAGAAGCGGTAAAAGCTCCTTGCCTGGTCTTTGGTTTTGATAGATTTAACAGGTATTTCCGCTCATTCTTCTAAAAGATTGATTAAAGTATCAAATCCATTTCCTTTAATTAATCACGTATTGACTCAATATGATCTTTGTAGGTTTAAAAGCATGCTTAGGCACCAAACAGCCTCCAAAATATCGACTCAAGTCTTACTTCATCGTAAATTCGTAATGCGGTACCGTGAACAAACAGCTTTCCTTTACCGTGATTCTGGTCTTTATATTCCTTCTTCTAAAGAAAGAAGCTTTGAAAGAAAAGCTAAAGATGCTTTGGTCCCTCTTGGACATTGTTTTAGGGGAAGAAGAATACAGCTTTTTTGCATTCTTTTGATCTTCAAAAGTTTTTTTTTTTTCTTTTGGTGTTAAAAAGTTGGGACTTGTAAATGTGACACTCTCATACCCTTTGAAGCTTATTCTAATCAAGATATTAAAAAGGAAGCAATTTGCCTAACAAATCACAAGATGCTGATTTTTGGGTCTCTTCCTTAATATTCTTCTTCTTTAATTATTTTATTAATGTATGATTATTGTCAAAGTGTCATTCATGTCCTATAGAAATTAGACAAACATTGGTTGCTTAATTGGTCCATTATACCAATGTTTTCACTTTTAAGATTCTACATAGCTTATGGTTATTGATTTGACTTCTTCTTGTAAAAAAAAGTATTGTTCGAAACATAAACTATCAAATAGATTCCATTTAAGTGTTGTCTCTATAATTTATTACAAAGTTTCTACTTTACCTTTTGATTTTAACAAAATTAAGAAAAGTATACATATTACAAAATAGATATTATGAGTAATCTTTTTGGTTGGTTGCTCACATGATGGAACAAGCGGCGTGGACGTTGTCGTCGCTGAAGAGGGAAACGTAATTTTCCTCGGGAGCGTTTGCGGTTGGAAACGATTGAGTGGGATTGCGGATGTGGCCTGCAGGGGCACGTTTGTCGTACATGCCAGGGGCAAAAGGGTAATAGACCATATGTTGAGGTATGTATGGCCAGAACTCAGCCTTTTTACCGGTGCTCTTCACTCTCTTCAACACCTTGTTTGGGTCCACGTGTCCGTTCACCGTTATCCGGCTCTGTTTCCGGTTTACCTCCACCGATTTCACCCCTGTACCGGTCGGTTTCAACATTGATAAACAAAAGCAAATATGAATAAACCATTTTATTAACTCTTTCCAAATATATACATTTAGCAAAGTTGCCTTAATCTTAAAACATCACTTCTTGGTTTAAATCTTAAAAATATCATCTTCTTTCTGAAGAGACTTCGTTATATGAAAATATTTGGCCTTTTGAATAGTTCAAGTTATTGTGATATGAAAATTTATATCACTATATCAGTATAACTGTTTTCAAGTAACTTGCTATAACATCATACTATATGTTGGAGTTTAGATTAAAGCATTTTCTTACCAAATTGCTTTACTAGAATATTTATGAAAATTTACTTTAGTTTTAAGGGTACAAGATATATTTTATTTTTAAATTACTAAAAAGTAGGAAAACTAAAAAAATCTATATGGAAAAATATGATTGGATCATATTTACTGGTAATGCTTCATGGGACTCTTTTAACATATGTAAATAAAGATAGATTCGGAACCATTTGACCCATAATATTTTCGGAATAAAAGTTTGGTACAGTTTTTCCTATCAAAGGATTGAGCAAATGATTAGTAATTGTAATTATATATTCTAGGCCAGCTATAAAATTGCAATTTTAAGAGAAGAATAAGAATCTTTAAAAGAGAAAAGCATGGAGAATAAAGAAAATGGAAACAAAAAGGGAAAAAAAGAGAGAGATTGGAGAAAGTTTTGATTCAAAGTCAGAGAGAGAGATATGAGAGATGGGGAAAAAGAACCTTTCATGCGACGAACCACGTTTCTAACTCTTCTTTCACAACCATCACAGTCCATTTTCACCTTGATATCCACTGTCTACATAAAAACCATTAATTTTCCATTACTAAAATAAACATGCATATTTTATAGATATAATATACTAATATCCCGAAAATATTATATAGAAATCAAAAACTAATTTTCGAAGCTTGTCGCTGCCATGTTGTAATTTATAAATTCAGCAGTAATCAGTTTCTAGCTTCGACCAATTGTGTTAGCTATAACGAAACATTTTGATGAAGTTTTGAAGAAACGTGTTTAAGTAAAGAAACGGGTAAAAACAAAAACCATGTTCACATATTGAAACGTAACATTTGAATTTTGTGCATGGACACGTATAACGTATTAGCATATAGTTTTGAAGTTAACCAAAACAGTAGTGAGTAATATAGATAATAGAGTATTATTTGATATAAAGAATGAAAAAGCAGACTAGTTTGTAAACGAATTGAGAGAAAGAACAGACCTGCAATGGCTTACGCTTGGTTTTGGCATTAGCATATGTGTATGAACAAAAGCTAGATATATAATCAAATGCACCCATTCTCCTCTTCAACAAAAAAACTATGTATGTATATATGATCAAAAATATGTGTCTAAATTAATATGTATATTGTATGTATGTGTATATGTATATATGTCTATGAGTGTTTGTGAGTGTATATATAGGGAGAGAGAAGAAGAAATAGGCTTTCTTAATAGAGAAGGAGAAGAGAGTTACGTGACAATGGTGACATGCATTCAAGATTCCATGTATATATATAGGCTTTTTTGGCTTTTTTCTTTTCTTAGTAGTCTATTTTTTCAAAATAAATTCAATATTTTGCATGAGAAAGCTGTAGAAGAAAAAGGTTGATTAGGAACAAAAAGTGAGAAGGAAAAATATCTATAATAAACCAATGATGTGATAAAATCAATTATTTTCAAGTCCGTTTTTTTGTCCATATAACTTTCTTTATTGGTTTGATTAAGGATCAAAACACATTTGGTTACCAATAAGGAGTTAGCCTAGTAGTTAAACCCTTAAATTATCGAAAATGTAGAAACCTAAAAGGTCACGGTTCAATTCGCGTTGGACCTCGTCCTGGAGAATGTACGGACAGTCGGACACACGGGCCCTAAAACTTCCTAGTTATTAAAAAAAAAAAACACATTTGATTGAAGTTAACAAAACATTTGATGAGAAATGAATCTTGCTAGTCTTCAATCCGCCTTGAAATTGATAAAATTGAAACAAGAGTCTTCTAATTAGACTAAATAGCTATGTTTGATTTAAGTTTCTTTGCTCATATTATAGTGTAATGAGGATTTATGTCTTAAAAAGCTCTTTTATTGGCCTTATTATTAAACAAAACTCTTTTTTTATTGACCTTTGCTTTGGTTTCGATTCAAACGAGTATGGCTTCTTCATCACCCAATTCTTATTTATTACAAAGAAAGTCCCAATAATTGCCCAATATGATTCCATCAACTTAGAAATCATTAAACTATATATAAATATTATTAAAAGATGCTTTTAAAAAACTAAAATGAATGGTGACCGTTATTTATTTTTTGAATAAAATCATAGAACAATAATGCTAAAACTTTTTACCAAAAAAAATAATGCTAAAACTTGAGATGCTTTGTGAAACAGTGTGATGTTGAGTTACAAATGATCTTTGACCTTCCCTTTTTGTATTAATGGATATATTAGCATTTTTGGGATATTTTCAATATAGATGTTTGCGTGCTATATAGATTGTTCTACTGATAAAAACTAAGTATATGAAATAACCCAAAAATAATATGCTCATAAAAGTTTGTTACAATGGTTGGGGTGAATTTTAACTTGTATAATCTAAATTTTTCATTAATTCTTCAGCTAACATATATAGTTGCGGCTTTTTCAGTGGAAAATGTCGTTAGTAAGGTTTACGCAGAATAGTAAAAGGTGTACGCAGAAAACCGAGAGAAGTACAATGGAGAGCGTACGCTGACTTGACGTTGAACCTTATGCTATTTTTTTTTTTGGGTAAGATCAGTTTTATATTCTAACTTTTCTGAAACATATCAGACAATTTTTAAATTGCTCTCGTAGATTCTAAGCGACTTATGTTGGACAATTCATGATTTGACCTTTTGTGGTCGTTTAACTTAACCGTTAATTTTGTCATTCGCTATTTCTAGCTAGTATCCAAAATAATTGTCATAAGTTTTTTGGTTTTATGTTAGAGGAATCTTCTACTCACAAGTCTTTGATGTCAACAACATAAAAATCAAAAATATCTCGAGAAGCTCCTCTTACAAACTTTAGTAACTTACAATCTCAAAAATCCTTAAAACACTTGAGCAAAGAAAAATGAAAGTGTTTGCAACTCCAAATTGATCCTAAACACATCTGTAAGAGCCTCTTAAACCTGGCGCAACCATCTTTGGCAGGGTCTTAGTAGCGGTCATGGCGTCTGTAAGGTAGTTAAATGCATACTTCAATGTAGCGAAAAGATTTGCAGTAACAATAAGATGTGTCTTTTCTAAATCAAAGTTACCTGCGGCGATCATAATCCCTCGGTCTTTCCCTAGACCGGGATCGCGAACTGCGCCGGCTTCTCGAGTCATAGCCACGTGACTGATTATAGTTTCTGTCATGTTCTCGGTGATCATGGTGCCTGTCGCGATCTCTACTCCTACGGTCAACATCTCTTCCACGGTCACGGCTATCTCCTCCGTCTCTGTCTTTACTTGATTCTCGCTCTCTACTTCTCTCCTTTGATCTGAGTTTGGTTAAGCTTTTCAGCAAAATGTTGAAGATTTAAGGAAGTAAACTAATAATGTGTTCAAAAGCTTGAGAAAAGTAAACCTCCTTTCTTCGACCCGTTCCTTGTGAACTTTGTTCTTCTCCTCCTGAAGAAAACAGAAAGAATATAACTATACAGTCTATATCAAGAGAGAACAGGAAAATCACAGTAGAAAGATACTACTGTTTATTACCTGAAGCTCTGCCAATTTGTCGCGGATCAGCATGTAACCCAAATGAAGCTTCCCTCCAAAATGATCAGCTAACCGACGATCACTAAAGGCAGTACAACAGATTTTTGACATTGCCAAATGCAAATAACAGATTGGTGACAAAGATATAGTTTAAAGTTCCATTATTTATCTCTAACAGGCACAATAAATCAAGAAAGAACGCACATTTATTAGCTGCAAAAGTAATCCTCGTAAAACTGGGCCCAAATAGCCTGCTGGTGAAAAGGAGGTACAATAGCCGGGGTCAAATAATGAACCACTTGCAACCCAATAATCTATTTCTAGCTTTCTTTTGAACCGCCACGGAACCATAAAGCATAAAAAAATTTAAGTAACCAAACTTAACCTGTCATAGACGCTCAAAAATGCTCCGCATATGTCACATAGACGCAGCTTCTGGTCTGTCTGAGACAATACGAGAAGAGAGAATGAGGGCTAGCAACCAACAAAGTGACAAAAAAAATAGAGACGATACATCAAGCAGATATGAGAAAATGGTACATACTTCTCTTCAAAAGCAATTTCTGTTTAAGCTGTTTGACAATTGAGAACACTGAATACATGCTTCTTAAACCAAAGAATTTTAATTGTCCTCAAACTTTATAAGCCATAACTTTTTTTGGATACTAGGAGTATGAGTGTAGGACTATCTTCCTTAAATTCTAATGGTCGTCAGACTAAACAAACTATATAAGATGAACACCTAAGAATTAAGAATCTTGAGAGCCTCTATGAGAAATGAATTTCAATAAATTATCATGTCGGGGATAAGGTGATATAAATGATGATCTTGACTTACAATGCGCACGTCAACAGCAGTATACTTGGTTGAATCCACTACAGGTTCTTGTCTAGCAGTAAGCTGAAACATGTACAAGCACAACAGTCTTAGGAACTAATAAAAGTAGGGGAAAATATTATACAATAAGTGAGTAGGGAGAGACATAAGGAACATGCAGAACTATTCAAGCAATTTAACCACCAAGACAAAGAGAGATCCCTGTGTCAATAGACTTCATTAACATCTCCAAATCCTACAACGTATGAAGTAACTCGGAAACAAGAACCAAACAAAACACTAATTTACGAAAGAAAACAAACCTTCTTAAGAGCTTCTGCCTCTTCTAGTGCTTTCTGCGCCTCATCAACCATCCCTTGTTCACCTGAAATAAACGTACAGATATCATAACTGTACAGTGGCTGTTTCCACCACTGAAAAAGTTCAAACGTTCTTTATGTAGGTATGTAACCATAAACTGCCTTCTTCTAACATTGCCTATCACAAAGGTTTCCTAAGCTCAGTTTTGTACATTCATAAAGAATCAATTAATAGGCCAAGTAACCACTGCAACGGTAACTTAAAGAGCTACCGATTCAAGATCACCACATATAACAAAACATATATGAATTAGAGGTTTGCCCCTTACCAAGCTCTTCTGCTTTCTTTAGTTTTTCATTGATCATTTCCTGAGTACGAGGATCAGGAGGAGGTAACGCTGCAGCTGGTTGCTGAGCTGGAATGGGCTGTTGCAAGGATGCCCTATCTTTGTTGAAGGCATCCAACAGTAGCACAGCCTGTAGGGAAACAAGAAAAAAGACTTGACTGTTAACAATGTACCAGGCGCAGCAAGTAGCAAATTACATAATAACAGACCTGTAGGTCAGCTCTCTTCGTCCTCATCTCTTCAACTAACTCAAGAGCTCTAATCTTCAGATCTGTTTTGCCTTCAAGATCTGCGATATGAAAAGATCATTTCTGAATATTATAGCAGGATCCAAAGTTTTACGGAATCAAAGGTAAAGAACTCTAGTTATTCGGAAATTACCCGATCTAATTAAATGTTAAAAATAAGCACACAACAATCATAAGCAGAAGCTTTACATCTAAGCCATTTAGTGCCAATTATACAGAAAGATGCTTTCTTTCAAATTTAGACCATTTTAAAAAAGGTGAAGACTCATCTCTAGCAACACCACAAGAAAGCTTTATTTTCCAGAAGATAAAAAATCTAAACATACCGTACCACTTGGGCAGCTAAAATATTCATTTAGGAAGTGGCAGATTTAATTCTTAAATTAAGTTAATTTGCAACTATTTTGTTCGTGGAATTAATCATATATCAAGAAACACGTCCAAGTTGATAGCCTACTACAGATGTTGTAAAGATACCTACAAAATACCAAAGCAAATATACTGCTTACAAAGTGCAAATACAAAAGGTTCCGATTTATGTGAGCTGTAATGAAATTCTAGTTATAAAAAATAAAACTCAAGCAGAACGTGGTCAATTAACCAGCCAAAAAGGTATAATATTCATTTATATTACCGTGCAGGTCTGCTTCCTTCATCTTCTCTTTGATTTGCTTCGATAATTCAAGAATTTCAGGTGACTGCAATACAACGATGAAAGAATGAGGAAAAAGCTTGAGTTGAAAAAAACCACAAAAATAACTCAACGAATTAAAACTTAGATCATCACCTGAGTAAATTCTGTGACAGAAATTGCAATGGCAGCTTTGGCATCCTCTTCCTGAAGACGATTTAGAGCCCTACCAATCTTTCTATCACACTCAACAATAAGCCTATCTATCGCATCTTCCAATTCCCTATCGTAGTTGTCAACACCTTTTGCCTTTGCATCTTTATATCTAAGGATGAGTTAAAGCAAAACAGTAGAGGAGCGAAATAACATCCTACTGAAAATAACTAGTGTGAACTTTAGAAAAAAGGATACTCTTTCCTCAGCTGCAAAGAGTGCACCTTTGGGCAAGGACCCATATCCATTTTCTGATAATAACAAACATGTCAAAGAGTACTCAAATACCAAATTAGCCGACTAATAAATTTCACACTGTTACCTAAATCAACAACCTCCCCCAAAAATCAAGATAGGATTTTTAACATTATCCAAAACACTACATCAACTAACACATACCAATACTAAAACTTTATGTATCACAAAGCTCTATCTTATTGAAATTAGGGTTTTTTTCCAAGATACTAATGATAAAGCCATTGAGCTGAAGAAGAAGAAGAAAAAACATGGGTATCGAAGAAGATGTATAAACGCACCGTCAATTGGAAAAGCTCGTGAGGACAGAGACCAGATAGGTAAAGACGGCAAACATCACGGTCGTAGTATTTGCGATTGACCTCCGTGACATCGCCGTTTCTGTTAGCTCCCATGAGCACATCGAGTTGCTTCCTCATAGCGTCCATCTTCGTTATCTCTCTCTCTCACACACACACCAAGTTTGATTCTCTGAATCAAGAATTGATCCTCTCTGCGGACAGAGAGATTGGGTTTTTGATCGAAAGCTTAACAATTACAGTCACCAAAAGGGGTTTTTGTTGTTTTGGCGTAAAAGATTTTGGTAATTAGGGTTCAGTGTCATTATAGGTCCCTCAAGTTAAAAATAATTTTAATATTTTCCCGACATTAGGGTTTATGTTAACAATTTAAAAGTAACGGGGTTTTTGTGCGAAACTTTATAAATAAGTCGACGATATTTACAAAAATGCCATCAGTGCTCGGTTACATAACTAAAATCGATTTCGCTTCAAGGATTCTCAATTCGAGTTTAAAGAACGTTTAAAGTTTCTGATGTAATGTCATATTTCTGATGCATTATGTTTTCACTCATGCAAATTGCCAGTGGTTTGAGATATCCGACTCATAATGGATTAAAGATCAATTATGTGATATTTGAATATATATATATATATATATATATTTTTTTTATAATATGTTAAACATGTTATAGTCCCTTATGATGATGACAAATGGACTTTATGCAATTTTCGGATCCATCCTAGGTATTTCTTTAGATTAGTATTTCAAATCTATCTGTTTTTGTGTGGAAGTAGTATTACATTAGATCCAATCCTATTCCTAGGGTAAGACCATACTTATAAAGGTTTTGAAACAGTAGCTAAACACTAAGGACAAAAGAAAATTAGTTCTATTGTCTTCTAGTTGATTGAGTCACATTTCTGGATGAGAAATATTAACCTTGATTCATTTAGGAATAAAAAATAAAAAGCAGTTATGAATCCAAGTTTTTGCTTAAGAGATTAAAAAAACGGTGATCACTAGAGAACGATGCGATACAAAATCTCACAGTACTTGGCTTTAATTTTAACATATTTTTGTTGTTGCAATTATGACAGAGAGTGACATTAATCTTTCTTGAATAGTATGATTCAGCTATTTCTCCATGGCTCAAACGTCTCAAATAATCGTTTTCACTTCTTTTTTTTTGCTGCCAAAACTGTTTTTTGATTTGCGATTCTTCACTTTAGCGTACATATTGACTCTTCTATTCTCATTCTGTTTCCAATTTGAGTATTCGTATGTGGACGCCAGGACGGAAATGGAGTTGTATGATGATATCTGTAGAACAAAATGGATTTAAAAAAAAAATTACATTGTTGCTCTCTTCCCTCCACTTGAAGGAACATAGAATGATAGAAGTCTAAAACTATAACTTTTTCTCTTTTGATTTTTTTTTTTTTTGGCTAAGAATATAAATATTTTACTAAACAATAGAAAGTTTAAGAGTTATAAAAATTAGATCCTACAATATTAGTTCGATAGCAAAAAATGAATAGAAAACATGAAAGCAATGAACAATTACTCTTTCGGAATCTCCTTATCAAAAAAAAAAAGATTACTTTTTCGGAATCTATGAAGTGAACCTTTTTTATTTTTATCCTTTTAATAGTAAACATAAGAAAAATGATCTTATTTTAGTTAAATAGAATGACATCGTGATCAAAATAATCATCTATGTAAACTATGTTTTTAAAATGAAAAAGTATCTGATTAGGATCAGTTCCGTGTTTAAAAAAACTCTTCTTTCTTTTTTTTCAAATGGTAGAACATGAAACCAAAACGTGTGTTTTTCAAGTTTTTTGCCTTATATTTTAGTTGTGTATGGCATACTTTTTCAATTCAGTGTTTTTTTTTTTTTTTTGTTGTTGTTGCATATTTGTATAACATTTTTTTATTGAGAACTATTTTGTAATTCATTCATGGGACCGTGTGTGAATCGCACGCCAATTTTACCATTCGATCGATTATGAATCTCTGAACAAATCTAAGATTTTTCTTTTCCAATAAATACTAATTTAAGATACGAAAAGAAAAAGTTGTCGAAAAGAAAAATGAGATGTCAGTCATGCAAAGAATCAGTGTGATGTGTAGTGAAAATTGAAGAACTCGCCCGCTTTAACCGGGGGAACCAAAAGCTTTTCACTTATACTTATAAATTGAAACAAAAAAAGTGAAATTGTCGATTTGTTTGACCTCTGAAAAATATGGAATAATAGAGCACAAATATAAATAATATGATATGAGTCATATGACAATGACACTGGCTGTGGCTGGTGCAATTGCAATGTGACAATGTTATGGGTTTTCGTACGCAAGGCAGACTCTTGCAGACCCTCATCATTTCCACATTCGTCTTTACACAACAAATAAAAAATATTGTAAACTATATATATCTTTATCTACTAATAAGAAGAAACATGAGAAGAGCTCACACTAGCTAATTGGACAAATGCTTAAAGAGAAAATTTAACGAATACTCTTTTGATTAACTAGTCTAAACACGGTTTAGTCGACCTATAAATATATCTAAATTGAAGGTTTTCTCAGATTTAGAGAAAAGCTTGAAGAAGATGATAAAAGGATTTGCTTTCTTATTCAACTTAATCCAAAAGATACATTGCTTATTGCTATATAAAGAAAAGAGTAATCACAGAGAATATGACGCGTGTCCTAGCTGCACATGATTGCTCCGGATCCCAACGCGTTAAATCTGTTACTCAGGTGTATTTCATGACGTAGCCCTTCCGTACCTTGAACACGACAAGTTCGTGGTACTCTGCTTTTGACCGTTGCAGAGACTGTGGGAATGGGCTTCTCATGGACCGAAATCTTTGAACCTTGTTGGACTTTAGTCGGCCCATCTTGTCTGTTTTGAGGCTGAGGCAAAACCTCTGTTTTAGTAAGAAGGTCCTTACTGTTAATACTCCCCCGCAAACTTGGCGTCGGTGGTGAGCAGAGACCAAGTTTGAAGCGAAGATCAAAGAAGGCTTGTTGAGGTAGAGATTTGGTGAAGACATCTGCTAGCTGATCAGTTGCAGGAATGTGCTTCACAATAAGAGCTCCAAGAGCAACCTGTTCACGGACATGATGAAAGTCCCGAGCAAAATGTTTAGACTTGGAGTGCAGGGCTGGATTTGCTGTAAGATGCACTGCTGAGAGATTGTCACAGTACATTTCAGGAGTAATAGGTTGAGCTACTCCAGTTTCACGCAACAAAGAGTTCAGCCACATTATTTCACGAGAGGCCATAGACATGGTTCTGTACTCCGCTTCCGTAGAGGAGTGAGAGACTGTGGGATGGCGCTTTGATGACCAAGATATAATGTTCTCACCAAGGAACGTGCAGAACCCACCAGTACTCCTGCTTGTGTCTTTACATCCTGACCAGTCACTATCACTGTACACTCTAAGGGTTGAATCTGTTGAGTTTGAAAGATTTATTCCCAACTGAAGTGTACCTTTAACATAGCGAATGATCCTTTTAAGCAAGTGGAAATCATCTTCTGATGGAGCATGCATCTTCTGACAAACAAAGTTGACCGCAAATTGGATGTCTGGTCTTGTCAGTGTGAGATACTGAAGTTTTCCCGCCAAACTTCTAAAGTAAGTAGGATCCGAGAGCTTTTGACTGATGTGAGAACTTTCCCGGTTGTAGAGGAAGTGGTGTTGGCATGGGAGCGCAATCCGCCATTCCTGCTGAGACTAGGAGGTCTCTGGCATACTTTTCTTGATTAAGAAACAAACCATTCTCATGAAAATGTGCTTGAATACCCAAAAAATAGTGAAGAGGACCCATGTCTTTCATCCGGAAGATGCTACTCAGACTCACCAGTAGCTGTTCCATGAGCTTTGTGTTGTTTCCTGTTAACAACATGTCATCCACATAGAGTAATAGGTACATGATATCCGGTCCTTTGATGTAAACAAAGAGAGATGGATCAGGATAACTGCAGGTGAACCCAAACTCAAGAAGAAACGAGCTAAACTTGTCAAACCAGGCCCGAGGTGCCTGTTTTAAACCATAAATAGCTTTCTTAAGCTTGCATATGTAGTCTGGCTTACTTGTGTCTTCAAAGCCTGGTGGTTGAACCATATACACAGTCTCTTTCAAGTCTCCATGTAAAAAGGCATTCTTAACATCTAACTGTTTGATGTTCCACTTATTGATTGTAGCATTGTGGAGTACCATTCTGATTGTAGCAGTTCGAACCACAAGGCTATATGTTTCAACAAAATCCACCCCTTCTTCTTGCTCATATCCCTTTGCTACCAATCGAGCTTTTAGTTTATCTAGAGAACCATCAGCACACAATTTAGTTTTGAAAACCCATTTGCAGCCAAGTGGTTGAATATCTTCTTCTGGTGGAACCAAATCCCAAGTTTTGGTCTCATGCATATTTTCATGAGAATGGTTTTGGATATTTTGGATAAAGATTCATCTAAATGTCTTGCATGATATAGATATAAGGTTTATTGTTTAATAAAGAATACTATACATAATAACAAAATAATGTTTTAAAAAAAGAAAACCACTCAGACTAGACTGGCTCATAAATATCCAAGAAGGCCTTATATAAGAGTAAAAACATGTTATACAAAATTATCTTGCAACTTAGTTCAGGATCAAGATGTTCAAAGAAGTCATTTCTCCCATCAATGACATATACTAATGTGTGTATATGCATATACTATATACTAGTAAAATGAGTAAAAAATGTGCATGCAAATGAACAATGAATGGGCAAAGTAAAAGGTATTGGGTGGGGGAATGGTAGAGCAGCAGCAGTAGCATTTATACTGACAAATATCTCAAACTCATCCATCTGATTTTAATAACATTTTCCTCTCTTCTTTTTCTTTTGCTGTTTTTTTTACCACTTTTCAATCTTTTTCAGATTTTTTACTTACTTTCAGATTTTTTTTCTTTTCCTATTTTTGGTCACACGCTCTTGTCAGTTGTAGATATCTTCATCTACAGGTGTTTCCTTTTATTTTCAGATGGAATCTCAATCTACAGGTGTTTCCCACTTCCATAAATTACCCCCAAAAAAACTTAGTTTTTGTATTTACAAGAAACACAGCATAATAATTGATATATATGTTATTAAAAAAAAAAACTTCTTGATACATATGGTTTTGACAAGTAATACTGTCTACAAAACTTTTGATCAAGCTTTTCTTGATTAAATATCGTCCCAGATCAACACATAAAGTAAGTGAATAAAGTTTCTTTGGTAGAGGTCAGAAAATTTGAACCGTGTATCGAAAATGTAAAAGCTATTTTAATTCCTAGATCTACTAATTGGTATTGAGGTAATGAAATAATTGGGTACCAAAGGTTTTGGGGTATAGAAAAGCAGATATGAACAAATTGGTAGGAAAAAATAATATGATTTTGTAGGTACGAGGCAATTCTAGAACGTGTGTTGGTGGTGTGTTAGATATTGCAGGCATAATAATGGAGGAAGTGAACTTATATTACAATTAAATAGAAAGACGAGAATCCATTGAATCGTATCTTACCAAAGAAAGTCCAAATTTTTTAAAAATGTATAAATCTTTGAAAGATTATAAACTCATGCACATGCTCACCTTCGTCTCATTGATCCATGTGTATACCCTACATTTTCCTCCCTAATTACTCTAATTCCCCTAAATCATTTTTTAATTTGATACAATTAGTCGGATAAGCTCAACTACTTTACTACTGTTGCTTAGCATGTACATCTCTAGCGACTAGCATCCCTACTAGTCATTCACTTCTTTCGTTTTATACGTTGGAAGATCGAACAAGATTTGTTTTGAAAATTTTGAGACGTTTTTATTGGTTGAACTATATATAGCCACTATACTTCAAATAGTTAAGAATATAATTTCACAATATATTTGCATGTCAAATTATTCTAAAATACTTTTAATTTTTTTAACGTGGTAATACTTTTTGCTTAAGATTGTTGGAGAATACTAAAAATGACTAAGCACGAAACCATGAATATCACACAAACCATGAATTTCTTAGCGGAACCATCTCTTAGTCCCGCACTTCAAAATATTACAACGCACGAAACCATGAATCTTCGAGTTTGTTGGAGAATACTTAAAATGGCGAGTTCGTGTTTGAAAGAAAAAAACGCCAAAACGCATTCGCTGGTTCGTGTCATATGTCTCTAAGAGACACAGCATCATTGGTCTTAAATCGACAGCGAGTGGTTTTTTGGACTTTACTATTGGTCCTCGTGTTTACCCTTTTTTGTCCTTTACATTAGTTAATTTTATACGCATGAAGAGAGAGAGAGAGATTTGTAATGGTTTTTGACTGATTAATTTAAGTGTCATTAAGAGATTATCCACTTGAAATTATTTTTCTACCCCTACCCTTCAAACCGACCAATACATCTCCACATTTTTCAAGTAAATATTTTCTTTTTTCTTTCTGAATTTAATTGCAAAATTCTCTAAATGCGCATAATATGTCGCCTCGGAAGAAATGAACATTATATTTTTGACTTTTCTTCTTCTTCTTCTCTCTTCATTTAACACCAAAACCTTTTTATTTCTCCTCTTCATGCATGAACCCTAAATAAGTTCATCTTTATTCTTATTCTTCTTCTCTAATCTCTCACAAGGAGCTAGTTATTCGATTACTATATGAACTCGATGAATAACTGGTTAGGTTTCTCTCTCTCTCCTCATGATCAAAATCACCACCGTACCGATGTTGACTCCACCACCACAACCGCCGTAGATGTTGCCGGAGAGTACTGTTTTGATCTGGCCGCTGCCTCCGATGAGTCTTCTGCCGTTCAAACATCTTTTTCTTCTCCTTTTGGTGTCGCCCTCGAAGCTTTCACCAGAGACAACAATAGTCACTCCCGAGGTTTTTGTTTTAAAAATATTTATTTTATTTTTGTTTTTGTTAATATTTTCCCCTTCTTCCAATGCATAGAACAAAGACCAAGACTCACGCACGTAGCCCTATTTTGTTTTTGCTTATTTATCGATTTCATCTCTTTTGAGAATTTCCATGAGTGGGGTTTAGTGTTAGTTCACATCTCATGAATTTAAACTTAGTCAAATATGAAACTAGACATATATATATATATATATATATATTCACCATTATTCAAAATCATAAATATATATGATCACATATATGTGTATATATATTTTTATTTTGTATCCTTTTGTCCATAAAATCAAAATTCCATTTCGTATATTATAGATCGGTGATGAATCAAACCCAACGTTGGGGATCTCTTTGCTTTTTTGTATATAGATTGGGACATCAATAGTGGTGCATGCAATAACATCCACAATAATGAACAAAATGGACCAAAGCTTGAGAATTTCCTCGGCCGCAACACCACGATCTACAATACCAACGAGAACGTTGGAGATGGAAGTGGCAGCTGTGGAGGACCTGGAGGTAGAGACGGTGGTGGTGGCTCACTAGGCCTTTCGATGATAAAAACATGGCTGAGTAACCATCCGGTGGCTAATGTTAATTATCAAGACAATGGTAACGGTGCACGAGGCTTGTCACTCTCTATGAATTCATCTACTACCTGTGATGGCAACAACTACAACAACAATAATGATGTTGTCCAAGAGAAGACTATTGTTGATGTCGTAGAAGCGACACCAAAGAAAACTATTGAGAGTTTTGGACAAAGGACGTCTATATACCGCGGTGTTACAAGGTTTCCTTCATCTATATATTTTTGTTTAATTATTGTGTTAAAATGGCGCTTGAATCGTGATTTTTCTTGGTAAAGTTTGGGACATTCTAATGGTTTGGTTGAGAGAGTCCAACGGAATGTCCCTCGATGTATATTAAAGAGGAGACATTAATTAGTTGACATGGGTTTATATATATACAATAATACGTACGTATATGGTATATACTCGTGATCATATAATGTTTTGAATTTAATGTTCAGGCATCGGTGGACAGGAAGATACGAGGCACATTTATGGGATAATAGTTGCAAAAGAGAAGGCCAGACTCGCAAAGGAAGACAAGGTATATATATATTTCAATTAATTTGATAATTTTCATATACCATTTACTTACGAACTAATTTAGGTTTCTTTTCCATGTTTTTTATATGTTTGCACATGATGGCTCTCTTTTCAGTTTATTTGGGTAAGTTCTTGATTATAAGCTATAAATTAATGATATATGACTAGTAAATCTATTCTAAGCAAAATATAATTGTTTTGTTATCTGTTCATGTAGGAGGTTATGATAAAGAAGAAAAAGCAGCTAGGGCTTACGATTTAGCCGCACTAAAGTATTGGGGAACCACTACTACTACTAACTTCCCCGTAAGTTAATTAATCAATTATACATATATTCCTAACTTCTAACTAATTTTATTCTTTTTTCTTTCTGATTGATTAATACTTGTTTAAAAAACTATTATCTTACTTTTGAATGTCATGTTTATATCGTTACATTTATTATAATAAATTAGTAATGTTGGTTGGATATTATATTCAGATGAGTGAATATGAGAAAGAGGTAGAAGAGATGAAGCACATGACGAGGCAAGAGTATGTTGCCTCTCTGCGCAGGTAATGGAACTCTTGAATTTATTGCATTTTACATATTTCATATAATTATATGACTGAAACCCATCACGTATTATATTTATTAGTATTTCTTAACATTGAATAAATCATTATACGGAATATATAATAAACATTTAAATGTGCAGGAAAAGTAGTGGTTTCTCTCGTGGTGCATCGATTTATCGAGGAGTAACAAGGTACGTATATTCCATCTATATATGGAACCAATACAATGTTTTAATCTTTTTTTGTTTGATGTATATATAATAATTGTTATGAAATACAATTAATCTAATTAATATTTCTTTAATGGGTCCAAAAGGCATCACCAACATGGAAGGTGGCAAGCTAGGATCGGAAGAGTCGCCGGTAACAAAGACCTCTACTTGGGAACTTTCGGTACACGTTTCTATCAAATCTCTAAACCATGACTTTAATAAAAAATACTATAAACCATAGATATTAAATAGGGATATAGATCTAAGTGAATTATACAAATTATGTAGGCACACAAGAAGAGGCTGCAGAAGCTTATGACATTGCAGCCATTAAATTCAGAGGATTAAGTGCAGTGACTAACTTTGACATGAGCAGATACAATGTTAAAGCAATCCTCGAGAGCCCGAGTCTACCTATTGGTAGTTCTGCAAAACGTCTCAAGGACGTTAACAATCCAGTTCCAAGTATGATGATTAGTAATAACGTTTCAGAGAGTGCAAATAATGCTAGCGGTTGGCAAAATGCTGGGTTTCAGCATCATCAGGGAGTGGATTTGAGCTTATTGCAGCAACAGCAGGAGAGGTACGTTGGTTATTACAATGGAGGAAACTTGTCTGCCGAGAGTACTAGGGTTTGTTTCAAACAAGAGGAGGAACAACAGCACTTTTTGAGCAACTCGCCCAGCCTCATGACGAATGTTGATCATCATAGCTCGACTTCTGATGATTCGGTTACCGTTTGTGGAAATGTTGTTAGTTATGGTGGTTATCAAGGATTTGCAATCCCTGTTGGAACATCGGTTAATTGTGATGTCTTCACTGCTGCTGAGATTGCTTACAACGCAAGAAATCGTTATTATTATGCTCAGCAGCAGCAACAACAGCAGATTCAGCATTCTCCGGGAGGAGATTTTCCGGTGGCGATTTCGAATAACGTTAGCTCTAACATGTACTTTCATGGTGAAGGTGGTGGAGAAGGGGCTTCAACGTTTACAGTTTGGAACGACGCTTAGAAAAATAAGTAAAAGATCTTTAGTTGTTTGCTTTGTGTGGTGTGAACAGTTTGATTCTGTTTTTTTGTTTTTTCCTTTTTTGGGTAAGTTTCTTTAACTTTTTTCATAGTTTTGATTATTTGGATAAAATTTTCAGATTAAGGATCATTTTATTTTCTTTTATATTAGTCTAGTCTAATTTAGTACCGTATCACTAAAAAATTGTAGTTTGCAATATCATAAGTTTTTTATTTTTTGGAATTATAGTGCAAACTCAAAATTCTGGTTTCAATGTTAATAATGATCCGTGCCCAAATTGAATTCCAATAGTTGCCCACTTGATTCTTCTTCGTACATTTTGGTTTTGATTTATCTGCAACATTGGCACAAGAAAATGTGATAAAGAGAAGCAATGATGCGAAAAAGATCTTTTTGTCAAGTTTGTGCCTTGTTTCAGATCTTTAATGTTTTTTTCCCTTTCAACTAGTATGCATTATGCTTCATTCGAATTCAGACAACGACGTAGTAACACTCTAACACAAACTACTAGAGTACATATGTGTCCAAGATTTGTGGTGGGTCGCTGTCGTGGCCCTGCTCAGCCAATGATGGCCCCAAGATTATCCCTCTTGTATTTGAGAATAATCATGGCTGGTCAAAGCCCGGCCCGTTTCGCTTATAAACCAGCCAAGCCCATGAATTAGACTGTTATCGGCAGACTCAAATAAAGGACTGGCGCAGAGGAATTGTCATGGAAACCGAATGGACAAGAAAGGCTGATGAAGAAGCTCAAAGGCATATATGAATGATCTATAGATTCTCTTTAGCTTATGTATGCAGAAAATTCACCTAATTAAGGACAGTGAACGTAACTTGGCTTGCACTCCTCTCACCAAACCTTAACCCCCTAACTAATTTTAATTCAAAATTACTAGTATTTTGGCCGATCACTTTATATAATAAGATAATTATTATATTTTTAAAAGTATAACTGCCTTATTATATGATTACGAATTATCAGTATGCATATCGAACATATATATAGTTTTTTTTTTTTTTGTAAAGGGTAAAATAATATGATCCTTTGAATAAGATAAACATATATACTCCCTCCGTATTTTAATAATTGTCGTTTTAGAATTTTTATTTTTTTGAATTGGATGTCGTTTTCAAATTTCTATGCAAAATTTATTACTTTTTAATGTTTTATGACATCATAAAACATTAAAAAGTAAGAAATTTTGCATTGAAATTTGAAAACGACATCTAATTTTTAAAAAAATAAAATCCTAAAACGACACTTATTAAAATACGGAGGGAGTAATTGGTAAAATGAAAATAGAAGGAATGAGATTAGGACAGTTAAGTAAAACGAGAGAGACAGGCAAAGGACAAAAAGGGAAGCTTGAGGAAACCGCGACGACGAAAGGAAGACATATCAGCTGATGGATGTGAGTGAGAGTTTGTTGCAGTTGCAGAAAATTTTCCTAAAAACAATTGTCTTTTTAACTAAAAGAAATAATAAAAAACACGAAAGCTTAGCTTGAAGGCAATGGAGACTCTACAACAAACTTATGTACCATACAGAGAGAGAAATTAAAAGCTTTTCATTCATAAAAACCAAACTTGTTCGTCTCTCATTGATGAATTATTGTCTCTCACGATCACTGCTAATCTCCGGCAGTTGCTATGGAAGCCAGCGCCGGTCTTGTCGCCGGTTCTCATAACCGTAATGAACTTGTCGTCATTCACAACCATGAAGAGGTTTTTCATATTACTTAACCCATTTTTTCTCATCAATACCAAAGTGTTTTTTTTTTATCAATTCACTAGTAAAAATATTACTGCATTTTCCTGATTTGTTTCGTTATTAATTTTTAAAAACTCGAATTTTTGGGTAATCAAAATTTGATCATTTTTTTTTCCGGATTATGAAAATTTATAATCTGTATGCTAAGATTTGCAACAATTTTGTAGAAAAATCATATTTTTCATTATTACCAACATAATACTTTTGTAAGTTTGTTGCTAATATTATATTGAGCTGTCAGGTTTAACCACTTAAATCGCTGTAAAAAAAAATTACTTCAATCTTTGGTCTTTTAGCGAACTGAAACTTATGTGGATTATTATAACAGCCAAAGCCTCTAAAGAATTTAGATGGACAATTCTGTGAGATATGTGGAGATCAGATTGGTTTGACAGTAGACGGAGACCTCTTCGTTGCTTGCAACGAGTGTGGTTTTCCGGCGTGTAGGCCTTGCTATGAGTACGAGAGAAGAGAAGGTACACAGAACTGTCCTCAGTGTAAGACTCGTTACAAGCGTCTCAGAGGTAAATTATTTATTCATCTTCCTCCGCTCTTATGTTGTTCGACGAAATGTCTCAATGAAAATTTAAAAAAGGCTGTTTCTTTTTAGTCTGAACTCAGAGAATGATTTTTTTTTTTTTTTTTGGTTTCTGAAGGAAGCCCACGTGTGGAGGGAGATGAGGATGAAGAAGATATTGATGATATTGAGTATGAGTTTAATATCGAACATGAACAAGATAAGCAGAAGCATTCTGCTGAGGCTATGCTTTATGGGAAAATGAGCTATGGAAGAGGTCCTGAGGATGATGAGAACGGGAGATTCCCACCTGTTATAGCTGGTGGATATAGTGGAGAATTCCCTGTTGGAGGAGGCTATGGGAATGGAGAACATGGGCTTCATAAGCGTGTCCACCCATATCCATCATCTGAAGCTGGTGAGTCTCATCGTCCTCTGTAACTTGCGGTAACTTGTTGGAGCAAGCATAAACTTAGACCTTCATAATTGTAAATATAAAAGTTATCATGATAGTGTTAACTTACATATAAATTTAAGGACGTCTCACAGTGATGATTAGGCTCACGCATATTTCAATATGTGCAAAAATCATAAGTATGAGGCCTTCCAGCTTGGTATTGAACAGTTTGGTAGTAGATAGGTACATAGTTTTATAAACATGGACTTTGGGGGTTCTTACATTGTTATATGAAATTCATCAGCAGAACCATTTTTGAGAAAGGGCTGCTTCTTTAGCGAATTTCACGCACATATAAGCGAAAAAGCAACTCATGTAGAGCTTTCTAACAACACTTTTCTTTTCCTTTTTGTTTCTGTGTGTAATTTTAATGTGGTAGGGAGTGAGGGAGGATGGCGGGAAAGAATGGATGACTGGAAGCTCCAGCATGGGAATCTTGGGCCAGAACCAGATGATGATCCTGAGATGGGACTGTAATGCCTTCACAAACATATGTCTGAGATATTAGTTTTATATGATTTGGATTCATGCTTACAAACTTTTGGAATTGGAAATGGTTGCAGGATTGACGAAGCACGGCAGCCACTCTCGCGGAAAGTGCCCATTGCCTCAAGCAAGATCAATCCATATCGGATGGTCATCGTGGCTAGGCTTGTGATTCTAGCAGTTTTTCTACGGTATAGGCTCTTGAACCCAGTGCATGATGCTCTGGGGTTATGGCTGACCTCTGTGATCTGTGAAATCTGGTTCGCTGTCTCTTGGATTCTTGATCAGTTTCCCAAGTGGTTCCCCATTGAACGTGAGACCTATCTAGATCGGCTTTCCCTCAGGTAAAATCCACATATTCTCAAGTAGGAGTCTTAAAATCTATGAGTTGGAGTTTGGATATAAATATCTTTTTGTTTATACAGGTACGAGAGAGAAGGTGAACCAAATATGCTTGCCCCTGTAGATGTCTTTGTCAGTACGGTGGACCCGCTGAAGGAACCTCCCCTCGTCACATCCAACACTGTGCTTTCAATCTTGGCCATGGACTACCCAGTTGAGAAAATCTCCTGCTATGTCTCTGACGATGGTGCTTCAATGCTCACATTCGAATCTCTCTCGGAAACTGCCGAGTTTGCAAGAAAATGGGTTCCCTTCTGTAAGAAATTCTCCATAGAGCCACGGGCACCAGAGATGTACTTCACGTTGAAAATTGATTATCTCCAGGACAAAGTCCACCCAACGTTTGTTAAGGAACGTCGAGCCATGAAGGTCAGTGTATATCACCTGATCTAATTATACCACCACCCAGCTTTTCACTATAATCTAAACTTCATAAGTGAAATTGACTTATGGCAGAGAGAATATGAGGAGTTCAAGGTCAGGATCAATGCTCTCGTGGCTAAGGCCTCAAAGGTTCCTCTAGAAGGTTGGATCATGCAAGATGGAACACCATGGCCAGGGAACAACACCAAGGACCACCCCGGTATGATCCAAGTCTTCCTCGGCCACAGCGGAGGATTTGATGTTGAAGGCCACGAGCTTCCTCGGCTTGTGTACGTGTCCCGTGAGAAGCGTCCTGGTTTTCAGCACCACAAGAAAGCTGGCGCCATGAACGCCCTGGTAATTTTCTTGATCTGCCTTGGACCAAATGAGAAACTGATCTCTGTGTCTTGGACCTAACATGATACTTCTGTCAGGTTCGAGTGGCAGGCGTACTCACAAATGCTCCTTTCATGCTGAACTTGGACTGTGATCACTATGTGAACAACAGCAAGGCCGTGAGGGAAGCAATGTGTTTTTTGATGGATCCTCAGATTGGAAAGAAGGTCTGCTATGTTCAGTTCCCTCAAAGGTTCGACGGTATTGACACGAACGATCGTTACGCCAACAGAAACACAGTCTTCTTTGATGTAAGATAAAATCCATATTTCTTTAACTTTTGGTCTATGAGATAAATATACCCTTTTGCTTACACTCTTGTTTGCTACAGATCAATATGAAAGGTCTAGATGGAATCCAAGGTCCAGTTTATGTTGGTACTGGTTGTGTTTTCAAACGACAAGCTCTGTATGGTTATGAACCACCAAAGGGTCCTAAACGTCCAAAGATGATTAGCTGTGGTTGTTGTCCTTGCTTTGGGCGCCGGAGAAAGAATAAGAAGTTTTCCAAGAATGACATGAATGGTGACGTAGCAGCCCTTGGAGGTAAATTATCCCAACAACCTTATAACATCACTCCATATCTTGAAGTAGATTTAGTTTTATGTTGGAATCTTGCAGATCTGATAGTGTTTTTTGGTAGGAGCAGAAGGTGATAAGGAGCATTTGATGTCTGAAATGAACTTTGAGAAAAAGTTTGGGCAATCATCCATCTTTGTAACCTCAACTTTGATGGAAGAAGGTGGCGTTCCTCCGTCATCAAGTCCTGCAGTGCTCCTTAAGGAGGCAATCCACGTCATAAGCTGCGGTTATGAAGATAAGACTGAGTGGGGAACTGAGGTAATAATACTGAATCAGCACCTTCTTATTTGTGATTTAGAAGCTGGCCATTGTAAGAAACTTTTGTATATCCTAATTGCAGCTGGGTTGGATCTATGGCTCTATCACAGAGGATATTTTGACGGGTTTCAAGATGCATTGCCGTGGCTGGAGGTCTATTTACTGCATGCCTAAGAGGCCTGCATTCAAAGGTTCAGCTCCTATTAATCTATCAGACAGGTTAAACCAGGTTTTGCGTTGGGCACTCGGATCCGTTGAGATATTTTTCAGCCGGCACAGTCCTCTCTGGTATGGCTACAAAGGAGGCAAACTCAAGTGGCTTGAGCGTTTTGCTTATGCCAACACAACAATCTACCCGTTCACATCTATACCACTCCTTGCCTACTGTATCCTTCCAGCCATCTGTCTCCTTACTGACAAATTCATCATGCCACCGGTTAGTAAAATCATCAGATAAAAGCGCTTACAAATCTGCATAAAATTTGCTAACTATCTGTTTTCCCAAATTTTCTTTCAGATAAGCACATTTGCTAGTCTCTTCTTCATCTCACTGTTTATGTCGATCATTGTAACGGGAATCTTGGAATTGAGATGGAGCGGAGTTAGCATTGAGGAATGGTGGAGAAATGAGCAATTCTGGGTCATTGGAGGAATCTCAGCTCATCTCTTTGCAGTTGTCCAAGGTCTCCTCAAAATCTTAGCAGGCATTGACACAAACTTCACAGTCACATCAAAGGCAACAGATGATGATGACTTTGGAGAACTTTACGCGTTCAAATGGACAACACTGCTTATCCCTCCAACAACTGTCTTGATCATAAACATTGTCGGCGTTGTTGCAGGCATCTCAGATGCCATTAACAATGGATACCAGTCTTGGGGACCTCTATTTGGTAAACTCTTCTTCTCCTTTTGGGTCATTGTTCATCTCTACCCATTCCTCAAAGGTCTGATGGGAAGACAGAACAGAACACCAACCATTGTGGTGATTTGGTCAGTGCTATTGGCATCTATCTTCTCTTTGCTTTGGGTCAGAATTGATCCTTTTGTGCTCAAGACCAAAGGACCTGACACTTCCAAGTGTGGCATCAACTGCTGAAGCAAATTTTTTCCGTCTTCTGAAACTTTTCTGTACTGTCCAGAGTGTTTTCACTTCTTTTTTTGGATTGCATAATTGGATTTTGTTTATTGTATATTAGCCAGCAAAACAGATGGATTTGGAATTATTGTGAGAGATAAATGCATTGTAAAAGAAGATTCGAACAAAATTACTTTTTAGTTACACAGATACTTTCTCAAAGAGTGTACTTTTAGTTCCAGTGAAAACCACACAAATCTTGAACGCTAATATTTAACAGAGAGAGCCTGAGACATCGTGGAAATTCACAAATAAAATAAAGAAACGGCAACAAAAGACTAAACACACGCAGACATCCCATAACAACTTCTCAAGCTGAATATCATTTGATGACATTAAAAACCAATTGAATTGCCAGAGTTTGTTTAGTAAAAGTCTCACCTCTCATTCTTTTGAAACACCAAGGATCCACTGTGAGAGATGAGTCAAGTATGGCTCAGCCTGTGAGCCTTTGCTCAAGACTGGTCCTAAGCTCTGCAACTCCGAGTTGAATTCCCTTTCGAAATTGCTGGTAAAACGCGTTGCAGACATGTTAGAACAATCTCGTGATATGAAATTCGAAAATTCTAACAGCAACTGCTTTTGTAGAGATGTTGATAAAGGAGTCTGAAGGATCTGAATGATTCGCCAAGAAAGTAAAGCCATTAGTGTTAAAAACAGTTCCTTGTTACTACTTACAATATGGATTCTGTAACGGTTGTGTCTCTTATCATTGTCTTCTGTGGATGAGACTGGCTATTGATGTCGATAGACGATGATATCAGCCACTGTGTGGCTGCAGCATATTGCAGACACACTGATTTCAACTTCTCCATTTTCTGCAACATCAGTAAAGATGAGTGTAAAATATTGATAAACATCACACTCTCACTAGTGCGTTCAGAATTTCAGCTCTCGTTGGCACATAATTATATCGATCGTGAGAAAACATATTTTTTAATGGAACATCGGCAAACCTTAAGGACATCGGGTAAAAGAAGCAAGCATCCTCTCAGACATTTATCAAGAAAAAAGTCGTGATGTTGTATCACCTGCAAGATGATGGCACATTGTTCAATAAAGAATGTTTTCCCTGCAAACAAAAATAAAGCAGGTCTCCACACTTACCTCATCTACACTCCTTGTGGATTGTAGTCTATCGTGCATCACATGCCAATTTGGTTCGAGAACCTGAAGAGACATCCCACATAAAAGCAAGCAAATATAAAATTAGAAAAAAATCCAGAGCCAATAGTTGCTGAAATAAACACCAAATCATCTCATAAAGAATTATGTCTTTATATACTTCTGGTGTGATCTATCTCATCTGTTCATTGATACTCATATCTCCAGAATCTGTAACTCACGTTTTCGAGAACGTATATCTCGAAACATACACTTGCAAGAAGCGCCTACATTTGTAAGTATGCTTTTTACAACTGCAGAGATATCTGGATTCAATATACAGAGTATATATCAGCAATTCTAGAAGTCAGTCTTCCAGAGATTTACACCACAAAATCAGGAAAATAGGAGCTACGGATAGACAATCAAAAATTTTAAATAAATAAATCCAGATTCCATTCTGATAGCAAACATAAGTGTTAAAAGCAAACAAAACAAACAGGAAATCACGACTTGCCTCGAATGTAAGATAATGTAGAAGGCTACTGATGAATTTAAGCATGCTACGGCAGAGAAGCGATGATCTAGGAATTGCTGTACCCTTAGAGTTCATAGACCGAATCCCCTGTAGAATTTCACAGCAGTTTGTTAGAGAAACCAAAAATAAAATAATTTACAAGCTACAAATATTATATCAGTCCATACTTGATGTATCTGCCAAGCACCACAAAGCTGGCGTTCCACATGTTTGCAGTGAAAAAGAAAGCGGAAAATTAACTGGTACTTTGACAATGCTTTCTTTGATATGACAATAGATAGTGGCCACTGAACCTGAAACACAAAGCCACAACCAGCATATCAAACAATTGAGTAGCCAATCGAATATGCATTTGTCGATTACTTAATAAGTATAAATGATGAATCTAGAAGCGACTTAGTAGTTATATATAACAATCACTAATAGTATCACGACTAACAAAATAGTTCGAATCCGGATACACACAGGTAGGTGCAGACAAGGCAAGAAAGGAGCAGACCTTATAGCTCAAGGAAAATGTCTCTAGACCAGTGATGCTCATTGGGTCCTCAATACTATTGCTATCAGGGTCCTTGTGCATTCCCAAAGTTGTAAGCAATGAAGCTCGATCCTAAGATATGAATGCAAAGTGAGAACATATAACGTACAAACATTGTAAATTGATCACATCCAGGAAAAGACAAATTTACTGCTCACCACACAACAAGTCAATTCTTCATGGCGAGGATCCGCTGCAGCCGCTGTGGTACGTAGAGCAAGATCTAGCAAAGACTAAATAATACACATCCATTTAGATTCCAGCAAACAAGTAGAGGCCATAACGATTGAATAATGGTAAGAAGCTTTGTCTAATCTTTTGATCATGCTCTAAAGGGGAAAAATGTACCTGCAACTTTTCAACAGATATTTCATGCACTTTTTTGTTGAGCTCCTCTCGAGCAATGTCCATAAAATGAACCAAGAAATCACCCTGTAATTCATTACATTGTTGTACCAAAATCAATTAGAAACTAAACAGTTGATAGAGTATCAATGACTGAAGAAAACAACTAAAGGGCGAGCTTTTCACATTGATAAATTTGTGCCTAGGAAAGTCTAAAGAACTCTGACGATAACTGCTTATTCATGAACAGAACCAGCATACCTGGTCGAGAAGAAGATAGTGCTTTATAGATCGAAGCCTTCCAATGAGGTCATACTGAATCATATACTGATGGTCAGAGAGGTGCATTTACAAGGAATGACATCAAAGACGCAGTCATCATAACACAATTTATTACCTTATCCTTGATGAGATTCACAAGCTCTATACTGGCAAATTCGTGAGCAGCCTTTATGCATTCAAGATAATGATGATTTGAACCAAATATTGTTAACTTAGATCTCTCTGAGATGGGAACCTGTTAAAATAAATCAGCTAATGTCGTGTGCAATGTCACAAACACTGTTAATTGTATTAATAAACAGAAAATTCACCCACAATCATACCTGAACATTGTGCCCACATTCTCTCATAACGTTTAGATATTTCCCTGTGGTCAATATTGTTGCAGCAATGTTTGCAAGGAATCCAGGAATAGTATCCTTGAGGCTGTATCTTTGGCTCCAATATTTAGCAGTAGAGTCCTGACTGAGGCTCTCCTGTACGAAAAAATTGACATTGTCAGATCAAGCAATTCACAATTGTGCAGACGAGCTGAGCAAAAATCGAAGTACCTTTTTAAGAGACCTGTTCTCGGCAATGAAAAATTCCCCATACGGATCATCAATGATCCCTTCATAGACCCACCTTAATTAAACATTAACTAAAGTCAGTTGACACATCTAACAATACTATAAGCTATCTAACAAATAGAGAAACCCATGTACAGATTGCCAAACCAAAAGATAACAAACATGTTCGTCAATCACTCCTTCCAAACAAAGGAAAAACATAGTCACAGGTTGGACTTAGATTATCCGAGCATTCCACAAGCAATAACAAAGGGAAAAGGGCAGAGAATATAGCAAAACGTTTTTTTTTTTATAATATGAATCTAGTTACGAGCAAGAAAAGAAAAGGCATGGGTAATCAACCTTTCCAATATGCTCAGGTATGCATTGCTTGCACACTCCGTCATTTTCTCTAACAATGACCTCACTGAATTATCACCAGCCATCGCTTTAGCCTAGGCATGATAGTCTTCAAGATTAGGACATTTAATAAGAAAGCTAATTCTAGTACCAAAAAAAACCCAAAATATTTTAATGACCAAAGCAGGAATCTACCTGACTTTGCAAGAGATTAAGAACACCAGAACCCACAAAATGCTTCGTCGAAGCCTGCTGAACTACTGCAGCCAATGCGCGCATGGATCCCATCATGGGCTGAGAGATACGAAAAACAATCGATCAGTATAATGTTTACGTAACCTGTAGCTTGGATTATTTGAAGAAAGACAGACCTGACAGTAAAACCATAATCCTTGGATAGAAAGTCTTCCAAGACGAAATTGATGTTCCAATTGTGCCACCATGGCTTGATAATCCTGGTAAAAGAGAGAATGGTTAATACTTGTAGCAATAGCAAATAATGTTGTCAAATTACCTCAAAGCTAACACAAAATGATATCCTCAGTCCAAACAATGCATGACATTGGTTAGACACGAAACTCAACATGTGAAATGGAAAGAAAAGAATCAGACTATCAGTTTATTCAATGGGGCAATAATAAGAGAGGGATTACAGAGACGGCAAGAACTTGGAACAAAAAAGACAGTAAGAGCTATATGCGTCATCTTAGATATTCATACGTACGCATATACACACACTCAGAAATGTGATAAAACACCAATTCAGTGGACAAGAAAGAAACCCAATAAATAGACTAAAAGCATTCTAAAATGAGCTTTCCAAGTTCATGCTTTTAGTTAACTGAGTAAATTCCCAAAGTTGACTATTAGTTTATAAATCCATATCCAGCGCAAAAACCCCCATATGTAACTGAAAGGGAACGAAAAATAACTCAACAAACAATGCATCACAATTTCCACAAAGCTAGCAACCTATATCACATACAAGGAGGAGTGCCCTGAGTGCAGCCGCGAATGCATGGTTAACTAGCCCGTTCTTGAACTGCGAGCTTGACTCCACAAATTGGTCAATCAGCAGATAATATTCACATAAAGGGAATATTCTTTTTGCCAATTCCTGCAAAATTATTTGCAACGGTCAATATATATTTCAGAAGACCCAATTAGAATAAGAATTACAATGTTAATTTGTTATAGCATCTATAAATCCTATTCGAAAGAGAGAAGAACCACCCTAGACATAAAATAGTAATGCATGTGGTTGGACTTCGGAGATAATTAAACTTTCAAGAAGTCAGAACACCAATGAAATGCTTTATACTTCAAACAACACAGCATCAAGTTCCATAAACATAAATATACAGCTTGCAAACATCAATATAACAGTCTCAAAATGTGAAAGACTTTGTACATAGGCGCTAATTCCAGTAGTTCTAAAATGAACAGATCGAGAATGGTTAGAAACCACAGGTTTTTTTCAAGTTGACTACTGTAGACCATCATGATTAAAATGTTCAGGATAGGAACCAAAAGTTCTTGTGTGAGTACTACTTACCTGTAGTGCCAAATCCATTGATGGATCAACTTGAAAAGCTATACTATCCTCCTTCCCATGGAATCTTTTAATTGATATATATCTCCCTTCAATTCCAACCAACGCAGATAAGAGATCATCAATGACGATAAGTTCCTGCATGCCAAAAGGGACAAATTTGTTTTACTGAAATGGACATAACAAAGGAGGTTACACCAAATCTAAACCTAGGTTAGCAAGTTCCACAATGTCTGGCTCAGATCAATTATCCTAGTCTATGCCACAAAAACGAGAAACCATCTTCACTTACAATGACGCCAACTTGTAAAAACTACACAAACCCAAACTTGAAGGACACCACCACCAGTTTCAAGGTTACAGAATAAATGGAAGGCAAGAAATAAAAAAAGAGAGACTTTTTTTTTGTAAAATGACACAAACCTGAACCGGTGTGTCGTAGCAGCCAATTGCCTGCTCTACTCCAGAACTGCTGAAACCAAATGGAGAGTTGAAAAATCAATGATTCTATAGAATAAGATGAAAAAGGAATTGACTTTGGAGGTTGAAACAGAGATATGTATAACTAATTTTTAGCATAAAATTTCAAAATACCTAGACGAGTCTAAAGTAAACCTCTTAGAATCAGCAAACTTGGAGCTTGCCCTCGTTTCCTGAGATAAACCCATTGTCAAAACTATACATTTTTTCAAAAGTTAACCAATGTCGACAATTAAATATATAATTTGAACGAATTAGAGAGAACTAAAATCAAACAAAACTAAAGATCGAGCACCTGATGAAAGCGGCCAGTGAGAAATGGCCTATCTTGGTTCCAACGAGGAGTCGTAGGGCACGAGATTGGCGTCATTGATTCCATTGCTTCGCTCTTCAGTCTCTCTGCAACTTAAAGTTTAAACCTTTACGGGGAAAAAGAGCAAAGAAACACAGATCAGTCACCATATACCGAACCATCTCCGGTTTTTACTAAACCATTAATTCTCGACTAAAATGTCCGGTTTTAATCGAACCAGAAATTTTCAGATCCTGGTTTCAAATTCGAGGACGACAAAACTTTTTAAAGTAAAGAAAAAAAAAACCATCCTTTGCTCCTGCCCTGTCCTCCACCTCCAGCTTTTCAATTCACAGAAATGATTATCTCTTTTCTATTTTATTGGGTTCTCAAAAACGACAACGACAACGAAAACGAAATCGCCTCCTCTTCTTCTCTTGGACTTGGAAATCAATCTTTCGCCGCCGAGTTCTTCTCTCTGCGGCGGAATCATTTAGCAATCTCCAGGTTTTTTACTTGAAAACCTTTCCTTTTTACAATTCTTGTTCTTTTTGATTCGGTGTTTGATTGTATTAAAGTTAGAAACTTTGTTCCTTTTTTTGGGGGTTTTAAGCTTTAGGATTTGAAATTTCTAGAATCCAGAAGAAACTGTTTGACTATGACATCTATATTTATTGGTAAAGAATATTTTCTGATTCGTTGGTATTGAATTAGGTGGGGAAAAAGAGGATGGCTTTGGTCGGAAAATCCGAGAGATTCTCTGCGGATTTTGTGATGGGAGGTGCTGCAGCCATTGTTGCCAAATCTGCAGCTGCTCCAATCGAAAGGGTGAAGCTTTTACTTCAGAATCAAGGAGAGATGATAAAGACAGGACATCTCATAAGACCTTACACTGGTTTGGGTAATTGCTTTGCCAGAATCTTTAGAGAAGAAGGTGTTTTGTCCTTTTGGAGAGGAAATCAAGCCAATGTCATTCGATATTTCCCTACACAGGTACTTCCATGGATTCAATTTGCCTGCAATTGCCCATTTAATCAATGTGCTCAGATTTGTGTTAAATTCTTATTGTCACTAAATTTAATTGCTCTTAGGCTTCCAACTTTGCATTTAAAGGTTACTTCAAGAACCTTCTCGGATGTTCGAAAGAGAAAGATGGTTACTTGAAGTGGTTTGCTGGAAATGTAGCTTCGGGAAGCGCTGCTGGAGCAACAACTTCCTTGTTTCTGTACCATCTGGATTATGCGCGGACCCGTTTAGGCACTGATGCAAAGGAATGTTCTGTTAATGGCAAGAGACAGTTTAAAGGGATGATCGATGTTTATCGTAAAACTTTGTCGAGCGATGGCATTAAAGGTCTTTACCGTGGATTTGGTGTGTCAATAGTGGGAATCACTCTTTACCGAGGAATGTATTTTGGGATGTACGATACCATCAAACCCAGTGTTCTAGTCGGTTCCTTAGAGGTAATGTCTTCTATGTATGCCGTTTTAAATTGTTTAGTCTAGAGCAAACAATAGCTAAAAACTGTTCTTTGATTCTGTGACAGGGAAATTTTTTGGCTAGCTTTCTATTGGGTTGGAGCATTACTACCTCTGCAGGCGTCATTGCTTATCCTTTTGACACGCTTAGGAGGAGAATGATGCTTACATCAGGACAACCTGTAAAATACCGGAATGCTATTCACGCCTTAACAGAGATAATGAAATCAGAAGGGTTCTATGCGCTATATAGAGGAGTTACTGCGAACATGCTTCTTGGAGTAGCAGGAGCGGGAGTTCTTGCAGGGTATGATCAGCTTCACCGGATTGCTTATAAGCATTGGGTTCAGTAGTTTTGAATCAAATCAGAAACTATTACCATGTAAACTCAACTCAAGAAAGAAAAGGTAGCAAACACCAAGAAGTCTCACTTATTCCAATTTGTTGTGCTAATTAACAGAATCTTGGAATTATTCACCAATTGAAGCAGCAGAAGATAGGGAAAATTGTTGATAATTCTTGTGCAGATACATTGTATTTCAATAACCAAAGCCTCTTTACTTTTTTTGTGTATTGGAGCAAAGCTTGTTTCATTCATGGGATATGAAAAAGGCGAAAACGTAAAAAAGCTTTTTGATGATACAAACACAAAAGAGGAAAACTTGCGTTGTTCTCAAGCAAGGAGCCAGAAGTTTTTGTGTCGTTTGGTGGTGATTAAGTAACCGCCGAGCCTACGGTTCTTGGGTTTAACTGCTATTGTCATGCAAGAGGCATTTTCGAGACAGTATTTGAGAACACCTCCGTGTCCACGGCGTCTCTTCCATGCCCATCTCTTCAAAAGCCTCCACACCGGAGGTTTCTTCTCTTGTCCAACCACTAAAAGGCTCACTTCTTGTTTCTTTGCTTCTTCAACTATCTTTTGTCCTTTGTCTTTGTCTTTCCCTTCTAACCTCCTTATCTCCACTTCTATCTGACATATATAGAAGAAATCCACACATCTCCAATTAGAAAAAGAAATTGATCAAAATAGTATATAGTGTGGCTTTCATTTATACGTATAAACAAACCATCGAATACCAAGTTTGACTCACCCCGGGACGCTTTGTTTGGCACAGTTTCTTCAAAGTATGGACCAATTCATCGGTTTTCACCTCGCGTTTACGGTTCTTCCTTTTGCCTAAAACCCAATCCGAAAAAAACCTCATTAGCCAAACAAACAAACCTTAAACAAGAAAAATGAACAAGAGGAGAGAAAGAGAATAACTTTTTCTAAACGGTTTTGCAAAGTATAACAGAAAAAGAGTGTCTTGTGGTTGTAAAGTATGCGTAATAGCCCATTCTAAAGCTCCGGTAGAAGCAAGCGCTTTATCAACCACCACCATTACTCTGTTCCCGCCTTCAGCCTCCTCCTCAACCGCCTCAACCGCTGCCACCGCCTCTTTTTTTCCTTCTCCGCCTCCAGTGTTTAAGCTCTTGCCATCATCTTGTTCTTTCTCTTCTTCCTCCTCTACAATTACTTTGACTCTTTCTTCTTCCTTATCTTCAACCTCTTCACTTTCATTGTTTTCTTCTTTGGTTTCTTCTCCTCCGGATCCGGCATCATCACCATTTTCGCCTAGAAACTCGATTCTTTGGTCTCTTTCTATGGAACTCGAGTCCGGTTTGAACCTAATCGAAGGTGAATTGATCCGGACTCTTCTTAGACTCAACTTGGCTGATTTCTTGAGCGATCTTGCCATGTTTTTGTAACAAAAAGAACTCAAATCGGAACCTTAGCATTGGTTCTTGAATGTTTTGAGCGTATGTATACGTGAGGAAAAATTTGGAGAGAGGACGTGCGTGCCATTAAAGATGTTTGATTGTTAATGGTTCCACACGTTGCTGTTTTTTTTTTCTTTTTGTCAAGCTCTTCTGTTTTCTTTATTAAATTATTTGATAAAAATCATATGATGTTGACATTCCAAAAACGTATTTGTAGATTAGAGAAAGTTTTAAAAAATGTTAGCTCAATCCGTTGTGGAATTCACTACCGTAGGAGAACAATGTTTATGTTTTGTAGAGTCGCATATACTCTATATAATAATATACATTTTGATCATGAGAAATCTTTGAGTGGTGCTCTAGTTTTGTCGTGGTCAAAATCATCCACTTTATATAAAAAGCACAAATCCAATTTTGATTTGTATTTCTTTGCTAACTACAAAACAATCCTGGTCGCAGCCCTCAAGGGCTGTGCAAACAAGGTCACCTGTACCAAACCAAACTGAACTCAAAAAATTATCATTTCATCCAAATTATTGAGAAGATTAGGTGAGTAGGACTTGCTAGTGAGTAGTGGCCAAAACCAAAGATATATTCTATTGGATCCTTCGTATTTTAAGTTATTTTTCATACTACTTTGTTATTGAATAATGTAAGTTGCAACAAATAAAAATTAAAAGAAATTCAAGAATAGTTTTTTATTTTATTTTTTATAATTCAAGAATAGTTTGGTGGTATCAATTTGTTGAGAATTTACTACCATTTACTATTTGCTATGTACAGATAACTTTTAAATTAGCAAAACACATACATAATCACGTGTACAAGTGTAGATAAAATTTTAGAGAACACACAAAATAATGCAAAAATTATTTTTTTGGTCAATAATAGGCTAATAGTAGACATTAATGCAAAACACATAATTACGTGTACAAGTAAGAGTAAAACACAGATCAAATATGCCTATATAAAGAAACAAACTGAAACTTGAGCAAATCAAGAAAAGCATCTGTAAAAAAATGGCGGATAATTCAGCAACCACTCCACCGTCAATTGATGGCAACGTTCTCGTGGCCAAGTCACTATCTCATCTCGGCGTCACCCACATGTTCGGCGTCGTTGGAATTCCCGTCACGTCTCTAGCTAGCCGAGCCATGGCTCTTGGTATACGTTTCATCGCCTTCCACAACGAACAATCCGCCGGATACGCCGCTTCCGCTTACGGTTACCTCACGGGTAAACCCGGTATCCTTCTTACGGTTTCGGGTCCGGGTTGTGTTCACGGGCTTGCGGGTCTTTCCAACGCTTGGGCTAATACTTGGCCGATGGTGATGATCTCTGGTTCTTGTGATCAGAGAGATGTTGGTCGTGGAGATTTCCAGGAGCTTGATCAGATCGAAGCTGTGAAAGCTTTTTCGAAATTATCGGAGAAAGCGAAAGATGTTCGTGAAATCCCTAATTGTGTTTCTAGGGTTTTGGATCGAGCTGTTTCGGGTCGACCCGGTGGGTGTTATCTGGATATTCCGACTGATGTGTTGCGTCAGAAGATTTCGGAATCGGAAGCTGATAAATTGGTGGATGAGATTGTGAAATCTCGAAAGCAAGAACCGATTCGTGAGTCTCTGAGATCGGAGATTGAATCGGCGGTTTCGTTGCTGAGGAAAGCTGAGAGGCCATTGATTGTGTTTGGTAAAGGAGCTGCTTATTCGAGAGCAGAGGATGAGCTGAAGAAGCTTGTTGAAATTACTGGAATACCCTTCTTACCAACTCCGATGGGTAAAGGTTTGTTACCGGACACACACGAGCTCTCGGCGACTGCGGCGAGGTCTCTTGCTATTGGGAAATGTGATGTTGCTTTGGTGGTTGGAGCTAGGCTTAACTGGCTTCTTCATTTCGGAGAGTCGCCGAAATGGGATAAAGATGTGAAATTTATATTGGTGGATGTCTCTGAGGAAGAGATTGAGCTTAGGAAACCTCATTTGGGGATTGTTGGAGATGCTAAAACTGTGATTGGATTGTTGAATAGGGAGATAAAAGACGATCCTTTTTGTTTGGGGAAGTCGAATTCATGGGTGGAATCGATTTCGAAGAAGGCGAAAGAGAACGGTGAGAAGATGGAGGCACAGCTTGCTAAAGATGTGGTTCCTTTCAATTTCTTGACTCCAATGAGGATAATCAGAGATGCGATTTTGGCGGTGGAAGGACCGAGTCCTGTTGTGGTATCAGAAGGAGCTAATACAATGGATGTAGGAAGATCGGTTTTGGTTCAGAAAGAGCCAAGGACAAGGCTTGATGCAGGAACTTGGGGAACAATGGGTGTTGGTTTAGGTTATTGTATTGCTGCTGCTGTTGCTTCTCCTGATCGGCTTGTTGTCGCGGTTGAAGGAGACTCTGGTTTCGGATTCAGCGCCATGGAAGTTGAGGTAGTAAAAACATTTAACATAATATTAGCATAATGTGGAATTGTCTTTTGTCTGAATCTTATATTGATAAGCGTTTTTCTTTGATGATGATTGCAGACGTTGGTTCGATACAATCTACCTGTGGTGATTATAGTCTTCAACAATGGTGGTGTATATGGTGGTGATCGAAGGGGTCCTGAAGAAATCTCCGGTCCTCATAAAGAAGATCCAGCACCAACATCTTTTGTTCCTAATGCAGGCTACCACAAGCTTATTGAAGCCTTTGGAGGCAAAGGTTATATTGTGGAAACACCTGATGAGCTTAAATCCAGTCTCGCTGAGTCGTTCGCCGCAAGAAAACCCGCAGTGGTTAACGTCATCATCGATCCTTTCGCTGGTGCTGAGAGTGGGAGATTACAGCACAAGAACTAAAAGCTTTGTGGAGAGTTTTAATAATAATGTTGAAGTTGTTGTGAACAAAAAGATATGCGTTTTAGTTTTCAGTTTTTCACTATTGTAAACCGGATCATAACCGGTCCAGTTTAAACCACAATTGAATAAAATACACGTTTCCGGTTCAATTCTCTTAAGCTTCCTTGGTTTAACCAAAACCTAAAAGCTATTTATATATCGCCTTTAATGGAGTCTGAGAAGAACAGAGAGAACAGAGTCGACTCCGACACAACATGAAACCAGGTCTTTGAATCTTCTTCCTCGACGAATTCTTCTATTTTCAATTGCGTATCTGAGATTTTGATGTTGGATTTTGTTTTTTTTTCAGAACTTCCTGGGTTTTATTACGACGAGGAGAAGAACAGATATTTCCCCATTAAAGGTCCTATACCTGGTGCAAAGTCTTCTTCTTCTTCAAGAACGAAACAAAAACCAGACCCAAAGCCTGAACAGGTCGGTTTACTTCAAATTTTGTGTAAAGGTCGCGTCTTGTAGAATCAATGAGAATTCTCCATCTTCTCTAGCTTTTACCTTGTTTATGTGAATCAGTGATTAGTTTATATGGAAATTGCATCAGGAAATTAATTATCAGAAGAGGACTAAACTAAAAGCATTGAAGCTAGTTTATTCCCGAGAGTTAAATGGCAATGTTATTCCTGTCAATAAGAAGATGTCTAACTTCAAGGACGAGATTCAAAAGACACAAGCTTCTTATCCTGTGGTATTACCACCTATTACTTAACCTTTCTGTTTCTTTTTTAAGATTACAGAAGACAGATATGAAACATTTTCTTATGTTTAGGTGTGGAGATACGGTTCCACAGAACACATTGGCGAAACTGCTTTGAAACAGTTTCAGGTTGATGTACAAACATCTGTAGGCTTGACCAGAAAGAACATCCTAGTAGCAGGCAGTGCTGGTGGTTGTTTGAGGTATGTATTAGTCAGTTTCTTGGAATTTTCAATGTTCAAGATTGGACTATGAAAAATTATGTTTATTATCTTCATGGAACTTTATGTATTTCGATTTATTGAAGAGTTAGTTGAGCTGTTTAAATTATTTCATGCCAACCGATATGCTTTGGAAGTTTGTTCTTGCAGCATTCTAAGAGTTTCCAAAGATAGACAAGTATACGATGGTGTAATCGAGTGTGATCCAGTTTCTGTTCTTCCTCGCAAAGAAAACAATACAGAAGAACGGGAAGCACCTGAGTATATATGGAAACCTCCGCAACCTTGTCTGGTCGCCTTATCTACTATATCTTCTATTGAGTTAATTGGAAGATCTGATGCATCTGAAAACTCCCACCCCGTAAACCGGGCATTGTATCCTCTAAATGTGTCTTCTCTTTTACTTTCGGTCTTGATTTCCCATTTGTAAAATCTTGACACGAGAAAACAGGATAACTACACTGGGATCAACTGGCCGTGGGTCGATTTTTATCTTAAATGTTGCTGAGGAAGTGAACATACTTACTACGCGAAGCCTCCAAGGGAATGTTTCCTCTGAATGTACCATTTGGACAGCTGATTGCAATATAAGTGGGAGTCATGCAGCTATTGGTACCTTATCTTTCTTACGGTGTTCTATATTTGTCACCCAGGACTTTTCTTTATTACAGTTACAGTTATACCTAGAGAGAAAGTAACGGTAGAAGGCAATGCAGCAATTACCAATGCATTTTTCTGTAAATGGAATCGGTTCAGTAATTTCAGGAATCATATGGAAATTATTAAAAGATTTTGATACATTACAGGTACCGACTTAGGAGCTGCTTTGGTTGATTTGGAAACAGGAAAAGGTTCATACTTTCTCCGAAGCAAAAGCGATGTTTTTGCTCTACAATTTCATCAATCGGTAAAGTTCTCTTTATTCCAAGCTCCGAGATGCATCGTTTTCTAACGGCTCAATACTGTTTCTCGTAGTTGAATATATAACTTGAGCCAAGTTGCTGTCTGAACCTCTTTCTGACAAGTTAAAGTCATGTCTTCATTTATTACTGAAGGACACATGTATTTATGTTTTGTTTCTACTTCCTTTTCCCAGGGAAACATTGTTCATTGCGGACTCAGAAATGGAGCCATTGTGTCAGCTGATCTACGTGAGAGACCAGGGAGACCTTTTCCAAGGCTCACTAGACACCAGATACGATATCAATCATCGAGTAAAACTGGTCAAACTACTACAAATAAACAATGGTTTGAGGTACTGCTAAGATCATATAACGACTTTCTTGTGGTCACATCTTTTCATATTTTTCTATTGAGCTTTCCTCGCAACATTCTGGTGATAATTTTCTATAATTGTCATTCTTGCAGCTCCAAGGAAACATAAACCCGTCTCATGTAATCTATATGCCGTCATCTCTTACATGGTTGATAAACGACTGAAACCATATATGAAAATCCTCTTTACTTCTTTGTTTTTGTGACTTTATTAATTTGCTCCTTCCTTCTCTAGCTTGAAGACACTAAAAACTTCGGATCAGTACTTAATGGCAAGCTCCATGGATGGAACAGTGAGTACCTACTAGCTCTAGCTTCTGCATATACTTACTACGAGATTGACAAGAGCATTTTTTCTCTTTTCTTAGATCAAGCTATACGATCAACGCATGGTTAAAAGAGGGGTCGGTGTACAGACATATGAAGGACATGTAAATTCTCATACTCGCATTGAATTTGGCATTGACCCGTCAGAACAATTTCTTTTGTCAGGTAATAAGAAGGAACCCTTTGTTCCGAAAACATAACCGCTATGTTGTATCTTGGAAAAGCATCAAGAGTTTGATTATAATGAGATGATTTACGTTTACTTGGCTTGGGGGTTTGATTCAGGAGGAGATGACTGCTATACTCGCATTTGGAGTATCAAATCTGGTCAACTTATGTCTGAAAATAAATTCTCCAACTCTGTCCCTTCAGTTGTGTGTTGGTCTACTGATGAAAGTACTTACACACTGACCTTTCTCCTACTTCTTGACTTCTTGTGTTCTTTTTTTTTATCTTTAGTGGAAACAGAAACCTCTAATGTTGGTTTTTCAGGACAAAGAGACCGGAAAGATAGCATTGGTCATGGGGCATGGCTTGGATCTCGCGAAGCAATATTCAACTTGTTGTAAGAAAGATTTAGGACAATGGAAGCTATTGCTAGAGATCATATTCAATAGAATGCAGCAGAACCATGATTTTGAGGATAGAAAGTTACTTTCTTTTAGCCTTGTAACAGTAATAATAGAATCAGTTGTTTTGAAATTGTAAAGAAGACAAAATACTTCTGTTCAGTTTTGTTCTTCCTTCCATCTTCAATGCTAATGAGTTTGGAAAAGGCTCTTCAATCAAACGCTGGATTTAGTTAAGCAACAGACGCTCATTACCAGAATAAGATGAGGAAATGAAAAGTAGGAACCAGATAACATTCAAACATAAATGCTCTTTGGAATCAAACACTGACTCAAAAACTGATAATTCTGCAACTAAATGACAATGTATGCTTATATGATTAAAGCTTTCTCAATGCGGCCAACGTAGACAAAACATTAAGCTTCTTACATTTCAAAAAAGTGCCAGCGCAAGATCTTTCGTACATCGTTGCTGTGAAGATGAGTCAATTGTAACTCCAGATTCATAGTTGAATATGAGCAAGCGAAATCCAATCTTCCAACATTCTCGCTTCTGCAGTATTAATGAGGTAGTATCCGTTGACATCAAGCAACAGTTCATCCCTCTATTAGCATTGGCAGAAACAGCTCACCATATTACTTCCAAATAGGCTTCTTCAGCCTCCTAAGCCTTGGTTTCACTTTCATCTGAAGGAACTTTGTTGAAGAATTTAGTTATTGAAGCTTGCTTTGGGCCTACAGATTCTACCTTAGAACAAGCTTTCCCTTTCTTCTTTGGTTTACCTTTTATCTTTCTCTTCCTCTTCACAGGAGAAATGCTGCTCTTCTGAGAACTACTCATGCTCTTAAGCTTGTGAAACTGCGATGGCTGACAACTTTCACTCCGCTCGGTTTCACAGTGAATAAACTCCAGATTCGAAACAAGTGCTTCGTGGTTACACGAACCAATCCCATCTCTAGACGTGAAAGATATAACAGCAGAGACTTGCTCATAGAATTTAGTCTCGTGCTCATAAAAATTATCAACAATTTCAACTATATTCCTACATGTCCCTCTAATCATATCTGTTACTTGTTCTTGTGTAACCCATTTGGGCAAACAAATCCTAAGCTCTTCCAAAATCTCCTCCTTACCACAAGTCAAATCCAATGAAACCTTCTCATCCAGAGGCTTGTCAGGAAGATTTTCATCACCACCCATTGAACACAATGTTTCACTTTCTCTTTGGTGTAGATTGATTCATCAAGGATTGAACACGATCATCCTAAACCCCTAAATCGTCACCGGCGCTCGTTGGAAAAAAAAAGATTAAAAAATCGAACCTTGGCCTTGCAATGGAAAAATTGAATCGTGATAAAATTGAAATCTCCGGCGAGAATCGTCCTTCTACTGCGTTTGATTTTGGTGGGAATCGGGAGATATATTATCAAAGGAGGAGACGAACGGCGACGAGCGGCAACGGCGTCGTATCAAGGAGACCAATGGGCACGTTATTATTATTATTCGGGTTTAAGGATAAACAAAATACGTGATTATTTAATTAATAGATTAATTGATGACGCACTTAATTTTTTTTCTAAAAATTGAAGATTACTAAATATTGCAACCAAACAAAAAAAAAAAAATTTAACCGACATGACCAACACATCTCTTTACGTGAAAATGACTACTATAATTAGATATCTTAAGTCGCAGATTCGTATATTATGTTACGAATCAAATCGTGTTTGTTTTGTTTATCGATATATACATAATACATTTAAATGGTTTATAGTTTTAATATTTTTTTTAATCAATTGTTGAGAGTGAATTTAAGTAAATAAAAATAGTTTTTTTTTTAAGATTTAAAAATATTCTCTCCCAAAGCAACTCGTTACTTGGAAAACCCTAGGCTTCTTCTATTCTATATACTCCTTCAAATTTCAATTCACCCCTTACTTCAGTTTTGTGCAACAATTTGTGTATTACAAATGGTTCTGTGTAATGCTAGCTCCTCTTACCTCGATTTGGTGTTAAAACAAAAATTATATAGTTCATACTGTTTTGCCAAATACACTTTGCTATTTATTCATGATTAACATTTTTTGCAAGTGTCATCAATTGTATAATTTTATCTTGTCTTTCTTGAAATAAAATCCAAAGAAAAAGCTAATGAATGTTTCAACTTTCAACTATTCGAGTAACAAAAGGAATTGCTTTTCATGTAAACGGACAAAAGATATTAAAAAAATCACATGTTCATTCTCGACTAATGTCTCTTTCTGTTCATTAATACCACAAAAGAGAAACCACTTGCGTGGAGTGGATTAACAAACCAACAACAAAAAATAAAAATGACAAAAAAGTTTTGAAAAATGAAATTTCATTTTTCTGTTTAAGACAAAGATTCTTCAGCTATAGTTTCTAACTTTGGTTTCTTAGATTTTGAAACTGAGATCCTATGCATAAACTCCGCCGCCGAGAACTCTTCAATATCTTCTAAATTCAACTTTGATCCCGCTGATATCACCTTGACGTCATCTTCTTCCCCGTCCGGCGAAACCCTTCCGTTATTATGACAGTGTTTCACAGCGCCGGAAGAATGATCACTTCCCACGCGGCGGCGTTGTTTCTTAGCAGCTACGAATAACCGAGCCAAATCCGAAGCATTAGCAGCTGACGTGGCACGCGTCATAGGAAAAGCTACGTACACGTGGCAGCCTTTGATTTGAAGGTCGTCATCGGCTGCTAACGGACAAAACTTCCGACCGATCTTTAACGACTTAGCGTCGACGAGGAAGAAGCTTGGAATCTCCATCATAAGCTCGGCGGCTTTCATCGGCGCGTGAATGTGACGCACTCCACCGTCCGGGAGAATCACTTTCGCCGCCGATGATGAAGAAGAAGACGACGACGTTTTGCTTAGTGCGGAAGAGACATAGTTTCCCATTATGCGAAGAAAGATCGAATTGGAGCAAAAGCTATGAAGAATTTATGTTTGTTTTTAGGAGAGGATCCAAGAAGAGATGAGAGTATATATACAAGAGAATGTTTGGAGGAAAACAGAGTTATAAATTTTTTATTTTATTTTATAATAAGGTGGAGATAGACAGTTGTGCATATAGAGGTTGACATTATATGGTTGAATCCGCGTATTTGCATTATATGATATTCAAATATATTAGCCGTGTTTTTCAGAAGTCTATGGTCATTAGGTAAATTTTCTCTTATCATTATTTTATCACTTTACTCTAGCAGCTACATGGAAGTTATCAGTTGTATATGGCCAAAAACATTTGACGGGGAAACAATAAGTTTGTTTTTGTCAATAAAAGTTAGTTATAAGTTTATAAAATGTAATTTTTTACAAGGTTTAACTTTAACTGAAACAAAAGGAAAATTTCTTCAATAGTTTGTATTTTCTAATAAAGTATCTAAATTTTCGGGGGTTTTTCAATAGTTTGTAACTTTTTTTTTAATGAAGCTTAAAGAGAAAGTCGAGTATGTATTGGTCATATAACAGAAGGGAAAAATGCCAAAAAAATCCTCAACTATTATTTGTTTGGAAGTTTAATTCCTAATTTTTTTCGGTTGGAAAAAAAATACATATACTAATTATAACGTGCGAATTAATACCTAAAAAAATAAATATTGTTGTTTTCATACTCACGATTTCATAATAAAATTTTAATTCCAATTTTACCCTTATTTTCTTAATTAATTACTAATTTTAATTTCAAAAAATCTTTTGGTCCTCTTTTAACCGGATCAAACCGGAATCAAAGCCAGTTAACAACACCACCAAAGTTTGTCGTCGTCGTCGTGTTAAGAAACTCGGATGAGCTTTCCACCGGCGAGATAGATGATGTTTCAAATAGAACCAAATTGAGCTTTTGATTCTAATTTACCTAAACTTAGATTATAACTTCTTCACCCGATTACAACTTCTTCTTCTTCACTTATTTTATCGAGAATCATCTGGTTTATGAATTAATTTTAAATTCAGATTTTCATTTTGTAGAGAATTTGCAAATCTAATTGAAACTAAAAATTAGAGTAGACAAATTTCCGATTCAATCGCAAACTAGAGGATGATACAATTAGAATAGACAAATCTCTGTTTCACTCGCAAATTACATGTTTATGTGTCTCGTCCTCTGCTCTGTCCTTGCTAAAATGAGCTTGGCACCGACGCCACGGTCGTGTTTCCAAGGAGTTGGGGTTTTGCTTCTTTAAAGTTTCGAACTTTCGCTTTATTTCCTGTGTAGTTCGTGGGGACTCGAAGAAGTAGAGAAAGAGGCAGAGAGAAACGGGTGGAGATGTAAGCCAACGAGGAGCAGGACCATGGCCACATATTCCCAGCAGCTTCTCCATGTTTCTAGAGAAGAATTTGCAAAGGTAAGAGTCGGTGGAATGGGTGAACAAGTGTTGGGGAAGAGGGAAGCTCTGGAAAGTGTATAGAGCTGGGATTGAGAATTGGCTTGTTGATTTGTTGGATTGAGAAAGCTCATAGGATTAACACGACGACAACAACAAAATTTGGGGGTGGTGATAACCGGTTTTGATTTCGGTTTAATCCGGTTAAAAGAGAACCAACAGATTTTTTGAAATAAAAATTATTAATTAATTAAGAAAATAAGGGTAAAATTGGAATTAAAATTTTATTATGAAATCGTGAGTATGAAAACAACAATATTTATTTTTTTGGGTATTAATTCTCACGTTATAATTAGTATATGTATTTTTTTTCCAACCGAAAAAAATTAGGTATTAAACTTCCAAATAAAAAATAGTTGAGGATTTTTTTGGCATTTTTCCCTATAACAGAAACACCATATATAATGACTAAATTAAAAGCTTATTATTTGAACTTGCTAAAACTAAAATTTGATTTATTTTCGATTAAAATGTTTTTTTTTTCTAATATATGAAAACTCACATTGAATCTGAATCAAAATTTAATTATTTTGAATTGATGATAACTTCGAGTAAATATCAAGTGTGAACTGAAATGAAATTTGCTTAAAAACCGAATAAACTACTACATTTTAGTTAAGATTTAACAACAACATACCACGTAGTATGAGTGAAATTAACGGATGCTGAAAGTATGGAAGGACGCAACATAATCTAATACTATTTTTACTTCCAGTTGTTATCTCACAGCAAGTTCTTGAAATGATGATTTATTATAATCACGAATTAATTAGAATTTTAATGATAAGATTATAAAATAAAGTTTGTTCCACTAATATAAGTTGCGTGTGGGACCCATGCATCCTTCGTTTCCTTCGTACTTTCGATTTGGTGATTGCTCTACGGAACCGAACCTTTCCTCTGATTTGGAGGATCCTTTTGACTTGGAGATGCGACTGTTCCCCTTATCCATGGGACTCCTATCCTTTTTTAATCACAAGTTTAGTATCAAATTTTATGTTCTGAATAACATTTTAAATCATATGATCATTGTAGAATTATAAGAATTTAGAATTCATTGACTTATCTAGGTTGAAATTTGACACAACAACTTGTCTGGTTTAACTTCAGATCTAAGCATTAACTGCTTATAATTGAATCTTTCATATACTCTTGACAGCAATATTCATTCCGTTTTACAATATAAACGCATTCACACAAACATCTTCGAAGTAAACTCTTTTTTTTTTTACTAATCATATGTAACAATCTTCAAAACTTAAATTAAAAAAAAAAAAATTCTTCAAATCTTGTATTAATATTTGAATCACAATATATATACCATGTATCATGCATGTCACTATTGCGAGTTTTTATTAGGATCTACTCACGAGAACGTTAAGCATGCACCATCACCCATGACTTGGTAACTATATAAATTTAACTGAACGTTAGTAAATTGATGCGTAAATAAAAAAATAATATAAGCAATGATGTTTAATATATATGATAAAAATTAAGTAGTACTTCTAGCCACTTGAATATTCTTATTACTGCTGTCTGCTACATAACAATTTATTTATGCTGAGAGATTTAGTTGCTGGGGATCTCTTGAAAGGAGGTAAACGATCTTATGAAACAAATCATATTGTGCATACATTTTGTTTAGATTAATTTTTAATTATTTGTATAAAGACCAAAAAAAATAATGAATTAACGAGATACGCACTCGACTATTAATGATTCTCGCCAACATTTCCCTTGAATCTGTCAAATTGTGTGCCACTCGTGATTTTCTCCACTGAGTTTCGTGTGCTACGAAATACGGTCGCAGAATTTCATGATTTTGGTCTCTAGTGAATACTCCCTCTGTTTCATAATAAGTGTCGTTTAAGGTTTTTGCACATATATTAAGAAAACAATTAAATTTTCTGTTTTACCCATTATCTATATATTTTATTATTTTTTCATTGGTTAAAACATTAAATTAGTAGGGACAAAACTGGAAATTTTACAAAACATCTACATTGAAAACACAAAACGACACTTATTTTAAAACAAAATTCAAAGACTAAAACGACACTTAATATGAAACGGAGAGAGTAATAATTTAGAAGCAGTACTATCAATACATGCTGCCAAAAATTAACTATTTATATTTTGATAACTTTGAAAAATTGTATAGACGTTTTAAAATCTCATTAGTGAAAGAAGTCACAATCGAAAAACAGTGGGACGTTAAACTTGTAAAAAAATTGGGATATGAAAATGATTGGTAAAAAAGTGTTAATAGTTAACCACGCATTTTCTGAATGCCTTCTCATTTCATATATCCAAACCTCAGAAACGTCGTTGCACACTTAAATCATTGAGATTTCACGACGATTTAACAGTGTTATGGCAAATGTATGATTTTAACAAACCATAAAATTAAAGTATAAAATTCATATTTATAATTATTTTGAATATGTTTTCTCATAATTTATTTGTAAGAGAACGAAAAAAACCCGATTTTCTTCGTGTATTTTTATTTTTCCTTCTTCTAAGAAAACCAGAGCCTTTACGAGATAAATTTATTTACATTGGGCTATCTTTATTTATATACTTTTTAGGCCTCCTTCTTATGGACCGTGTTGTGATTTTATAGTTGTCGGTCCTTTAACTATCCTCCTTTTTGTGGGGGATAAATTCTGGAATATATGGCATCTTCTTCTTTAATTGTCAACGAAAGTTCGATATCTTTAATTCCCACAAATATACGAAGTAGATATTTCTGTTGGAATATCCCAAAATTAACACTTTAATTCCAGCATATTCTTCTTTATTGGAAACGACTAACCTGTAAAATAGGGAGCATGCATGTTAAACATATAGCGAGATCAGTTCAATAAAATGGATAAAACGTTAATGAAACAAATAAATGCCATAATCCGAAAAATATCGCATATTCACAACAAACATCAAGTATTTACGCCGTGAGAAAAAAAAACTCAAATTAAACATAGAGAATATCAGAGAATATTCCAATAATATACATAATTCGAAATTATCACCAACCAAAAAAATTAATCTAAAAACCCTAATTAATACCTCTATATAAACCCGAACGTCATTTCATCTCAAAAACCATCAAAACCCCATTTCTTCTCACTTCACATACTCAAGCCTCAAAAGTCTCCCAAAAATCCAAAAATGAAGAACCTCGCAATTCTTGTTGTTGCCATGATACTCTTCACAAGCTGTGCCACATCTCAAGTCACAGCAAAAAATTTGGATTCATCTCCATCGTTCCGTACTGAAGAGCTCGAATGGTGGCATTACCACCATTTCTACCCTCACTATCACCCTAAGCCACATTGGCCATTCCCCACCACCGGAAAGGCTCTCCCACCAATCCCGGCCGGCTTCCACCCTATTCCATTCCATCCACCACCGGTTGTAACCAAATGCTTGGCGGATTGCAAGGATGTAAGAACATGTGTTGCGGATATCGCTATAGCTTTCTTCACCCGCAAACCCGCTATTGGATTGGATTGTTGTGCCTCTATCCAGAAGATGGATGAAGATTGTGACAAGACTGTTTTTGGAGCGTACCACAACCCTTTCTTTGACTGCTTGGTTAAGCTTCATTGCTCTACCAAAGCTAAATCCACTCCTTCCGCTCCTTCCGCTCCTTCCCCAGCTTAGGGTTTTAATTAGGAATTTATGAAGTATTGATTTCTCAGTAGTTTCATTTTTAGTTTTGTTCTTCTTTTTCACTTTTTATTATGCTTTAGTATGTCACTCTTCCAGAATTTAAAGTTGTTCCTTCTTAATAAAGAGATCAGTGCTTTTTAATTATTAAACTGTGTGCATTGTTAACATGATTTACACAGTATGGTATAATCTTAACCACATAAGAAACGGAAAAAATTGAAGAAAGTGAAAATTAATTTGTTATATTTAACATTTTTACATTTTATAGTACATGCCTATATTTTCGAGATGGTTATAGACTGGAACAAATACGTTCACAACCATGCGAGAGTCGAGTGATATCGTGATCCTAACAACATATGTAAAACAAACCTTAAAAAAAAAACCAGAGCCTCTCTCAATACAAGTTAATTTCCTTCCCTCGCAGGTATTAACTTATATTTTGGGCCTATATCTATTTTGGGCATCGTACCACCCAAAATTAACTTATAAGTTAGTGTACATGATTTATTTAACTATAATGTGCCTATATATTTTGGGCTGATAGTATTTTAAATAAAAAATATATTATTTGAACTATTAATGATTTTTTCATGTTATCAATATTTCAGTCGAATACATTCTATTAATAAAGGTGTTGTTTCTATTGAAAATGCATGAAAAAGGTAATAATAATATAAATGTCTTATATATAGGCATTGTAAGTCCATTGTAGGCATTATGGCCCAGTTTCTGAATTGTAAGCCCAAAAACAATGGAATTGGAACAGAGTTGATAACCCCTATATAAGCCATAACTTTTTACCATCGTAAAACCATCCCCGAAAAATAAATCGTACGTTTCTGCTTATTTAACAAACTCTAACCTCCCACGAATCTAAAAAAAGAAGATGAAGACTCTAACAATTCTTGTTGCTATGATTCTCCTTACATGCTGTGTCACATCCCAAATCTCAGCAAGGTTTTGGGAGTCAACTCCATCATTACGTAACGAAGAGCTCCAATGGTGGTACCACAAGCCACGTTTCCCATCCCCTAGCGCCGGAAAAGCCTTACCGCCACTCCCGGCCGGCTACTTCCACCCAGTTCCATTCAATCCACCACCGGAAGTTGCCAAATGCTTGTCTGATTGCAAAGAGGTAAAAACATGTTTTGCAGATATCAGAAAAACATACTTCACCCGCAAACCCGCTATTGGATCGAATTGTTGCGACGCCATCGAAAAGATGAAGGATGATTGTGAGAAGACCGTGTTTGGATCTTTCCATAACCGTTTTTTCAATGGCCTTGTTAAACGACATTGCTCCAACAAAGTTGGGTCATCACCTGCTCCTTCACCGGCTTAGGGTTTTATATTTATTAGAATTAGGAGAATTGATTTATTATGTTTTTTTTTTCAATTATGTTTTTAATTTGTTTTTCATCACTTTGATCTTGGTTCGGACTACGGTTCGAATAAAAACAATTAAAAATCGTCTATATAATTTGGTTAACTTTTGGCTACAGTCTTGAATCTGGTATGATCCTATATTCCTGTTTTTATTGCAAGTATTTGAGTTTTATGCTGTATCTGGATCTCAGTGATTGGTCAAGAATCTTCAGTCATTTTTTTGACAATTCATATACTTTACAGTCTTCTTTTTACCCCGCTTCTATATACAACCTTAAATAAATAAATAATTGTTTGTTCAAAATAAAATAAAATAAAAATCTTTTGTTGTCTTGCTTTTTAATGTAACAAAGATAAGATTTGATTGTTTGGGTTTTGTCTTTAAGACAACAGATAGGAAATATCATAAGAAATGGCCATTCAAGGCCATAGGATTTAATACATTGACATATTTGAGATTTGACACAATTTATTAAATTTAATTAAGGTAGATTCGGATATTTATTAAATGTAAAAAAAGTTAAAAAGATGTGTTACATTAAAAATATGAACCCGTTGTGTTTGCAGTTATAATCATTAGATATTTGAGATTTGACACAATTTATTAAATTTAATTAAGGTAGATTTATTAAATGTAAAAAATTAAAAATATGTGTAATTCATATTTTTCTATTGTTTCTAACTAATTAATTTCCCCGAAATATCATAACAATCTTAACAAGACATAAAATTTTAAAGAAAGAAAAAACAAAAAAGAGAGAGAGATCAATAGAAATTATTGTATATATTTATTAACCATGATCCCCATCTCGTCTCTATAATTAACGATTAAGTTAACATCAAAATCTTTCTTTCCTCTGGAACCAGCCAAAACAACGAGAGATAATGGCTTTCCAAACCAATTCTTACAACGAATATCCAATTCCACCGACCTCGGACACTCCTCCTGCTCGTCGTAGATGGTGGTCACGACCAATAGTGACTGTGCCGCCAACGCATGGTCGTAAAGCCACTTGTATGGAAACTACGGTTTGCCTTACACCTTGTTGCGGCGCAATATTCACCATCATCGCCGTATGTGTATATCTCTTTCACTTCGTCGACAATGCTCACTGCGACGCCAAATTCGCCATCCAATCCATCGCCGTCTCTCCATCCTCTGCCACATGGCACGTTGATTTTCTAGTCAAAAACCCTAGCTCTAGGTATTGGCACTGGTCCAACGAATAATAAATATATATTTATTTTTAATATGATGCTCGAAGCAATGGCTTCTTTTGTCAAATGGTTTTGCAGGTTTGTAATCTACTACGAAGGCGATGAAACTGACGTGAGTCTCGGTCCCTTAAGCGCTGCCGTTTTAAATACTTCTCACGAACGTAAGTCTCCAAGTCACACGGCTTTCTCTGTGGATTTCGTTGCGGAGGGTAATCCAAATGACGTCGTTTCCGAACAATTATATATTAAATTAAGGGCTAAGCATAAGAGTTACGAAGAAAAATATGATAACGCTGGACATATTGATATAAGTTGTCGTAATCTAAGTCGAAGCCATGAGAACGTTGAGAAGATTCAGTGTGACTCTTCTTTCACAAAATTGAAGATTTTGTATAGAAATCGTAATGATAATTAGGCATTTTCATCATATTCTTGTTTTCTTGTGATTCGCTCGATAAGTTATTGTTTTGGTTACAATACCAGTGAAACTAGTAGATCTCTTAATCCTATGTATAATGGATGATGCACTAGGAACAAAAAAAACACATAATCTTACTTCATAATGTTGCAATAATAATATCAAAAGATATTACAAATCAAAGTCAAATGAAACTTGGTTCAACAATAAAGGGAAATGAAACATTCAAATCTCCAAATCAATGCAAATGCATTATTTAATAAAGTCTTCAAACATTTTTTAAGTAAATATTCGATTAACAGATACCACTGGTCTTCTTCCTGTCGGCGACAAACTTCTTCCAGCCAATGATGATATCTCTCTGCTTCTCGACATCGCTCTTCTTCACCGTCACCATCACGTTATCGCTGTTAGCTTCACTCTTCTCTTGTCCGAGTGATATTTTGTGAATCACTCTCGAAGGAAGCTCATCGAGCTCACGCATCACTTTCTCTATATCGATCACAAGTCTCTCTGCGAGTGTTCTCGAGAAATCTTCTCTGATGACCACACGAAGAACAGTGATGTGTTGTGCATTTGGAGGCATTGTATAGGCCGGCACTATCCATCCATACCTACATTATATTTCAGATATTTATTGAGGAAATTAATTACATATTCATCATACAGCTATCTAATTACGTGTTTTATGAATCTTTTAACCTAAGTTTAAATAAGAAAAAGAGTATTTGAAATCTTCTTAGTAATTAAGACAACTAACCTGCGAAGCATGTCGGAGATTTCGAACTCAGTGTGAGAGCTGCTATCTTTCAAGGAGAAAGCGACAAGTGGCACTCCCTCGTCCTTTGAGACGATGTTGAACCTTTCTGTCTTCTCAAGTCCTTTCCTTAGCACGATCATATTCTCTCTGCAGTTCTCCATCACATTTGTATAACCCTGTTTGATACATTTTAATTGCTAAGTAATGTCTAATTAATTAGCATGATTATTATAAATTTTATAATCGTGGACTGACTTACCTCGTGGCCCAATCGGATAAGTTGGTAGTATTGAGCAATGACTTGACTTGAACCTGCGTTTATTGACAGAAGACTTAATGAATAAAAGTGTGATTTCTACGACAACGAAGTTACGTTTTCCCCTAATTTAAAATGGAAACAAATTTGACCTCCCATCCCTTTGATTTACTATAATTTACTACCAATTTCTTAAACTAATACAAAGTCAAAAAATTGGAAAAAACGTAAAGTGGAAATAATTTACGTGAAGTTTCCCAATTTTAAACGTAAAAAAGTTTGACCTCAATTGCTCCATCAAATTGATAACCAACTACTACACTACTACGAATTAAAAAAAAAAATGGAGTCGTTTTCCGTATATTAAAAAAGGGAAAGCAATTTTATCTCCATTACTTTGATGGCTAGTCTACTTTAGATCATGACTAGTAATTAGAAGTCAAACAAAAAAAGATTAGGACTAGAAAAACAAATTAATAAATTAAAGTAAAGGGTAATTACCTTTGGAGAAATTGAGAGTAAAAGTGGGTTGGTCAGCACCAAGATAATTGATATGGAAGATGAGTTCCTCAGGCAAATCCTCTTTGTTTCTCCAAATCACCCAACCAATTCCTGCGTACACAAGTCCATACTTGTGACCACTCACATTGATACTCTTCACCAATGGCAGTCTAAAGTCCCATTCCAATTCCGGATACAAAAACGGTGCTATGAATCCTCCACTTGCCGCATCCACGTGGATTGGTGTATCCCATCTATCAAAAACATGCATAGTTGTTAATTTTAATTAATATAATTCTTCTTTATCGTATAGTGTGTAATGTACTAAAAAAAATATATTCATTAATTACCCGGTTTCTTTGTTCTTTTCAACCAAGAGATCGTTCAAGAGTTTAACATCTTCAAATTCTCCATTAAGAGTGGAACCAAGAATGGCCGCAACACAAATAGTGTTCTCATCAACCATATCAACAGCTTGTTGAGGGTCCATCACATAGTATCCTTCACTCAATTTCACTTCCTTAAGTTCAACCTCAAAGTACCTAGCGAATTTCTCCCAACACACCTAAACATTCGAATCGTTATAAGAAAATTGATCAAAATTATTAAACATTAATTCAGAAAACGTTAGTTAATTACTTGAACATTGGCTCCGGTGACAATGTTGGGTTTATCGACGGGTTTGCCTTCGGCTTTGCGCTTGTTCTGCCATTTACGCTTGAAGGCCAAACCGGCCAACATTATGGCCTCCGATGATCCAACGGTTCCCACTCCGACGGCTGTCTCTGTCTCTCCTAACGGTGCATTGAATAGATGTGCAATCATGTTCACACATCGATTCTGTTATTTAATATTAAAACACAAAGAATAATTAGTGAAACCCACTTGACTAATCATTTTCTGACATCGAGATTGATGCTTATGTATAATAATCTCAGTGGAGAATAAACAATGTAAAAGCAAAACTAAGATAATACACACACTAAGTCGTGTAGATAACTCATAATGTCATAGCAATACTATTCTATAATCCAACTTGATATCTTGTTTACCTTGTGATGTAAATAATTGCGAACAGATAGTTGACAAAAAAAAATTAATATGTTATAAAAGTTGGTCATCGTTTAGGTTTTTAATTTAAAACACGAGGAATCTAATAATTTGAAAGCATAACCGAAATTTCCTATTGTCTTCTATTATTTCCGTGATTGCCCGATAAAAATATACCATTCGAAAAACTTTTCCAGCTATCAATTCATCACATATTAGTCCTGTAGGACCAACGATTTTTATGATAAAGTAAAAATCCTCACAAGTCACAAATAACTCAACTACTACAATGGATGGTATTTTGCGGATAATACGGTAGTGCTAATATTCCCCTAATCTATATATAATAGCAATCTAATAAATACCATTTGCACAGCTGAACGGTTGCGTCTTTTTATCGCAACTTTTCGTTTAAATCGGTTATTTTTTTACGGTTATTTTGGTTGCGTCTTTTTATCGTAATTTTCGTTTTAATCGGTTATTTTTTTACGGTTATGTCGTTTCCAATAAATACCATTTGTACATCTGAACGGTTCTGCCTTTTTATTGCAACCTTTCGTTTAAATATTTATGGTTGTTTTTCTTACAGTTATTTTTGTACGGTCATGTTGTTTTATTGAATTTCTTTTTACGTAAACCAATAAACTACATATAAAATTGGTTTATTTCATAGTTTACATATGGATATATTTTTAATTTTTAAACTAAAATTTATATTTTACGGGTATGTTTTTTAGAAAATTGCAATCCGAATATCTTCTGCGGTTGCTTTTTTTTATTGTACCTCTTCATAAACAGTTGCAACCTTTTATTCGAATTATTGCAATATTTAGTTTATTTCACGAACAATTGCAACCTTTAGTTTATATCACAAACAATTGTAACCTTTGATTTATATATTTAGTTTATTTCACGAACGATTGCAACCTTTGATTTATATATTTTGTTTTGTATTTCACGAACAATTGCAACCTTTGGTTTATTTTACAAATTGCTATAACATCTAATTATCTACCGTCGCGTCTCTCGGTATAATTTTCATAAATTAATATTTTTAATTTTTAATTACCAAAATGCATTTAAATGAGATTGTAATCGTTTAATTGAACCGTTGAAACATTTGGTTTATTTGATCAATCATTGCAATTTTTGGTTTTGTTTTACGAACCATTGTAATCTTTAGTTTATTTGACGAACTTGACAAACCGCTACAACTTTTGATATATCGCAACATTTCATTTATTTCTTTTTAAACTAAAAAAATTATTTTACGTTATGTTTTTTGATAAAGTTGCAATCCGAGTAAATATTTTTTACGGTTGCATCTTTTTATCGTAATTTTTCATAAAATGATTGCAGCCGTTTAGTTGAACCATTGCAACATTTAGTTTATTTCACGAAAAATTGCAACTTTAAGTTTATTTTATAAATCGTTATAACATTTAATCATCTATCATCGTTATTATTAATTTTCGTTTGATATTTTTTTTAACGATTTTTGAAATATTTTCCCCCGCGACATCGCGGGGGTCCGGAGTCCTAGTTACTATAGTATCAAAATTTGATCAACACAGCCATAGAAAAAGTCAATATAGTTGGTGTACATTTTATACATATGGAAAACAGATTCCATGACAAATTAGCATCTTATTAATGATACAAACTAATAATAGTATCATCTATTTAAAGAGACTTAAGATTTTTTTTTTTTTTTGTTAATAAGACCTTAGATTTAAAAAAGACCCTCACAATAAAACTCAACTATTAAGTCACCGGCTTCCAACCAAAAACACTATTAAGTCACCGGCTAGTATTTCCGAGATACAACCTCCCCCAAAAACAAACTGTACTACGTAAGCGGAAATAAAGTCGTATTAATATACCCTCTAATACTATAGTCTATAGTATTCAAAATCACCCAAATTAGATCAACGAAGTTGGTATACATATTTATAGTTTTATACACGTAGAAAAATATTAAAAAACAAAACTTTCTCTTTTAAAAAAGATATTAATAACAAAACATCATACTTGTGACTTTGTGAGTTATACTGATTAATAATGGTTTATAATCTCGATCCAGAATATGAATGGCCGGTCCAAACATTTGAGTTTATCATAATTCGACCACATTCTATCACAAAGTCGTTCGGAAAAAAAAATCTCAAGATTTTCTATATATATATAATTATGATTAAAACTCGTTTAAAAGAAATCATGACTATGTGATGATTAAAAACCTGGAGTTCGGTGGTGACGGGGTACTCGTCCATGTCAACATAGTTCTTGTTAATGGAGGACATGATGAGTTTATCACACTCAGGCTCCATCCAAGTCGTCACGAAAGAGGCCAAGTTTAACCGTGGATTCCCGTCAAGCATCAGCTCGTCGTTGATTATCTGATACGCCGCTTCTTTCGGTATCGAGTTTTCAGGCATCTTGAACCTGATATATATACGTTTTTAACCCTCCATTTTTATCGAAATTTATATATGTATAGTGTGATCAAGATTGTTATATTTATTACCTAGGAAGTGAAGTACGGACGTAACGTGATGCGAATGTGGAGTGGACGAAGACATCCGACTCCGATGCGGCGTGGGAGAGCACCATCACGGCGATGAGAGAGAATACCAAGAGATGATGATGAGAGACGGAAAGTGAGATCGAGGAAAGTGATGAATGGGAATAATGGAGGAAGAATAGAGACACCTTATAGGGGTTTTATATCAATAATCAAATGATATTGAATGGCCGGTTACTAAGGTAATAATATATTTAAATAAAAAGAAATTTTGGAAACTTCCTTTTTGTGAATATTTCTTCCCAAGGCCTAAACTTTGTTTGAATTAGCAGATTACTGCCTCTAGTTTCGTTTTTAGTGTTAGACTTTTGACCCAATAACTTTTTGAGAAGTGTTGTTTCCAAGTTAATTTTATGTTTCAAAATCTAAAGTTTCAGATTCACAAGGGTCCGGTAATCGTATGACAGCACATTGAAAACACGGTTTCTTTTCATTATATTCATCTTGTTTTTGATATTCAACGATTTCTAAAAAAGACTACACGGTGAAAATATTCAACGCTAAGTAAAATGATGTGGGATCCGAGGAAAAAAGAGCTTTATAAGGAATTTATTTGCATTGTATTGAATATTGACTATGTGATGTGAACAAATAAAGCCTTCTCAGAAATTTCTTTGAAGGCCAAATGTTTGTTTAAATTAGCGGAATATCTAGTTTTTTTCTTCATACAAGTAGACCAAATGTTTTCACTTTTTACATTGTTAGATTCAGTATATGGAAGGTGGCTATTGAAATATTAAATAAAATAAGTCATAATGTAGCTAGTATGCGAATTTATTTATCATATTTTCATAATTTACTACATAAGATCTTGCGTAGTGCACAGTTGATGTTTGTAATAATATATTAACTGGCCTATTATATCCAACTAAGAACTAACTGTAAAGGTATTGTTATTTAGTCTCTATTATTTAGTCCTAATGCATCATATAATTTACTAATTTTTCATCTTTAATTTTTAAAAAATCAAAGACTATATCGACATCAAGGAAAGTGCACTATTTTATATTATGACATGTATTTATAGCGTAAATCGTGTGATGAAATGTATATATGTGTACACAGTACACATTTGAAATAAAAGTTATATAAGAAGTTATCTGTGACAAAAAAAGTGAAGTTAAGAGATTAATTTAAGGGTCTCTTAATTTAATGTTATAAGAAATCAAGATCATTTGAATGTCTTTTTTTCTCTACTATATACCGGTCTACCTAGCTATGACAAAAGTAATCAGTTAATAAAACTGATAAAATACGAATTTTAAATAGTAGGACATATATTCCATGTGCACCTAATCATATACTAATATACTACTACAAGAAAGAAAACATTTTAATATGCAAAACAAATTGAAAAACAAATACTAAACATGTGACACAACTTAATATTCACGATTAGCATCGGTAATTTGAATATGTACTATAATCAAACCATAAATAAATTCGTATTCAAAATAATTACTAGAAAAAAATTAATTTATTATGTTTGTATACGTCTTGTTTCATCTTGTCCCGTTCCAATCCCAAATTTTCGTTCTGTACGACAATCCATTTTCATAGATTCTGTCCCAAAAAAAAAAAAAAGCTTGGTAACACATAAGCAAAAGGTAAATGATTTCAAATCCTTTATATTTAATAGTTGATTAATCGGTTTCCATTTCAATAATATTAATTTGATTTCATTTTTGGTTTGCTATTTCAAATGGATCTAAAAATGCATAGACTTATTACATAATTCAAGATGAGAGATCATCTTAACAATTTTTCCATCCAGACCAATGACGATAAGACAGTAGACATCCTTCTTAATCATATCATCTAGACATTAGACATTAGACATTAGACTATCCATTGAGGGCAGCCATTTAGTGACCGATCCGTAAGGCTAGGGATTCTAGTAGCTAGCTCCCCTCTTACACATTTCATATGTGGCAAAGCTCTTGTAGTCTTGTTCATAGGAAGAAAATCACGCCAAACAATAGTACCAAATTTCAGTTAGTCATATTAGTATATAATCAAAAATAACCATAAAATTTTTATTTACTAATATGTCTAACTGAAATTTGGTATATATATATATATATATATTTTTTTTGATTATTTGTTTTATTCCATACGTGAAAATTATATGTTTCTATAATATCAAAAAATAATATGTGAATAGTTTTTTTTGTTTCCGATATACCTTTTTGTTATTGATATACTTTTAATAAAAAAATCTTAAAAATTTAATACTCATGATATATAGAAGTTTGATTTTCTAATGAACTGGTTTATTCAAACAAATAATGGCTAAAAAGATTAAATTTTTTTATTAAAGAATTATTTAGAATGATGACTAAATGTCTATTGTTTTGAAAAAATATATATATTTGATTGTTTCTTTCTCTGCTAAGTTGATTGTTACGTTTTTAAATAAGTAAGTCAGATTTAAGTTTAGAAATTGGAAACCTGTAATAATGTACAAAAACAACTGTTAATCTGGTTGGTCTATAATTTTGTAAGAAAGCTTGTGGAAACACATATCATGATTCATGATCTTTTAAAAATCACTTGTCAAATATATTGGATTCTCCTCTTTAACACCCAACAACTTATTTGAGAAATATTTGTTTTGTTACAAACTAGCTCGAATCATATATGCAGAAAAAATCTAGTTCTTACAATATAAGTGATCATATGATTCACCTTTTTTTTTGTTACCTAGGATCAAACAAATATGAGAAGAAGAATAGGAATAAGATTTGATCTCATAATTATGGTTTTAATAAAAAGTAAAATTTAATGTAATAATGACATATGTGAACTATTTTACAAAGAAGTATAGTTTGGCTTTTAATTTGCGAGGCTAAGAAAATGACACCTCAATAACTTTAGATTAAAGATTTATCATGTAATTAGAAAAGAAACATAAATTATTCAACCAAAACATTGAATGTTAAAATTATGTATATATCCTTACTGATTTCTTACTATATTTCAATGAAAAACAAAATAATTTTCTATCATTTTTTTTATTTAGAACCATCGCAGTTTAAGAGAGAACGTGAAACAACGATGTATAATAAAATATAAAACAATTCTCTTTTTTACTAAAATAATATAAAAATATAAATCATAAATTACCTTTAAAAGTAACGTTCTCAAAAGGTTGAAAATCTGTAAATGAGATTTTTTTCATAAATGGTTTTGTTTTCTTTTGTTTTATTTTGTGGCTTGGCCTACTAGTTCCATTTCCTAATTAAAATCGAAGGCAATAAAATAAATCTTTAATATGGTGACCCAAAAAAATCTTTTATACATTATTTACCTAATATAGTTTTTTATTATTTTCTTTATAAATAGCGTTTAGGTTGTTCATATCTTTTGTATATTTTCTTTCATTTGATTTAGAAAATAAATGGATTCTACTCGTGGTGACAGCTCAAACGATGAACGGAGAATTTCTATGGACGCCAACAACAGTAAGGATAAGAAGAGTTACCATCGCCACACTAATCACCAAATTTATAGGCTTGAAGCGTAAGATCTTAATCTAGTTTAATTAATTTATATTGCTTTTCAAAAAGTTGGCTTCTTAATTCATTGCTAGTGTTTTTTAATCGATTGAAGGTATTTTAAGGAATGTCCTCATCCAGACGAATTGCAGCGACGTCAATTGGGTGAAGAACTGAATCTGACACCAAAACAAATCAAGTTTTGGTTTCAAAACAAAAGAACACAAGCCAAGGTTATTATTTTTTTTGTCTTATCTACTGCTTGTTTTACACTATAATTTAGTATATCTTAAAAGGTGATTTAATTTAGTTTAACTAATTAGTGGTGAGTTACTAGTCATTATTATTTTTCATCATCATTATTGTTTTTTGTTGTTTACCACAGTAGAATTAACACAACGGAGTTTTAAAATTGTATTGAGGTTTGCCTAAATTTGGCTATTAAACACTAAATTTGATTTATTTTTCTAGACTCACAATGAAAAAGCAGATAACGCAATACTTAGAGCAGAAAACATGAAGATAAGACGTGAGAACGAAGCAATGGAAGACGCACTCAAGAATGTGGTTTGCCCTCCATGTGGTGGCCGTGGTCCTGGGAGAGAAGAACAACTTCGCCATCTCCAAAAACTGCGTGCACAAAACGCTTTTCTCAAAGAAAAGGTACAATTTTCGCAAGTCTTTCTATAAAAAAAGTTATTTTTATTTATTTTGATTAATATTTATTTTCATCATATCATAAGTCGCTAAATAAAATTCTAATTTGTAAAGCTGATGAATTTTTTTCTCCTATAAATTTTTTGAAAATACATCTACAAATTAGTAATCCATGATTTGAATGCCTCAATTTTGTGATTATGCGCTTATATGAACAACAATATGATTTGTTACTTTTCTGGTTTTACAAACTATTCGGTTCATTTTCGGACGCGATTTATTTTTAAATACTAAACTAGTTTGATTTTTCATGACTTATATAATTTAAAAAATACTTATGAAATTAATTAAGTATAAATGTGAAAGTTTGTATACATTAAGTTAAAAATATTTTGGGTGTATAATACACTAATACCCTATATAGGGTATTAGTGTATTACATCAAATATAGGTAAAATTATTTTATCTATATAACTATTAAATTTAGTCGTACTTAGTACTCATCTAATTAATTCATTTGGCACACATTTTAGAAAATTAATATTTCAATGAATTTTAATATTAACTATATTCTCTTACAATTTATAAAAAACAATCGATGAGGTTGCACTTGACTGGAGAGTGATTTTCTTGGCATTATACGTGATGTCTGTATGGGATTTTAATATATTGTTCACTATAAATCGTCTCTACATTGGAAATAATATAATCACTAATATACTTTTTATTGATCAAAATATGAATATCAGTATGAAATACTCTCAAACTACGTAAACCAGCACGAAGGTGACTCAATGCCTAACGTCGATGCCTTACCCTATCACCATGGTCCATCAACCTATGCATCGACGTCCAATCACCGTCCTGCGTTGTATGGAAGCTCTTCTAACCGTCTCCCCGAGTCTTCAAGTTTATCAAGAGGACCATACACTCGTGGAAACATCAACTCACCGCCTCAGCCGCGAAAATCGCTGCTAGAGCAGCATTTCCAACCACTATCTCAACTGGAGAAATTTGCGATGTTTGAAACTGCGGAGAAAGCGGTAGCAGAGGTTAAGAGTCTCATTCAAATGGAAGAATCAATGTGGAAAAAGTCGTCTATTGATGATAGGCTCGTCATTGATCCAGTGCTCTATGAGAAATGTTTTACTAAGATTAACACAAATGGTCGTCCTGAGTCTTCTAAAGAAGTCGTGGTGGTTCAAATGGATGCTAACAACTTGATCGACATGTTCTTAAATGCGGTACGTACTTATGCCATTTTATATCTAAGCTAACATCAAAAATGAATTATCAAATATCCTTATAATTTTATTTTACTAAACGTATACATACATGTCCTCTCAAAGTTACATTAACAATATAATGCAGGAGAAATGGGCGAGGCTTTTTCCAACAATTGTGAGCGAGGCCAAAACGATTCACGTGTTGGATTCCATTGACCATCGAGGACAAACTTTCTCAAGAGTGGTATGAATCTTTACAATATTTTAAAATTTTAATTGTTAGACTAATATAAAAATTTGGTGAAAACAAATTGGATGATAAATTAAACAGATATTTGAGGAACTGCACATACTATCGCCACTGGTGCCACCGAGAGAGTTTGTGATACTAAGAACTTGCCAACAAATGGAAGAAAATGTCTGGATGATAGCTGATGTGTCCTGTCATCTTCCAAACATTGAGTTTGAGTTTGCGTCTCCGATCTGCACCAAACGTCCTTCCGGTGTGCTCATTCAAGCCTTGCCCCATGGCCTCTCTAAGGTCTCTTTCTCTCTTCTCTTTAATTCTTCTTTTTGATATAATTTTTATTTATTTCAAATAGTTTACAAAAACATGTTTTCTATCTAGTCTTTTTTTTTTTTTCTTGAACTAATCCTATTAATGTTGATCAACATTTTCATCTAGACATCTACAATTAAATCGTCTCTTAATTACCTTTATTTCTCAAACTTCTGTTCTTCTCCATTTCATTAGTGTATCTAGCTTCAATAACTTTTAAGAGAATATGGGTTTATTGAAAGCATAACAGAAAATAAGAAATAAAATGGACAGGTGACGTGGATAGAGCATGTGGTAGTGAATGATAATAAAGTGCGGCCACATAAGCTTTACAGAGACCTCTTATACGGCGGCTTTGGCTACGGAGCTCGACGTTGGACCGTTACTCTTGAGAGGATGTGTGAGAGGCTGTTTCTCTCCGCCTCCGTCCCTGACTTCCTCAACAATGACAACCCCGGAGGTACTTACATCTACACCTACCTATATATATTGTACAACAACCAAGTAACCTTTTTTGTGCAACTTAAAATGTATTTTCTATGCGACTTTAATATATACATTGACAACAAGGATTATATAGTTTCAAAACTTTTGGTATTTAAAACTCTTTTACTATTTATAAAATTTTAAATTATTTTCATTTTTTTGTAGTTGTGCAAACAATAGAAGGCAAAAGGAGCGTAATGCAATTGGGAGAAAGAATGTTGAGGAACTTTGCATGGATAATGAAAATGAGTGACAAACAGGATTTCTCGCAACATTCTGAAACTAACAATAGCGGAGTTAGGGTTTCGGTTCGGATAAACAATGAGGCGGGTCAACCGCCGGGTCTCATTGTCTGCGCCGGTACATCTTTATCCCTCCCTCTCCCTCCTATCCAAGTCTACGATTTCCTTAAGGATCTGGAGGTTCGTCACCAGGTAAGAACAGATGGCTTAGTTAACTGCACAAGTCCAATTTAATCAGCTTGTTTTAAAAACAGCATTCTTTTTTTTTTGGTAATTAACAAGAAATCTAATGTTTGTATGTAAAAAAAGTGGGACGTTCTGTGCCATGGGAATCCAGCGACGGAGGCTGCTCGTTTTGTCACCGGATCAGACGAAAAGAACACTGTGACTTTTCTCCAGGTATATATATATATTACTCAAACTAAAACCTTATTTTTTATGGGATATAAAACTTTAAATAGACTGATAGACATTCTTTTTCATCCTTAATTAAATTTAGCATAACTAGCATTTAAATAGAGATGTTATAAAGTGCAAAAGATCCATGGAACCGGTCCACTTTGTTTTACATTTTAGTGGTCATCAACCACAAGTTGATCTCCAAGATCAGTAGAATAGATTCGGTCATAAAATCTTGAATAAATCAGAAAGTTATTCACATCTATATTAGTTTTCATAAAAGTCTATTATAATTTCAATAATTTTGGCATTAACTATATGGTTGTTCTTTAAATTCTTTTTATACAGCCTTCAATCGTAGGGGATGATGGTAGTAAACTGATGATACTTCAAGATAGCTTCAAAGATGCATTAGGAGGAATGGTGGTCTACGCTCCAATGGATCTAAACATCGCCTACGCCGCCATTTCAGGGGAAGTCGTTCCTAACACCATTCCAATCCTCCCATCCGGTTTCATCATCTCCCGTGACGGCCGTCCTTCCGAGGGCGAAATCGAGGGTGGCAGCTCGACACTCCTCACAGTGGCTTTCCAGATCCTTGTCTCTGGTCCGAGTTACTCTCCTGATATGAACCTGGAAGTTTCTGCCACCACAGTCAATACCTTGATTAGCTCAACCGTTCAAAGGATCAAAGCCATGCTTAATTGCCAATGATGATGGTCAGTGAGAGTCGTTCGATGAAGTTACCAGTTCCCAAATCTCAACTCTTTGTTTTTTTTTTCTTTCATTTTCAAATAAGTGAGAAGAGTTTTCTCCGTTTGATTCTCTAAGGAGAGTCGTAGTACTTTTTCATGTTTTTCGTTGATTTAAAACTTCATTATAATAAATTTCTAAGGTAAGGGCCTTAGATAAACAATATTTATGTTGTTGCCTTTTGGCATGTTTGTTTAATTAAGTGACATTGGTGTTGGATTTATAAGATGTTATGCTTAATTTCTGTTTTTACATAATATTTTTAATATTTTCTGTTTTTATTTCTGTAGATACACTAACTATTCTATGAAATTCAGCTAGTTAGAGAATTAAGTGTAGCTATCAAGTTTGTAAGTAATACATGAAAATATCTTTTCTCGTACGTGAAAATCTGCACCATCGGAAATGGATAGCTAAGCTTACCTACAAGACGTGGTACTCGTTTTTCGACCACAATAACAATTTAATTCGTTTTGTAATAATAGTGATGATAATAAAATAATTGGTTTTATTGAAATTAGAGTTAAAACTTAAAACTGGTTTTTATTGGTTATAGCAAAAATTTAGTATTTTTACCAATTTGGAAAACAAAATTCGGTTTTGTATCGGTTTAGTGTAAATACATTTTCTTTAGAAAATCGATTAACGTGGTTTAAACACTTAACCGAACGGTACAGTAATAAAATGGGCAAAGCGATTGGTAAAGAGAAGACAACGGACATATTTTTGGTAACCATCAATTTTCCACCAGTAACTCTCTCCTAGTATAAATACCCCACCGCTTTAATTCTAGAACACTCTCCATTTTTCAATATTGCTCAAATCTTCTCAATCTTTCTCTTCTGCGTTTTAATTTCTCTCGGATCGGAATCTCTCGTCGGAAAATCATCCATGGCCGCCGCAAACGAGAAGCTCCCTCAGCTCAAATCCGCCGTCGATGGACTTACTGAGATGAGGTTTTACGCTCTCTCGATTTATCTGTCGGGTCAGATTCTGGATCTTGTTCATGGATTAGACTGATCTGTTTCCTTTTGTTTCAGTGAGAATGAGAAGAGCGGATTCATCAACCTCGTTTCACGTTACCTCAGGTTCGTCGTCTGCTTCTAATTTTGTATCTTCGGATGTGTATTGACCAAATTAGTTCTAAATTCTCTAATCTTTTGAAGTGGTGAGGCTCAACACATTGAATGGAGTAAGATCCAGACACCTACTGATGAAATTGTTGTTCCTTATGATAAAATGGCTAACGTCTCTGAAGGTATTTTTCTTTTTATGAATGATACAAATCTGTTATTGAAGTTTGTTTTCTGTATGGTAGATGTTCTGTGTGCTGGTTTTGCAATTGGATAATTTTCTCCTAACCATTCAAGAATATAACTTTTTTTGGTATGTTTCAACATAATGAAGATGCTTCCGAGACCAAATATTTGTTGGACAAGCTTGTTGTGCTAAAGCTTAATGGAGGTTTGGGAACCACAATGGGATGCACTGGTCCAAAGTAAGCGCTCTTAATCTTGTGTCACTATCAGTATCACTTCAGCTTTCGTTTATCCTTGCTTGGAGTTAGTTGCTCTAGTCTCTCTGAGATGGCAAAGTTTGTGTTCGAATTCTGAGTACCTTTCTTTAGCCTAGGCGTCATAATCTATATCTCTTGGTCTATAGGATTTATTGCCATTGGTAGCAGACTTAATGTTTTAGTGTAGCTAGTAAACAATTATCTGTCATCTTTGACAATAGAAGGGATGTGGTATCCAACTTCAGGGGTTAACAACTTACATTCCATGTTTATAGCTTGGGTTAGTGTGTGCACTATCTTCGATTGCATGTAAATCTTCTAGATGTTTCTGTATCAAATCCTTCCTTGATGCGTTATGTGACATTTTCTTTCCTCAAGCAATAGGTTTCATTTTCTTTTCCTCTTTTTGTGCAGATCGGTTATCGAAGTTCGTGATGGTTTGACATTTCTTGACCTGATTGTTATCCAGATTGAGGTTTGTCATTTTTTGTTTCCTTCTGTGTGTTCTAATCTTTGTAATGCCTTTACTTAACCTCATATATCGCTTTTCCACAGAATCTCAACAACAAATATGGCTGCAAGGTTCCCTTGGTTCTTATGAACTCATTCAATACACATGATGACACACAAAAGGTACTAATATTTCACAGAGGATCACATCTCTTTAGTTCTACATTTATCTTATACTTGTAGGCTGACTGATTTTTGTCTCGTTCAGATTGTGGAGAAATACACCAAATCAAATGTTGATATTCACACTTTTAATCAGGTATTTCAGGGCAATGCCATTACAAGTTAAGAAACTAAAATTTCTATTATTTGAACGATCCAGATCAACCCTGGAACTAATCATATTGACTTAAATTATGTAGAGCAAGTATCCTCGTGTTGTTGCTGATGAGTTTGTGCCGTGGCCAAGCAAAGGAAAGACTGACAAGGATGGATGGTATGGTTTCCAGTCAATATTGCATTTACATTTGAGATTCCATTTGCATTTGGACATACTTCTCTGTTGCTATCAGATTGCAACCACTTATAAACGATGTCTTTGTGAAGGTATCCTCCCGGTCACGGTGATGTATTCCCATCCCTCATGAACAGTGGAAAGCTCGATGCGTTCTTATCACAGGTTCTTTCTTTGATGTAGTCTATTAATGTTTTCTTGTCTCTAATACGCATCCTTGACGTTTGTGTATTTTAAAGTTTGCCATTTTAATTCTGATTCTGAGCTTCTCACACTATTCAGGGTAAGGAGTATGTGTTCATCGCCAACTCAGACAACTTGGGCGCTATTGTTGACTTAAGTAAATCTCCTTCTCAGTTTCCTCTTTTATTGTTTTTGCTTTAGTTGCAATCAGGATAATAACATTCAATAAGAGACTAATTTTTGGCTGTCCTTGACTTCATGCTGTTTCAGAAATCTTGAAGCACCTGATCCAGAACAAAAATGAGTACTGTATGGAGGTTACACCCAAAACACTAGCTGATGTAAAGGGAGGAACTCTCATTTCTTACGAAGGAAAAGTACAGGTAAAATTCTTTTCATGTAGCTTTTCTCAGTGCCTGTTGAATGATTCTTGGTAAGTTACTACTTAAACTTGATTTTATTGCATGCTAAAAATTGTCTCTGCACTCTGCAATGTCTCTTCTTATTATATGTGGCACCTTCGAATCATAGATTATCCAGGCTCCTAATTAAATATGTGGAGATATATTTTATTGTCTTCTTTGCAACTCATGAATCATGATCTTCTCACTGTTTCATTTTTCTTATGCTACTGGAGAATGTAAGTAGTCTTATTGGCCTCTAAAATTTACTTCCTCTGTTGTGTATCAGCTTTTGGAGATTGCTCAGGTTCCTGATGAACATGTAAGTCCACACCTCTTCTTTGTTTTCCTTAACTAGAACTTGTTTGCAATTCTTGTAGCCACTAAGTCACTCTTTGGCTCTTTTCAGTTGCTTCCTTTGCTCCTCGCATTTAAACACCCATATGTGATAATTATGTCATTAAATGTTGTTGTTGCTCTGAGCATGAAACGAACTTTTTATCTCTAGTGATTTGTGTGTAGCTAATAATTACATTGCTCGTGTTTCTGGTAGGTCAATGAATTCAAATCAATTGAGAAATTCAAGATTTTCAACACAAACAACCTGTAAGTAATAACTCTCTGTTCCCTAAAACATGGAAGACAACAAATCTGTATGCAGTCACAGTACTGTTTAACTTTTTCAGTTGGGTTAACTTGAAAGCCATCAAAAAGCTTGTGGAAGCTGATGCGCTTAAAATGGAGATCATCCCAAACCCGAAGGTACTATACCAATTACCACGTGAAGCAGTTAGTCTCTTTTGCAATTTTGCATGATTTATCTTAACTCTTCTCAGGAAGTTGATGGAGTCAAAGTTCTTCAACTGGAAACTGCAGCTGGTGCTGCGATAAGGGTATGCGTTTCATTTTATATTTCATTAACACAGTTTCAAATAAACACAAACGTTTATTTCTTCTAATATTTACCCGTTTTCAAACAGTTTTTTGATAACGCAATCGGTGTGAATGTACCTCGATCACGGTTCTTGCCAGTGAAGGCAACTTCAGACTTGCTTCTTGTTCAAGTAAGCCAAACCACTCCTTCCCTTGCAAAATCCCAAAAATCCATTGAATCAGCAACAAAGAGTTGACCATTTTTAATCATCTTTCACAGTCGGATCTGTATACACTCGTAGATGGCTTTGTCACAAGAAACAAAGCTAGAACAAACCCCACAAACCCAGCGATCGAATTGGGACCCGAATTCAAAAAGGTAAAAACCTCTGGGGGCTCTCTGAAAAATAGTATCTCACACTAATTGCTTGTTGTATTTTGTTTTTTGCATTTTGGTTAATAAACAGGTAGCGAGCTTCCTTAGCCGGTTTAAGTCCATCCCGAGTATAGTTGAGCTCGATAGTCTTAAGGTCTCTGGTGATGTCTGGTTTGGCTCAGGCGTTGTTCTCAAGGGCAAAGTGTCAGTAAAGGCAAACTCCGGGACTAAACTTGAAATCCCTGACAATGCCGTGCTCGAGAATAAGGTAACGTGTTTTGGGCACATTTTTATTCCAGGAGAGATATTGTGGAAATGCACTAGACTCAACTTTTGCTTTTTTTTTTTGTTCTTACAGGATATCAACGGTCCAGAGGATCTGTGAAAAAACTTAAAAGATTTACTTTGATGCGTCTTCTTCTGTTTTCCACTTCTCTTGTAAATGAGAGCACTTTTGATGAAACTTTTTTCATGTGAAAAAAGACACAAGAATAACGAGAGGTGAATATTGTTTTTGGCAGTTTAATTAGTCCCTCCAAAGTACCATTTCCTTTTCTTCTCTATTGATTTTTTAAAAAAAATTATGAGAAGTTTTCAATGCCTTCTTGGATAATGGTGAAAATGAACTCTTTTCGTCCGCATCTCGAATTTTATTGAATATTATTAGTTTAAAAATTAACTATGGAGCTGAAGGCGTATCACAGCATTGATGAAAAGTATGGGTTGTGTTGAAGTTATCTTTTGCTTGTGATCACAATTTTTCGGTGGCTTCTCCTTTTTATTTGCTTCCAAGTAGTTTCAACAACGAATAATAAAGGAAACACAAAAATTTAACATAGATAATATCTAAAGATGTACTTGGTTGGAATGTTATATAGATATCAATGATGATCAATATGTACTGATGATCAATATCAGTATGTTTTTGTGTTCCAACCACTTATTTCATTGAATACTTGTACCAAAATGCGCCAATTGTCCCAAATCGTTTGACCACTTGTACAACTCAAAATCGAAAAAAGATAAGAAAATACAAAATAATCATGCATGAGACATAATTAATACGGTTGGTCCATGAATAGGATCACCGGTCTGGCTTTTTTATACACCACATATCTCTTTTATCTTTTGTTAGATAGAACCATTCACACTGATTGTCACAAAGTCAGAGAGAGTCCTTTATTTCAAAAGAATATCTGCTTCTTCATTTCCTTTTATCTCGTTTAGCTATAAAGCGGCAAAAAGATGGTAGCGAAAAATATGAACCACATAACATACGTAGAAGCTTATAGAAATGGATCATCCATCCAAAATATATATATTTAGACCCACCCACCAGTTTTCTTCTCTTCACTAAAATAATTGATTCGTAAATCTCTATCTTTTTTCAACTCATGCTAAAGTCACATTTCTAATGTATTTGTACCTACATGTGAAATTTTGCAATCCAAACTAAGTTCAATTGACCAACAGATTTTAGTTACAGGAAAACAATAGTACTTTGTAGTTATTTAAAAATGATCAACACTTTAAAATTATAACAACATATATATATATATATATATATATATATATATATATATGTGTGTGTTTTTTCTTTCTTTAAGTTGAATGTTCACAATCCAAAAAATAGGTTACATCGATATCACAATATTTATATATTTATCTTAATGTAAATCTATTTGCAATAAATGATTAATGTAACATGTCTTGTAAATTAATGTCTACAACATTAAAGTTACATTTACATTTAATTATTTTTGAGAATAAATGAATGCCATGATTTTGTAGGTGTTTACAAACTTGAGATTACATATAGAGTTTCATTAAAAAAACAAAACTCTTATTTAAAATAAACAAATATTTATTTTTCTTCTCAAATAATTAGACAACATTTTGGCAAAAAAAACTTATATAATTACATGTATATAATTGAGATTATATATACTTTGGCTGAAAAAAATGTATGGTGGTGAAGAAAAGGAAAAATATCACAATGGTTGTCACGTGTCACTTCACACAATCCAGTAGACCAGTACCTAACTTCCAGCACCACCGAGCCTAACCTTCTTTGCAAACCATTAACTCCTCAAATGACTTGTTTATTTTATTTCTACTAGGTCGAAACCCGCGCTACGCTGCGGGATATTTTATAGAATTTTTTTTACTTAAGACAGAGCATTTAGTAACAATATTGGAAACATGATCCAGCTATAATGATTCAGATTAATACTTTTCCAGTAGCTGAAATTGACTTCGTAGAGAAAGAGTAACTAACAATTTTGATGGCGTAATACTCTTTCATTACTAAGAAACTCAAATATGGATATTTTGCAGGAACCTTAAAAAGAAACTTAAAGCACTAATTGCAGAGGTATTTAAAAGGAGTTTTGTGGAATTGATGATGGGTGAATTGATGAGAGAACTTTATAACACAATGTTTTGTGGAAAGCTAAAAGAAAATCAAAAGCTGGCGAGAAAAAAAAAATTAAGTCTATGACTTTAAGAAACTCCTTAATCACTATCGCATCCATCGATGTGTTTTCCTTTGATGAAGACGTTTGGAACTATGCACTGTCCAGTCCATTCTGATAAAGCTAATTGGATCTCACCTCCATCACCTAACATGAAGTAGAGATTGGTTGTAACTTAGCATCGAGAAATACAAATATACAGGTATTGACAGGGATTTGGTTTCTTACTCATTTCATCGAGCACAAGTACTTTAAAACTTGCTCCTAGCTGTGTCAGTAACGGCTTCACCCTCTGGCAATAACCACAATATGAACTAAGACATTACGCTTCAAGAATAACCTTAAGACCACCGATTCAAAAAGTGGGAAGAGAGACAAGTTCTAGACAGATAAAGCAAAATCAAACTCTAGACTCTATGCAGCAACAAATTAAACTTCATTTCAAGATTCTAAATAGCACATTTTTTCCAGTCAAATTAGTCATAGGAACTTGCACGGGTTAATCTTCAATAAATAAGAAAGCACATGATAATCGACAAAAACTCTAGCTTCTTCAAAGATTTCTAGACTACCAAAGTTGAGAACTGGATCTATCAGTATCTACTCCATGATCACATCAATAATCGTCTAGGGGAACCCACAAATAATCTCTGAATTGGATGATAATCACTAAAATAAGACAAATTTTAACATATTCACGATGAATAATTCACAAAGACTAATTAAAAGACAAAGGCATAAAAGTTGTTGTTAGTACCTGAGAAACTTGCTCCTCTCCTCACATTCTGTTGGCTCAGCATTCTTGTCCTTCTTGACCTTGTTGTGAGAGGAGAACATCTTCAGTTCTTGAATTGAAAAGAAAACAAAGCAAGAAAAAGTGATGACTTTAGGCATATGAACCTGCTACCATTAAAATTTAGGATAAACATTCACAAAAATCTATTAACACAAACTGACGAGTAATTTTTTCCAGTATGTTTCAAAACCAAAGTTGACTGCTTTTTGTATCAAGAGAAAAAAAAAACACAGAAAATTTCAGCTTAAATCGACATTGCTTAACAGTCTACAGAGGCTTAAACTAAACCATATTATCTTTCTCTTAAAGACCAAAAACCCAGAATTAGACCAATCACAAGAGCTAAAATCTTACACCATTCTACACTAAAGTGAGCTACAAGATTTTAGACAAGACATCAGCATTTCTCCTCGAGGAAAACAGAACAAAATAAAAAGACAGACCAGAGAAGAAGCGAAAGATAAACTCTTTGGGACAAACCAAGTTGTGAAAATCCGTCTCTATCATCACCTGTATATATACCAATAAAACAAATTGATGATTTCACTCAATAACTTTAGCACCAAGAGCTTACAACTTCTCAACGATTTTCTCACCTTCTTCTTTAGACAATCTAGCTTTCAAAATTGCATGACTATTCTCCACCAATGCTTTAGCTTCTTTTAAACCCAAATCTGTAAAACTTTCCAACTCATTTAGCTTAATCATCAGAAGACTACAATTTTATCTCAAGCACAATCTTCTCCACTTTAGCTTTCTCACTTGCACCACCACCACTTTGTCTCTGATTCGATCCATCCACGATCCCACCAGATCCAGATTTCATAACAGCAAGGGTTCGGAGATTTCTGATAGCGACAAAGAAGAGATATCGTCTATGAGTCAGAACACACGCTCCGTTGGTGGAGTATGGTGCTCTGTTCGATCAAACGTCGATGGATCTGTTGGGAGATTCCTCTGATCGAATTATGCTTCTTCTTCGCCTGAATTTGAGAACTAAGCTCATCTTTTAGAACTCTTTCAAAGCTTTCGTTTTCTACGCTTTATACAATTATGAAAGAAGAGCGGCATATGCAATCGTTTGAGACTATTGTTCCTCCTAATTTGATTGTCATTCGATTAGAGTATCGGTAATTGAACTGCTCCTTCTCTCCTCTGGTGGTCGGGTGTGCGTTGCTCGTCACCTTCATCGTTGCCATCGACATTGCCATCGTCACTTTAGAGCATCGACAAGTTTTAGTAGGCTCAATTTGGGTTTTTTTTACTGTTTTTTTGTGGGCAAACAAAAACAATTGGGCTGGACCTGTAACACAAAAAACATTATTAGTGAGAGAGAAAATGACGTGGAAACGAGAAAGATTATTACTGGACGAAAAATGTTGAGATGTATTAATCGTTATGTTTTGATTGGGTATTCATTTTAATGAGGTGTCAATCCGAGAGCAGCCTAAAAAGCTGAGGTGTCAGACTTGGAGAGACTCTTAAAAGTTTTATTGTATTGATTACCGTCCAGCCTCCTAATTGCTTAAACTTTCTTTGAACATTTTCTCATCTTTTTAAATTTGTAGGATTTTCTTCTCACTATGATTGTCAATCATATTAGATAAATGTGGGTTTCCACTACAGGGTTGAATTTTATTGCATTAAAAATATGGTTACAACAAATACTTTTATAAGAGACGACAAAAAAAAACAAAAACAAATACTTAAAGTAGACAACAGCCACACACCAACCACTTTCTGATATTTGAAACCCTAAGTAATAACGAGAAGGAAATTATGTGGCTGAGAAAATTTGTGTAATATCAATAAAAATCAGTGAACGTGAATACATAAATACGAAAAAAAGAAAACGAGTGGCTAGGCCCTCCTTCTCTTCCTTCCACATGTCAAGTTTCTGTAGAACAGGCGGCTAAAATAAGAATCTGTGACATGGACAAAAGTGCACTCAAATACACTAATTATTTGTATATTTTAAATTAAAGTGTAATTAACTTTCACTTCCACCAAGGATGATTTACAATTAAGCTATCAATTTTAATAAATTATCTACACATCTGTGAAAATTGATGACGACCTAGACGATGGATTATCATATTAATTCAAAAAAAGTTGAAACTAATTATAAATATCATAGATTCGTATCTGTATATATTATATTGTATGGTATGTATACGAACACTTACGTTACGGATAGACCCCCACCAAGTTTTTTTTATATAGAGGAAGAAGATATTTAACTTAATGTTTTCGTTTTTTCGTTAAATATGGAGCAAAGACAACGACAAAACGAAAAAGAACAAAAAAATACATTTCATTTTACTTTCAATTGATTTTGGAATTTCATTTATTTTAGACTGACATTCAAAACCATTTCAACTATTTAGAAATTTATGGAGTATTTTTTTGACGTGAAAAGAATAGTGGAAAATTTAGAGGCCCAATATATATATATGAATCATGGTAAGATACGTCAATTGCATTTGTATGAGGCTTGTTGGTATAGAAACATCAACAACAAATCTTATTATTAGTCCAAAATTTGAATAACCCATTTTTTGGATCTCATTTTATAAAAGAGACAATTATAGTGTCTTGCAAAAATGTATTTAGACACAATTTTTTTAATCTGAATTTAGATATTGTGATGGTTATAATTTATAAATAATTTACTTTAAATATCAAATATTGTGTTCATGGAAGAATGGAGAACAAAGAGTAAACCCCACAAAATCCAGAATGGATTGACTATGTTTTCTAGGATTGGACAAAGTGTATATGAAATCTGATCTGGTCCAAAAATAAAGTATTAAGAGTTTTCAGATTCGGATTCAAATAATTTGACTTTGATTAAGATATCCAGTTAGATTTTTTTTTGTCAATAACTTTAATATGTTCGGATTTATTTTCATATATAACTTTTTAAAAAGCCCTAATAAATATTTTTATAAAGTGCATATGTAAATAAACAAAAATATTTGACTTTTACTTTATTTTTTATTTTATGATTTGTTAAAGTTATATATATTATTGTTTTAATTATTTGTAACTATTTTTGATAGATTTGGATAGTTCCGCAAACACATCCGATGGATCCGGATCCAAATATCCTATCAAATTTTTTGTTCTATGTCCACCCATATCAAGAGAGTGGGTGGAAAAATAAGTTTTTGTTCTATGTTATCTCCCAAAAATTTACATTGTATATGTTGAAGTGGAACCAATGAATAGCGAGTATGCACCAAAAATCATACTCTCGAGAGTGCGCCTACCATATTTTTCCTATAAGTATCTTCTGGTGGCTCACATTTCTCCGTCCAGCAAAATCTTTTTTTTTTTTACATAAATTTATATTTCCTGATATTTTATATTATTTTAAAATCCAATAGAAATGATGTCAAGGAAAAAAAAGGCATGGGAATTAAAAATACAATGGAAATCTAACTGTATTTAAAACAAGTATATTCATTTAAAAATGAATATTAATATTTTGAAAAGATAAATGAATAAATCTACAAGTTTTTTTTTTTGTTACAAAAAAAGGAAAGAAGAATATGGGAAGAGTGACACGTGGCAATTGTGGTCTTTGAACGTGAGCCACAAGATTGAATCTGTTTCTCGAGCGTTCCATGGAAAACCAATAAATAATAATAATTTTAAAAAATTGAAAAAAGTGCACATACCAGAAGGTGACGTGGCATCCCCCTCCTTTTTGTCTTCCCTATTTTCTCACCCCCAAATTCCTTCTTCTTCCTTCACAGACCCCAAACTCTTCTCTTCTCTTTCTCTCTGCTTTCTTCTTCCTCCACCGAATCAGAAAGCTTGTCTTTTTCTTTACTCCGGCGAGCATAGTTCTCGGAGAATCTCTGAGAGTCTCATTTTCGACCTTCTTATTATCTTTCTCTGCAGCGAGAGTTTTTTCTTTCTGTTTTTTTCTAACGAATCCAAAAAGCTCCGGTTTGCTGTTTTCTGGAAGGTGGAAGCTTTAGATTGGTTCTGATTTCAGAAGCAAATCGTTTGTTGTTACCTAACTTAAGCAGAGACAAATCGAATCAATTTATGGGATCTATAGAAACAGACGGAGAACAGAGGAATTAAGCTAATTTGAACTCCAGATTCGCCAATTTGTTTTGCTTTTCCTTTTCTGCGTTCCCACACCTTCGAGCTTTTTTTGTTTTCCTCCGGTGAGATCTTAATCCGGGAAGTTATGGCGTCGTCTACGTTGACTGCGAATGTTCAGGTCTGGTTTCAAAATTTGTTTTTTATCCACTTTTTTTGTTTGTTTCTGCTTTATTCAGATTTGGTAATGAATCTGTGAGTTTAGAATAGTGTATACGAACATTTAAATAAGAAAGCTTAGAGTTAAAGCCTCTTCGGTGCAATTCATTTGCAGACTCTTGTTTCTTTTGAGCTATAAGTTTTCTCTAGATTTGTGTGTTGCAACTACATTCATGTGAATCCTTAAGATGGAATCGACTGTATTGAAAACTTGCTGGGTTGGGTTGTTCAGAAGGAGCCATGGGTTTACAAAGCGAATTGTGTTTGTGTGAATGTAATTAGGATCTGTAAATCAAGTTAAATTAGTTGGGTTTTGTGAGTGAATGTTCATTGAGCAACTGAAGAAGAAAGTAAATGATCCAATGCCACTTTGTGTTATTTATGGACTTCGTCGCCTAAAGTCGTTTAGCTTGGTGATGGTTTCAGGGTACCAAAGCTCCTCCTTCGAGGAATAGAGATGAAGAAACTGGAGACAAGCAGATAAAATTCAATGACCAAAGTTTTGGGGGAAATGACTATGCACCCAAGGTTTGTTTCTTTTAACATCAAATGTCAAATATTGTTATGTAAAGTGAAGATCTTTGGCTCAAATCATCTTTCTTATTTAGGTACGGAAACCATACACGATAACAAAAGAAAGAGAGAGATGGACAGATGAAGAGCACAAGAAGTTTGTTGAAGCCTTGAAATTATACGGGCGAGCTTGGAGACGAATAGAAGGTAAATAAATGATTTAGAAATATCTCTTGCTACTGAGTTGTGGCCTTATACATACCTGGACCCTCAAAAATATGTTTGTTTCACTAACAGAACATGTGGGCTCAAAGACCGCAGTTCAGATTCGAAGCCATGCTCAGAAGTTTTTCTCTAAGGTTTATACACTTATTTGCTATTATATCTTTACCCTTGTTCAAAGAAAGTGTCCGTCTAACCTCTATAGCAAACCCAAAAACTGCTTAGACAAGGGATCATTCATACATTGTTTGGTGACTTGTGTTCTGACGTAGCTTTTTGTATTCACAGGTTGCTCGAGAAGCAACTGGAGGTGATGGGAGCTCAGTAGAGCCAATTGTGATACCGCCTCCTCGTCCCAAGAGGAAGCCAGCGCATCCTTACCCTCGTAAGTTTGGGAACGAGGCAGATCAAACAAGTGGATCGGTTTCTCCCTCAGAACGTGACAACCAATCTCCAACCTCTGTGGTGTCCACTCTTGGATCAGAAGCATTGGGTTCCCTTGATTCGAGTTCACCCAATCGAAGCTTGTCCCCAGTATCTTCTGCATCACCACCAGCTGCTCTTACAACTACTGCAAATGCACCTGAAGAGCTTGAGACTCTGGTACTTGGCAAAAACCTAAACCCATCTGTGAATTTATGCTCACTCGATTTAACAACAATACCCGCTGTTAGATGCTTAATTCTTAATATCCTTGGTTTGATCAATTTGTACAGAAGCTGGAGTTGTTTCCAAGAGAGAGACTCTCAAACAGAGAGAGCTCAATCAAGGAACCAACGAAGCAAAGCCTTAAACTCTTTGGGAAGACAGTTTTGGTATCTGATTCAGGCATGTCCTCTTCTCTAACAACTTCAACTTATTGTAAATCCCCAATTCAGCCATTACCACGGAAACTCTCATCATCCAAAACATTACCAATAATAAGAAACTCACAAGAAGAGCTATTGAGTTGTTGGATACAAGTCCCTCTTAAGCAAGAAGATGTGGAAAATAGATGTTTAGATTTAGGAAAGGCAGTCCAAAACGAAGGATCATCGACTGGATCAAACACTGGTTCGGTGGATGATACGGGACACACTGACAAGACCTCAGAACCCGAAACAATGGTATGTCAATGGGAGTTTAAACCAAGCGAAAGGTCTGCATTTTCTGAGCTAAGAAGAACAAACTCCGAGTCAAATTCAAGAGGATTTGGTCCGTACAAGAAGAGAAAGATTGTAACAGAAGAAGAACAAGAACAAGAAGAAGAAATTCGTCTTCACTTATAACACATTTTCTCAGGTACCCTAAAGAAGAGACTTTATATTTAATATTCATTCAACTTTTCGAAGTGTTCATCAATGTATTTTTTGTTGTTGTTGTTGTTTCATTGTTTTCTCCGAGGTGTTTGTTGTTTAGGCCAAAATTTTCTGCAAAATTTGTAACTGTAAAACTCGTGTACAATTTTTTTATAGTTGATCTAGTGATTATGAGATCCTAATTGTTGGTTCAACAAACGCAATCTCAGGTTTCTCTCTTCAATATCTCCGATTAAATTAAGTTTGGTAAAGAGTTTGCTTTCAATTAAAGGCAAAGATGAAATGAAATTGGTGAGAGACCTCCAACTGAAAGTCTGAAAGAAATAGAACAAAAAAATAACCGAACCGATTCGGAAACCAACTCTAACCTGAAATTTTGATAGAATTTGGCCAAACCAAATTAGACCGGTTAACACACGTTAGCCAATAGCCACCAAGAGAGGAAGCCACTGCTCTAACGTACGCTTTGCTTATAAGCAGTGTAACACGCAAGAGAAGATGACGTCAGAAGGAAACAGCGTCGTTTTTGAAAGGTGAGGTTTTTTTGTGAAGCGAGCGTGAAGGTGTGACGAGGAAGAGAATGGCGAAGGAAGCGGTCAAGTATGTATGGGAAGGAGCAATACCTCTGCAGATTCATCTCCACAAATCCGACGTTGCTTCTCACCCTTCTCCTCCTCCTGCTCTTGTAATCAATCACCCAAAGCTTCTTCTTTTTCTTTTTTATGATGGTCTGGTTTTCAAATCGATGGTGCAAATCTCTGGCCTTTGTTGTTGGATCATGATCGATTTCGGTTTTTAGGGATTTACGATCATCAAATTGATTTGAGTGCTTGAAACGATGAAGAATTTAGACGAATTTGCTCTTTTTCTTTACAAGATCATACTTGTGAATTTGCTCTCTTTTTTTGGCTCGCATTATCAGGTATTAGCACCAAGAATAGGATATTTGCCTTTGTTGATTCCTCTTATAAAGCCTTATTTCAAGGATTCACTTCCTCCTGGTGAAGATTCAATCTGGTTCGATTACAAAGGATTTCCTTTGAAATGGTACGCCATTGTTTCATCTCTTAGTATAATGGGAATTACTTTGTTTTCTTTTTCTATGTGAGAGGTGAGATTCTTCTTTGGTTACAGGTATATACCAACTGGTGTTCTTTTCGATCTCCTTTGCGCCGAACCAGAAAGACCTTGGAATCTCACGGTAATTTTTTTTCAGATTCAACTCTGTATTAGGATCTTAAGTAAGCTTGAGGGCAAACTATTCTTGTAATCTAAGCTTAAGAGGGCAATGTTAATGATCCACTATGTCTTGTAATCCCTCTTTGTTGTGCGCCACTATGTATCACAGTCGTATTATGTTATTAGCAAGATCTTTCACCAGTCCATCTTGACTATCTAGATGCACAAAAATTACCTCCTTTTTATCTTTGCAGTTTCTTGAGCTTTTCTGAAAATTTTGGTTGCAGATACACTTTAGAGGATATCCTAGCAACATTCTGATACCATGTGAAGGAGAAGATTCTGTAAAATGGAACTTTGTTAATTCTTTGAAAGAGGTTAGTGAAAATTTTCAAATTTTATGACATTCTTTTCATTTTTAGTGAAAGTCTATGTTCATATTAATTCCGAATAGACTATATATACTGTTCCATTGGATTTCACATCATGCAACAGTGAAATATTTGTTACCTTTGGGATAGACTGTGACACTGTGTAGGTGCAGCTGGTTATAACCGCGAATAGTGTTGTTACTAATTTGTTAGTTTTGTTGCAATTGGTTTGTCATTACCTAATGTAGTAGCCATAGGCTTCTCTTGTGTTATATTTTAACAATGCTTCACTCCTGCCCTAAGTAAGACAAATGGTAAATGATAAGAAGTTTTGACATGTCTGAGCTAATGTTATCCACTTATCCTGCAGGCACAATATATCATCAATGGAAATTGCAAGAATGTTATGAATATGTCTCAGAGTGATCAAGAGGATCTATGGACTTCTGTCATGAACGGTACGAGTGGACGATGTTAGGCATATAAAATACTAGCAGTCACAAATCCCTTTTCCTTTTTGTTACACCACTGCTTCTGGTCATAACTATAGTTGCCACTAGATGTAGGTGTAGCTTTTGCGTTCAGCATTCCCAATGTCACTATTTGCATTAATCATGATATAACCTTTGGATCTTCATGACTGATTTAGTATCGAGTTTGAAAACTGATGGTTTGGCAGGTGATCTTGATGCATATACAAGATTATCACCCAAGCTTAAAATGGGAACAGTCGAAGATGAGTTTTCAAGTATGTCATCTCCACAATCTCGACAAGTTGTGGCAGAGACAGATGTGGCTGGTCAAGTTAAGACAGGTTTGCCAACTATATACTCAGCTGAGACAGTTATACCTTGTCAAATTTTCCCATATTTGGAAAAGTAGTCTCACAAGATGGTACTGGCATATTTTTGTGCAGAAGAACTAGTAAAAAACAATGCTAGTAAATTAGTAGCTTTCCGTCTTCTGATAAATCCTGTAAACAGCAACAACTTAATAGGAATAGAATAATGACCTTTCACAAATTGGTGCATCTATTGCAGTGTTGGCTAACATGATACAAAGTAGTAGCGTCCTGATTTAATATATAATCCCTTTTTTCAGCAAGAATTCCTGTTCGGTTGTATGTTCGAAGTATAAATAAAGATTTCGAGAATCTTGAAGATGTACCGGAGATCGATACCTGGGATGACATCTCGTACCTAAATCGGCCTGTTGAGTTCCTCAGAGAAGAAGGTAAGAATTTCATCTTGAAGATCCACATTGTTGTTATTATCTTCTTCATTGAAAAGAACCCAGAGGTTCTACGTAGAGTGAATCCAACTGGTCTTGAGTCTCTCTTGTGTGAGATAACTGATTTCTTCCAGCATCTACAGGTAAATGCTTTACCTTACGTGACGCCATTGAAAGTCTCCTCCCTGAGTTCATGGCAGACAGAGCGCAAACGAGTGGAGAAGAAAGAAGCATGGTGGATGATACAGAAGAAGCAGATGGGTTGAGGGAGACGGGTGAAATCAAATTGGTAAGGATACAAGGGATAGAAATGAAGCTAGAGATACCGTTTTCGTGGGTGGTAAATAACTTGATGAACCCAGAATTCTATCTCCATATATCTGTTCTTGTGAAAGCTCCCCAAAGGTGAAGTAAGGTTCTCTGCAGTCACAATCCATCTGTGAATTGATCAAATTGCTTTATCGTTCGATCTTACAAAGCCAAAAGAATCAATGATTTGTTGTATACAGCTTCTACAGCTACTTCTATTTCTGATAGAAGCAAGAACTCAGAATACAGAAAAAAAGTAGAAAGATTAGAGATATTTGATTGGCTCGTTAATTTTTTTCCATTTGTTACATAATAATGGTTTCCTCTCTGGGCAAATTTGAATGATATAATTTAATAATCATTACTTTCTTCGATTCACAAGTAAAGCAGCTCAAGTTCATAGAGAGATCCAAAATGTTGTTCAACAAAGCACATAATCATCAAATCGACAAAGAACAGAGTTTAATTTCTCTATTAACAATGTGAGAACAAAAATCTGAATAATCTCAGCAATTAAGTCAAATGGATTTAGTTTCTCCAGAAAGCTTGTTGTTGTAATCTTCGAGCTCTTCGTAATACACATCCCAAACGCATCGGACGCAACCGCTACCGCAACAATCGCCAGGCTCTGGTTTCTCCGGCGGTGGAGGAACCGAAACTTCCTCCTTCTTATCCTCTATCTCTTTCTCCTTCTTGTTCGTCTCCTCCTTGGAAGCTTCTACAAGGTTTTGGCTCTCGGTCGTCGCCATGGTCACCGGTGATTTGAGTTGTTCTGGAGATACGGAAGTGATTGAATAATTGGTGAAAGGTCGCTTCAAAGGGAGATGTCGCCGCGTCAATCCAAATCTCATGCTCAAAAGCACATCGTGAAGGCTAGAACCCGGTGATGTGGCGATCGAGATTCGAGGGAGAAGAGACACAACAACCATACGCACAGATCAAAATGATTTGGCCTCTCTTTTTTATTTCCTTTTTTTTCGTGTCAGAATTGACGACCTGTCATCCTATAGTTGCCAAAAAAGCCGCCAATCATAAACGGCACGCATTTTTTTTACCTTCTAAACGTCAAAACGGCACGTTTTTTTCGAACACAATGATCAATTTTAATCACTTGTGCGATCGAGAGAACCAACAACTTCAGCTGCGCAATGACTTTTATATATTTCTATCTCCATTCTATGTATTACAGACATTAAACGAGGAGAATGCTCAATGCTGTATAAGATGATATGTGATTATTATCCCCAGAGGAATTTCAGATATATGTGAACTCAAAACTCTTACAACAGCAAAAAAGAACCATTAAGATATCATCTCAACACAACAAAAATGATTTATGTTAAAACACTCAGCATGTTTTTGTATTTCTAGTCTCTTCGGTCTTCTGCATAACATTTCTCACCTCCTCAAGGCAACTTTCAAGCTCCTTCAATTCTTCAGTATCCGGGAAGCTCTCTCTAGCCTACACAAGCACATATGTCAGCCATTTATTCATTCTGATCATATAAAGCTCAGTAATAAATGGTAAGTTTGGTTTTATTACTTGTTTGATTGTGTTCTTCAAATGCATCTCAGCACTGAACAGTTCTCGTCTGCTTCCAGTCGACACTGACATCTCCATGTAGACTCTACAAAGTTCCAATGATGCTCTTGCAAACTTCTTGAAACGGTCGTCGTCTTTCCACACTTCTGATCCCTGACAGACATATCGATATGTCATCAAATGCTGCTCATAGATAAAACAGTAGCTTCCTTAATTCATTAGTCATTGGATACCTGATATGATCGCACTTGTTTTAACAGTGCCTCGCTGCAAGCCGTAAGATCTCCTGAGATTCTACTCCATCTTGCATATAATCCCCAGATTTCAGATGTACTTTCTGTTTTGACAATCTATAAAAACAAGCAACAATCACATAAAGGACAATACAAAACCATATCCAATGCATCTGCCAGGAGTTTCACTCAGAGAGTGAGACATCACACTAGTTGAAATCTTTTGCTAACCTGCTGAATAATTTCCCCAAGCAACTCTAGGTGGCGTTGAGTTTCAGCTGGTGTTACAGAACACTGTTTTGTTTCCGTCAGTTCATCTGAAGAAGCTTCGATTTCAATCGATAAAGATGATATTGGGAGATCGATGAGATCAATCCAAACCGAATCGTAATCTCCGGCATGATTTCCATATTCTTGGGCAATCATCTTGACCGTGGATCTCGGTCGATCTTCGGTTCTCCCAATAGATGACGACTTACATGCTGAATTCCTATTTTCTAACTCTGTCATTATACGGTCCAATAAAACAACATCAATCTTCTTGTTATTGCTCAATTTCAGTACCTGTTGTATAGCTTCAAAGGCCTGGAAGGAAAAAAGCACATAGATGAAACCAACTTGCCTAACTCCTAAGCTAATATAAAACAGATATACGAGGGCCGAAAATATTATTTTTACGTAATTAGCTGCATATACCTTATCAGTATTCCCCACATCCATAGCTACATGACTGAAATTCTCCCATATCTGCCAGCTATCTCGGCTGTTGATACACAATATTTTTCAATTACTAACTCTGATTTCTTAACTCAAGTTACATACGGTAAAGGATAGAGAGATACTTTAATTTAAGTGCTTCTTTAAACGCAATGAATGATTCTTTTCTCCTTTTCTTAGTCATATGCCTGCACCCATAAAATATTACATATTCCGCATCATCCATAGTATATGAAACATAAAGTAGGTGAGCAGTGAGTCACGAAGTTAAATAGTAAGGCATGCGTGAAGAAAACAATTAAAGTTTCTGAGCAATTTCAGCACCAACAGAGCAGAATAGTGTAACTGAAATGCTTACAGACAAGCAATGTTGTTCCAAGCATGCCAATTGTCAGGATCAAGATGAACAGCGGAAGTGAATGCATCCAGTGCTTTCTGAACATCCCTCGCCTATTGTATCATGTAGGAGATGTTAAATTAGTATATCTCTCAGCCAGCATGACAAGAATTCCAATTGTTTATCAAATTACATTTGGAGTGGAAATATATTGCTACTAAGCTATTGGAGAAGATGAAGTAAGATACCTTCAACGCAGCAACACCAAGAGAAAACCAGCCATCTGGATACAGAGAATTTAAGGCCATTGCACCCTCCCTAATGTACGAGAAAAAAATGAGACATCTTACAAGTAAATCAGCCTGAAGGGCCAAGTTCATAAATCCATTTCCGTTGTAGAGAAAAAAAAAATAAGGAAAGAACCAAATTGTTCAAACATACCACAGCATCTTCGACTTCTCAAAATCACCGCGATTGTATGCGCTACGAGCAAGAGCCCGCTGCAAGATGAAGATAATTAGAGCATGGACTAAAAGAGACGGACAAAAAAGATTTTTCTGTTTTGTATCTCAAAATACCTTAGCACGAACTGACTTGTCATTTGAAACTTCCAGGGCTTTTTCATAACAGGAATCGTTAATCGTAACATCACCCAATGAACACCTGAAACCAATTTTTATCATCAAATTTACTTAATGTTATGATACAATAATAACTTCCTAGTATAAACAAATATCAAAGAAATATCCGCAAATAGATTAAGAGTACATTCAAAGTAGATAATTATGGCTATAAGCAACAGGAAAAGAACAGACAAAGAGTACTATCAGAGAATAGATTACAATAATCTTGGGTCATTTGGGCGTTCACGAAGCCGTGCATTGATGAGATCTACAGCCGCTGATTTCTTTCCCATGGAGCTAAAATTACACAGAACATAATAAGTTTTGCAACAGAAGACGAAAGCCATATTCATAAAATCAAAACAAGCGAAGCTGAATTCATCACAAACGCAGTATTCATATTTTAGTTTACCAGTAGCAGTAAATTAAATTATCCCACAATTCCAGGCTCTCAAATATTGTGATTGCTTCCCCACCATAACCGCAACTCACCAGAAGCTCACCGTATTCCCTGTTGATAAATCAAAATGGAACGATGAATATGACCGCAGAGAAACCCGAAAATGATATCTATACATGCACATAAACAGAATATCCTACTTTCTCAAAGCAGGAATAGTAGGAAGATACACTGCATAGCATAAAGGGATCCGATTTGATACTCCAGGATCGCTCTTGCTAATAGCTCCAACCTGATAAAGGAAAACTATCAGAGCTACAATAAAGGACGGAATGAAATAATGCTACAAAATGAGTGTTTGAGCCAGGAGGATATACAATCCAAAAAGAAAACCAAATTGATAAGTACGAGCGCTGTTCACACATACCAGCTTATCCATCATATCCCGGGCGCGTTCCCTTGTACGATATCGAGATGATTCCCATCGAACACGCAATAAGTCACAAAAACACCGTAGCTATTCCATGTAGGAAGGACAAAAAGTCAGTCAGTTTGTTTTAGTTGGATAGGTTGTGACAAAATGAAAAACGAACAGCTCCATACATCAACATTTAATTCAGTCACTTCAATTAACCGAAAGACAAGACTTACAACAAAATATGTTGACTTTTGAGAATCAATTGCCTCAATATATGGAGCCATATCCCAACCTGCAGAAAAAAAAAGGTATAAGATTCAACACAAGTGAGTGAAACTAGTCGACACAGAAACAAGAGCAGACAATTGCATCTTCTCTATTCAAGGTTTTTGAATTGCAGTCACAACTAATGCCTGGTGACTTAATTGTAGGCAGAATCGTTAATGTTCTTCTCTATCTTTCCACCTAAGCTCTCCATGGAGCATAAAGGTTTTGAGAAATAAACATTGCAAATACTTTTGAATCCGAGTTCACTTACTTTGCATTGCATCGTGCCGACTACCCCTTTCAATTAGAAGGCACTGAGCCAAAATCAATGCCTGTTCAACTGGTTTTAAGGGCACAGAATCTTTGCCAGATTCACTCTCGTTGTTCACTAGTTTGGGAGTCATAAATACTTGAGGTGTTTCACCTTCCCAAGCTCCATAAGGTCCAACATCAGCTTTCTCAGAGGCCAACCTCACATCCCCATTGGATGAGCTAGTATTGGCTACCAATACCATCTGTGCCTTTGGTACTACCTATATAGCAAGATCAGAGGAAATTAGAATAACATAACGGAATCTATATAACAGACAAAATATATCTCATAGCTTACTTGGTGAATAGTACGAAATCCCAGAGCCCCGGTAACAGAGAACTCTAGCCCTGCTGCTGCTTTAGCAGATTCAAGCTGCAACCTGACAATTTTACTCCGAATCAAGACAATATACTAAAGCAGGAGAGTAGGAAAGGGTATGTGATAGGTATCAGAAATGAGAAAAGCAACAACTATATACATATGTGCTATACAAGCTCAATTTCGTAACTACATGAGCCGCAAACCTCTCATTATTTTCGAAAAAAGGAACCATAAGGCGAAAGCAAAGTAATCTTGTCAGTATCCTAGGACAAAAAGCTATAAAACATGTAAGATGTAGGCAAAGACAATGCCGTCTTAAAGTTAACTTACCGAGAAGGGTCAATCCTTCCATATATATATTGCAGTACACATGCTTCCAGATGGATGATTGACGTGATGGATGAAGCTTCGTCTTGTAGCAACTTGGCACCCCAGTAGCTTTCCACTTTTTCCAATGCTCCAAAATGGTCTAGAGCTTCGGCCATGTAAACTTGCAACATCTCAGACAAAGATGAAGATGGCTCGTGTAGAACTCTTTGATGGATAAGTAAAACTCTGACAAGCCACCATGAAATACTCCTTAATTCAAAAGTTTCAGTTGCAGTTGTCTCAAACAACAAATCTTTCAACTTTAACAGCAGCAATCTAGCAAAAACTAAATGCTGCAGGAGAAAAAAGTAGTTTGGGTTACATAGAGTTCACTACAAACAAAGACAGAAATGAATGCTACGAAGCCTAGGATACACAGCTTAGACCCTTCCAGGATATAATCATCAAACAGACTATGGAGAAAAACTAACATCAAAAACAACTCTATAAGGTAACGAACATGAATAAGTAGACGAAAAATACAGTAGCACGAAGATAGTACCTGGAGATTAGAAAACTTCCCAAGCAAGTCAGAACCAACAGACATGAGCTGAATCTTAGCCCAGTTCTCCCATTCAACTAATTCTTTAAACGGTATCGAATTTGTTGATCCTTCCGTCGACCTAAGAGTTCAAAAACAAACAAAAGCCTCAATGAGAATTTGCAAATTCTTCAATAGTGGAAGTTCATACGAAGACTTCAAATCGGTAACTTACCCGGTCAGATTGCATCGAGTGAACCAAAAAGCAGCCGCGATTGCTAAGCACATCACCAGAATAGCACGGCGAGCCTTGTCGATTTCATCTGACGAATCGTTCACCACGAACGATTCGACCTTGTCGAGAAACTGGGAATAAACTCGCTCGGCGGAATCAACCGAGTCGACCAGGTCGAACTCGCAATCGCCGAGTATTAGCTTAGTATCGTCGGAGGCTAGGGCTCCAAGATAGTCTCCAGCCTCGATTGAAGACAAAAGGGACCTTATAAGAGAGTCGTGTGGATGAATTCCAGATTGGGATTCATCGAGCAGCTGGGATTCGAGAGAAAGTTCTGAAGAGATGGTGCACCGGAGGAGACGGAGCTCGTAACCGCGAAGGATTTCAACTTCGCCGTCGACCATGGTTGTACAGTTCTGTGGGAGGAGGCGGGAACGAAAGAGGTTTTTGTGATTAGTGAAAATAGTTGTTCGAATAAAATAATCTATTGAGAACACGAAATCAAGAGTGCAAGGTAAACTTTGTTGCGTCGTAATAAGCAAAGAAGAAGGTAAATCTATCTATATTCGGAAGCTTGCACAAATCTCTTAGCTAGGGTTTTTTTTTCCTGTAAACTTTCCAATTTTAATTTCGGTGGGAATATCGTCCAATATTTGATCGATTTGATTTATAATTAATTGTGTTCCTAAGCATGAGTAGAAACTAGAAAGTTTCCAATTTACTTGGACCATAATTAAGGTCTATTTAAACATTTGTTACTTAAGGGTTTTCCTCTCTGGGCAAATTTGAATGATATCATTTAATTATAATAATCACTACTTTCTTCTGTTCACAAGTCAATCAGCTCTCAAGTTCATAGAGGGATCCAAAACGTTTGTTCAACAAAGCACAGCATTAAAGACAATTGTTTAGTTTTTCCAGTAACAATGCGAGAAAAAAATAAGCCATTCACTAAAATGGATTTAATTTCTTTAGAAAGCTTGTTATTGCATTCTTCGAGCTTCTCATAATAGACATCCCAATCGCATCGGAAGCAGTCGTTGCCGCAACATTAGCCAGGCTCTGGTTTCTCTGGGGGCGGAGGAAGCGAAACCTCCTCCTCCTTTTTATCATATTTCCTCTCTTCCTCCTTATCTGTCTCCTCGGTCGAAGTTTTTACAAGATTTTCAACCTCGGCCGTCGCCATGGTAACCTGCAATTTCGATCCGGAAGAGTAAGCGAAAGATCGTTTGAGAGGGAGATGTTGCGATAATCCAAATCTCCTGCTCAGAAGCACATCATAATTCGGTAATGTGTCGATCAAGATACGAGGATGAAGACACATAAACGTACAAAAGATTGAGATTCGGAACATCTGTTTTATACCAAGGACCTCAAAAGAACCATTAAGTTATCATCTGTGTCTGCAATCTGCATCCCCAAAGGAATATCAGAAACATGTAACTTCAAAACTCGTATAACCGCAAAAATTAACCATTAAGTTATGATCTCAACAATGTCTTTAACCCAACCAACAAAATGATTAATTTTACAACACCCATAAATCAAATGCTAACCTATGATGACAGTGACAAGTCTTTTCTTCTTTCATGTTTTTGTATTTCTAGTCACTTCTTCACTCTTCTGCATTACATTTCTCACCTCCTCAAGGCAACTTTCAAGTTCCTTCAATTCTTCAGTGTCCAAGAAGCTCACTGTAGCCTACACATATACATATGTCAGCCATTTATTCACTCTGATCAAAAAGCTTAGTAAGTATTGTGGGGATTAATAAATGATAAGTTTGGGTTATTACTTGTTTGATTGTGTTCTTCAAATGCATCTCAGCACTAAACAGTTCTCGTTTGCTTCCTGTGGACACTGAGATTTCCATGTACACTCTACAAAGTTCCAATGATGCTCTTGCAAAATTCTTGAAACGCTCTTTGTCTTTCCACACTTCTGATCCCTGACAGAGATATCAATATGTCATCAAATGCTGCTCATAGATACAAAAGAGTGGCTTCGGTAAGTCATCAGTCACTAGATACCTGATATGATCGCACTTGCTTTAGCAGTGCCTCACTGCATACCATAAGATCTCCTTTGATTCTACTCCATCTTGCATATAATCCCCAGATTTCAGATGTACTCTCTGTTTTGACAATCTATAAAAGAGATTAACACAAGAAAGAATCACATAAAGGACTATACAAAGCTATATCAAATGCATCCGTCAAAGAGTGGGACATCACAGAGATCCATACTAGTTGTTGAAATGTTTTGCTAACCTGCTGAATAATTTTCCCAAGCAACTCTAGGTGGCGTTGAGTTTCAGCTGGTGTTGCAGTACATGGTTTTGTTTCTGTTGATTCATCTGAAGAAGCTTCGGTTTCAATCGATGAAGATGACTTACATGCTGAATTCCTATTTTCTAACTCTGTCATTATACGGTCCAATAAAACAACATCAATCCTCTTGTTTTTGCTCATTTTCAGTATCTGTTGTATAGCTTCAAAGGCCTGGGAGAGAAACAGCACAAAGATGAAACCAATTCGTTTAACTCCTAAGCTAAAAGAAAACAAATATGCGGGGAGCTGACACCTGAGGTCTTAATATAAGAGTAGAATATATAATTTTTAATTAATAGCTGCATTTTACCTGATCAATATTTCCCACATCCATAGCCACATGACTGAAATTCTCCCACATCTGCCAGCTATCTCGCCTGATGATACACAATATTTTTTTATTACTAACTCTGATTTTCTTATCTCAAGTAACAAACCGTAAAGGATAGAGATATACTTGAATTTAAGTGCTTCTTTGAACGCAATAAATGATTCTTTGCTCTTTTTCTTTATCATATGCCTGCACTCACAGATTATTACACATTCAGCATCATCCATTACAAATGTGAAACATAAAGTAGGTGAGCAGTGAGTCGTGAAAATAAAAATAGTAAGGTATGCTTGAAGAAACAATTAATTTTCTCAGCAATTTCAGCACAAACAGAGTAGAAATAGTGAAACTGAATTACTTACAGACAAGCAATGTTGTTCCAAGCCTCCCCATTGTCGGGATCAAGTTGAACAGCAAAAGTGAATGCATCCAGTGCTTTCTGAACATCCCTGGCCTATGGTATCATGTAGGAGATGTTAGATTAGTATACCTCTCAGCCAGCATGACAAGAATTTCAATTGTTTATCTAATGACATTTGGAATGGAAACATATTGCTACTGAACTATTGGAGAAGATGAAGTAAGATACCTTCAATGCAGCAGCACCAAGAGCAAACCAACCATCTGGGTACAGAGAATTTAAGGCCATTGCAGCCTCCCTAAAGTACGAGAAAAAATGAGACATTTAACAAGTAAATCAGCCTGAAGGGCCAAGTTCATAAATCCATTTCCGTTTTAGAAAAAAAAAAAGAGGCCAGAACCAAATTGTTCAACATACCACAGCATCTTCGACTTCTCAAAATCACCACGATTGTATGCGCTGCGAGCAAGAGCCCGCTGCAAGATGAAGATAATTAGAGCATGGACTAAGAGAGAAGGACAAAAGATTTTTCTATATTGTGTCTCAAACTACCTTAGCACGAACTGACTTATCATTTGAAACTTCCAGGGCTTTTTCATAACAGGAATCATTAATGGTAACATCACCCAGTGAACACCTGAAACCAATATTTATTATCAAATTTAATAGAATGATCCGATCCGATAATAACTTTCTAGTATATATATACAAAGACTAAAGAAATATCTGCACAAGAAATGATTAAGCGTACGTTCAAAGCAGATAATTATGGCACTTCACAACCATTTCTTAATTAAGATATATAAACAACATGAAAAGAACAGACTAAGGGTACTATCAAAGAATAGATTACCATAATCTTGGGTCATTTGGCCGTTCAAGAAGCCGTGCATTGATGAGATCTACAGCGGCTGATTTCTTTCCCAGAAGGCTGAAATTTCAAGTCGCTTAATAAGTTTTGCAACAGAACATAGAAGCCATTGAGGTAAAGGGGATAAAGGCGAAGCTGAATTCATCACAAACGCAGTATTCAATTTTTTAGTTTACCAGTAGCAGTAGATTAGATTGTCCCACAATTCCAGGCTCTCAAATATTGTGATCGCTTCCCCAACCAAACCACAACTCACCAGAAGCTCACCATATTCCCTGTTGTTAGAATTAAAATGGAACGATAAATAAGACTGCAGAAAAACCTGAAAAGGATATCTATACATGCACATAAAGAGAATATCCTACTTTCTCAAAGCAGGAATAGTAGGAAGATGGACTGCGTAGCATAAAGGGATCCGGTTTGATACTCCAGGATCGCTCTTGTTAATAGCTCCAACCTGATAAAGGAAAATTATCAGCGCTACACTTAAGGAAGGAATGAATAACACTACAAAATGAGTGTTTCAGCCAGGGAGATATACAATCCAAAAAGAAAACCAAAATTGATAATACAAGCACTGTTCACACATACCAATTTATCCATCATCTCCAGGGCGCGCCCCTTTGTACGACCTCTAGATGATTCCCATCGAACACGTAATAAGTCACAAAAACACCGTAGCTAATCCCATGTCCGAAGAACAAAAGTCAGTCAGTTTGTTTTACTTGCATAGGTTGTGACGAAATAAATAACCAACAGCGCCATACATCAACATTTAAATTCAGTCACTTTGTAAGAATTAATTAACTGAAAGATTGAAACTTACAACAAAATGTGTTGACTTTTGAGAATCAATTGCCTCAATATATGGAGCCATATCCCATCCTGCAGAAAAAATAAAGTACTAGAATATATAAATAATACAAGAAATGGTTTAATTCACTACAAGACAAGTGAGTAAAACTAGTCGACAAAAACGAGACTCTACAAGCTTTTTGAATTGCAGTCACAACTAATGCCTTGTAACTGAATTGACTAGGCAGAATTGTTAATGTTCTTCTTTATCTTTCCACCTAAGCTCTCTATGGAGCATTAAATTTTTAAGAAATAAAAATTGCAAATACACTTGAATTCGACTTCACTTACTTTGCATCTCATCGTGCCGACTACCCCTTTCAATTAGAAGGCACTGGGCCAAAATCAGTGCCTGTTCAACTGGTTTTAAGGACACAGAATCTTTCCCAGCTTCCTTCTCGTTGTTCACTAGTTTGGGAGTCATATATACTTCAGGTGCTTCACCTAACCAAGCTTCATAAGGTCCAACATCAGCTTTCTCAGAGGCCAACCTCACATCCCCATTGGATGAGCTAGTATTGGCTACCAATACCATCTGAGCCTTTGGATCTACCTATAGCAAGATCAGAGGAATTAATAATAACATAACCTAATATATATATATATATATATAAGAAAAAAAAATCTCGTATCTTACTTGGTGAATAGTACGAAATCCCAGAGCCCCGGTAACAGAGAACTCTAGCCCTGCTGCTGCTTTAGCAGATTCAAGCTGCAACCTGACAATTTTACCCCGAATCAAGACCAATATACTAAAGGAGTAGGTAGATAAAAGTTAAAAGGTCATGAAATGGTATGTGATAGCTATCAGAAATGAGAGCAGCAACAACTATATACATATGTGCTATGCAAGCTCAATTTCGTAACTACATGAGTGGCAAACCTCTCATTATATTCTTAAAAAGGGAACCATAATGCGAAACCAAAGTAATCTGGTAAATATCCTAGGACAAAAAGCTATAAACATGTAAGATGAAGGTAAATACAATATTGGCTCAATGGTAACTTACCGAGAAGGATCAATCCTTCCATATATATATTGCAGTACACATGCTTCCAGATGGATGGTTGACGCGATGGATGAAGCTTCGTCTTCTAGCAACTTGGCAACCCAATAGCTTTTTACTTTTTCCAATGCTCCAAAATGGTCTAGAGCTTCGGCCATGTAAACTTGCAACATCTCAAACAAAGATGAAGATCGCTCGTGTAGAATTTTTTGATGGATAAGTAAAACTCTGACAAGCCACCATGAAATACTCCTTAACTCAAAGGCTTCAGTTGCAGTTGTCTCAAACAACAAATCTTTCAACTTTAACAGCAGCATTCTACCAAAAACTAAATGCTGCAAGAAAAAAGAGTAGTTTGGGTTACATAGAGTTCACTAGTTGGTACAAACAAAGACAGATCAGGACTACTTCAGATAGCTACTAATATATAATGTACACATATAAGTTAATTCTCGTACTAGAAAACAGAAACGAATGCTAAGGAGCCTACAATACACAGCTTAGACCCGTCCGGGCTAAAGTTATATTGATGCAGACCAAAGAGCAGGAAAGATCAAGATCATTCTACTATAAGACAAGCAAAAACGACAAGTTTGTGTGGAAAAATCTAAAACATAACACATTTGGTTTATTCCTTTTAAACATTAACGTCCAACGAAGATCAAATAACACTTTCCGAGACACAAATAAAGACTGGGACAACAACGCAGCTGATTTTATGAAATTGAATAAGCAGATGAAAAATGCAGTACCACGAAGATAATACCTGGAGATTAGAAAACTTCCCGAGCAAGTCAGAACCAACAGACATGAGCTGAATCTTAGCCCAGTTCTCCCATTCAACTACTTCTTTACTTTCTGATACTATAAACGGTAACGAACATTTTGTTGATCCTTCTGTCGACCTAGCAGTTCAAAAAAAAACAAAAGCCTCTGATGAGAATTTGCAAATAACCAGAATCCAATTCTTCAGAAACTTAGTAAAAGATTCCAAATCTCTCATATTGGAAGTTCATAAATATTGTAACTTACCCGGTCAAATTGCACCGAGTGAACCAAAAAGCAGCCGCGATTGCTAAGCACATCACCAGAATAGCACGGCGAGCCTTGTCGATTTCATCTGACGAATCGTTCACCACGAACGATTCGACCTTGTCGAGAAGCTCGGAGTAAACTCGCTCAGCGGAATCAACCGTATCAACTAGTTCAAACTCGGAATCTCCGATTATTAGCCTAGTAGCGTCGGAGGCTAGGGCTCCAAGATAGTCTCCAGCCTCGATTGAAGACAAAAGGGACCTTATAAGAGAGTCGTGTGGATGAACTCCGGACTGGGATTCGAGAGGAGGATCTGATTGTGTTGAAGAGACGGTGCACCGGAGGAGACGGAGCTCGTAACCGCGAAGGATTTCAATTTCGCCGTCGACCATGGTTGTACTGGTTCTGGAGGAGACGGGAACGAAAGAGGTTTTGTGAGGTTTTTCATTTTTGTGGTTAACTAAGTACTGTGCGTAACAACGGCGTCGTTTCACAATGAAACCGGTAGAACAGTGACTCGAATGTCTATCCGGTTTGCTTACCGGTAAAACCTCTCAAATGCTAACCCGGAAGTATAACGAGCGAACCGGCTAAACCAAATTTAACATCAAAATGACAAAATTGAACGCTAAGCTGTATATTAAGCTCTTTTCTTTAAGAAAGTGTATCCACTACATTTCCAGCTGAAATGATTATAAGTTAGTCTAAGATTGAAAGCAGTAAAATATTACCAAAGTATCACAAAACCTGCTTCTGGTCCAATCTCTAAGGCAGATAACTTCTCAGGAAGCAGCCAATGCAATCCCTGCAACAAAAGAAACATAATTGACGAATTATCAGCTGCTGAATTCCACAACTACGAATTTAAAGATGGAACTGATTCCACAAATCTTAGTCTTTTGCCCACAAATGAAACAGTCTTAGTCTTAAACTGTCTTAGTCTTAAACAGTCTTAGTCTTAAACAGTCTTAGTCTTAAATTGTCTAAGTCTTAAACAGAACAGTCTTAGTCTTAAACTGTCTTAGCTTGTATATGTATCAGTCCAATAGATCACAAAAATCTTCACACGAAAAAAAAATCTTAAAGAATTTAAAGAATCCAGAGATGCAAATGATGATGATGATACTTCTCTTATGCTCAATAATCTTAAAGAATTTAAAACTCTATGATCAAAAGCTTAAAACCAGATAAAGTACATCTAAAGAAGAAGCAATAGTCAAATTTAGAAATATATGGAATTGAATCGTTTGACAAGAAAATTAAGAGAGAAAGGGACTACATGTAGACATGTGAATCAGAGATGAAGAAATGTGACTTAGCAATTGACAAGTAAAAAGGGACATGAAACCACACACTAACTCCTCATTCACACTTCAAGTCTCAACACATTCTAATTGCTAAACTCCACTTGTTCTAATTCCCACAACTATAAATGATTCAAACATTCCCCATGTAGAGAAGAACACCATTATCTATAGCTAAGACGAAGTAAGTAAAATCAACGACTCATTTAATCCACGACACTTAACACCTAAACTAAAGACAGCTCCAAATTTTCCAAACCACCAACATCACGAGACTTAAAAATACAAACAAAGAGAACACACCAATTCATATCCTCTCAACCTTATCAGCCTTCACCACATGATTAGCCTTAGCATTAGCCTTACCCATCAATGTAAGATGCATCAGTTTTTTATTTCAATTTGAGTTGAAGAAACAAAATCCCAGAACCAACAATTCATGTAATCTAGTCAAGCAAACTCAGATTAAGCATAAACACCAACATAAGCTTTAGATTAACCAGAAGATCTTAGTTATCTACTTTTAAAACCTAACATAAGCTTTAGCTACAACTCCAAACACCAAACAGAGCGATTAATCAAAAACTGATAAGAACAATGACTTCAACGGAATCAATCTTCTAATCCACTAATAAAAGAACATAAATTTCATAGAGAAATCGAAATCTAAACAAAACCCAGATGCAGAATCATTAATAGAAACAGAGATTGAGTGGAAAAAATCAAAACCTAACCTTTGAAAAGCAGAGATCGTTTGTCTCGAGGATTGCTGAGAAAGAAGAGAAGGAAGAGAAAGAAGAGAAAGAAGAGAAATTAGGGTTGGGTTATTTTGTAAATTTTTGAAAAATAAGGGTATTTTTTGTCATTTACCGTATTAATCGCCCGGACGCTAAATTTCATCGGCGTTCAAAATTATTCGCCGCAAACCGCAGCGTTCGCCGCAGCGTCTTCCCGCAAGTATCTGCGGAAACCAAACGAACAAACATAGCTGCGTCTTACCTGCGGCGACGAAACGAACATGCTAAGTGTATGGGATTAAGATTATGATTTAACTTTTTTCCTTCTTAAAACGCTTTAGCCTTTATCAATTTTACAGATGAACCTTTCTCTTTTGGTAATTTTGTTACTTTTCTAGTGAGAAAATTAACATGCACTAGACAGACAGTCAAGATCATTTTAAAATATCCAATTAGCTAGCATAAACCAAGAGACACATAATTTTCTTCCAAGGTTTTTGTCATGCATATTTTACATTTGTTTCTAGATAATCTATTTGAAACTAATTTCAATAATTCATGTTCTCAACTTGGGAATTTAATCTACATTCATTTGTTAAAGATAAGTTATATACTAGGAGTACATTAAAAAAAAAAAAAAAAAAAAAATTAAAAAGAGAACTGGAATACATTAGTTTATAGATGTCTGTGAAAGAGAAATAAATAAAAGTAAAGAACAAAAAGATGGATTCATGTGAGGGAAAAGTGTAAAGAAGGGTATGTACAACTTGTTATATGCATGTGTTATATGCTAATGCTTATTATATATGTGATTAATTAGATATAGATCTAGAATATGGAATTTGCATAATGACAGAAAAGTGTATATATGATGGTGATGAGAAAAGCTGAGAAGTGATGCTGGGGTTGGCCCATCTAGGCCTCCAAGGATTTCTTCACATGCTTACAAAGCTGGACCCACATGATCTACCATGTGGACACCTTAGCTTATTCATCTATATACCTTTAAACAAAAACTTTGTTTCATCTATGCCTTTTAATTACTATATATGGTGTCAAATTATGAACTTACACATATGAATCTAATGTGTGCTTTATCAATATCATGTGTTTCATATCCATCTAGATGTTACATGCTCATGAACGAGCGAACTTGTGTCTCATTCTCGTTTATCGATATTTTCACATGAAAAAAAAAGTTATAATATAGTTTTGGGTGTTATTAAAACATACTCCCGAGACATAACTTCGGAACACAAGATCACAAAGAGATAGGGAACATGAACAAACCAATACTAATGACCAATCAAATGATCATACTCGAGCCAATTATGCGAGATCACAACTTATGAAAATGAAGTAGTATATTATTTTTATTTGAAAAAGAGATTAGCTATACGATATAATAATTGAGATGATGATATATTGATCAGCGGCAATCACGAAGGAACTAAAGGATTCTCGCAAGTGGGGATACGATACAAAGGAGACAGTTTTATTCAGTTAGAAGCGCCGCCAAACATAAAGATTTGAAACCAGTTTCTATTGGTTAAACCAAGATTCGTTCCCCCATGAAGCCAATGATGTTCCGCCACGTGGATACATTCCAAACCGACCATACTTGGAGAAGAATGAGATTATTTGAGGCGACCACTTTGATGAAGAAACACGGTTTTGCATTAGGATACATAATTTCTTTTTACAGCCTATCTATTAATCTTGAAGAAAACGACAGTAAGAATCAGAATATGTGTAAGGAAAAAACAAAAAGATAGAGAGACAAATTGGGTATATAGCTCTACTTTTTATATTATAAGTTCCATATATTATTTGAGGGTGGCATCATCCCTTTCACTTTCCTGCCATTTTATTTTTATATGAAATTTTGTCTTTCTCCTCTTCATTTATAACCCTATACCCTTCAAGCCCTGAAAACACAAAACATTCGTCTTTCTCTCTTTTCTTCTTTCTCTGAAGGTTTTCCTATTATCATTCTCCTTCTCTCTACTACCCAACCATACTTATTAATTTGTTTTTATACATAAAAACGATCGGTCTTGTTGGAGTTTATATCTCGTAAACAAGACCGTTCGTTAGTTGTTTTGTTTTATAATCCGATATTGAATCGAGCGAGAGGTTTCAATTACGCGAAGAGTATATACATGGCTCCGGTCTCGTTGCCTCCAGGTTTTAGGTTCCATCCAACGGACGAAGAACTAATCACTTACTATCTCAAGAGAAAGATCAACGGTCAAGAGATCGAGCTAGAAATTATCCCTGAAGTAGACCTCTACAAGTGCGAACCATGGGACTTGCCAGGTAATAATAATTTAGTTAACCATAGTCAATCTATCAATATATAATTTGGTACGAAACCCTTTAATCTTTATGGTCTAAGCGCCGAATAAGTTGTGACATAGGTTCTAAAGATTGAGTGGAGAAAAGAAAAAGAATATCACAATAACAAGACAACTATATAATAGAACACCTTGACCAAAATTAATACATCTACACTATATTGGTTTGCATATTTTGATTGATTACAAAATCCAAGCAAACTTTTGAAATCTTAATAGAATTCACTAATTTTAAACCAATCATGTGACTTTTTAACTAATATGTCGAAATCCCACAAAATAACAAGAGTTTTCATCATATTTGTATTTTTTATCATTCAATTCTTCAAAATCATTTTCGACGTGTGTCTTTTTTTTGGGGACCTTTTGGTACCAGTTTTGATTTTTTCGTTTATCAAAAAATCAAAATTATTTAACAATTAAAAATCAATTCAACGTTTGGATTAGTTTTTATCAATTCAACTTGGAATGATTTGATTTTTTGAATGGATTATATAACAATATAGCCATAATACGATAGTAGTATTGATTAGAGCATACGCAATTGTATGATTCCCTTTGGTCAAATCCTCAAATACTTTTCGTAAACCTCTCATGGACCACCACACTTTTTATGTTATATATAGTTTACACTTTTCTTACTTTAGGGTTTTTATCTTTAGAGATGACATATTAAACATGTTTTATACGGGACAGAACAAAACAAATTAAACCATAAAAAAAAAAAAACTTAATTTGAATCCTTATATGGTATACTAATATATAAATATAATTTATTGTTCTCTCAAATTAACTCAACCATGTAAATTGGCAGGGAAGTCATTGCTTCCTAGCAAAGACCAAGAATGGTACTTCTTCAGCCCACGGGACAGAAAGTACCCCAATGGTTCAAGGACGAACCGGGCAACAAAAGCCGGTTATTGGAAAGCCACGGGCAAAGACCGGCGTGTGAGTTGGAGAGATCGAGCCATTGGAACCAAGAAAACATTGGTTTACTACCGTGGACGTGCCCCACATGGTATTAGAACTGGTTGGGTCATGCATGAATATCGCCTCGATGAAACTGAATGCGTGCCTTCTGCATTTGGGATGCAGGTTTACTTACTAACCAAACCGATCATCAATCATCTAATTTAAACTATTAGATGTGTTAGTTACTAGAAAAAACTTTTCTAACAAGATTCTTGTTCTAATATTTTTAGGACGCATATGCACTTTGTCGCGTGTTTAAGAAAATAGTGATTGAGGCGAAACCAAGGGATCAACATCAGCAGCAGCATCAACCTTACGTCCATACGAGCTCGAATCTAAGCGGTAACTCGAGTTTTGACGTTTGTTCAGATCTTGAAATAAGTTCAAACGCACATCAAGCTCTACCTTATAATAACGCTGCCGATATCCAATCACGATTTGGAAACGCAAACGCAATCACTGATCATGATAACTGGTCGCAGTACTTGTCACAAAACATGCCTACGAGCTTTTCAGATTATGGATCTCCTTATGGACCATACCTCACACAGTCAAAGGTAAGTTGTGAATACAGCTAATTCTAGATCTTATACAAAATCAATTATGTAACTTAAAATGTTGTATATATCTACTGTAGGTGAATACAGAAATGGAATGTGAGATGTTGCAACATCAAATGTCACTGCCACCATTGCGAGTAGAAAACTCGCCAGCTCAAACCAGCGATTTCTCCAAGAGAATGTATCAAAACAGTGGTCAAAGCGGTTTCGACGACTTTACTTTCGCTGCAAGTAACTCCAACCAATTCTATAACAACAACGCTGATGATCATTTAATACACATTGGAGATCTCGATGATGGAAATTCGACATGGATGAGAATGTCTAACGAGAATCTAAAACAGGTATCTAATATCATATATCATAATAATTTATATGATTTCTAAATTTATATATATATGCTCTAAATACAAATATTAATTGTCTCTATAATTTATATATTCTTAACAGAGTTTTATAGAAGAAGAAGAGATTTTACCAAGTTTCGAGACTAATGATCAAGATCTTGAATTTTATGGTGGGTATGATATATATACTCTCATTGACATCATATATCGAAATGTTGAGTATTATCTAATCGGAAATAATTGTATATCTATTCTATCATTCTAGGTGGATCACGGACCAATACAATCAACAACATAGAGATTGATGATTTTTTCTCGTTTGAGAACCAAGCCCAAGACAACGACAACTCAAACGTAACCCCAAACTCCGCAGGATTGGAAATGATTGGAGAAGAGATTATAGTAAACCATAAAATGCTCATTAGTACACGGCAAACGACGGAGATTTTATACTATCAAGTCGTACCGTCGCAGATATTGAAAATTCACATAAATCCGGTACATGGAAATGAAGAGAGAACAATGTTAATGGAAGAAGGCAGTGATGATTCTTGGTTCCAGAAGGCTGAAAATGTTGCGAAGTTGAAATTGAAGCAGATTAGTCTAGTTGCAAAACGTTATTACAAATGTCTCACAATTATTTTCTGATTTATTTATTTATTATTTACTTATAACCCTTTTGAAAGAAGAGAGGAAATACATGTATACTATATAGATTGATTTCATTGTGACTTTTAAATATGAATGGGGAGATAAATTTGATTATCATGTTTAATCTATTTGTTTTTTTTTTGTAAGTGAGGGGGAGACAATTACATAAACTATCGGAAATAAACTAAAAAAAATTACATTCAAACATAACTAGGACATTCTGTCCCAACCGCGTCTGCTAGCATAATCGAATGGACTACACTAGGACAAGAATCAAAAGAATGAAAGCCTAAGACCATGTACATGGGTAATTTATTTTGGGTATCAGTAGCCCAAAAACTATTTAATAATGGATCAAACACAAAAATTGGGTCTGATACGTATCAGTGGACTGATACTTTTGATACCCACTTTAGTGTGATGTGTCAGTTTGCCATTGGCCCGTTTTATTTTTTTTGGTAACATATTTTCTGGTGAAAACAGAGAAAAAAAAAATTCATTTGCTCTCAAAATCTCACATCAAACGCGATCCAGAAAATTTCATCTCCTCCGCCGATTCTTCTTCTTCTCCATAAACACCTCTCCATTTCTTCCGGTCTCAGTTCTTTTGGCCGAGCGAAGAGGCGCAGTCACGCCGGAGCTCGTGACCCTAGAGGCGGTCTCGCCAGGTTGGCGAGCAGAAGTCACGATGGGTTCCATTGAAGAAGATCAAGACCTCTCATCGAAGAAGGTTTAATATTACAGGTCTGTTCAATTTCGATCTCTTGGATTCCATTAATCAATTAGGTTTTGGGAATTTTAATTTTGCTAAAATTTCAAAACTCTTTACTTTAGATTGATCTTATGTGTTCTTGATCGTTTTTGGATTTGTTTTTATTTGGAGCTTGAATCGCTAAAAATGGAAATGATTGAATCTGGTTCTAGACAAGGAAAGAGAGTGGTGGTGATCGGCGGTGGAATCTGAAACTAGACGAGAGAAGCTGTAAAAACTTGTAAAACCTTTAAAATACCTTGTAAAATTTTCTCGCCAAAAAATTTTTTTTGCGGGAAAAGTGATTCCGCAATTTTTTTGGCGGGAAAAATTTACAAGGTATTTTAAAGGTTTTTTACAGGGTATTTATAAGGTTTTACAATGTATTTTAAAAGGTTTTACAACGTATTTATAAGGTATTTATAAGATATTATAAGATTTTACAAGCTATTTTATAAGGTTTTACAAGTTTTTTATAAGGTTTTACAAGTTATAAATACCTTATAAAACCTTATAAGTACTTTGTAAAACCTTTTAAAATACATTGTAAAACCTTACAAAACACTTGTAAATACTCTGTAAAACCTTTAAAATACCTTGTAAATTTTTCCCGCCAAAAAAATTTCGGAATCACTTTTCCCGCAAAAAAAATTTTTTGCGGGAAAAATTTTTACGGGAAAATTTTACAAGGTATTTTAAAAGTTTTTACAAGTGTTTTGGCGGGAAAATTGCGGGATCACTTTTCCCGCCAAAAAATATTTTGTATTTTGTGGACCTAATTTTGTTTCAAATAAGGGTAAAATGGTCATTAAAAATTAAAAGAGGGCAAACTTAAAAATGGACTCTTAAAATGGGCATTTTTGAAAAAATGTATTAAAAAATAGGCATTTTTAACAATTTCCCAAAAATAAATAAACGAATTGATCAATATGTATATAAAAATTCTTAGCCACTTACCGAAGCCCATCAATGATATAAGGACCCATTAGACATATATCCTCAGATTAACAAGTCACGTGACTAACACGCGCATTAGGGTTTCTAGACCGACATAAGCCTCACCGCACCTATAAATACTCTTTTGACTGAACCTCAATACACCAAAAATCAGCCGTCGACTACTCTTTAGCTAGATTTCATATCCTTTATCTGTTCTTCTATGGTTTCTAGGGTTTTTTGTCATTAGAAATTGTGCGTCAATATTACTGATTACCACCGTTCTTGTTCATGTTCGTTGTGTATGAGCTGACGCCAAATCGTTTTCCCTATTTCTGTTATTCGTTTTGATTCTCTTCGAAAAACCCTCTGGGTTTTGTTAATCAGCTCGAATTTTCAGATTAGGGTAAATCTGATGTTGTATTGGTTTCTTATAGAGAACCCTAAGATTTAGCTCTGTGTTTACTGATTTGTTTTAGGTTTTAGTTCATACACAACATTGAACTCTTTTTTTGTTTTTGTTCATTGATATTTGGATTGGGTAATGGAGAATGGAGGTGATGACAATTTCCCCAGATGATCGAATCTGATTATACTGAGCGAATAGAATTCCTCTTCAGAGGAAGTCAAGCCAATTAGTCTGATCCTTCTCCTTTATTTTTAATACGATAGATTGGGTTTGATTGTTGATTTTAAAACTTTCGTGTTTTTATCAAAAGTAATGAAAAGTTTGATTAGTGATTAGTAATGGAGATTTGGAGGTGATGACAATTTCCCCAAATGATCGAATCAGATTATACTAAGCGATTATTATTTCCTCCTCAACAGAGGAAATCAAGCCAATATTCTGATCCTTATCTCCTATATTTTTGTGATGAGTCTTTAGATAGTGCAATTAGAATGTATTCTATTGTTTGATTTTTTGGTTTTTGAAGATTTACAATTATTATATTGGTAATATGGAGAATGGAGGTGATGACAATTTCCCCAAATGATCGAATCAGATTATACTAAGCGATATTTATTTCCTTCTCAACAGAGGAAATCAAGCCAATGTTCTGATCCTTCTCCTTGCCTTTTTATAAACTTTCGATTTGAGGTGTTTCTAAAGAATTTTGGTTTGGGTTTACAATGATTCTTGACGGACTCAAATGGATTAAACCTGTACATGACTTGATTGAAGAGACGAAATCATTGGTTAATCGGATTTATTAAATTAAATGTTAAACCTGAGTTGAACAAAATATTAAAGGAATTAACCTTAATCTAAATTATACGCCAGATGCTTTAACCATCAAAATTCAAAACCGGAATAGCTATGTTAAATCACTAATTCTATACCGGACAAGGTTTTTACCGATTCGATGACCGAAATGTCTCAAAAAATAACGCGCCATTGCTAAACCAAACGCAAACGCAGCAAAAGTTGAATACTATTTGCCAATTTTGATTAACAAAACGACGTCGTTTCTTCATTCACATCATCATTGTCTTGAATAGCTGATTTTGCCGCCGTCACGGCGAAATCTACTTCTCGGAAATACGACCGGGTAATTTTGATCCGGAGATGGAGACATATCTGAAGAATAAGAAGTTGATAGCTTTAGGCTTTCTCTTGATCCACACCATCGCCATTTTGATCTTCACGCGTGGGTTTCTTCTCACTCGAACAGAGCTGCCTTTTCACAGTACTTGCTCCGACGTTTCTCTCTCTCCTTGCCTTGTTTCTCCACGCCCGAATCACGATTCTAGCTCGGATCAATCTAATCAGACTCAGCCGAAATGTTGGACCAAACCAATTGTCGATCGCGTCATCATAATTGTCTTAGATGCACTCAGGTTTCAAGTTTTTCAAAAACTGATTGGTCTTGTTTAATTTCACAGATTCAATTTCGTGATTTTTGAATGTTTTTTTTTTTTTTTCCAGAATCGATTTTGTGGCCCCGAGTGCTTTTTTCCCAGGTTAGTTAGAATGATCTTTATGTGTAAGTGTATTGCTTTGTTACTGATTTGAGTAATGAAACTATAAGTAATTATTTAACCGACAGAACCAAAGCCATGGATGGATAAATTAACAATCTTGCAGAAGCTTGCATTTGCTAATGAATCATCTGCTAAGATCTTTAAGGCTTTTGCTGATCCTCCTACAACTAGTTTGCAGCGTCTCAAGGTCCCAATTCTAATTACTTTCTAGATTGGTGACTACATTTGATTGCTTCCACTCTTTTCATATTCTAGTGTTTGAATTCAGGGATTAACAACTGGAGGATTGCCTACTTTTATCGATGTTGGGAATAGTTTCGGTGCTCCTGCTATTGTTGAGGATAACTTCATCAATCAGGTTTAGGCTTATCTAAGACAAAGTGTTTGTCTTCCAATGTCATTTTGATTAGGTCGCAATGTTATAACTTGAATGAGTTCTCTCTATGCATAGCTAGTGCTAAATGGGAAACGGTTGGTGATGATGGGTGATGATACTTGGACACAGTTGTTCCCAAATCAATTTCAAAAGTCATATCCTTTCCCCTCTTTCAATGTTAAAGACCTGGATACTGTAAGTGATTTATGTATTTGCTTCCTTACTGTATTGCTGTTCGAGGTACCTTGACTGAGTAGAGCCTTTTAAGTATGATACTGGTTGCCTTTTATAGGTTGATAATGGATGCATAGAGCACCTATTCCCAACCCTTTACAAAGATGATTGGGATGTTCTAATTGCGCATTTTCTCGGCGTGGTATCCCGACAATTACCTTTTGTATTTTTTTTCTTTGTCATCTTGCCATGCCATTCATCTCCTTGATACAGTGAATTTTAATATTTGCAGGACCATGCAGGGCACATATATGGAGTGGATTCCAGCCCAATGATTAATAAGTTGGAGCAATATAATTCAGTTTTAGAGGTTAACTTCTGTTTACTACCTTATAATCACCTGTTAAAGGCTGCAACAAAAATTAACCATCTTATTTCACTTGCGCATTTCTTGTCCTTCAGCTGCAAAAAGTTATTAGTATGCTATATGTAATCTTGTTTCATTCTCACTCTACTTGCCTCCTCTAGAAAGTCATCAATATATTGGAGAGCCAGGCGGGACCAGGTGGTTTGCATGAGAATACTATGCTTATCGTAATGGGTGACCATGGGCAGACATTAAATGGGGATCATGGTGGAGGGACTGCAGAAGAGGTAATCCACCTTCTTCTAAATCCCTTTTACTCACTCTGCTTCAAGATTATTAATCCACCTTTACTTCTAAATCCCTTTACAGGTAGAAACAACCATGTTTGCCATGAGTACAAAGAAGCATACAACTTTGGTTCCTCCTGAGTTCGATACCTCATCTTGTAAACAAAACACGGTAATTCTAACCTGCTAAACATATTTCTTGGTGATCATAAGAATTGTTTTTGAGATTTATTATTACTGGGATTTTATTGGGTTCAAATGAATGTCAGGATGGGAAGCAGATTTGTATCAGCTCCATTGAGCAGGTCAGTATCAAATTTGATTTGATTCTTTAACTAGTACTCTATGCAAACCTCATTGCAAAACTTAATTGTTATGGGTTATTTGCAGCTTGATTTTGCGGCAACATTGTCAGCTTTGCTTGGGATATCATTTCCTTTCGGAAGGTGCCTTGTAAGGATCATTGTCAAAATTTGTTTCCTGCTTCTATTCAGGAAAATATCCATGTGAACATATTAATATTTTTAACATTTCGATGTATATCAAATTTCAGCATTGGGCATGTCAACCCTGAGCTATATGCCCTTGGTTCCAGCAGCTGGAATTTGGAAAACTCTGATTTGGGCAATTTTGGCACCCAATCGGCTGCTAAGGAGTGGATGAAACATTTCGTTAATGTACTCTGTGTGAATGCTTGGCAGGTAACAGTTCGAAAACTTGAAACGATTTCTTGTAACGATGTTCTGTTTTCGGACTCTCAGTTTCCAACTCTATTTATATGCAGGTGAAAAGATATATAGATGTTTATTCTAACTCATCTGTTGTTGGTTTCTCTTCCGATGATATGTCGAGGATATCAGATCTCTATTCTGCAGCAGAACAGAATTGGTCTAATTCTGTCAAACACATATTGATGGATAGAAATGGAGATGAGGGCAGTACAGATATATCTGCCCTTCTTAAAGAGCAAATTGCAGCATATTTGAATTTCTTCTCAAGCGTTGTTGAACTTGCCCGGTCTAAGTGGACAGAGTTCAATCTGAATCTAATGATTACTGGGTTTGGGATATTGGTTATATCACTCATCCTTCAGTTTCTTGCTGTTTTCCATGGCGAAAAATCTCATGTAGTGGGTTCTTGGTTATCCACTGGTGCAGCTTTCACTCTCTTTATAGTAACGATTCGTGCTTGTAGCTTTCTTTCAAACAGCTATATTTGTAAGTTTCAAGTAAATTTAAGATTAAGCTTTTTGCTCTCTTTGTCTTTGTGCTAACAGAGAAATTTTTTGTCAATAGTGGAAGAAGGAAAAGTTGCAAACTTTCTTCTGGCAACAACTGGACTTATCAAGCTGCGGTACTCTGTTATGAGAAAAACAATGCGGAAAGAAGTCAGTATTATCTGTTACATGTCTTTGTTACTTCTGGTTATTATCTATTACATGTCTTTGTTACTTCTGGTTCTTACCTTAACAGTTGCTTGTTGGATTATAATATTTTCAATCATCTTGTCTGCAGGCTTTTATATTTCTGGCTATGGTTTCTGTTCTCAGAGTTTCTATAGATATTGGGCTAACAAAGCAAGCTGCAACTTCTCAGTTTATGAGTAGCTCACCATCGTGGATGCTCGGGATAGCTCCAGACCATCCAGCATTGACATATGCGGTTGAAATTGCACCAATTCTGTCAGTGGTTATACTGATTTGCGTGCTCTACGTAGCAATTTTGAAAGCACCCAGTGAGGGGCTGTGGAAGTATGTTACTGTTGGTAGTATGGTAAGCTACTTTTTCATAGCATTGCTCTGGGCATCGGAGAGCAAGATATTTGGTTTGGATGGTTTGCTTCAAGTGACTGGAGGAAGAAACCGCATCCCTCAAACGGTTTATGTAATCGGGTTGGTGCAGCTCTGCCTTTTAGCTTCCGCACGCATGTTTTGCGCAGGAAAAGACAAGAATTGGGTCATCAGAACTGTCGCTCTTGTATCTGCTTGTAGTTCGCCAGTAGTTCTATTGTCGGGGAAGCAAGGATCAATGCTTGCATTAGCATATGTAGTTGCTGGTAATTTTTTTCTTCTCACTTGATGAAGTCTCAAAGCAAAAAATTTATCACAAAGATGGCAATTCAGGTCATTAAGGTTTAACTCATGCAGTTAAATATATGTAGGCTATTGTATAATGAGGCTGGAGGGTGTAGAGAGAAAAACCAAATCAGATGGGCAGAGCAAATTCTCAAAACTAAATCCCCTCTGTGTGGTGCAATGGAGTCTTCTTTCTATATGCATGTTCTTCGCCAGCGGGCATTGGTGCGCCTTTGATGGCCTCCGTTATGGAGCTGCATTTGTTGGGTAGGTCCAAGTTTCATAAACTCAGACTACAATGGAGTCTTCATTCTATAAGGTGGTTTTGTTGACATCTTTTCTTCAGGTTTGATGAGTTTGTGCTTATACGACAAGCCATCCTTTTGACAATCGAAACATTTGGATTCTCGATCATCCTCTCTGTTTTTGGACTTCCTCTCCTCGTACCTATTCACTCTCAAACTCCTCAGGCTCATGGCGAAAAGCGCCACAAGTTGTTTCAAGTAAGACATCTTCATATTGATTCGTTTTTTGGTTTATTCTAGTAGATTCAGTGACAATGTGTTAAATCATAATTTTGTTATCCGCATCAGATGTATATGCTCTTTGGAGTTATATCTGCGACTACAGTCACAGCTACAATTCTCTGCGTCACCATCCAGAGAAGACATCTGATGGTAAACACAGCAAGATTCGCTCAAGCCAAAGGTTCTTGTTTCGTTTCTGTGACTAAAACATTGCTCTCATGTTCTTGCAGGTTTGGGGTTTGTTTGCTCCAAAGTTTGTCTTTGACGTTGTTGGTCTCATCCTCACTGATCTCCTCATCTGTTTATCTTCAGCTTACTATCTTTAATTAATACTTGCAATTGATGAAAGATACAACAGTAGATTTAGCAGGTAATTGTTTTTGACTTCTCTATGAATGTAAAAACAATGATCAGAAATCCTCTTTTGAGCATTGATAGATTTCGATTCACGTTACAAATCTCTAAGCCTATCTTGGGTACATGAGAGATTATTCATTTTCTCACTACAATAAGAGATGCAATCTGCAAGAGTTCTCTTGTAGCGTAGCCTCCACTGCACAGACAACCTCCATGTGCTCAGCATCCTGCTAGTTTTCCTGGAAAATTTTACAGGAGTCCCAGAAAACCCAGTGACATCCCACAAACGATTTGCATGCAGAAAAGCGCATACTTCACTGCCAAAAGCTTCTGTTTCTTTCTGCTCCAAACGCAATTCTGGATCTTGGAGTTTGTCAATGTTATGAAGAAGCAGAGTGTCTTCTGGGACAGAAGTTGGCAGATCCCTTAAAACACTTCCACATTTCTCTGATATCCACTTCATGACTAGAATCTCATTCTTCACAGATAACTGAGATCCAGCGTAAACAAGGCGCATAACTGACTTGTCACGCTGGCTCTGTGGGATCAGCCACAGTCTCAACGTCGATACAAGCGCAAAAGACGGCTTACCATCTTGATGAATGTATAAGGAATCTTTAGGCCATGAAGAAGCTAGTGAAAAAAGGCTGGTTTCTAGAGGAATGAAGACCTTGTCATTTGAGTTCTCTTCTAACATAAACCCATAGTGCTCGAGAAGCTCTAGATTCGTGTAAGTCCCATAACATAGAAGAACCTATACCCAGAAATACAATTCAGTGTCTTTTCTACGTTGTGCTTCCACTGCATTAGTTTCGCAGCTTTAACAAAAGCTAGTTAAGGACTTGTACCTGTTCTCCTAGCTGATAATTCCTTCTTGCATAAAGACAATAAGCATTGAAATCTTCCTCGAATCCACCATCTGTGAGCCTTTCAGAGTGTGTCTCAACAACAAGTCCTGCTTCCTCTACGTCATTAGCACTCTCAGGACCTTCTGAGGTATTCGAATCATCTCCAGGAGCATCGTAGTTGAACAAGTCCCCTACAGGACACAAACACCCAGCACTATCCCATGGTACATGCAATGTCCGTGAAGATATCTTCAAACAGAATAAGATTTTGTAGCTGTAAGTTTACAACAAAGCTTTCTAATCAACCATCATCGATTTCTCGAACAACTTTCATGTGATAGATGAAGTGTTACTTACCGTTGCAGAAGCCCAGAGCCATGCTTGGAAACTCCGAAACTTTGACTTAAGCTCTAATTCCTTCATCAACAAACCAACTTCCTTCCACTCAGACTGACACTTGGCTATGGCTTTTTCTGTAGCCCAAACAGCATCTTCAACCTAAGGACATGAAAAAATCCCATCTTTTAGAGATGAAATCACCAGTAACGAAAGGAACATGATATCAATCCAATAACATAAGATCTAACCTATTCAAAAACCAAAATAAAATCACAAAAGTGTAGTAGTAGTAGACACAGAACTTGTAAAGCTTGCTTCTCGAATTCCCCAAATGTGGCCAAGAGATCATAGTCACGAGGTAAATGCACCAAGTATGGATACCAAAAAGAACTCTTCCCCTTGCCCATTTCATACAATAAGCATACACTCAGTATCTGCAAATTTCAACAATTCTGAGATTTTGAGATTCTCTCAGATACAAACACAGAACAAATTCAAATGTTCAAAGAAAAAAAGGGAACCTGAGTCGAAGAGAGTGATCCATGGATATTAACAGCATCATTCAATTTCCGATCTTTAGCAATTATGGATTCTGTAGTCATCAATGCGTTTTTGGGGACTTTCAAAACCAATTCTCCTTTCTTGAGCTCACGAACAGCTCCCAAACCTCTCCTGATACCATCAATTAAGCAATGAGAAGACAAATTTTAGGGATTTAGAAAAGAAATTCGAATTCGTTTCTACGCACCCGCCGGCGTCAGGGAAGTCGGCGACGGAAAGAGAATGGCCGAGACACGAATCGCGAAATCGAGGAGAATCAACGGAATCTGAAATGCCAATCTCTGCTGCCCAACGCAGAAACGTTTCCATGGTTTGGTGTTTTAAGTCCAATACTTCCATGTCGATCTTCTTCTTCTTCTTCCTGGGTTTTTTGACTCTCCTAAAACCCTGGTTCTGTAAATTACGAAAGTACCCCCAAAACCAGTTTTTGAAACGTGGCGCGTTTCCTTCACGTGCCGTAGACTCGCCAATTCGGTTTAATCCGGTTTGGTTCGAATCTGTAGATCCTTGATGGAACATTTTGGTACCCAAATATTTGAGCTTTATGGACCAAATCCTTGAGGTTGGGAATTGTGGAAGGTATTGAACAAATTCAGACCTCTAATTGATACTTGAGTTCACTAGATATACATTTTTTAAAAATCGACTTCGAGTTTATATATATTCAATTTTCTATTAATCAGTGTAATTTTAACTAGGAATTGATATGTAGTGTAGATCAACGAGACAAAAACCAAATTACACTTATGGTCACAGTATGATTTTCGGTGGAGAAAACAGGTTACATCAGAACATTTTGAGTGTATATATACGTAGGCTACACAGAAGAAGTGCGTAACGAAACAAGTACAAAGAATATGCAGAATAAGAGGAAGGAATATTCAATTTCTCACGGCTAAGAAAGAAAGTGGTAGCTTATCAAATCATGTGGTGTGTTGGAATTTATTCCGCTAAAAACCACATATATCATGTGGTGGATGACGTTAGAAAAATTGGTCGAGTAGTTTCCAAATATTTTGGTTTTTGGAATTCGTCTTTCTAGTTGTGGCATCATACATGTAGAAAATGATAATGTCGTGTAACCTCTCAAATAGTGCAAGTCCTCAATAGGAGATACATTATTATGTATTTCGTTTTCTAAAGTCATTGTAATATAAGTGATGATAAATAACTATTTCGACCTTGTTTCCAAACCACTTTACAAAATTATAGTTATTTTTTCTGTCCCCGAATCATTATCTTATAGGAAACTACGTTTTGAATAAATTTGCTAGTGGGAATTAGCTATTTCAGAAAAAGAAATTTGATATACATATTTATTAATAATAGGTTAAGAAATATTGTTTAATCGTAAAATGTACACTGTCGATTCGTGTATAATGGACGTGTAGTCGTGTACTAGGGGTCCATGACAATTGACACATCCATTTAGTGTTACGTGGCTGACTCTATACGTAGCCATTACCGAGTTATTATATTTATATATATGACAACTTTTTCTAGACCATTTTAGAAACTATAGTAACTAAAACTCGTCAGCAAAAATATTTTATATAACTAAAATTTGAAATATTCAGGGAGGCAAAAAGAAAGAGGGAAAAAAACTTGCAGCATTAAGTAACACTACGTGTCAAGCCATGCAACCATGTAATGGTGACTACGGTCCATTTCTTTGGTACTTTTTATAATAAAACCTTTTTATTCAATTTAACTATATTATTTGATATATAAAACGATAAAACTCCAATCTCGGACTAAAATTTATGGGCCACGAAAATTTACGAGTACACGTTTCCATTTACATCTATGTCTCCATCACTCGCCGAACAAATTTTAGTACGTGAGATGTTTGACGAATTGCATCGAATCTTAGTGATTTTATCGTGAATTTCAGCGATAATGATCATATTTTAAAATGAAGATTTGTAATTTGGATCTCTACATAAACATAAAAAATTACAACTTAAAACCACTTAAGCATGTATAAGTTGTTTTAAATTTTATTTCGTAACTGAAACATCTCTATCATAAAACTAATGCTTGCTACGACTTTAATGATGAGACAGGTTTTGTGTGCATGTCATATTTTGAATCAGATGCTCAAGCTGTTATTCTAACTCTCCATAATGCACAAGCTTGGCCACTTTCATTTTCCAGCATCGATCAAGCATCGATCAAGCAACGATACAGCTGAGAAAGTAGCCAAGTTCTCGCTTTCCCTAAAATTAAGCTTATGACTCTAGATTGTACACGTTGGTACCAGGATGGTTACATCCATTTGTTGAGGCTGATAAACCTAATCATGTACTTTTAAATTAGGCTGATAAACCTAATCATTCACTAGACCAAAAACGTTTCTTTACAATAGGAGAATGTATTTCAAACAAGATACGGACCAGACTAAAAATAAGAATGGGACACAAGAAAAATACCAAACCTAAGAAAAATACAAACCTTCTGAACGCAAGAGAGAGTAAACGAGAGAGCCAAGTTGCGACGAGAGTGTGGGACCCAAAAACCGACTAAGAGGAAATCTAACTTTTAACATTTCGTACCAATAACACATTGACACGTGGAAAAGCAACGTCGCCCACTTTACCCTCCGCACTTTGATCCTTGATAAGCTTATCGCTCTCCCATTGGCCGTGGACTCCACGTGGCATCTCTCTGTTCTCTCTTTCGGCTTTTCTTATGTCAAATACACACAACCCCTCTCTGGCTCTCTCTAATCCTTTTTACCCAAACTGGCATGACCCCACCCAAAACCTCTCTATTGTCCTTTCTACCAACAATTACTTAATGACTTATATAATTATTCATTTTATTTTGCTTATGGAATTAATTACTATTGATCCCATCTCCATAGTGACATGTCTCACTTTTTCTTTGACCAAAAAAGAAATGCGTCACTTTTGATTCATCATGTTCGTTATCAAAAATTAAAAATCCACGTTATTATTACAAAAAAATACATATTGAACGGTAACCCATAAAATAGTGAGATAGATCAAGTTTTCTACGCAACTCTCGTTGATTTTTAGCAATGAGTGTAGTGTAGTTACGTTTCGTAACACAACAATATTTTACCATGATTGATTATGCTTCTTCAACCAATCTACTTTTTTTTTCCTCTTTTTCCGAGTGGTGAATTGGGTTTAGGCTGACCATTTTTTTTTTTTAAATGTTAACATCACACAATATAGCATCACCAATAGGGATACATTATTTTTATTACATCCTTTTTTTTTTTGGAAACGTTATTTTTATTACATCCTAAGTATCTAAAATATCAATTTACATGAAAATGTATCTAGAATCTAACAGAGTTTTTCATACACAATTGCACCCTTTTGTGACATTATTATTGTTTCATCATTTTTCCTTATATTATACTCCCTCCGTTTCATATTAAGTGTCGTTTTAGATTTAAAATTTTGTTACAAAATAAGTGTCGTTTTATATTTTCAATGTAGATGTTTGTGAAAATTTCTCGTTTTATCTTTACTTTATTGATGTGCTGGCCAATGAAAAAATTTATATAATATATTCATAAGGGGTAAAACCGAAAATTTAATGGTTTTCTTAATAAGTGTGAAAAAACCTTAAACGACACTTATAGTGAAACAGAGGGAGTACTATATATTTCACCGAGTAACGATAAATGTCTATATTGAATACAATTTATTAAACGACATATATGTTTCGTCACATTTGTATCATATATCACGATAAATGTTAAATTTGATGATGTAGTTTCTGATATTGAATTGAAAGCTTACAAAATAAACTACAAATAAATATTGTTTTCTGTGTATTTTGAAGTACTATAATATGTTTAAGAAAAACCACATCATTTCTAATGTTGGCTTAAATCATTAAAAATTTAAAATCAAATAAAATCTTTAACTACATCTATAAAAAAAGAGTAAATTAAATATCAATTTAGAACTCTTAAATCTACAATTACAGCTATATCCAACCTGTCACTCAAATAGTAAATAGATCAAATATATGGAATAATCAAACTTTCTCAAATATGTAGATTTCAGTGCAGGTAAATAAAAGGATACAGATTTGGCCTAAAAGGAGAAAACGGGTTAAACAGGTAATGGGTTTTAAATTGGGATCTTTAACTTTATATGAAAACAGAAAACTATTACTAGGTTTTGTTGATTCAAGACACGAGTCACTCGAGAGTCGCATCTCGCCAGTCAAAAATTAAATTAAAAAAATAGACACAAGAAAATAAAAATAACGACTTTTGTATTTATACTGGCAAGATTCTCATTAAATCCCTGCAAAAAAAAAAAAAAAAAAAGACAAAGAAGGAAGAAAATTTGAGTGGGTGAGAATTTTTTACGATAGAGGAAGAGACATCATCTACTTGTGTTGTGTGTGTATATTACCAGTAAGCGTTGCAATATAACTTCTTGAGGATCTTCCGACATTAATGGGTCAAACCTTTTTCTCGACTTTTCGATTAATTTAGTGTTTGACAATCTCCTCCTCCTCCTCCTTCTTCTTCAAAGTTTTCTCACAGTATCTGTTGTTCTTACAGAGAGAGAGAGAGAAAGAGAAAGGTAGGCTTTTGTTTCCATCACTCATTTTCTCTCGTTTGGTTAAGCTTACCCTGTCATGTGATTCATTGTTTCGATACTTTTGGGCTCTTATTATACCTTCACATGTTGATATATCACAACGATACGCAATCTAATTTATTTCTGTGTAATTTCGAGTGGATTATAGATGAACCCAGTTGAGTATTTAACCAATAGAAGGATTTGCTCGTTTTTTTTTTCTCTTTTCATGTTTTTCATTTGCTTTTGAAGATCTTCTCTTTATGGTCGTGTCTCTTCACCATTTTTTACTTGCTTGACGAAATTGAGTTTCTCTATCGCTTAATTTGGCTTTATATACATATTTAGAGATCTCGATTGCTAATCAACTCGTTTTTGTATTCAATTTGCAGGAAAGCATTAGTCTTTTACCAGTTTGATCCAAATCAAAAACTGGGTTTCACTGAAAGTTGGGATTTTGATTCTTCTTAGTGAAGAAACAGAGTAAACGCAAGAAAGAAAAACAAGAGAAAGTTGAGATTTTTCTCACTCTCTCAAGAACTTGAGTATGTCTTCTTCTGTAGCAGTGTTATGGGTTGCTACTTCTTCTCTGAATCCAGACCCAATGAACAATTGTGGGTTGGTAAGAGTTCTAGAATCTTCTAGATTTTTCTCTCCTCTTCAGAATCAGAGACTAAACAAAGGTAGGTGGAAGCAGACACCAACTTGGAGTTCTTCTTCTTTAATGAACCCAAGTAGAAGAAGTGGTTTTGTGTCTTCAAGCTTAGTAGCAAGTCCTTCAGGAGAGATAGCCCTCTCATCTGAAGAGAAGGTTTACAATGTTGTGCTGAAACAAGCTGCTTTGGTTAACAAACAGCTAAGGTCTTCTTCTTATGATCTTGATGTGAAGAAACCACAAGATGTTGTTCTTCCAGGGAGTTTGAGTTTGTTGGGTGAGGCTTATGATCGATGCGGCGAAGTTTGCGCTGAATATGCTAAAACCTTTTATCTCGGTTAGGATTTTTTTTTCTCTTCTTTGGCTTTGGTGTAATGGAGAATGGTGTATTTGTGTTCTAAGTTCTAATGTTTATTTTGCAGGAACTTTGCTTATGACACCCGAAAGGCGAAAGGCGATTTGGGCTATCTACGGTAAGTTACTGCACAAAACCAATGGTTGAAGAACTGTTTTAGAATATCTGCATTGTCATCATTGAATTGTAGAATAAAGTGATGCTCAAAGTAGATTTCTACAAACAATCTATTGTGTCTTTTGGTTAGCATCTAGCTAAATTGTCTTTACAAGAAAGTTCTAAGAAGCTGAAATTGATTCCTTGAATCTTACACTCATGTAGAAAGATAGTTTTCTAGTTAGTCTGTGTGTTAACTTGTGTCTGAGATAAGTCCATTAGCACCAAGCATCCAAATTTGTACCCTTTGAAGATAAAGACCCAAGAAATTTGGCTTAGTTAATAATATGGGGTTTTAATGGGCTTTTTGGGCCCAATGGTCTTAAACTCTGGAGATTTTACTCTGCTGAACAATGTTAGCTCATGACCCTCTCTAGGAAATACTAGTATCCAAAGCATCTGAGGAATTTCAAAACTATCAGATATCAGAAGTTGTTTTCTTTTATGTCTAATTTGTCTCAATTTGATGGTTTTACTCGGTTTTTGTGCAGTTTGGTGTAGAAGAACTGATGAACTCGTCGATGGACCTAATGCTTCACATATAACTCCAATGGCTTTAGATAGATGGGAAGCAAGGTTAGAAGATCTTTTCCGTGGCCGTCCTTTCGATATGCTTGATGCTGCTCTCGCTGATACAGTTGCTAGATACCCGGTCGATATTCAGGTCAGCCTTGCTCTGTCTTATATTCAGTCCATTGCAATAAACCTTATCAAACTTTGATCTAATGTTTCTTTATGTTGCAGCCATTTCGAGACATGATCGAAGGAATGAGAATGGACTTGAGGAAATCGAGATACCAGAACTTCGATGATCTATACCTTTACTGCTACTATGTCGCTGGAACCGTCGGATTGATGAGCGTCCCGGTTATGGGAATCGATCCTAAGTCGAAAGCAACAACCGAAAGTGTTTACAACGCTGCCTTGGCCCTTGGTATAGCCAATCAGCTTACCAACATACTCAGAGACGTTGGCGAAGAGTGAGTCTTTTTTAATAAAAGCTTTGGTTTCTTGATTTCACATATCTCTCCTAAACCAGGTTTCTTGATTCGCATATCTCACTTAAACCGGCTTCTTGATTTCACATGCTTCTTTTAAACCGGTTTCTTGATTCACATATCTCTCTTACATTGGTTTTGCTCTCTCTGTCAGTGCGAGGAGAGGAAGGGTTTATCTACCTCAGGATGAATTGGCTCAAGCTGGTCTTTCAGATGAAGACATATTCGCCGGAAAAGTCACTGATAAATGGAGAAACTTCATGAAAATGCAGCTTAAACGAGCAAGAATGTTCTTCGATGAAGCTGAGAAAGGCGTCACAGAGCTCAGCGCCGCTAGCAGATGGCCAGTAAGTGTCTATAAAACACTCTTCAGCAGCAAGTTTACCGTTTACCTTTTTGTTTTGGATCGATTTTAACCGGAAGACTTGGCTGCAATGTTTCAGGTATGGGCATCGTTGCTATTGTACAGGAGAATATTGGACGAGATTGAAGCGAACGATTACAACAATTTCACTAAGAGAGCTTATGTGGGGAAAGTCAAGAAAATTGCAGCTTTGCCTCTGGCTTATGCTAAATCAGTGCTAAAGACTTCAAGCTCAAGATTATCAATATGATCGAGAGGAAAGTGGAACAACCTAAGAGCGCTTTTTGTGATTAAGAAAAAACTTAGGGTCGAATTTATCATGTTAACTAATATATACATATTAATGGGGGAAGCAAATTCTTATAATGTTACATTATTTTTCTCTATGTAAAAAAGTAATTTTTATTTTATTTTTGTTCTCTAATCCTCTTGGCTTAATGAGGCAATAGAAAGATTTTTGCTGATGAAATAGTTTTGTCACTTTGTGATATACATACAAAAAGAAGTTCTAGTGAGTAGTGACTTCATGGGGATTGGCTAAAACTAAAATTATTGAAAGTGTTATGGTACGAAAACATACTTAAAACTAAAACTCCACTTCTATTTTTTCTCAAAACTCAATTATACAGTACAAATCCTCTCTAACCCTTTTAATATCTCACTCAAAAATAGAGTAAAAAATAAGATTACTCTACATTGAAAGTAAATTTATTTTTTACTCTATTCGTTTTAGTGTAAAAAATGGAGAATTATGGTCATTGACATGAAATCTTTAAAAGTAAATTGCATTTATTACTGAAACGTACAAAACAACACAAACAGAAAACAGAAAATATAAAGCTTATTTGGTTAAGATCATCATAAATTCGAGCTAATTCAGTGACCAGCCAGCACCATAAGCTTCTTCCAAGACGGTCTATCCGAAATCTCTTCCCACCACCGGTTAAAACTACCACGAGCCTTAACCATCTGGTTTATATCGGTTATACTCATCAAGTACCCCATCGCCGGCATGTGCGTTAAATCAGCCATAGTGAACTCTTCACCAGCCAAAAACCGGTTCGAAGAAAGCCGGTTATTGTATATGTCCAAGACCACTCCTAGCTTCACTTTGAGCTCCTCGACCAAAACGACGTCACATTTTTCGCCTAACCTAGGCTTGATGATTAGGTTAATAACAATGGGATGGGCCAGAGCGTTGAAGTAATGGGTCTCCACGTCAGCCCACTGGTCCACGATGGCTCGATGCTCTAGAGACTTGCCCAAAAGGTTCGTGCCTTGGTCCGCGTACTTGGTCGCGTAGTATCTCGCAATGGCTCGTGATTCTTAGAAGATAAAGAGCCAAAATTTCAAAACACTATATAAATGATAGAAAAAAAAAAATGTTTATAAAATGTTGTTATTAGGATGTTACCAAAAAGCTTGAAATCTCCATCTTCTATGGCTGGAACTTGACCAAATGGCTACAAGAAAACAATAATTAGAATATATTGGATATAAAACAATGATTTATTTTTTAAGTTTTAAGAAATTTGTTTTTTACCTGACGAAGAAGATGTTCTGGTTTTTTCTGCTCGAATGTATCAAGATCGATATGAATAATCTCAAATTCAATTTCTTTCTCGAGAAAACAAAGCAAAACTCTTTGTGGACAAGCTGCTGTTACCTGTCCATATAGTTTCACAACCATTCTATAATTTTACAATAACTTTGTTAGAAAGATTTTACTATATGCTCTTTTTAATATTTGTGTATCGAACTTGTTTATATATGAGAAGAGATGAGAGAAGATGTGTTGGCATTTTATTAGACTCAAGATCGGAAGAAACTGGTTGTTGTGAGGGTTAAGTAGAGCATGTGGTGGTTGTTCCTCTAACGTTGGATGTATCATTCAAATTTCTCTACAAACTTTACAAGTCTCAAATATCACTTGTTTCGGAATATAATTTTGATTACTATTATATATCGCTATCGAATTTATATGTTATTAGGTTCGGAAAATTTGGTTCAAATCATTTAGCTTAATGCCTAAATTGGACACTCCTAATCGTTTTCATATTTTCGTTTGGAACCATGATCAAGGAATCTGAAGTTTCTTTCCTAACGCACGTGCCAAACCGTGTTTGGTCGGACCGGTGGGTAGGGTTTTTGTTGTAAAAGAGACCAACACTTCCCTCCTCAACAACCACTTTTGACTTGCATAAATAAGAAAGAAACAGAGAACTAAGAAGAAGAAAAAACTACACCAATTAAGTGACGTTTTTGTGGTTCTCAAGGATTTCCACTTCAATCAACAATAACAATCATTACAAAGTTTCATACTCTCAAGTCTTGATCTCACGTACAAGAATCACAAAGATAATCAAACACAAATCCTTTAATCCTTTTGTCTAAATCTTCTCCTAAACCTAAAGTGTTTTACAAGCAAGCCTTGTCTGTTTTTAAGTGAACTGTCTTCTCATGTAAGTATCCTCATGAACAAAGACGGGATCTTCTACTCTCTCTGGAATCTGAGGCTGCCCCATTGCTATTCCTGTTCCTTGGTTTGTGCCCGTCGTTGTGGCAGCAACATTTTGCTTACTTGAAGTCAAACACAAATAGTAGACAATCCCGAGGGCAATAGTAATAAGCGAAAGCACAGCGCCGGTAGAGAAAACGCCTGGTTTCACAATGTAGCAAAAGTAGGTACCAGCATTCATTGATTCCTCGGTGTGTTCATCGTTGAGTGCAGCTCCAGTAAGCAGCACCAGGAAAGCTATTACAAAAGTGAACCTAAAGTAACGCGAAATCACTAGTTGTAAGCAAATTATAAGTAGGAAACTTGAAGCAAGAAAAGGAATAGAAATGATGAGAATTACCAGGAAACAACAAAGCAGATTAAGGAGATAATCCAATTAGACCTCGAAGGAGCAGGACCTTTTCTACAACAGAAACAACCGCTTGAGACACTGACTATTATCTGAGCCATCATCAGAAAGAGAGCTGAAGTGAAGCCGAGGTCAAAAGCTGGACTTCTTGGATAAGTGCATTTTTTGATTGAATCCGAAACAGTAACCTTGACCTGAGATCTCTGCATCGATTTAAGATAAAAAAAAATGAAAAGCAAACCTTTAGAAAACATTGCACAAATACACAAGAAAGTTTCAAGAACTTTATTAACAGACAAATTAGTTCAAGAGAATATAATTTGAGTTTGAGTATTTTGTAGAAACTTCGTTCATTTACATACATGCAAATTCCTTATGAGTTATGACTAATTGATTGTAACAAAGAACAATCAACTCAATCGACCAATACCAATACATAAAACCCCATTAAGAAAGTCTATAACTTTGATTCAAAAGACTGAATCTAACATGATATTAATCCAAAACCATATGTTAACTACAGGACACACCAAAAAACAACTCTATACCACAAAATCTCTATAAAAACTATTAAACTTTTCAAAGATCTTCCAATTTTTTGAATTTAACAAGTTCAATAAAAAAAATCACCGTTAATGGGGACCATTGCTGTTTCATTGACAAGTAAAAATTCCGAAACCAACAAGTTTCCCACCAATCTATATTCAACTCATATCTCAAAGATTGAAGCTTTCATCTCAAACGCATTTTTCAGCCAATGAATTTCAAAATCGGCAGAAAGGAAAACGAAAAGAAGACAAAACCCACATATAAAAACAACTTCTTTAGAGAGTTTCAACAACCATTGTAGCTGAACTAACCCAAAAATTCATGAGAAAGAATCACAAATTTCACTACAAAACAGAAACCCTAAAAGTGATGTTTCTCAATAGGAAGAAGAAACCTTGATTCGAGTAGCTTCAGCGGCGAAGGCAGTAACAGCTGATAATAAACCAAGAAGAAATAAGACACCACACATCACAACCTTTCTCCTCTCCATCTCTCTCACTTCCAACTCCTAAGATGCTGACTTTTTTTTTTTTTTTTTAATATCTTTCTTCTCCAATTTTATTGTTTGCTTTTTTTTGGCTTCTTCTTCGTTGGTAAGAAAATGTAAAGTTGGTGACAAACCCATTAAACACCGCACTCACTTTTAGTCGGCAAAGCACTCTACTCTCTCCTCCTTATTAGATAGTTCCACGCGTAATGGTACTTTCAATAGCGTCTACTTTCTCTGTTTTGGTTTGGTTTCTGATTTGATTAGTTCAGTTTAGTTCAGTCAAGATCGGACCGGACCGGTTTGCTACTAAATAATGAGGTATGCAAATAAATTTATTTAGAGCAAATTAAATTATTTAAAGTTTGGTCCATTTGATATTTTTAACTAATACAAGTCTAGCTTATTGGTTGAATAGATTTTACCTTAAGAGTTTTCACCATTTATTATAAATTTCCATTTACTTTGCTGAAAATTAAAATCAAATATTTTTTTAAAGAGGAACACATTTTATCTTTTCTTACTATATTTACTAAAATGAATAGAATGACAATATTCTTGACCAAAAAAAAGAAATGAGAATGACAATATTATTCTTCCATGACTTATTATTTATCTTTATTCATTTCATATTTACTATTTATCTAACTAAAGAAATTAGAAGGACTAATGTTTAATAAATTCTTTCGAGTTTTGAGGTTTAGTCATTTACATTTCGGTTTAATCAATCTAAAGATTCTTGTGAATCAAAAATTAGTGGCGCCTCGGATTCATCATATAAATTATTCAACCAAAGATCTCTCTTATGAGTTAATGATGAATCTATTTCTATCTTTAGAGTTTAGATAAGCCATAATTCATTCATTCCTCGAATCAATCATGTAGCTATATAACATTAGAAAGAATCAAGCATATAAGTAAACTATCACTTTTGTCGCTAAACAAAACGGTAAACTATGTCGTTTGTGATTTGTTAAATATGTCAATAAATTAGAATATACCTTAATTTATAAAGATTTCAATATCTCAATTATAATCCAAGATTAGTTTCCAATTTATAGCACACAAAATTAGTGATTAGCGATAATCTCTTACTATAAAAACACAAAATCAAACGCAATATCAATCAATTAACCACCTTTCTTTATACAACCCTATATACATTTAGATATATAAATATAGAAATGTATTATCCTTGAAATTTGTTCTCATCATCAAGCATATGCATGGGTCGTCCAAAGATGAAATCTTCGTTGTTCTTCGTCTTGTTATGTTTGTTTCAAATAAACAATTTAGGTTTCTGCTTAGAAGAAGAAGAAGCTCAAAAGTCTAAAAACGGAGTTATTGGAAGCAATGGATTCACAAGTGTCACTAGTTTCGGAGCTATTGGTGATGGAAAGACCGATGATACTAAGGTATGTATATATATAGAATCATCACTATTGGTATCAAAGTGGTATGTACAATCGTTGCTTTAATGTATGTGTTATTGTATCAATATATATCAGGCTTTTCTTAAGGCATGGGAAGCTGTATGCAAAGGAGGACGCAATACAAAGATTCTAGTGCCTCAAGGGAAAACCTTCATGCTTAAGCCTCTTACATTCATCGGTCCATGCAAGTCTTCTTCCATCTCCTTTTCGGTATATATATACTTGACTCTTTTTCTAGTTTCTAATTATATTGGAAAATTCAGCCGCTATGTGAAATATGATTTCAATAGTAATTAATTTAGCTTATATAGTAAACAATAACTCGAACCAAATGTTTAAGTAATTTGGTGATTTATTTACATTAGATAAGAGGTAATCTTGTGGCACCGGGTTACACTTGGTATGCGGGAAGATATCCAACATGGATTAGTTTTGACAGTATCAACGGTCTTGTTGTCACCGGAGGTGGCACCATCGACGCTCGTGGTTCTTTGTGGTGGGGCAACGTTAATACTCGTCCCTCTGTAAGTCCATTTGGAAGATCCTCACACACATAAATATGAACTTTGGTCAAATTGGTTATCAATTATTATTAACGTTTCTTCCATGCTTTCTTAGGCAATGCACTTCAACAACTGTAACGGTCTTAGGATATCTAATCTCCGACATTTGAACAGCCCTCGGAACCATGTAGGTCTAAGTTGTTCACAGAACATCGAGGTCACGGGTATAAGGATGACAGCCCCCGGTGATAGTCCCAACACGGATGGTATTGACATATCGAACTGTAAAGGAGTCCACATACATGACTCTGTGATTGCCACTGGAGATGACTGCATCGCCATTAATAGTGGTTCCTCTCATATCAACATAACCGGCATTTTCTGTGGCCCCGGTCACGGCATCAGGTGATTCCTAAATTCACAGATTCACAAACAATCATCATATAATATACACCAGAGTATATACTAAGTCATATAGAGTATGGATTTGATACTATAGCGTAGGAAGTCTTGGAGTAACTGGAGATTTTGCAACTGTTGAAGAAGTGAGGGTAAAGAACTGCACTTTTACAAACACACAGAATGGTGTCCGAATCAAGACATACCAGGTTATCCATTAATCTTTTTTTTACTATTTATCCTCAGTTCTTGGTCTTATTCAGCATATTCACAACTAAATCTGTTTTTTATTTTTGTGTGAATGTTTTGTAGAATGGATCAGGATATGCTCGGAAAATCTCATTCGAGGATATCATCATGGTTGCCTCAGAGAACCCTATTATCATAGACCAGACTTACCACAATGGAGGCACGAACGGAGGAAGAAGCAAGTCATCTAATAGCTATCAAAACTGTCATTTAGCAGCAAAACAACGGACTCAGTCCGGTAATGGCAAAGGCGTGAAAGTGAGTGATGTGCGTTACTCTAGTATCCGTGGGTCATCTGCAAGCGATCAAGCCATTACATTGAACTGCGATGCAGACTTGGGATGCTCAGATATAGTGATGAACAATGTGAATATGGTTTCAGCGACATTTGGTCACAAGGTGTTTGCTACCTGCAAAAATGCTCATGGGTCTTTTTTTTCTTCAAAAGTGAATTGTCTGAAAAAGTATTAAGTATGCCTTTTTTGTGAAATCCTTTCCTTGAAGAACCAAGAAAGAAAATGGATTCTTCTCAATTTTTTCTTAGAAGAGAACCGTTTTTCCCTGAGTTTTTTTATGTAGAAAACGTTTAATTTGTTCTGATTTTTGATTGAATAAATGTTTCAGTTGGTTACTACTGCAATAAATCCTGCAGAGAAAAGTGGGTTTTGGTGTCATATCGATAATAAAGACTGAATCTTTGTGTCCACAAACACAAAGGAAGAGTTAAAACTCTCTGAGGTTGCTTTATACTAAACAAAGTTGGGATGTTAACCTCTGCAATAACTGAGACTATGGAGAAGAAGATAAAGATTCAAACACTCTTTGACTCTGTTACAGAGAGATTGGGAAAGATGTTCATTAAGATCCATGGAACTTAAAATTAGCCTACCTTACCTTATCAAGAACTTAAAATTGAAAAGTATGGATTACTCCAATTTAAAACTGGAGTCCTTAAGTTGATGAATCATTGTCAAAAGAACAATGATTGGGTGGTTAACAAGTTCATGATTATCAAACCAAGATATTAGAACACAATCAAACAAGCCACCAAGTTTGAAATTTTATTGCAAGTATCCTCAACTGAGTCAATCAAAATCCAAACTTGCAACAGATCAAAGATCAAACGAGCATTGAAGAAGCATATATTTAAGTAATTATAGATCCTTCAATCCCCAAAAGAAACAAAGAGCAAAAACATTGAAAAACGCAGGAAAATAAAAAAAAAAACACCAAAAACCTAAAACAACACAAGTAAAGAGACTCTTTTCATCGAAAGTCAAACAAAAGGACCTGAGGACGACGAGTGACGAAGCTGGATCTTACTTAATCCTTGTTCTTGAGCCTCTCAACCCTCTGATTAAGCTGCTCAATCCTCACAACCAAATTCGTAACAGAGTACAAAATCCAGTAGAAAACAAGGGCCGACGCAATCAGAAGCGCGTTACGCTGAGACTTCATGATCGATTTCTGGTGACGAAGATGCTCAGAAGGAGTACACGAATCACCATCGCAAGAAGGTCGAGTCTCGTACTTCCAATAGATATCCATAAGAAGGAAGAGACAAAACGGAATTATCGAGAGAAACGGCTTCAAGAGATTACGAGTCACAGCAACCAATCCTTTGCGAAGAGCGTCGAGTCCAGGCATCGTCAAGAGAATCACCATGATTGCTTCAGCTGCTGCTGCGTAACCTAACACAACCCATTCGAGAGCCATTGGAGAATTGCGATCTAGATCGATGAGTTTTAGATCTGAGTCGGTTTTGGTTCTCTGATTTTGATTTTGATTTTTTTCTTAGTGAACAAGTTTTAGATCTTTCTTTGCCTTTGTTGATTTTTTGGTACAAAAAGGAAGAAGAAGATGTACGGAGGGTTAAGCACGTGGCGCTTGTGTGGTGTTCGCGTTTCGCACGTCGAGGTTTCTTAATGGGCCTAATCTCAGCCCAACAAAATTAATTTTCAAAATTTTGTTCACTGATTTAGAGAATTTTAATCGAACGTGTACATTAATCACTTTTTTTTTTCTTGATGGTTTAGTAAGATAATAACAGAACGTTAGTGTTATTATCATAAAGATATTAAATATGTGATGATTATAATGGTTATTTTTTATAATAAAAGAAAAAAAAAAAGAAAAAGGATCAACATAGAGCCATCAAAGTTGATACCAAAAAAAAATAAAGCTCCATCAAAGTCATAAAGAAAACTCAATTAACACAAAAACTAAAAGATCTTACACCTAACAAAACTCAAAATCTTTATCATTGTTCTCTGTTTTCTTTTCGTCCTTGTCATGATTATTAACACAAGATTCTTTTTGCACCTCCACATTAATCACATCTTTAGGTTTAGGTTTAACTGAGACAGATGTTGGATGAAGAGGATTACCGGAAACCTTGGAAGCTCTGAAGACTCTATCTTCACCACGAGTTCCAAGCTCTACGAATATTTTGTCGATTTCAGACTTTGTCATTGGAGTAGAACGTTTGCGTACGCCAGACATGTCAAATTCCCTCCATGTAATCTCTCCGTTTACGTATTGATCAAATCTCTTGAAAGTTTCTTTGAACTCTCTCACGTCTTTTGCGTTGGCCATCGTTTAAACTCTTTGAATTGAATTATGGTAGACTTCAAAGATTGTGGAAGGAAATTTGTAAGTTGACGTGTGTAGACCTTTAAAAGGTTTATAAATATAACAAGAATTGGTAGAAAGTTTATCAATTGACAAAATAAATAAAATTAGTTCTTTTTTTCCATTCTTTTTAAAATACAAAATTACAATTTGATTATTTTTTATGTAATTATTATCAAGAGACACGTTTTAAAAGCTCCTATTGACGTAAAAGTACTAAAAGACCACCTTTCTCTGTTTTTAGCTGGTACCAATGGCTGCTAGCTTTCTCTTGCTGCTGCACTAATTTGACTATAGAGAGAACCAAAGTTACATAAGAAGGAGAGAATCAAAAAATGCTTTACAATAATTTAACTCCCAAGTTGATGTCATCAACATTCATTTTTGGTTTACAATTACAAAGCTCAAATAAGGACTTGTTATATAGAGATTATAAAAGTTTTTGGAAAATCTATTGAAGACCATAGACAAGCAAAGCTCCGACAGCTCCAAGACCGGCCAATAAGCCAACAATGACACCAATCGGAGGCAATCCTCCTCCAATGGCCTTTCCTGTGTTCACGTCATACTTCGCAAACCTCTTCTTTGGTGCTATACATTGAGGACATACGTATGTATCCGGCTGAAAAAGAATCCCGAGAGAAATCGATTAAAAACTTAGTTATAAGAAATCTGAAACCTAGATATAGACATAAAAACCAAACCGAAACGAAACTTTATGCAGCCAAAATCGTACTGTATACACTGAAATTAAAGGATTCAGACTCACCTGTTCATCAAAAGGTTTTGATAAAGTGTATATGAATCCACAATCAAGACAAATGTGAGTAGCTCTTGCCTGCAAAAGAGAATGATGTTTAAGACAAACTAATTGAGTTAAGCTTCTAAAAAATGTTTTAAGATGCAATAATTCAATCTTAAAAACAACAATTGCTACTAGCCTTCTGAGTCTCAGTTAACTTCCTTCCAAACCGTGGAGGAGCCGGACGCTTATTTAGTTTCTTGACATCAACTTCTGCACCTCTGTGTATGATCAAAGATCATAAATTGCAACAGAAACAAATGAAGAACCTCAAAAAGCATCAGGAAAAACCTCAGGTGCTAACTTATGCAGCTTGTTAAGCCCAGAATTAACAAAATCTAATGAGATAGCATAAGAAGAGAACTTAACCTACACATGGCTCATCAAGAAGCCTATAGCTTTCAACTGTTTTTTTGTGCTCAGGATTAAAAGGAAACAGATCACACAAAACCCATCTGCTACAAGTTTGATCATTTCAATCTAATTCTTCTTTTTTTAAATGCAGAAGCCACATTTCTAGCAAGCCCACCACCAATATGTTATCAAGATAGGTAACCACATACACTCACCTGCTGACAACAAAGTAGACAGAATCAGGTTTGGCCTGAATAGCAGTTTTAGTAAAGCCAAGCTTATCTGCAGGCCAAAGCTCATCTCCAAAGAAGCTGCTTGTGTACACAACTTGATCTCCAGATTTAAGCCCTGCTTTTGCTGCGTTCCCACCTCCGTCCACACCCTGAAAAACAAACACCCCTCAATTTTATCAAACTACACATTTACAATGATGCCACTCCATTGCAGAGAGTTAGTGAAAAAAACTCACAGTGATGACAACTCCACCGCCTGGCTTCTGTCCTAGAGTCAGACCCAAAGGCTTGTCTACTTCAACCTCTATCGTCTTAGAAGCTGCTGCTCTCGCTTTGATTTCGAATCTTCTCAACCCATTTAACCCTCCAATCTTTCTCTCGGAGACAGCGAAGATCTCTGATACACTCTTCTTCGAATCTTCCAATGAAACTCCCTGAAACCCAGTTTTCTAACACACAAACCAAAAAAAGAGAAAAAAATTCATACTTTTAGATGAAGCTAAGTCCAAATCACATTCAAGAGGAAGAAAACGAGAAATTGAACTCGACGCTCCATTGGAAACAAACTTTTAATTGAGATTTTCAGATTCGTGTTAAAAGAATTTGAAGACAAGAGAGAGACCTGTGAAAACAGAGAAGCAGAGGAGTGAAGTTTAGGAGATGGGTTTGAAGTAGAAGCAGTTTTGGTGAAGAAGGAAGAGACAGTAGCTCCTGAAATCGCACCAGACGTCGCCATCTTTCTTTCTAGTGTGATCGAACGAAGAAGCTTGATTGATTCTTAATTGAATCAATGTTGTTGCATGCGTTTTGTGAGGAAGCTAGCTAGAGAAGCTTTTTTGTTTTTGTTTTTGTTTGAGGAGGTGTCAAAGCTCCAAGAGATAACCTTTTCGTGGTAATCGTAACATTTTCGTGTGTTATGCACGGTCCACTCTGTCCACACTCTTCTCTTTTTTTTTTTCTTCACTATCCACACTCTTCTCATCTTCCTCAAATAAGGGTCACAAATAATTTCTATATCCTATTTTTCAAATTTCTTGATTTAATTATGTTCTATTCCATGAATCTTGTTATGAACATTAATATGTTACCTTTGGATTATTGTTTAAATTAATAATAATCAGTAGTTTATAAAAATTGTACAAAGTAGTCGGAGATAATGATGGGGAATTATTGACACAAATTTAGTTGACTTGAGCTTCTTGCTTTGTTATTTGTTAATTGCACCACGAATCATCCTTTAGTTTTACAAGATGGGCTTCCTTCTGAAGAGCCCGTTACAGGTCCATGTCGACGCTGTTACAAAATACACAATCGTCAAATACAAAACGGTGGCGTTTAATTGGTGGGGAATTTGAGAATTTTTTAAGGAAGTAGCGACGGAGCACAACACATGAATCGTATTGGTGTGCTCTTTTATGTCTCCTCCCATCTCTTCTCTTCCACACTAACCAACTCTCTCTCACTCTTCTCTCTCTCAATATTTGGTACTGAAGCAGAGTTAATGGCAGCCAAATCGAAGAGCGTTCAGGTGATCGGGAAGCACATAGTCAACGGCGTTCGTTCACGCTCTTTCTCACGCGCCGTCGCATATGGTCTCTTCACGTCTCGGTATCTCTTTCCCTCTTTTTCTCTCTCCATGTTTCTGTTTTTGATAATTTCCCTTGAGAGTTTACGTTATCGATGATTGTATAGGGAGAAATATAAGTTAAATATGGACATAGTTTGGCTAGGTTATTGTGTTCTAGAGGATATGTTCATGTTTTTACTTATTGTTATTGGTCCAAATCTAAACAAAAACTTACTTCCATTGAAACAAGTGTTCAAAGACTTTCACAAATGTATCCCCTCTTTCTTTTTTACTAAATATATAGTGTTGTATTTTTATAAATCTTTAACTCAAATGATCATATCCAACATTTGCAAATGATCATATCCGACATTTACACGAAATACATTAACAAGTTTTTTTTGTTTTTAATCAAAGATTTTTATAAAACCCAAAAGGAACGAAACATATTTAAATTATTATTAGACCGTAGAGAGATGTATTTCTTTAGTTCTTACATGAGTCATGACAGTGTAGTCGGATATTGCATATCCAATTGGGCGTAAGAGGATAATACCAAAAAGGTTCAAACCAAATCTTCCATTCAGGATATGACACGTGTCTATATTTAGATTATTCCTCTGATCTTGGAGAGGATCAAGTGAGAAAAATACATGAAGTGATAGTAAGAACCTGTATTAATTGTTCACCTAATTACTAATTAATTTATCATTTTTGAATATTAAAGTTATCTAATCTTCTTGGTTGAAGGGACCATGTTTGTAGTTGTTCTTGTGGGGTTATCTTATCTTCTAACCATTTTACTTGTTTTATTCATGCGGTTAGTATAGTCAATCAATATCTCACCTAACGAATTTCAAATTTTAATCTCAAACACTTAGATTCACCAATATTATCTCTAGAAACAAATTTATTATCCTTTTGAACAGGAATAATCACACATCAGGGTATGATAAGAACGTAGAGGAAGAATTGCAGTCGAGTCAAGTGCCGGATGAATTGATAAAGCCCGACTCTGACAAATATTGGTCTCCTCATCCTCAAACTGGTGTTTTTGGACCTTCCTCCTCCTCGACCGACACAAAGGACGAATTTCGCGGCGGTCAGGAGGACTCAGTGATGGAGGAGAAAGCTTGGTTCCGTCCAACAAGTCTCGAGGATTTGGACAAGACTCACCATTCATAAGCAAACAAACTCTTTCAGTATTTCTTTTGTGTGTTGTTTTCCAAATGTTACGATAAAATTTGAAGTAAAACTGTTATGTTATGTTTCGAAACGAACAAAACTTATGGAGTTATGATGTTTGTATGAATGTTATGTAACGCTTGTTCTAGTTTGAAAATTCTGCATCATATATTAACTAAACTAACAAAGGTAAAGCTAATGCCTAATGGAGGATAACACCTTATTATAGACTCTTATACATAATGTATGGCCCACAACACCTTAAATGGGCTGTACTGTTTATATGGCCCATAACTATACTTTCATTTTTACTCAATTACGGCCCATAACTATATAAAAGTGCTATTAAAATCCTATGTCCTTTTTCGGAATATTTCTTACTTTTTTTGGCAGATACAAGTGACAAGGTGGAGAGAATGTAAAGAGAAACTAATTAAAATATTAATTTCCCAAAAAATTCAAAATTCAAACCTCCGCTCCAACAACAACGGTCACACTTACAATCTTAGGGATTCAATGGCTTCTCTTGGGAACGAGATATAAATACCCCATTTCCTCACTCCTTTACACTCATAGCAAAAAACTTCTTGTTTTCTCTGTCAATCTCAATCTCTCTCCCAACCACAAATTTCTCACTCACGCTCTCTCGATTTCGCGGAAATGGATTTCCACAGCCTTTTGAGAAGAGATCTTCAATTTCTCTGCAAGAGGAACAAAATCCCAGCCAATATGACCAATCTTGCAATGGCCGATGCTCTCAAATCTCTTGAGATTGTAAGTTTTCTTCATCTGATTCGCTCAATTTCATTTTTGAATCTGAACAATTTTGGTTATCGCTCACACTCGCATCCTTTTCGTTGTTCTTATCTTCAAATGAAGATTAAGTTCCTGGATCTGTAGTTGTTTATGGATTCATTTCTACGATTCGCATAGAAATCGTGCTTGTTCGTTTAGTTTAAGTTCCGGAAATGACGAAGATCTGTGAAATCGAGCAAGATTGAGAACTCGTTTTTGTTTTGAAAATTTTAGATCTCAGATTTGTTGTTGTTGTTGTCGATCTCTGCCTTATTGAATCGTTTACCTCAATTTTTACTCTGACTTGATCGGGATCGCTCGTTATTGATTTGTTGTGGTGATCACTTCCTTATTCGTCGATTACCAGAGGTTGATGATTAGTCTTAGCTTGGTGAATTTGATTGATCCTCATAAATGTTTAGAAATTGCGTTTAGATCAATTTTCTGTGAAATCAAGTTGGAGTCGTGGTTTTTGCTCTTGAGTTGTCTATGTGTTTGATCTTGAGTCATTGCTTGTGGTTTCGTTTAACGCACAGAGACTCCATATTTGGTGGTGGCTCTTGTGCAGGGTTAATTGCATCACCAAATAATCGCAATGCTTTGTTTCTGTCAAATTGTATAGGTTGATGGTCTTGATGAATACTTGAATCAATCCGAATCCAATGCTCAGCAGTCTCCAACCAGTGTAGCAAAGCTACCACCAAATACTGCAACTAGAACAACTCGAAGGAAGACCATTACAAAAGCTGAGCCTCAATCATCATCTCAGTTGGTGTCCCGTTCTTGTCGTTCAACGAGCAAGTCTCTTGCTGGAGAAATGGACCAGGATAACATAAAGAAGAGTGTTGCTCAAGAACCGAAGACTAACACTGTCAAGTTTGAAGCCAATGTACCCAAAACTCCTGCAGCACGAAGCACAAGGAAAGCTTCAGCAGAAACTTCTTGTGCTAAGAAGGATGAAATGGTCCAGTCGGTCTACAGCACTAGGAGATCAACCAGGCTGTTAGAAAAATGTATGGCTGATCTGAGTTTGAAGACTAAAGAAACCTTGGATAATAAACCTGCCAAGAATGAAGATACAGAACTAAAAGTATCTGCAAAGGAGAAGAATCCAGCTGGTTAGATACAATGCCGTTTCACTCTTTCTTTGCTTGTGCTTTGAATTAAAAAAAAAAATGGTTGAACTGTAATGCATTTTGTGGTAATATGTGGGTTCAGAGGGTGAAGTTATCCCAGGTAGAGATTTAAGTGTTTCCATGGAACAAGTATGGGAGAACTTGAAGAATGACACTGACCAGGTAGTTGGAGATCTTGCTGTTATGGATGCAAATACTGAGACCAACAAGGAGAAGATGAATGAAGTTGTGGCTGATGAAAAAGGTAACGCTAGCATTCATATACCACCAATCTTTACAATTAATTTTCTTGTTTGCATGTCTAAATGGTGTGGCTTTCTTTCGCAGAATCTGAGAATAGCTTAGTCCAAGCTGACAAACAAGAAGAAACATTGCATGCTATCTGTGAGGAAGGTCCGAAGAAGAATGACAATGATCAGGAGATTGAAGATCTTGAGATTTATGTTGATCTTGATATTTCTGTCTTGGAATCTGGAAACACTGAGACACACAATGATGATAATGGTATGCAACTAGTATTAAAATAACTAGCCTTGACCATTTTTCTTGTTTACATTTCTAAATCTTATTTTCCTTCTTTCGCAGAGTCCAAGAACGTTCTAACTTTCGATAGTCCAGTAGACCAACAAGAAACAGAACATGCAATCCAGGAGAACGATTCTGAGCCTGAGACAAAGGTGGACCAAACTGATAGTGATGCTGGTGATTCAAAGCCCAAACAGGCAATTCAGGAGAATGACTCTGAACCTGAGAAGATCAACAATTTTGATGAAGACACAATGGTGGACCAAACCGACAGTGATGCTGGTGATTCAGAAACAGAACCGGACGAAGAACATTCTGGTGTTGAGTCAGACGGCACTATCTCTGAAGCTGATTCGAACCAAGCCGTATTGGGATCTGATACTGCTGATGAAGATATGACACTTTCGGAATCAGAAGGCTCTGCTGCTACTGCTACTGCTCCAAATTCTCCTCCTCTTCTTGAAGAGGCTAAAGTCATCAAAACAACTCCGGTATCTCCATTTGCAGCTGAACCAATCTCAGTTCAGTTCCCAAGACCAAGCAAACCAACAACTCCATTAAAGAACTCGGCTCTGAAGCTGGTCAATGAGAACAAGGAGAACAACATGGAGGTGATGATGATGAATGTTAACAAGAATGAGAATGGAGAGAGCAAAGGCGAGGAGGGTAAGAAGAAGAAGAAGAAGGTGACAATTAATGAAGAGAATTTGAAAGATGCGAGCTTGAGGCAACTGATGAAGATGTTTAAGGAACTCTCGATTAAAAGCAGTAACAGAACTGCATTGCAGATATTGCCTGGGAATAATCAGACTGCAGAGTAGAGAGTGTGAGCCAAATGTGCTTTGGTTTTCTTTTGTTGTTGTTCTTGTTGTCTCAGACGGATAAAAAAAAAAGTGTTTCCTTTGTTGACACTTTTTGATTTGAATAAAAACCTCGATTTGGAAAAAGATCTTAAGTTTAAATGTGTTGATTTCATTACAAAATAGTAAGCTCAAAATACTCTATTTAAGTTCCGGTTCCTGGAAATTCCCAAATTGCCTTTAAGAGCTGTTCTAGGGTTTTCTCCGATCATGGCTCCTGAATCGACGGCGAAAGAAGCTTCGATGACGGATATGGGGAACTCTTCGCTCATGGAAGAGCACAAAGTCGAAGAGGAAGAAGAAGACGAAGGCAGCGATATGATATCGACAGAAGATATAAATACGTGCCAGGACCAGAACCGGAGTGGGATGTGGACAGCTACGATGGTCGTGAATACGAATCCGATCCTGAAGATCGTCAAATTTTCTCCGACGAGGAAGGTTATCAAGAATACCGTATCCGCAAGCGTCAGGCTTTTGCGAGTAAGGTAACGAAATTTTTTTTTTGGCAAAATTTTCATCGATTTTATTTTGGATTTGAGAATTATTTTCAATTATAACTTGTAGGGTTTTATTCCTGAACCTTTAAGTGGAATCTACCCAATTAAGTATCTGGATGAAATAGCGTATCGTAACATGACTGCTAGGGAGTTGATGACAAATCTTGCTAACTTGTGTGTTAAGAAATTAAACGATGAGAAGGTTAGTGATGGTGGAGAATTGGTTGATATATGTCGAGTTTTTTCATTTTGGATTCATTAAATTTGGGTTGTTGATCTTTCATAGGGGAAGACTGTAGAATTGGTAGAGATTGTGAGAGCTATTGAATCAGGAGGAGTTAGATGGAATTCTTATATAACGTTTATGGCTCGAGAGTATCCTAATGGACCTCTTGTTGAGTACCAAGCCAAAGTCATGAACTATGCAGGAAACGCGAAACCTCCATTCCCTATTCTTTGCAGACCAAGTCCTGAAATCTCTGTTTAGACTTGCATTTTGAGGTACGATATCATTCTTTGTTTTTAAGTCATTCTTGCAAATTGGAGTTATTTGATGTGTAGTGTGTCGATTTTTAAATTGTAGTTTTGGTATGTCGAAAAGCTGACGAAGGTTCAGATGCATTGAAGTTGTAGTTTTAAGCTATATGTGTTGGTGGAAGTAAGTCTTGTGGTGACCTATGACCGTAATTACTTGAGACACTGTTATTTGTGACCTATTACAGATTTGCAAACAAGGAATTTATAAACTAACTACATGCACAAAGAGAAAACATGCTCATGCATGTAAAAGAAGAACGTATATCCTTCTTTATTGTAAGCGAATGAAAACCTGTTCCATAGTCTCTTTCAAATTTCAATTCCTGTTTCGAGAAAGTAGTCAATAGCTCTCTTTAATGAAGTGACAGCCAAACTTTTGCTGTCTAACTTCTTATTCTTTCCCAATATCACATATATAACAAGTGAATTTGATTATGGGATTTTTGACTCAACTTTAAGTACTGTCTCCAAAACTTTTGAGATCAACATCGAAGAACTTATCTTCAAAATCAAAGATCGATTTTCACACTGAAACAAGGTTTTGAGAGACTTGGATAGATGTTCAACCTATCTATGTATTGATGAGAATATATCTAAATGTGAGCCCTAACTCTATATTCATTTACATATAGTCATGAAAAAAGAAACGAACATCTGCCAACTCGATCGTGTACTATTTCGAGAACTTTTTTAATGGTCTAAAAGGTTTGAAACAAAAATCTGTTATATTTATTATTAATTTATCACTCATCAACTTAATATATTTTTTTGATACCAAAACACCAAATCGATCCCGATAAACTTTACAGTATTTTACAATTGAAGTTCTGTTCCACTTTGGTGTATACATTTTGTTAACCGGACTGAATTGAATCACATAACAAAATATCCTACTCAATTATAAGTATCATAATTTATAAATAACCGTTCCATAAACAATCTACCGGGCCACGTTTCTTTCGTTGGGAAATAACCAAAGATGATGTCACAACCCTAATTAGTAATTACTTACCAACATCGATCTTGTCGCATCGTTGAGTTAGAATCTTGAATTGCCAAGTCGTGTTCTAGGGTTCCTTCATTTTTTATCCGGCGATGACATCGGCCAACAACGAATTAATTGGTTCCACGATGGGTACATCGGCCAAGGAAGAGGTTGTCTCTAAAGTCGACGAGGAAGACGAAGAAAGCAGCAGCGATAGCGATATGGATGACGGCAGCGACAGCGAGTGGGCTGAGTATAACATGTTACCGGAAACTGAACCAGAGTGGGACGTCGATAGCTTTGATGGTCACGAATTTAAAATCAATCCGAGGGTTCGTAAGATGTACGGCTCTAACCAGCAACTTTATGACGAATACTACAACGAAAGGCTCGAGGCTTTCCACAGTAAGGTATAATTTGTTTAAGTTAACCTCTTCGCTTACTGGTCTCAATTCTATTTTCTCTTATCGCTGCAAAACCCTTGTGCTTTTGTTAAGTCTTTCTCAGTTTCATTTTTTTTTTTACTTACTGCATTCCTAATTGGCTTAAACTAATTTTGTCCGAATCTTTTTTGGTTTGGTTAAGGGGTTTCTTCCTGATCATCTGAACGGAATCTACAACCTTCATATAGACGGCCAGGGGAATCATAGGGATTTAGCTGCAAATCTTGCTAATGTGTGTGTTCAGAAATTCAACGAGACCAAGGTTAGAACTTAGAAATTTGAAAGATTTACTTATTTTTGATATATAAATTTCGTGTTTTGGATTTTGTACATTTTTTTTTTCTCAGGTAACGACTTTAGAATTTGTAAGTGTTGTGAGAGTTACTGTAAGTGGAGCAGCTACATGGAAGTTGTACATCACCTTTATGGCTCGAGAGTTTCGTGATGGGCCTCTTGTTGAGTACCAAGCCAAGGTGATACACGCTATAGGGACCGTGGAACCTCCTTTCCCAATTCTCTGCCGACCATGTCCTAAACCAGAAATCTAGATCTATATATATATATATATATTAATTTAAAAGTATATATGTGATGTTTTCTTTGTTGTTTATTGTGTCAAACTCTGAGGGGATTATTGTCTATTTCGTTTCGTTTTTAACTCTTAATATCTCTGCCTAAATTGCAGATTGTATGTATTGTTGACGCTAGACGCTAGCGAAGGCTAAGAAGATGCATTGAAGTTGTAAAAGATTAACAATATATGCACCAGCTGACGAATAAAATAGTGAACTGCATATATTATAATATGATACTAGGCCAGCTATTACTGTTTTATTGGAATCTAATGTCAAATATCTTTTATATTGTAATGACAATATAGGAATTATTGTTTTAATCATCTTTTAAGGATAAATCGTACGTCTGATCTAATTGTTTCTGCACCTGAAAGACATGTGGATAACATTATCAAAACTTGTGCATATTCTCACAAGGCTTCTTCCTCTCTATATATATTTGTAGCCAACATTTTTAAATGAATTCGCTTTAGTAATTAGTTTAGACGAAGGGGTTGCTGGACCGTAGTCTTAAAACTCTTTAGTGTCCTTTCCTACGAGAAGGCCCAAAAAAAAAATGAAAGGGTGATTACGTAACCGTAAATACTTAACTTCTTTGTTGCATTTTACTATCTGCCTTTTCTAGGGCTTCTTCGCTTTTCCAATCATGAATTCCCAATCGGTGGCGGAGGAGGAATCAGCTTCTCCTCTCACGAAAAAAATCAAAGTCAAAGAGGAAGACAAGGAAGATGACGGAGATTATGACAGCGACGACATAATCGAAGAAGAAGACAAGGAAGATGACGGAGATGATGACAGCGATGACGTCAAAGAGGAAGACAGGGAAGATGACGCCAGCGACAACGGCTATACCGTTTGGAGAGGTATGAGATTTAAATACGTGCCAGAAAAGGAACCGGAGTGGGATGTGGACAGCTACGATGGTCGCGAATACGAATCAGATCCCGAGGATCGTAAGCATTTCACCAGCGAGGAGCAGTATAATGAATACCGTCTCGACAAGCTCGAGCTGTTGGAGAGTAAGGTAAATGTGTGTTTTTTTTTCTGTTTCTTGTATAATTTCCAACGATTTTGCCTTAGATTACTACAAAGAAGATGATGAAATTACTTATTCTTGGGATTTTTTCAGGGGTTTATACCAGATTACGCAAACGGAATCTACCCTTTTGGTGATCTGGAAGCATCAGCGGGTGAAAACAGGACTAATAGAGATGAGTTGACACATTTGGCTTCCTTGTGCTTTAAGAAACTCAACGAGTACAAGGTAAGTGACAAGTATCAAGGATCATTATATGTGATTTGAATCAACATATATATATGAATTATCTCATTTGTTTGATAGGGAAAGTGTGTGGAATTGGTGAGTATTGAGCGAGCTACGGTAAGTGGAGGAGCTCGATGGAAGATTTATATAACGTGTATGGCTCGGGAGTATGAGAATGGACCCCTTGTAGAGTATCAAGCCAAGGTGATGAGGTATGCTGGAAATTATGAACCTCCCTTTCCCATACTTTGCAGACCAAGCCCTAAACCCTCCATCTAAGTAAGTGATTTCAAGAGAGAAAATGAATTTGTATAGATGGACTTGTAGTTTCTGAACAATGTCTAATTTTCTATCTGAATTGCAAACCCATTAAGTTGACGGCGACCTAGCGAAGATCAAGATTTTATTGAAGTAAATTCAGAAACTAATGGGACTTTACAATTTAGATCAATAAGAGAATGTTTCGGAATGACATATCAACATTTTTTTTTGTTGAATTATATTGTTAGCTACGACCGTAATTTTGAACTATATTGGTGGATAATGGTTAATTTGTGCCGTGCAGTGAACTTACTAAACCGTTTTATTTATTAAATTAAATTAGATGGAATTTGAAAAATAAAATTAAACGGTTTAGTTACTTTGGATAGTTATATTAAATAGCGATATGGTGTATAGACTATAGAGAAATAATGTAATTCAAACTTCAAAATTAGTCTTGTGAATATATTAAAGTAATATCTATAAATATTAACTTTTTTCCTTTCATCAATTTCATGAGATGAATAAGTTGGAAAATTGATTCAACTCATTTCAACTACAAAAATTAGAAAATGAACAAATTATAAAAGAAAATTTGCTTAGAGAAATAAGTTGATGTTCAATTCAAAATTTTCTAATGTTTATTTGACAAAAAAATAATTACATTTCATCCATTTGCATCTTTTGTCATGTATTTATTGAAAACGAAAAATCGATCAATAGACCGCTAATTAAATATACTTTTACTTAAACGTTGGGTCTTCATGGTAGGTCTTTTTTGTTCAGTGGGAACAACTTAGCATTTGTGTTAATTTTCTTAAGAGATACTACTTTGCTTATGGTAATAATGTCTTGTACTGTATTTCTAATATTTTCAAACTAAATTACAGATTGGAAATGTTGATGTTTGGTCTAGCTGAAGACCGATATGTATACAAGTTAGGCTTCCAATTATAATTAAGCTCCGAGTTGGATCTTAATGGAACTTGGTTTATCTCAATGTTAGCTGTGTAATGTGACCTTAAGCTCTAACTTTTTAAGTTGTGCCCCATAAAACTATGAAGTTTAATGGTTAATGAATTATGTGTTTTAATGTATTGATATGATATAGTAAGATTCAACTCCTTCATGCGAGCATTGAGTGGAGAGCTATATTGTAAGATAATACGATTATTGGTGCTAAGACAAATAAAAATAATATAATGTGGTCATTATATAATATAGGTTGATTGATTATCAACTTTGGTGTCGATGGCATTTTGAATTTCATTTGGATAATCAAGAGTATGTTACTTAAAAAAAACAGTTTCAAAATCGTAAATATATTCCAAAAGAATACTTCATTTCAGAATGGGAAAATCAGACATAATAGTCATTGCAATGTTCAGATTAAAAAAGTAATAGTTTTCTAAACAATTAAGTTAGAGGATCCTTTCCCTTCTTCTTCTTATTTTTGTCGTTGATCACTTCATCTAGATAAAACATATGACAAATGTCTATAATGATTATCCTACCTTCGCCTGCAACTCTCAAAGTAGTTCCACATGTGTTTTGCACAACAATCGCATGTGTTTTGCACAACAAAAAACAACTCTTTGTTTTGTCATCCCATAAGCTACAATTGTAAGGGCATATTTGAGTGATCCATATTGTGGCTTGGATACCTTGTAGATTCCCTAAAAACGTTTGACATAAATTAAAGTTTTAGTTAGTTGCTAAATACATAATATTACATACTTGGAATCTAAGTTAATTCATTAACTTACCTCTTTAACTACCCTAAGACCATCATCTATAACAAGTGATAATGATCTTAAAATCAAACAATATTACAAATATTATACTCCTATAGGTTTATCAAAGCCTTCTTCTACTCTAGAGTTTTGTTGACTTTCTGAGAACGGCGCTTATGCTCTTACTTAATAGCATTTGGAACATTTTTCCTTTATGACTTCCACCAGCTCCAATACCCCCACCACCATAGTCATCTTCTTCCATGTCCTACCTTGTTTTTTAAAAAAATTATGTTTTTAGAGATGACCGATGGAGGAAGAAAAGATTTGTGAGAGAGACAGTGAAGGAGGAAGAGAAAGCGCTTTTGTAGAAAGGTGGTGAGAATGAGGTAAATGACAAAAAACTATAATTTATGTATTTTTCTCTCTCTCTTTGGTCAAAATGTGGGAAAACGGTCAATATCAACTCAACTATTTTCATGGTGTATTTTTCAATCCAAACTCCGACCCTCTGCACTTATCAACCTGAACTCACAAAAATTTCAAATAACAGATCTGAACTATGTAACCGTTAGCCAATTTCAACATATACATGTCATTATATAATGTAACAAACATGAATTATGTAACTTTTAGCCAATTGAATATAAGGAGTGATTCAAAAACAAATGAACAAATAATTACGATTTAACAATTCTAATCGATATTAACAAATACAAAAAAAAAATATGTTGAAATTGGCTAATTGTATATACTATTTTTAGTAAAAAATAAGTTTTTGTTTTACTTTGTAAAAGCAATTTGTTTGCACAAAAGTATTAAGTAACCATAGTAAAAAGAATTGAACTTAATCAAACCAACATTTATCAATTCGAAATAAAATAAATCTTGTAATAATCTAAAGAGAAATTGTTAAAAATGCCCCTTTTTCAATACCCCTTTTCAAAAATGCCCCCTTTGAGAGTCCATTTTTAAGTTTGCCCTCTTTTAATTTTTAATGACCATTTTACCCTTATTTAAAACAAAATTAGGTCCACAAAATACAAAATATTTTTTGGCGGGAAAAGTGATCCCGCAATTTTCCCGCCAAAACACTTGTAAAAAACCTTTAAAATACCTTGTAAAATTTTCCCGTAAAATTTTTCCCGCCAAAAAATTTTCCCGCCAAAAAATTTTTTTTGCGGGAAAAGTGATTCCGCAATTTTTTTTTTTGGCAGGAAAATTTTTGGCGGGAAAAATTTACAAGGTATTTTAAAGGTTTTTTACAAGTGTTTTGTAAGGTTTTACAATGTATTTTAAAAGGTTTTACAAGGTACTTATTAGGTTTTATAAGGTATTTATAACTTGTAAAACCTTATAAAAAACTTGTAAAACCTTATAACTTGTAAAAACCTTATAAAATAGCTTGTAAAATCTTATAATATCTTGTAAATACGTTGTAAAACCTTTTAAAATACATTGTAAAACCTTATAAATACCTTGTAAAAAAACCTTTAAAATACCTTGTAAATTTTTGGCGGGAAAAATTTTCCCGCCAAAAATTTAACGCCAAAAAAATTGCGGAATCACTTTTCCCGCAAAAAAAAATTTTTGGCGGGAAAATTTTTTGGCGGGAAAAATTTTACAAGGTATTTTAAAGGTTTTTTACAAGGTTTTACAAGTGTTTTGGCGGGAAAAATTGCGGGATCAATTTTCCCGCCAAAAAATATTTTGTATTTTGTAGACCTAATTTTGTTATATTTCCTTATATATTTGTGATATATTTTATTAAAAGAAGGGTAATTTAGTCATTTTGTACATAAAAAAGGGTATTTTTAAAAATGGACAGCCAAAGGGGGCATTTTTGAAAAGGGGTATTGAAAAAGGGGCATTTTTGTGAGTCTCCCTAATCTAAACGTATGGTACTAGGTTTTTAAATTGATAAGTCTAATCAAACAAAAAAAAACTGATGTAGACTGAAATATGAAACCAAACAAAATTTTAATAATCTGAACATACAATTTATATACTTGAATTTTGTGCAACTAAAACCTGAATACCGTGTTTCTTAATAACTCGATTGCTATAAATATTTTTCTACCGAATCAAACCCCAAGTTTATGCAAAACCAAACCAAATACTGTACGTATATATAAAAAAGAATTGTAAGGGTCGGGTCGAATCGGATCCAATACGGGTCGGGTCGGGTCAGAGCAAAATTGAAAATTCCTCTCCACCGAATTTTATCCGGCGAATTGCGGATTCAGGATTTGAGGGTTTTATTCGGAAAAAATCCGGAAATTGCTCTGAAACCAAAAATGGAGAACCCATCATCATCGGAAACTTCCGAGATTTCCTCCGTCGTTCATCCCAATGACGGCGTTCAACTCCAGGATCACGCCGTGCTTCCCGAAGTTCTCGAGCATCGGTATGTTTGCTTCCTTCTCTAGTCGTTACTCGAAATCTTTGAATTTCATCGCTCTTGCTTGCTTGTGCGCTTAAATTATCTCACCAATCTCTATTAAGTTAATGCTAGTTCATATATTTGTTCTTGAGGTCTGTGTGCAAAATGATTGGTTTCTTGGATACTTGAGTTTCGAATCGATGATGTTGTTTTCGGATCTAGGTGATCTTCCGTTTGCAGAACTTTTATTTACGAGTTTAGATCTGGTCGCATGATATCATGACCTTTTATGTTTAGGAGGATAATGCAAGAAGGAACACTCAGGTTTATTTTTGGTTTTCCATTGGCTGGTTGGTTGCAAGATGAGGTCACAAGGTGTTAAGTGTCTCATTTCTTAGTAGATGGTTTCTGTGCTTTAACAGATTGATCTTTCTTTTGCAGTGGAGCTGAGCAGATAGTTGGTATGTCTGCGGAAGAAGTAAAGAGGACATTAGAAGCAGTAGCATCTACTGGGAAGTTCTGGTAATACCACTTTTGAATAGGCATTGTTGGTTATGCACTTAAACTGGGATCCTATCTTATCCTTGCCGATTTTTTATTGTTATATAGAGTTTAATGTATTGAGGAGTGGGTTTCTTTCTGAGTAATTCTAGGGTTTAGGGTCTCATCTCTGTATTGCTATATCTAGTTGAGTAGTTTCTTACCTTGTAATATTACAGGCAAGACTGGGAGAAACTAAAAGGAACACTATCGTACTGGTTGAAGAAGGTATGTGCAGGTATACCAGCAGTGTGCTTAGAATATATATTATCATTCCACATCCATCCTGATTATTTCAATATTTAACTATCTATGTGGTTTGTTGTAAAGGTTCTATCGGAATATTCTGAGGCAAAAATGACGGACGAACAACAAAAGGAAGCTCTTGGAGAAACATACTCAGAGCTGGTTAGTCGACTGGATGAAGGTCTATATCTACTCATTTGTTAGTTTTGTTACTTTGATTTCAGAAAGTTTATGTAGATGGGAATTGAAACTGCGAGATAGGGCTTGGCTTTGGGATAAGGGCTTAATGAAGGGTTTAGTATCTCATCAATCACTATCTATCTATTTTCTAATAGACCTGCTATAACTCTACACATCCTCCTTTTCTCAAAATGGCTACAAAAAAAAAATCTGTGTGAAGTTTCAAGAAAGTAACCTGTGTAAATGAAATAAAACGGCTTGTCTTGTACAGTGTGGGAAACATATGTTGAGAATTTGACAAGGACTTTGCAATTCAGTTGTTTGAGCTGCTTTATGTTTTTTTCTGACCTTTTCCAGTATTATTTAGGCTTTTACAACTCTGAGTACTCTTTTTTATCCAGAGACCTTTCTAATTGGTTTCTTTTATTCCTGTCTTGTGTTGCAGCCCTTCTTAGTTTCGATGAAGGACCTCCATTTACATTGCAGAGACTCTGTGAGGTAAGTAGATGAGTTTGCTGGTCATGATTTACTCCAATGTCAGAGATATCATCTTCTTATTAGCTTGCCATGATTTAATTAAAAAAATTCACTTGTATAGTAGTGTAAGAGTGTAAGAATCAGTTGAATCCATACCTTCACTCTGTTGTTCTCCATCCTCATCGAATCGTAAACAAACTTATTTCCTTGATTTATGATATATCAGGATTTTCCATCGTTTAAAGTTTGTACTCCTAGTCCAGGATAAGTAAATGCTACATTTGTAACTCTTGGAAAAGTTGTAATTATCAAATCGTACCATTCAAGTGTCTTCTAAAAACTGCTCTCTTATATTGTTTTGGAGTTATAAGCTTCTAAAATTCTGTTGACATCATAACCACAAAGCTTTTTGGATTAATTTGCGTTCAACAGATCCTTTTGGCTGCAAGGAGCATCTACCCAAAGCTCTCAAAACTCGCTCTTGCATTAGAAAAGGTACGAATTTGAAATTCTTACCTCTGTGATTTTATACTTGATATACACATTTCTTCATTGATTTTGTGGAATATATGCAGAATCTGTTGGTTACTTCTATGTTAGCCATCAGTACAGACCCACAATCACAAATCGTTGATGATCCAAACACAGCAACCACAGACACAATAACAACTGCTGAAAGTTGCGCACCAAATGGAATTGACGCAATGGGAGGCGATAAGGATGAGATAATGACAGAGGTAGAAGAAGCAGATGTTGATGACGCAATGACTATTGACATGGAAACAATCGATGAACCATCAGAGACAATGGCGACCACAAGTGAAAATGAGACGCTAAGCGAAAACAGTTAGTTTCTGATTTGGTTGTTACGTTCTTCTATAATTTTTATCATTTCTTGGGCATGTTTTGGTTTATTAATCGTGGGTTATCAACTTTCTTCTGTAGCTGCTGCACAACCAGCATTGGATTCAATGGCTGCAGAGGAGGGAGATTCGCGGTTGCCTTCAACGTGTGCCTAGAGAGTCAGACTTTGAACAGCTTTGAAAACTGATCTCGAATATAATGCTTGTTCTACGAGAAGAGACTTTCTTGGATCTTGATTTTGCACTATATTAAGTCTCAAGTAGATTCGTGTTTCAGTGGATTTTTTGGTTTATAAGTAAAATGCCTTTATCCTGCTGACCAGCAAAAAAGAATAGTAAAGTCCCTAGATAAATTCATATCTTCATTATTCTTTTTGGCCAACAATGCATATAGACACTTTCAATTGTGATAATAGACTGATTCCATACAAATCTGGAATCTATTTTAATAAAACTATACGATATAGCACAGAATCATTTGAAATATGTCTTGTGTCAATTTTTTCTTTTTTCTAGGCTTTTTCCTTGAATATTAAGATAGTTTGCAATAGAGTGTTTTCAACGAGGATTTTTGGGTCCAATATTAACTCATTATCTAACAAATCTTCTGCATAACCAAAAAAAAGTATAAACCCACCAAAATGCCAAATATGTTGAGAAGAAAAAGAGAAGGGAAAACATATATTTGTTATCAAAAAATATATCATGATTTCAAAGGAAGAATATACATCTACCAAAGTCTCAATCGGACAAAGATGACCGCATAGAGAAGGTTTTTCAGATGATACAAATTTTCATCAGCAGAATATACAATGAAGCTTTCAGGGCAGCATGATCAAAATTCAAAAGTAGTCTAATTGAGTCTAATATTGCCACCATGAGAAGATCATTCTTTCATTAACAAAAAAGTCTTCAGAGATTCTGACTTCGTGATTACCTTTTCTAAAGCCAAGAAGAAGACATTGGCCATGGATATCAAAGTATACCTGCAAGGAGAAATGACGTTTTACAAGATCATGGTCACAAGACTGAGAGTTATTGTACTGAACTACTCAATATAGCTCGCTGGGTTTTCAGGTCTTTATGTTACCTGGGGGAGTTAAAACGAGTGGCCAACCGATGTGAATCCAGCGGCTTTAACATCCTTAAGAGTAGATGATAACCAGTCCAAGCCTTCATAAAGCCCGTCTCCACGAAGAGCACAAGTACCTTGTATGTGCCATTTCCTGTTCTTGAGATCAAATAAGCCTAACCCTTCACATACTTCTCTTGGTGACATGGCTCCTCTCTAATATCCAGCAGCAATTGAAGAAGTGAATTGAGGAATTATAAGCACAGACGAGAGAAGCAAGCAAAAACAAAAAGAAAATATCGAATTACCATGTCCTGTTTGTTTGCAAACACCAGAATGATACTGTTTAGCATGAATGGGTCTTTTATGATCTCCTGAGGAAATCCGAGAGCAGGTTAAGGTATAATAATCCAGAGAGTTTACGAAAAGTCTTTGCAAGTTCTAAGGTATTATACCTGAAATTCTTGCTTTGCTTTTCCGATCCTCTCTCGATCTAAGGAATCCACGACGTATATCTGCAAGAGCATTATAGAGTAAACTTATACCACGGTCGATAAAGATGGACAAAGATCTAAAGATTGGCCAAGCAACATATAATACTGCAACATCATAACCAAATATAGGATAACATATGGCAACATGGAGATGGGAAATCTGAAGTTAAGTATCTGACTGAAAAGCAAATATCAAAAAGAACTATATACGTACAAGTCCATCAGTATTATTGAAGTAGTGCCTCCAAAGAGGTCTCAGTTTCTCTTGGCCACCAACATCCCAAACTGTGAACATCACATTCTTGTACTGAACTTTCTCAACATTGAATCCTGCGTAACAAAGTTTAAATTATCAGCAAACATAATCCAAGCAACCAAAGGAACAATAACCATATAAAAGTAAAATGTGTAATACACCAAGTATCATAACTGCATTGACACAAGAGAAGTTCACAGACTAGACTTATGACTTCAGAAGTACAAGGTACAATATCACAAAAGTTGGCAGAATATCAGTATGTAAACATATCATGAGATTCAACTGAAGAAGAAGATAGATATTCCAAGTATATACAATTCTGATCCCACCTCTCCGCAATCAAATTTTTTGTTTTTTTGTAAGGTGTTAATAGAATGAATCTAACAGCTTTCACCAAAAGATCAATCCAAAACTCGTTCCAAAACAAGAAATGAATCCCACTACTTAGCTTCTGAGAACAAGAATAATCACAGCTATGACAATAACACAAGAAATCTGCAAAGTTCTTAAGAAATGAGCAAAAAAAAAAAAAAAGCACAAAGCTTACCAATGGTGGGAACAGTAGACAAAACTTCTCCAATATGAAGCTTGTAGAGAATAGTTGTTTTGCCAGCAGCATCCAGCCCCAGCATAACGACCTGTCCATAATCACAAAATTGAAAACCAAAAAAAAAAAACATTCAAAAATCATTTCTTCAAATTTGTTCCTCATGCCACAGCTCACAACAAATCTATGATTAGTAATAGAGAAGAATCAACCATCAATTTGGCATTGGTCTACACAAGATTGAGTTTTTAAGTATTTTCCAAATCCAAAATTCCAAAACATCAAAGATCAGACATGGGCGATAAAAGCCATGACTAAAATCAAAAACACGAGATCCCATCAAGAAAAACCCAGGAAATGATCCAGATTTTCCAGATAAATAGCATGAGAGAAGATGAGATTACCCTCATTTCTTGATTGCCGAAGAAAGTATCGAATAGCTTACGAAAAGCTTGACCCATGGCTCCAATACCCAAAAAAAATCAAAAAATAGTTTATCGAGCTAGACAGAAAAAGAAATCGTAGAGAAAATCAGACGACGACGACGAACGATCGATTTTGGAGGAGGAGACAAAGGAGACGGTGAAGGAATTATCAGAGAGAAATTGAAGGGAATAATTGTACGCGTTTCGGTCCAAACGATTTCAGGAGCAAGTCTTCAACGGAATATTCATATTCCTTTCATTTTTCATTTTTTTTCAAATTATTTTACTTCCAACATCCTCTCATTTTCTCAAATATATATACATATAATAATAATATAGCAAAATAATTTTACCAAAAAAAAAAATATAGCAAAATAATTCACAATCTCTCTTTCTAGGCTTTGCGGCCCAAATCTATATATAATAGCAATCTAATAAATACCATTTGCACATCTGAACGGTTGCGTCTTTTTATCGCAACTCTTCGTTAATGTTTTTATTAATTAAAATATATATTTTACGGTTATGTTTTTTTTTATAAATTGCATTCTGAATGTTTTCTACGGTTGCGTTTTTTATTGTAACTCTTCATAAACAGTTGAAACCGCTTATTCGAATCATTGCAATATTTAGTTTATTTTACGAACAATTGCAACCTTTGGTTTATATATTTAGTTTATTTCACGAACAATTGCAATTTTTGGTTTATTTTATAAATAGCTATAACATTTAATTATTTACCGCCGCGTCTCTCGGTGTAACTTTTCATAAATTATTATTTTAATTTTTTATTTTTAATTACTAAAATGTATTTAATGAGATTGTAACTATTTAATTGAACTGTTTCAACATTTGGATTATTTGACGAATTATTGCAACTTTTGGTTTTGTGTTACGAACCATTGTTATTTTAGTATATTTGATGAACTATTGCAACATTTGGTATAATTGACGAACCGTTGTAGTTTTTGGAATATTTGATATCTACGGTTGCGTTTCTCGCATAAGTTCTTCATATTTTTAAAAAATATTTAAATACTAAAATATATTTAAATGAATTGTTGTTACCGTTTAATTTAACACAATAGCATTTGGTTTATTTGACGTTGAACGTTTTTGTTTATTTATCAAACCATTGTAATATTTGGTTTATTAGTTTATGCTTTTTGCACTTGGGAATAGTTTTTTAGTTACAAATTATTGTTTTTCTAATATTAATATACTTAATAAATGCTTGTGAGGGTTTTCTTTATCATAATTTTTGTAAAATATCTATTGATTTGTTATTAAAAAATTCAAAATTATTACAATTCATTATGATTTTTTCGTTTGATATTTTTTTAAATGATTTTTGAAATATATTCCCCCGCGACATCGCGGGGGTCCTGAGTCCTAGTTACAAAAATAAAAATATGGGCTGGCTCGGTTTAACAATCACATATTTACCTACCAAAGGAAATAACATTTGTGTCAAGTCAAAATCTCTGCTTTGGACCCTATCCAATATTCCAATGTTAAAAGTAATAAAATTTGAGTAAAAAGGTGGGATTGAAAAATAGATATTAAATAAAAGAATCTGGATTTTTAAGTACATTATATTTCAGGTTTGTTAGTAATTTCCCACTTTTTGGGTCAATTGATCCTAGATAAGAAAAAAAAAACAACTCCTTCCTTTTCTTTGTTGACTGGTAAATAAATTGCTTTTTTTCTTTCTTCCCTCTAAAGTCTAAACCATTCAACCAATCACATCTTACCACAAATCCCATAAAAATCTTACTACTAGTAGAAAAGTTAATACGGGGCATTTTAGGAAAAGCGAGAACTGCCACGTGGGAGTCGCCGGTATACCGACATATATATATATTTTTTTGAAACGTAGAAGTTTTTGGTTGGAAAAAACATATAATTCTTTTTAAGAAAAAAAGATATTGCGGAATATAACTCAAATCAAGTGTTTTTATATCGTATATTCAATTTTTGTTTAAATGTTATAGAAATCATTTTTTAAATGTAGATAATGTACAAAGTACAGATATGACAAATTGACAATAACATGTAGTCATGTACTTTCGCGAAAAAATCTATAATAAGAAAAAATATATAGAAAACATTTTTGTGAAGAAAAGAAAAAGATCAAAAATCGGATTTGTTTCTAACTGTCGTTTATTAAAAAAAAGTTCTTACTTGTTTATTAGAAGAAAGAGAGAGAGATCGGTACCAACCACGAACACGAGCTTTACACTTGCTCGATGAAAAAAAAAAAAAAAAAAAAAGAGCTTTACACTTGCTCGGTGGTTCATTTACAACCACACTCTCTCTTCTCTTTGGCCTCTCTATTTATTCCAACCAAACTTCACATTATGATCAAACCTTCTCTTCTTCATTACTCACCATGACCAAACCCTCGGAGCCAACTAGAGACTCCCACGTGGCAGTTCTCGCTTTTCCTTTCGGTACTCACGCAGCTCCTCTCCTCACCGTCACGCGCCGCCTCGCCTCCGCTGCTCCTTCCACCGTCTTCTCCTTCTTCAACACCGCGCAATCCAACTCTTCGTTATTTTCCCCAAGCGACGAAGCAGATCGTCCTGAGAACATCAGAGTCTACGATGTTCCCGACGGTGTTCCGGAGGGATACGTGTTTAGCGGGAGACCTCAGGAGGCGATCGAGCTGTTTCTCGGATCGGCGCCGGAAAATTTCCGGAGAGAAATCGCGGCGGCGGAGACGGAGGTTGGTAGGGACGTGAAATGTTTGTTGACTGATGCGTTTTTCTGGTTCGCGGCTGATATGGCGACGGAGATGAATGCATCGTGGGTTGCGTTTTGGACCGCCGGAGAAAACTCACTCTCTGCTCATCTCTACACAGATCTCATCAGAGAAACTATCGGCGTCAAAGGTTTATACAAATTTTTGAATGCTTCCCAATTCTGACTTGTGGTTTTGTCATGTATCTCATAAAAAATATGCCATTAAAGGAAAGTTTAGCTAAAAGAAGAAACAGAGGTTAAGATACATTTGATTTGAAGATTTATATATATTTGTGGTAATGATTATTGATTCCATTCTAATTTACAGAAGTAGGTGGGCGTATGGAGGAGACATTAGGGTTTATTTCAGGAATGGAGAAGATCAGAGTCAAAGACACACCAGAAGGAGTTGTGTTTGGTAATTTAGACTCTGTTTTCTCGAAGATGCTGCACCAAATGGGACTTGCTTTGCCTCGTGCGACTGCGGTTTTCATCAATTCTTTTGAAGAACTGGATCCTACGTTGACCGATAACCTCAGATCAAAATTCAAACGTTACCTGAACATCGGTCCTCTCGGGTTATTATCTTCTACATTGCAACTAGTGCACGATCCTCACGGCTGTTTGGCTTGGATAGAGAAGAGATCCCTTGGTTCTGTGGCGTACATTAGCTTTGGTACGGTCATGACACCGCCTCCTAGAGAGCTTGCGGCTATAGCAGAAGGGTTGGAATCGAGCAAAGTGCCTTTTGTTTGGTCGCTTAAGGAGAAGAACTTGGTTCATTTACCAAAAGGGTTTTTGGATAGGACAAGAGAGCAAGGGATAGTGGTTCCATGGGCACCGCAAGTGGAACTGCTGAAACACGAGGCAACGGGTGTGTTTGTGACGCATTGTGGATGGAACTCGGTGTTGGAGAGTGTTTCGGGAGGTGTTCCGATGATTTGCAGGCCGTTTTTTGGGGATCAGAGATTGAACGGAAGAGCAGTGGAGGTTGTGTGGGAGATTGGAATGACGATTATCAATGGAGTCTTCACAAAAGATGGTTTTGAGAAGTGTTTGGATCGAGTTTTGGTTCAAGATGATGGTAAGAAGATGAAATGTAATGCTAAGAAGCTTAAAGAGCTAGGACACGAAGCTGTCTCTTCGAAAGGAAGCTCCTCTGAGAATTTCGGAGGATTGTTGGATGCAGTTGCGAGCATTGTTTATATGTAAAATGAGTTTGGACAAAAACACTTTCTATTATTGGTAACAAAAACAGAGTTAAAGAAGAAGAAGGATGAAAGTTAAAAGGAAGCCCAAGAGGTTGTCTCTTTTAAAGGAGGCTCCTTTGAATTTATTAGAGAGATATGGTTAGATGTTGTCGTGAACATTATCATATGCGTTTTCATATAATAGGACTATAGGAGTGTTTGTTCTTAACTTTTAAGTGACGACGATTAACGAATGTGTGGCTTGGTATTGTTTGGTTGGTTTGATCTTAGTAAATCGAAGTCTTAACTGAGACTGGTTAGATCTCTGGTTTAGGCACGGTTTAGAGCTTCATAACTTGATCTCTGATCAACTCCTTTAATATATAAAGCAAATTAAAGCAAAGAAAACAAAAATGGAGAATCGAGAATATAAGAAGACCTTATGATGAAATCATTTAACCACTAAATCACCCATCAACTGATTTTTTTTTTTGTTTTTTTTTCAAATTTAATCTCAACATACTTTTGTAAATCAAACTCGAATACAAATTGAGTGTTTATCCATACCAACAATTGGACTTAGCCAATCCTGGGGTATCGTTTCTTAATTCAAAAACATGTAAAGAAAAAGTGGAAGCTCTCTTTGTGATAACAACAGCTAGTCGTTCTCTATCATGTTAACTAGGTGTTTTTATTGCAAAGAGAGTTCATGGATGAGAACTCTCCAGCGGGCATTAATTTTAGCAATGAGGTCAAGGATGCTTTGGATGAAGGAGCATATGGAGATTACAAATTTGGCTTGACTCTGATCTTGAATGCACAGCTCAGAGGATCTTGCGGAAAAGACCGGTCAAGCCTACTCAAAAGATCCAAGAAATGTGGCAAATGCGGTCGTGGTGGCCAAGGAAGCCGATGACACTACCATTGCAGAGTAGTGGACCAACATTACTACTTCTTACTCATTCTCATCCTTTGTTTATGTGTCGGTCACGAGTCTCTCTCCCATCCAACTTTCAAAACTATATGACCCAAAAAGTCATCTCTTGTGTACTATTCGGGCCGTCTCTACCCATGGCAACATCGACATTTATCATGGGTCCAAAACCATTTTTAAAAAATTTAGTAAAGAAAATGAGCACAATTTTTAGTAAGAAAGTTGAATTTTTATATTAATTTTATCAAGGGCCTTTCCATATATTGAGACAACACTGACACTTGTATTTAGTATTTACATTTAAATTCAGTGAATAATCAATCAAATAATATCTATATCAATAGGATCCGTTAATTTTTGGTCCACATGAAATAAAGATGAACCACGAATTTTACCTACCAACAATACAGCGGATTTGTATAAATTAATTAAATTTGGTTAAGAGTGTACTTGTGAGAGAGCGAGAGAGTAACAACAACCATTCTAAATTTGGTTAAAAGTGTACGTGTGAGAGAGACTAACCACAACCATTCCAAATTCATATTCTCTCTTTAACGTTTGCCTCCTCTTCCATGGCCAACTCCCACGTCGCAGTTCTCGCTTTTCCATTCGGCAGTCACGGTCAGGCTATCCTCGCCGTCACCCACCGTCTCGCCACCGCATCTCCCTCCACCGTCTTCTCCTTCTTCAACACCTCACAATCCAACTTTTCATTATTCTCCTCCGATCGTCCTGCGAACATTCGGGTCCATGACGTGTCTGACGGTGTTCCCGAGGGATACGTGCTCTCCGGAAATCCACAGGAGGCGGTCGAGCTGTTTCTTGAAGCGGCGCCGAAGATTTTTTGGAGAGAACTCGCGGTGGCGGAGACTGAGGTTGGTAGGAAAGTGACATGCATGCTTACGGATGCGTTCATCTGGTTCGCTGCGGATATGGCGGCGGAGATGAAAGTGTCGTGGGTTGCTTTCTGGACCTCCGGACAAAACTCGCTCACTGCTCATCTCTACACAGATCTCATCAGAGAAACCATCGGTGTCAAAGGTTTATACAAATTTTCAACTTGTGATATTTATTAAAGGAAAGTTGATAAAAAGGGAAACAAATGTTAAAAGAATTATGTCACCTATTAAAGGAAAGTTGCCAAAAAGGGAAACAAATGTTAAAAGAATTTTATGTCACCTATAAAATTTCAAATTTAAATAAACGAATTTAATTACAAGATTCCTGAATTTTGTTCTTTTGTTGATAATGATTTTATTTCTTCTAATTTACAGAAGTAGATGGGCGTATGGAGGAAACATTAGGGTTTATTTCAGGAATGGAGCAGATCAGAGTCAAAGACATACCAGAAGGAGTTGTGTTAGGGAATTTAGACTCTGTTTTCTCAAATATGCTGCACCAAATGGGACTTGCTTTGCCTCGGGCGACTGCGGTTTACATGAATTCATTTGAAGAATTAGATCCTACATTGACTGTAAACCTCATGTCGAAATTCAAACGTTATTTGAGCATCGGTCCTCTCGCGTTGTTATTTTCTCCATCGCAAAGAGAAACAACATTGCATGATCCTCACGCCTGCTTAGCTTGGATGGAGAAGCGGTCCACTGATTCTGTAGCGTACATTGCCTTCGGTAGAGTCATGACACCGCCTCCTGGAGAGCTTGTGGCGATAGCACAAGGATTGGAATCGAGTAAAGTGCCTTTTATTTGGTCGCTCCAAGAGAAGAACAAGGTTCATTTACCAAAAGGGTTTTTGGATCGGACAAGAGAGCAAGGGATGGTGGTCCCATGGGCACCACAAGTGGAGCTGCTAAACCATGAAGCAATGGGTGTGTTTGTGTCGCATGGTGGGTGGAACTCAGTGTTGGAGAGTGTGTCGGCAGGTGTACCGATGATTTGTAGACCGATTTTCGGGGACCATGCACTCAATGCAAGATCCGTGGAGGCTGTGTGGGAGATTGGAATGACGATTATTAATGGAGTTTTCACCAAGGATGGATTTGAGGAGAGTTTGGATCGGGTTTTGGTTCAAGATGATGGCAAGAAGATGAAGGTTAATGCTAAGAAGCTTAAAGAACTAGCACAAGAAGCTGTCTCTACGGAAGGAAGCTCCTTTGAGAATTTCAAAGGTTTGTTGGACGAAGTTGTGAAAGTTTAATGCAAATTGACTTTGGATATATAAACAAATAAACATGTTCTGTTTTAATAGTAAACAAAAACAGAGTTAGAAAGATGAAGGATATTGCTAAGATGCTTAAATAAGAAGCCGTCTATTCGAAAAAAAAACTCATATTTGTGACTATCAGGATGGTTCGAGCTAGGTAGCTGTGAACATTATCATTAAAAGAACACTTCAATTAACCAGGTTTACCATGGCGAACAATTCTAATGTGGAGAAAAATGGGGAGGGTTCTTCTTATTTCATTACGGCATGCCCCGACCCTTCCCTAACACTGGTAACTAGAAAATTAAATCACTTCCACAATGCAAGTGGTGATCTCATGGCTAAAGATTGAAGCATGTGTTGCCTTTGAAATAGAAAACCTACAAATAAAACAACACAACGTATCTATCTAAGAGCACTTTCATCCGTTAAAAACCCAACAGGATATCTGAGAAATAAAATAATATTAATTTTTTAAACATAAGCAAACAGTTGTAGAGATGGGTATCTTAAAGTTTCTCAAACCAGAAACGTTTCTGTCTTCTCTCCTCATTTTCCTATTTCTTTTGTTTATTTTAATGGAGAATATCTCACCTACATACTCCTAATGGAAATGCTCTAAGAACATCTTTATCAGTAAAAACGTTAGCAGTTTCTCATAAAATATTATTTTAATAATTTTGGTATAATATTATTATTTATTTAAAAAAGAAATTATAAAAGAAGCATTTATTCAATTACAACAAAACATGTGTCAAGAAAGACAATGCCGAGAAAGATTGTTTACGTATGTGATATTGAGACATTATGTCAACAAAATTTAAAGAATTTGTGTAAAAAAAAACTAACTTAAAGACAACGCTTAGAAAGATTGTTTATATATGTGATATTAAGACATTATGTCAACATAACCTATCTTATCAGATTTTTCTTTTCAACTGTCATCTTCTCCTTCTTCTATACCTTCCTTGCTATCATATTTTATAACAAAAGTGTGTAGATGTTAAGGGTCTGACCATTAATTCTAATTTAAAAATGAGCCAATCAAATAAAATATGACTTTATGTTTATTTCATAATCCAATATTGGATTAATGCTCACATTGAAACACATTAAAAACATGAGTAAATGCATAAATACAATTAAAGATTTAGAACTCATTAAAATTGTTTGATTTAGTGCTAAATGCGTTATAAGAATAGTGATGCATTTTGATAATAAAATCAAATGCTAAATGCCGAGAATAAATGAAACTTTCTGAGACAAAATTCAATGTCTTAGACTAAGAGCACCTTTTTGTTTATGCTGTTACTGAACGGAAGCTGCAAACTTAAGGTGGATGGAGTGCTGAGATTTCCGTTAATAAAATAAATAAAAATTTAATTAAAAAAATGCAAAATATAAGCAATTTATAAACAAAATGTAAGTAAATACAAAAAAACACAATCTTAAATAGATTTTTTACCGTCACAACGGTTTGTAATTTTCGTGGGCTTCAACTCTCTCTATTATACATTCTCTGTATTTTTTCTCAGATTTTGCTTCTCTTTGTAGAACGAAACAAAACTTTGAAATGAAAATGTAATGAATATTTTTTAAAAAATTGTGAAAGTGAGAATTTTCAGTTTTTTATTCATCATGATTTTTATATTCTTGCTTTTTTTGTTAAGATAACTTTGTAATTAATATATACATATCTAAACAAATTTTATGTCGATAGATATTTGTTTTATTAAAAAAAAATATATGGTATAGTCTCTGCATAAACAACTGTATATGTGTTCTTTCTGCCATACATCTAACGTAGTACTTTAGAACATTGACTAAAAGACAGATGAGACTTGATGAGAAAAACTCACCATCTAAGAACCACATATTTTACCTACCAAAACAATATAGCAGGGACAGAAACAAAGGACATAAATTTAAGTTTGATTAAGAGAGAGAGATAGAGGCTATACTTGCTCGGTGGCTCATCCACGACCATTCTCTTTATCTTTATTCTTTGCATACTTCTATTTAATTAAACTACACACACTAACTCTCTTTAGCATTACTTCCTTCATGGCCAAACCCTCCGAGCCAACCAGAGACTCCCACGTGGCAGTTCTCGCTTTCCCCTTCGGCACTCATGCAGCTCCTCTCCTAGCCATCACGTGCCGTCTCGCCACCGCTGCTCCCTCCACTGTCTTCTCCTTCTTCAACACCGCACGATCCAACTCGTCGTTACCCTCCTCTGATCTTCCCGCGAACATTCGAGTCCACAACGTCGCTGACGGTGTTCCTGAGGGATACATGTTGACGGGGAATCCACAGGAAGCGGTTGAGCTGTTTCTTGAAGCGGCACCGGAGATTTTCCGGAGAAAAATCAAGGCGGCGGAGACGGAAGTTGGTAGGAAAGTCAAGTGCATCCTTACGGATGCGTTCCTCTGGTTCGCAGCGGAGACGGCGGCGGCGGAGATGAAAGCGTCGTGGGTTGCGTACTATGGAGGCGGAGCAAACTCGCTCACTGCTCATCTCTATACAGATGTCATCAGAGAAAACGTCGGTGTCAAAGGTATACACAATCTTTTATTGATTTACGATTCCATTAAGACCATTTCAATATGGCAAGTTGGCAACTATAGATGCCTATAATGGCAAGAAAACCTGGCTCTTCCACAATATCCCCCGAGGGATTGTTTTTAAAAGTCAGATTTTGTCCTTATATATGCAGTTTAAGGAAAATCGTGATTTATGTTATATATTTGTGGTAATGAATAGTGGCGGAGCTAGGAAATTGATTTATAGGGGTCAAAATGTAAGAAAATGATTTTATAGGGGTCAATATGCTAATGGAGCTGGATTTTATATAGAATTTGTAACAAAAATACACCAAATTTTCAATTTTTATAGGTGTCATATGACCCCCTTAATTATACACTACCTCCGCCCCTGGTACTAATGATTATTGATTCCATTCTAATTTACAGAAGTAGATGAGCGTATGGAGGAGACATTAGGGTTTATTTCAGGAATGGAGAAGATCAGAGTCAAAGACACACCAGAAGGAGTTGTGTTTGGGAACTTAGACTCTGTTTTTTCTAAAACGTTGCACCAAATGGGTCGTGCTTTACCTCGTGCCAAAGCTGTTTTCATAAATTCCTTTGAAGAATTGGATCCTACATTTACAAATGATTTCAGTTCGAAATTCAAACGTTACCTAAGCATCGGTCCTCTCGCTTTATTATCTTCTCCATCGCAAACATCCACACTAGTGCATGATCCTCACGGTTGCTTGGCTTGGATCGAGAAGCGATCCCCTGCATCTGTAGCGTACATTGCCTTCGGTAGAGTCGCGACACCGCCTCCTGGAGAGCTTGGGGCGATAGCACAAGGATTGGAATCGAGTAAAGTGCCTTTTATTTGGTCGCTCCAAGAGAAAAACATGGTTCATTTACCAAAAGGGTTTTTGGATCGGACAAGAAAGCAAGGGATGGTGGTCCCATGGGCACCACAAGTGGAGCTGCTAAACCATGAAGCAACGGGTGTCTTTGTGTCGCATGGTGGGTGGAACTCAGTGTTGGAGAGTGTGTCGGCAGGTGTACCGATGATTTGCAGACCGATTTTCGGGGATCATGCGGTCAATGCAAGATCTGTGGAGGCTGTGTGGGAAATTGGAATGACGATTATTGATGGAGTTTTCACAAAGGATGGATTTAAGGAGAGTTTGGATCGGGTTTTGGTTCAAGATGATGGCAAGAAGATGAAGGGTAATGCTAAGAAACTGAAAGAACTAGCGCATGAAGCTGTCACTACCAAAGGAAGCTCCTTCGAGAATTTCGCAGGATTGTTGGACGAGGTTGTGAAAGTTTTAATTTAAACTGAGTTGGATAAAGATTAATAAACAACAGCTACTAGTTGTTATCTTGCCATGTGGGTGGGGAAAACAAATTATAGATATATGTAATATCTATATATCTTAGTAGCGTAAAACGTTTTTACGAACATATAAAATTAGTAGGAGCTAAAATCTAAATTATTGCATCTTATTAGGGCCATAGCATGCTTCGATTTCATAATTCCGTTCATGGACTATATATATATTTTGTCAACGGCTCATGTAGAGTAAGAAACCTTAAAATAGTTATGATCAACTTGAATATACAGTATTTGAAATTTTCAGTTTATATCAGAAAAACACTAGTCGAGGGAGAAAATGTAGTACAATAGTTTTATTTTAGTTAATGAAGTTCCATTTCATAAGAGTTAACACAAGAAAAAAATAATGATGTCTGAACTCTGAAGTCAATGTTTTGTTTCGTAAAGTTGTCTCAGCACACTTTTAAAAGTTGAAGATTTTAATGAGAAGATAGATAATTATAGCAGTAAGAAAAACTTACAATTAACCCCCTAGGGGTAACAAAGATTTAGAGTTTTAAAAAAAATATATCTTGCACCTAAAACACGAATCACTGAGTAATAGAAACAAACCCGAAAAAGGTCTAATATTTAAAGCAAAGCAAAAAGGAGCCAACCATATGAAATAACTAGAGAAGATCGCGCTAATGTTCTTTAAATCTACATTAAACCCAATTAAATTAACCAAACAAGACACTAATTTATCCCCAAAAAGATCTCTGTTTTCTTAGCTTTTCCAATCCTCAAAATCGAATTGTGAAAGGCTTCGGAAAAAGGCAGGCAGAGATACGGTCGGGGAAATTAATCTCTCTCTTTCCTGTTTTCAAAACCTATGAATACAAAAAATCCAGTCCATTGAACACAGGAAGCTTCTTGTTGTTGCAGCCTTCTTAATTTTATGAGTCCACCATCTCGTCTTGAATCTCATTAGGAGCAATAAGCCCAGGAATCGAAAGCATTCTTTGACGCTCTCTCTCTCTCTGCGCAGCTGCTTCCTCAGCATATAGATCTTTGTTATCCTGAAAACAAGTATTCAACAAATTGGCTTTGTCTATTGGTTTTGAGTTTCTTAAAACCAATTTTGCGAAAAACAAGTTTAATTACCTGAGCGGAAAACTCCTTAGACTGTACAAGGAAGTCACGAATGTTATTCTTAAATCCAGACGGGTCATTTCTAGACTCGTAAAGTCCATCCACAAATTGTGTGACCTGAATATTTGTTGATATTCAATAATCAGATACGAGTAGGAGTCAACATGAAAACTGTAAAAGTAAAACTTCTGGTTTTAGTTTTTATTTACCTCTGCTGCAGTCATGTTGGGGAATGAAGAGCTCAGTAGCTTAATGGTGTATTCGCGAACAAATGCAGCGTTGTTCAGATACGGGTAAGGAACAGTTGTGGCATCCCATAAAGGTTCTGTCAAAGCACCGCTCTCAGGCTGAAATATATAATAAACAAACGCATAAGTGCATAGAACTACCCATTCCCAAGCAAAGGATTACTTAAACTATCAAATAATATACAATAAGAGAAGAGATGGTTTTACCAGACAAAACAGATGCTGCAGCACCAACACATGCAGCTTGAAGCCAGGCTTATGGAAGGTATCAGTCAAAACGGCAAATATTTCTTGCTCGATTTGCATAAAGTATGTCCGGTAGAATTGATTACAAAACTCAGATTGCTGTCATAATCAGAGGACAATATTAGAGCAGACGTAATATATGTCACATCCACCGAGCTAAAAGAAGGAAAATAAACACCAAACCTGAAAGTTTTTCAGCATCTCAAGCAACAGATTAAGCCCGGTTTCAGCGATATTTCTCTCAGTATGTCTAAATGCCCAGATAATTGAATCCATCACTAGCTTCAGTTGCTGTTGCAAAATGACAAGACGGTAAGAAAGATAAGCAAATAGTGAGAGAGCCTTAGAAAGAAGGTCACAAGGATAATATATGCAAAAACGTATTCACTAACCGGACTTGATAACTTTATCAAGGCAGGGAAACAAAATGTAGCAATAGCACGGAGTAATGAGAAAAACTTGAGGCGGTGTTCTGGATAATCTTCAAAGTTCTTAGTTATCATCTGCAATAGGATGAATGAAAAGTGTCAATAAAGTATATACAAAGCATAGGTAAAACCTCCATGTAAGTTTTTTCAGCCCGTCAAATACACAATCCATAAACTCTGTTACCTCCAATGTACACTGGAATACAGCTTCAAATATGTGAGGCACGTCTTCTAACATTGTCGCCTTGTACCTGAAAGAAAAAATCCAAATAAAATCTTGCAGCATGGTAAACATCCAGAAAGATGCAGATGGTAAACATCCGGCTAGATCTTCCAATCTTTTCACAATTACAGTTAATTACTATGGCACACATCAACAAATAAGAGGCATACTTGTTTATAATCGTTGCAAAGAGTGAAAGAACTTCGGATTCCCTAGCATCAGGCACATTCCTCGCATAGTCACCAAGTACTGATTCCATCATTGGCGGCACAAATTGTTTCCCTATGTGTGGTTGGTCCTCAGCTTTGTCTAAGAAGGTTTCTATCAGCTTAAGGGTTTCCCTCTTAACAGATCTGTATAGCAAAGAATTACAACATAAACTATTCCAGTTTTTACAGAGGCATCTAGAAATGTGTCTTTGGTGCATAAAGCCATCCAAACCTTAAGAGTTTTACAAAAGATGTCTTGGAAGCATATGGTCCTCCCTCAGTAATGTTGGTTGACACAAGCTCACTGTACATTCTGTTGCAGCCATGGAAAAAATAAAAATGAAAATCCAAGTTAAAGAACTAGAGGAAGAGTACTATAACTATTAATGCTATGAGGAAGTATCATGGAGTTACCTGTATACATTCAGCATATCCAAGAAGATCAAGGAAATTTGGGATAAGAAGTATGTTCCCAGTGAAGTAGCAGCACTAGTATTAGTCTGCAGGGAAAAAGACATGTTAATAGTTGGACGACCTTACAATCAAATCACAAATTGTCTAAACACCAACAGATGCAAAAACTTAACTATTACAATGACATGAATTCACGTGATGGAATAATAATGAATTGTGAGGAATAGGTAAGAAATCAGACCTGTAGGATGTTAAGCACTGTACGTATCACACCTGGATCCTTGAGGAATTCTACACTTTGGCGTGCCTGTCCTATGATTTCTGCCCATTTCTACATTGTATAGGGGAGCGGTTTTAGCCAGATATGTAAACAAAGCTTAACAGCCACATATTAATTAACATACCTGGTTGGGGAGTGCCATCAACCTCTGGAGATATTCATCTCTCTTCTGAGGATCTGGTTCTGCTTGGATCATATTACCAACCTGGAGAAAGAGAGAGGATGAAATCACAACAGAAAAATAGCTCTGATTGGCATGCGAATAACACATCTGGAAAACTTACTGATTCATAAAATGAGTGTATTTGATGAGGCTCAAGATCTTGAACAGTTGTTGCAAGGCCTGATAGAAGTTCAGATACAAATGGTTCATTCTCTCCAACCTGAAAGCGCAAAGAACTGTATTTCATATCTCATTCAGAAGACAATGGATATACTAAAGGTGGATTAAATACAGTAATACATACCTGTACAATAACAAATTTTCGCTTGCACTTTTGAACTATTTTCAAGAATGTGTCACATGCCATGTCCTGAAAGGGAAACATAAGTATTAAGTATCTATGATTGGGAAGATGCAAGGTCTATAGTTCTATGCAAGAATACTCAGTCAAAAAAAGAGACTTCAGATGCTAGCTTGAGAAGATTATAAATAAACTGCCGCACCGTCCACACGAAACTAACAACTTGAGCATATTTTTGCTACCAATATAATCTCCAAAATCTTATTCACGGATTTTAACAGCGAATAACACATCATTTAATCTGAGATTCCACCTGGACAACTGTATCTCAGAATTTATAAAGTTTGGGACGAGCTACCTGAACACCAGGATGTGTCTCATGCATGAATTCAAACAACTTGTTCACAACTGTCTTCAAAAACTTCCAATGGGCCCTTAAGAATCTCGGGTACTGGCCAACGACATACCTGCAACCAAGCCAAAGCAGAACAGAGAGGTAAGACTTAACCGGAAATAAAAAAGAATAAACATCCCAGATCTTTTCAGTTAAGTATGAATAAATCTAATGCCGCCTTGAAAGAAATAGAAAATACAAGTGAAGTACTACAACAACCTAGGCAGAAAGTCAGCTGAAAAGTATAATTCCGTATGACGAAACAAACTTACATGATGTTGCTCGCAATAACAGCTTTATTGTCTTTTCCCTTAGTAATTTCACATAAATTCAACAAATCACGAATGACCATCACCAAAAACCTGTTTTCCTGAAGAAAAAAATGGAGTTTAACAATAGTAGGCACAGAATTGACAATGTCGAACAAATCTTCCCAGAACAAAGTAAGGAGCAGTCAAGCCAATACTGATATATCATGAAATGAGGGAGGTTAATGAAAGAAACAATTAACATTAAAGGTTAACATTGGCAAAAAAAATTTAATTAGCCAATAGATCGTAAGGTACAGCATTACAAACAAGAATTTCTACTGTTATGAAAAGAAAATGGAGTCGGGCTGAGCGCTAGGAAAATTTTTTACCTGATCTTCAGCCATAGATCCAGAAATAGATCCAATAGCCCAGCACAAAGTGTTCAAGTTGTTCCATGCCCATTCCTCCCCACTTAATTGTTTGTTTAGCTTCCTCAACATCTTTTAAAGGAACAATCAGAAGTTCACATCAGCACAACACTCAACAGCATGGAACCGACAAGTAAGCTTACATATCTACCAGAAAATCTCATATCTAATAACACTTCAACGTTTCAATTGCTAAATCTAGAGTACTACTATGATAGTTCACACTATAACAAGGAAAAACCATACTTGATCAAAACCCTCTAACTGTTAATCGTCACTATTTAACAAATTAATATGAATAGACCGGTATCATCATGGTGACAC